GGAAGACCGACGAAGTAAAACAGTCGGATACAACTGTGACTTATACTCAGGAATACTTTCAGGAATTTCAGGTCGTCACGCTCATCGACATGGTTCGTCTAATCCCCGGCGGCATCAGCATACTCAACAGTCTCAATAATAATCAGCAGTCTCGAGGACTCGGTTCTACCGGTGCGCAAATACTCATCGATGGCAAACGAATGTCCGGTAAATCAAATGATATGCAAGGTAGACTAAGTCGAATCCAGGCAAGCCAAATTGAGCGGATTGACCTGATTCGAGGCACAGCGGAAGGATTGGATATTCGAAGCCAAGGCGTGTTGATCAATGTGATTCTTAAGTCCGGGGCGAGTGATGACATCAGCTATCTGTCTGAATTTCGTTTGACGCACAACAATCAGCAAAACACAAAACCTGAATGTTGCTGCATCAGCTAGCGAATGAGTCGCAAAACCCTAAACCCTAAACCCTAAACCCTAAACCCTAAACCCTAAACCCTAAACCCTAAACCCTAAACCCTAAACCCTAAACCCTAAACCCTAAACCCTAAACCCTAAACCCAAAACCCTAAACCCTAAACTATGTAGGGTTGGACACCCTAAATATTTAGTTTATTGATTTTTTCTAGCGCTATCGCGCGAATGAAGGTAAATTGACACCATTAAGGCTTTGAATACATGTATAATTGTTTTAATACGAGTTGTTAGGTCGTATATTTGCGTTTTGATTGGTTTCGTGTTCATGGTTTAGGGGATTTTAGGGGAGTTCCGTTTTTTGCTAGGGTTGGTTAGGGGATTTCCGGATTTTGAAGAAGTACTTATTATCATGTTGATGATGATGATGATGATGATGTTAACACGGATAACTACGAACAACATTTCTATGAAGAGGATTCTCTAAAGTATTTTCTTAAGCGTCCAGTTCCCTTTCCCGTCCGCTTTGAAATGCAGATGCTTCTTATGAAAACGTTTCAATTCCATGCGATGTGCAATGGAAAACACCGTGATGTTATTCTTCTCAAACTCTTCGTACAAAGCGCCTTCTTCGTCTGGATTAATGGCACTCGTCGCTTCGTCTAAAATTGCGAATCGAGGCGCGTGAAAATACAGTCTCGCTAATCCTATCCTTTGCTTTTCTCCGCCAGAGAGGACGTCGTTCCAATCGTGCTCTAATCTATCCAAGCCTACGCTGCGATCGCCTTTTTTCAAAAGTTTCACTAGATTGACTCGCGCTAAGCATTCGAGAATCCTTTCGTCGTCCTTGTCGAACTCATCTTCGTCGCTCTTTTGCTTCGCTGGGTATAATATTTGATCTCGCAACGAACCAGTCACTAAATATGGTCGTTGGGGCACGTAAAATAAGGAGGAGACGTCTCCGTCGTCACCGCCTTCCGATTTTATCGATTTCAAACCGTTTCGAGGTCGAAGAACGACACCTTCTGACGCTTCCCACAATCCAGCGAGTACTCGAAACAAACTCGTCTTCCCAGCACCGTTCGCTCCGGTGATGAATAGAGACTCGCCGCGCCTAATCTTCAAACTCACGTCTTTGATGAGCAACCTGTTGTCTGGCGAGAACACCGTGACGTTTTGAAACTCAATCTCGTCGTCGTTGGAGGACGTTCGCACGATGCCGTTGCTTCTCCCTTCAATTTCTTTCTCTTTCTCTTCCTCACCTGATTCGACGGAGTGCAACAAATCTACGACGCGAGAGGTGAATCCAGAAAGCTTTTGAAGCTTTTTGTACACCATGAGTAAATCACCGATTGAGCTCGACGCGTTTTGTATCAGCGTATCCGCTTCGCGATATCTCGCGACGAGCTCTTTTTCTTCCATATCTTTCGCGAGCAAGAAGGGAAATGCTAAAACAGGCCATCCAATCATAGAGGCACCGTATTTGATAAAGTACTGATCTAAAACACCTTGAATGAACTGTCTGAAGAAATAGTATTGCGACCACGCGGTGAGTTGATTCAATTTTTCATTCAAAATTTCTTTCTCGCGTTCGGCGCCGTCGAGAAACGCAACTTCTTCCGCGTGCGAAATCAAGCGCGAATGCGAACGTCTAAAATCACCTTCCTTCTTTTGCGTTTCTTGGATGTAATCCGAAAACGGCGGTGAAAAGAAACGAATGACGTGTCCAGAAAAGAAGAAGTAGGAGTACAAAATGGTCAACCCCTTGTATCCCATGGACTCGCTCATGCGTTTCGTGCTCAAGATGACGTCCAAGAGTGGTTTAAACGTTCTTGAGAATAAATCCGCGGACGTCGCACACCACATGTTCAAATCATCCGTTATGCGTTGATCTGCATTATCTAAATTGCCTTTACGCAACACCGCGTGTTTATAATATTGCCGATTTGAGAGATATTTCTCGTGTACGTGTTTCGTCAAATTATGGCGAAAGTTTACCGTGATGGAATTCGTCAAGTATTTCAACGAAGAATTCACGATGGATGCAGCAATTCCACACACGTAAAAATCCGCCAGCACGAATAAAAAATGGTTCCAGCTTCTTTCCATGACGGCTTGTAAACCTTCGCCACCTTTCCGCGCTATTCGAAGCGAAATATACGAACGCGATATTAACATTACCGTTTGTGTCGATAACAAAAATACCGACTTGCACCTCCAAGACGGTAAGACAATCTTCCCGAGCTGCACGAGATTGCTTAAGAACTGCTCATCTACAGCAGCGCTGCTTCGTTCTTTTTTCGCAACATTCCTATTCTTAATATTTATCTGTTTCTTTTCCTTCTTGTTCTTTCTGAAATCCCCTAACGAACCTTTCATCAAACCTGTCGCAGCGCTTGTCTCGTGGACGACCAACGCGGTTACTCCAGACAGCGCGACGAGAAACGTGTAGCACAATTTTTTGTCTCTTTTATACGAGTCATAAACTCGTGAGGCGACGTCGATGACATCTTTCGACGTGATGAACTTTGCGTTTTGAATAAGGATTTGAGTCGAAGATGTGGAAGTTGCTTTTGATGACTGTCTGAAACCCATCTTTTGTGCGTCGTTTGTATGCGTGGCTGTCGTGCGATGACAGGAAAAGTGAAGTCTCCCCTCTGTATTTGTATTTGATGATGATGTTGATGATGATGTTGATGATGATGATGATGATGTACAGAGAACTACTACGAACACAATTCTGACGACGACGACGACGACGAAGTTTGTTTTTTCTTGTTTTCGTCTGTGTTTTTTGTTGTTGAAAAGAAGAAGGACAGAGAAGGACAAAGAACTCGCGCTTCAAACGAAAGTTGTCACAAATACACACGCGCACTCTCGTGTTCCTTTCTTATATTTGAAGATGAGCGGCGATAGAGGGTTTCGAGGAGGAAGAGGTGGAAGAGGAGGGAGAGGACAAATCATTCGTCCGGTTTTGGAAGGAACGCGAATCGCCATCGACAAACAACTCGCGGAATTTCGCGCAAACGTCGATTGCGATGAGATTGTTTTCCCCGCGGATTTATCCAATCACGATCGAGCGATAGTGCACACGGAGTGTAAGAAGTTGGGATTGAAATCTAAATCGCACGGCAAAGGGGAGGAGAGAAGAGTACACGTGACGAAGCCGGATAAGTTCATAGCCGTCGATGCGGACGATTCGAGAACTCTGAATCTCTCGGAAAAGGGGGCAAGACAGTTGAACGAGTATTTTTCCAAGTTTCCACCGTCATCCAACGAGCTCGAAATGGCATCGAGAGGAACGTTAGATGTCGCGTGGGAGGATGAAAATACCAAATCTCGAGCCGAAAATAACAACAACAATGCCACGACTACTACCGCGAGGAAACCGTACACGGATGCGTTTTTAACTACTTTCGGCAATAACGTCGATTACAAGCGTTTGCACGAAGAGTTAGAACACAAACGAACGCACGTCCACGAACTCGCTCAGATTTCAATGAAACGACAAACTCTCCCGGTATTCAAATACAAAGATGAAATCATTGAAAGAGTGAACGCGAACCAAGTCGTTCTGCTCGCGGGTTCCACCGGCTGCGGCAAGACGACGCAAGTGCCGCAGTTTTTACTCGACGACTGCTGGGCAAATGGGAAACCGGCGAAAATTATATGCACTCAACCGCGAAGAATATCGGCAATGACCGTTTCTGATCGTATTGCGAGCGAACGCGGCGAAAATATCGGCGAAGGAACCGTAGGGTATCAGATTCGGCTTGAATCGAAGATTTCGAAAGCGTGTAGTCTTTTGCTCGTCACGACGGGTGTTTTGCTCAGACGTTTGACTTCTGAAGGCGCGGATGCGTATTTATCGTCATTAACACACATAATCATCGACGAACTTCACGAACGCGATCGATTCGCTGATTTTTTGATGATTGTTTTGAAAGACGTGTTGCCAAAGTATCCAAACTTGAAGCTGATTTTGATGTCCGCGACGATGCGAGAAGATTTGTTTTCGAACTATTTCGACGACTGCCCAGTGATTAAAGTTCCAGGATTTATCCACCCAGTTCGTGAATACCATTTAGAAGATGTTCTAGCGTTTACAAATTGGGGCGGAAACAACGCGGGGCTCGCGAATCCTCAGCCGTCAAAGCATAGAAAAGTAGATGCTTCTTCTTCTTTTTCTTCTCAACAACAACAACAACAACAACAACAACAAGAACCTTCGACATCGGAAGCTTCGGAGATGATGCGTGCGGCGATTGAAAATGCCTTCGTTGCGCCGTCGGACGAAACTTTCGATTGGTTGTTACAATGCGCGGCGCAATCGAAAGATGAAGATTTGGTGAACGTGCAGCATTCCGCGACGGGCGCGACGGCTTTAATGGCTGCGGCTGGTAGAAATCGCACGATGGAAGTCAGTCAGCTCTTGCAACTCGGCGCAAACGTAAACTTGAAATCTCAAAACGGCATGTTAGCATCGGATTGGGCGGAGCGATTCGAACACGAAGATTTAGCCTCACAACTTCGCGAGTTAGAAAGTACTCCAGGTAATAACGACGTCGCCATGATGGAAGAAGACGGTGCGGCGAGAGATGGTTCTTTTGATGGACCGGTAGTTTTAGACGAAGCCGCTTTGATGCGCTTATCAAAGTACCAGTTAGAATCTGATCCCGATGAAGTTGACGTAGATTTAGTTTGCTCGCTCGTCAAGCACGTGCACGAGAAGAATCGAGCGAAACCAGACGGCGCTATACTTGTGTTTTTGCCGGGATGGGATGAAATTTCAAAGATTAAGGATGCGCTGAGCGACCAAGCCGGTCTGACCGATGTCCAAATCATGCCACTCCACTCGATGGTGTCTCCGCAAGACCAACGCAAAGTGTTTCAAAAACCACCGCGAGGCGTTCGTAAAGTTGTGCTATCGACGAACATCGCGGAAACGGCGGTCACTATTGACGACGTCGTATACGTCATCGATTCTGGAAAACTCAAAGAGAAAGGATACGACGCGTACACGGCCGTTTCAACGTTGCACCAAACGTGGATTTCCAAAGCTTCCGCGACGCAAAGAAAAGGTCGCGCCGGTCGAGTCCGTCCAGGAGAAGTGTATCGCTTATTTTCAAAGTCGCGGTTCGAAGCCTTTGCGGAGTTTCAGCTCCCAGAAATGCAGCGTTCACCATTGGAAGAGATTTGCTTACAAGTAAAGATGATGCAGGAAACCCTTCGCGGTATGATTCACAGCAACGGCGCCCCGTCGCCAACGTGTGCCTCGTTTTTGAAACGAGCTGTGGAAGCCCCCCTTCCGCAAGCTGTAGATTCTGCCGTAACGCTTCTGATTGATATTGGCGCCTTCACGTCTGCCGAGGAAGACGAAAGAATAACGCGATTGGGTCGTCATCTAGCTGATTTGCCTTTACATCCCCGCGTCGGCAAAATGTTGTTGTACGCCTCGCTCCTCGGTGTTTTGGATCCAATTCTAACCATCGCGTGTGCGGGCGCATACAGGCCTCCCTTTATCATCGGAACGGATAGTGGACGTCAGAATGCGAATCGCGCCAAGAAAGGTTTTTCCGATGCGCTTGGTGGAGGATCCGATCACTTGGCCATCGTTCAAGCGTTCAAAGAGTGGGAAGTCGCGTGTCGAAACGGACGGCAAGCCGAGAATCAATTTTTGTGGAACAACTCTTTGTCGGGGTCGACTTTGCATATGATTAAAGGCATGCGCATGCAATTAATAACGGCGTTGACCCAGCGAGGTTTCATCCAAAACTTACAATCTGCGTCGTACAACACGAACGCGACTTCGTTAGTGCGTTCTGTTTTGGCCGTAGGCATGTACCCTCTGGTTGGAAGAATGCTTCCTCAATGTCGAGCGCCAACGCTTGGGACTTTGAAAGGTGAACGCGTACGAATTCATCCAGGCTCGGTGAACGCGCGGTTTGAATTTTCGCAAGACGAATTGGAGAACACTTCGTCGTCAACAACAACGTTGGCGTGTTTCGAAGAGATTACGCGAAACGAATCGAACATGTACGTGAGAGATTCAACGCTGATATCGGGAACGAGTTTAGTTTTGATTGCAAATACGGTAAAAGTTGAAGCCGATCCTCCGGTAGTCGATCCGCTCACCGGCGAGTCGTTTCCGAAACCAGGCGTACCATCGGCTCTTTTAAACGTCGACGATTGGATTTCGTTTCGAGTGCCATTGACGCAAATCGCGCAGTTATGCACGCTGCGATTGCGTTTATTCAAAGCGTTCGCTTCTCGCGTTGAACGCACGAAAAAACCGCTCGCAGCGAATTTACAACAGTGTTTACACACAACGTCTATCGTATTAGCGGACTCTGATCACAACTTGCTCGGCGCTAGAAACCAATACATACAGAGAGGCGGAGGAGGAAGAGGCGGTGGGAGAGGCTTTTATTCCGGTGGACGAGGCGGGAATAATCAAAACTTTGTGCCTCCACCGCCTTCTTCTTCTCAGTTTAACGGTTCTGGCGACGGTAGAGGCGGAGGTCGTGGACGGGGTCGTGGAAGAGGACGGGGAAGGTACTGATGAAGATGAAATAGATCAAGTTGTAATACCTAGTAGAATTAGTTACTAATTACTAAGACTAATATTGCTACGCTAATGCTACATGTATGCGTATTTTTATCTTCCTGTGAACTTTCTTCTTCCAAGTCTGGAAGATTTTTGTATGCCGACGTCGATGAGACCGCCAACTTCTTCTCGCGATTCTATCGATATCTTCAAGTATATTCCAAACGTGAATAAAGCCAAAAGAGCAATCATAGCCGCGTTCCGAACAATTTGGTACTCCCACATGGGATGCCTCGCGAGCGCATCCAACGCATCCGCAAAAGAGTTCAATCGTCCTCCGCCGGTATTCCTCGCCACGTTGGCTAAATTTTTAATCGCAACGTCCGTTTTGAGATCGTTCAATACTTTATCGATTTTTGACATTTCTTTCGACACCGCGGCTAATAATGCCGGGTCATCTAGAAGCAGCTCCCCTCCTCCTCCTCTTTGAGTGTTTTTCGCATTATTTTGTGAGCCGTTGTTTCCAAACTGCAAAAAGTCTCGAAAGAATGATTTTTTACTCTTTCTTTGCGGCGTGAACGAAGCCTCGAGTTTATCGAGTTCCCGTTGTGCTTCATCGCTCATGAACGTGCTCTTTATCTTTTCGAATCGTTTATCGTCGTCGTCGTCGTCGCCGTCGTCGTCGCCGTCAATGAGCTTGCCATCGTTGATGCCATTGTTTTTCCTTCTTTTCGTAGATTTTATTGGTAAGACTTTCGCGAGATACGAGGAGTACCTCTCCGTTAATCCGACTCGCACGTCTGCGTTCATTTTTGCCGAGTTATTCGCGTTCTTGTTGTTATGATTCTTTTCGTCCTCCTCGGTGTTCGTGTCGTCCATATTGTCAAAATCTAAAACTCTGTTCGTCGTCGCACTCGTTGTCGTCGTCCAGTTGTCCAGTTCGTTTAATACGTTTTCTCGTTTCCGTCGTTCCAACATTTCCTCCGCTTCTTGCGCCTGCTTGTAGGTGTTCACGAGCAAGTCCGCGACGAAGTTCCCGCCGCCGCCTCCACCGCCCGTGATGATACCGCTTTGACTGTTATTGTTGCTTCTTCCCATTTCATCATCCTCATCGTATTCCTCTTCACCGAGCAACATCGCGTTCTTTTCCCGCCGCATATTGTGATGGTTGATGTACGCATCGTCTTCGCCTGAATACAACAACACACCTTCTTCTTGACTACTCGTACGACGACCATCGTCGTCCTCATCATATTCTTCTCCTTCTTTGAGCGGTGGTAACACCGGCACGGATTCCCAGAACTTGTCCTCCTCTTCCTGCTCTTTCGTTGTGTCCAATATCGTGCTTAAAGTTTCGTTGAACGCCGAGAACGTCGCGCTGACGACTTTGTTCGCCCCAGACGCGGTTTGGAGCAATAAAGACGATGAGGATGAGGATGATGTTTTATCTTTGTTTTGTTGTTGTTGTTGTTCTCTTCGCGCGAGCTCTTCCAGAAGCAACCGCTCGGTTTCCTCCGCATCATCGTTTTTCTCGTCTCTTTTTGTTGTGCTCATCGTATCATCGTGACAACGCTTTTATCTATCATCTTAACAACTTAACAACACTAACGCTGTGCGTGTCCTCTTCTGAAAAACTAACGAAGAGTGAACACTTTTCGTCCATATTATTTTCGGGTGTGATTTGGCAAAAAGTGATGAGATGTCAAAAAGTGTGATGAGAAATGCGCAGAAGAAGAAAGAAAATTTGGGAGAACGAGAGCCACTTGTTTTTTTCATCTCTCTTGTCTCAAGAACAGTTACAAAAGTTGTTGTTCTTTTTGTTCGAAATCTTCACTTAAACACACACACTAACTATGTCTGCAAAACTTATGGACGCGACTCCCGATCTCAAGAGATTGGCACCAGTCGAGAATCTCGCGATCGATGTCATCTCTTACGCGCACGGATCCGTCACGCCGACGTTGACCAATTTGTATACCAAAGGCAAAGACTCATTTTTAAAGGTATCAAAATCTTTCTTTCTTCTCTTCTTGTTCTTCTTCTTGGTGCCTTTCTCTCTCTTTTCTCTTCTTCTTTCATTCTTCTTCGTCTTCAAATTGAGCGTAATGGTTTCGATCATCTCGATGCTGCTTCGACTTGTGTTTACGCATCGTGTTTACTACTGCGGTAGTAGACTTCTTCTAGAGTTTGGCAGCAAACGCGCGTTTGTTGCGAATTCTTTTTTTGCGTGTGTGTGAAAAAAGGACGGACGACGGGAACGAACCGTCGTCGCGTCCTCTTTGTCAAGTCGTCTTTATAACAAAAAAATACTAACAATAACGAATCGAAACAACTTTACTTTTGTGAACGCACGCGCAATATTTTAGGGATCTATCAACACCATCGAAGGGTTGATTACGTCGTACGGCACGCCGGTCGTCTCGACCGTGCAAAAGACGTACCCGAAAGTCGTTACGAACGTCGACAAGAAAGTCGACGGCGTCTTGACGGCTGTTCAATCCGTTTGGGAGAACAGAGTCAAGGCTTCGTACCCGGCGAAAGCGGTCACCTCTGTTTCCACGGCGATTCAAACGCAACGCGAACAGTTTCCGGAAAACATCGCGTATTTGAAGTCGTTGACGACGAAGGAGAAGAGAGAAAACTACTTGAAGTTTATCGAACTCAAAATCCAAGAATTGCAAAGCGCGACGAAGGAAGTGCCGCAATTAGCGTACGACGCCATCAAAACCGCCATCCAAAACGCCCGCGAAAAACTCGATTCGTTCGAACTTTTGAAAAAAGTCGATGAATTGTGGCAAGCTACCTTGAACTTGAAGCAAGTCAAAACGGTGGTCAAAGCGAAGGAAGATCTGTCCCAAAAAGTGCACGAGAAAGCAACGGAGGTTTCGAACAACGCTTACGTCAAGAAGGCGACCAAATCGGTGAACGAAGTCGTGCAAACCGTGCAGTCTAAAGTCAAGGGAACGCCGACGCCGAAGGAAAGCCGCGTGGAAGAGATGGATTAAGTTTTCTTCTCTTCTCGTCGGGTTTATCGATATATCGATACGAGTACTCCTCTTTCTTTACTCACTACTGATACATAAAAATAGATACGCTTTAATTTTGAAACGCTGTAAAGTGTGTTGTTCTTGTTCTTGTTTTTGTCGTCGTGGAAACTACGACGCGATTAAGAACAATAACAGCATTTTACTCCAAGTACTACTACTCTTACTCCTTTTGATGATAAGAAGAACTGTGTATTATGATACAGTATTATATTTCTTCTTCTAAACAACTTTTTGAGTGTTGTTTGATTTTTGTCTCTACGAGTAAATTTCTCTCTTTTTCGCTCACTCATCCATCTCGTCTGAGTGATGAGTGATTTTCAGTCAAAAAGCTTCTTCATTTTTTACGAAAAGAAGAACCAAAATGTCTTGCGTAAACATACCTCCATCGACCACCGCTCCGCGTTGTCATCGTCCGAGCAGCGTGAGACGATCGACACGAGGAGCGGCGGTGCGAGCGAATCTTTTCCCACGAAGCAGAGATACTCAACAACAACAGCAACAACATAAAGCGCCGTCGTCGTTGTCTTTGCGTCTTACAACGAATGATAGAAACAAAAAGCTGAACTCTTTGAGAACGTTCAGAGTACAAAGTGAAGGAGACGATGGTGAGTAGTAGCATTTAGTGCATCGACGTTCGTGTTCGTCGTTTTTCTTCTGCCCTTCGAGGCTTTTCCTTTTCAATTCAGACGACAAGGAAGAAGAACCTATGTATGATGAGTGAAATTTTGTTTGCGCTTTATTTTATCCAATCGGGGAAGAGAGTTCAAGAGAAAGAAGAGAAATCTCATCACGCAAGAAAGAGACTGCGCTTATCCCTCTTTTAGCTCTCTCTGCTCTTTTCTGAAAATCGTCCTGGATCACCATCGTCTCGAATATGCTCTCAATATCATTAATTGCGTTTTTCTGTTTATAAACTGACCCGATAACTTCTTCTTTCTTTCTTTCTTTCCTTCTTTCTAGGAGAAAACAACGTCGTAGAAGAAGAAGGAAAAGGGCAAGAGGAGACTGAGGAAGGCGAAATCGACTTTAGCGCCCCCATGGTGAAGTTTCCAAGAAGGAACGAAAAAGACCCGTACAAACGATTAGGTTTAACGGCAGACTCCTCGTTCGAGGAAGTGCAAGAGGCGAGGAATTTCTTAGTGAAAGAGTATATGAGAGATGTGGATGGATGTGAACAAATCGACCTCGCCATGGACGCCATTTTGAAAGAAAAGTTAAACACGAGGAAGAAATCGAAAGGTTTGAAGAGAAAGAATCTGAGACAGAAGAAAGAAGAGGAAGATTACACGCCGCCATTTGTTGAGCGCATTAAGAACCAGTTTGAAAAGCCAGACAAGACGACGTTGATGCGACGAGCGGTTTTGTATTTCGGTATTTCCATCTGGTCTATTGTGACTCCGGCTTCGCAAGGACCGGCGTTTCAACTCGCCTGCGCTTTTGCCGCGTGCGTCTTCTTTCTCAACGACAAAAGAGGCGGACAAAAGAACAAGGCGCTTGGAAAGTCCTTTCTACACACTTTTGCAGCTATGCTCGTCGGTTGGTTGATTGGTTCGATCATTCCGGTGTACATTCCTCTCTTCCCAGAGTCGTTCTCGCCTGAGTTGATTTTGAGTTTGTTCTCGTTCCTCACCTTATTTGTCACGTGTACGTTCTTAAAGTAACTCTGATATAGCGAATCTGAATATTATTAAAAACATTGTTGTTCTTGTTGTCGTTGCTGTTGCTGTTATTGTTGTGAATTCGAATTATATAACTTACACACACATATGACGACGCGTTAAAATGACTATTGCGTATTAGTATATATATGATTACAACGTTTCACTCAACGTGTGATGTTTAATTTTTACACCTCCTCTTCCTCTCTCTCTCGCTTGCCTCCGTGTTTTGCCAATCTTCTCGTCTCTTCTTTTAATCGAACCATTCGATCGTCGGCATCTTCCGTGTCGCTCTCTCCTTCGCTGCTGCTCGATGAAGACGACGAAGTCTTTTCGTTCTCGGAGTACTCCGAGCGTCTCGGCTGGCGCACGGCGGTGTCGTATAAATCTTGTCGGCCCTTCGCTTTCAACTTTTCGAGCCATTTTTTGCTCATTTTTGGTCTTCCCCGTCGCGTGGCTCTGTACACTGCGTCAAATCTCGGCGTCGTGCAGAAATTTTGCGTAACCGCGACGGTATGCGTGATGTTTAACACGGCGTGCCACCACCCGTCTGGGACAAACATAATCTCGCCGGCGTTTTGTACGACGTCGAAACTCTTTGGACATCCGCCAACTTCCGACCACTCTCGCGTTTGTGTCATTGGATATGCTTTTTGGAACCACGTGACTGATTCTCCGTCTAATCCAATACCTTTTGGTTTCAGAAGAGGTTTTGACAAGCCTTTATCTGGCGGGTACAACACCCAGCGTTTCTGTCCAGAAATCAACGCGTTCCAAGCGGACGTCGCTAACGGGTCGACGTGTACTGAGGATCCACTTCTCGGCGGTCCAAACACGACCCATCTGTGCGGAGGTCTTCGTTTATGTCCGACGTATTTGAACAAGTCTTCGGAGAAGTAACTCGGAATGTCGAAATCTTTCTCGAGCTCTTTCGTATTCTCTTTATCAAAGACAGAACCGTCGAAAACGTATAATGGACTATCGTCTCTTTTGCAACCGTAGTCAGGATTCCTTTCCTCGTCGCAGTAAAACTGAAACTCAGTCATCGTCATTCGTACGGCGTACCCATCGTCATCGGAACCGACTTTGAATCTATCCTTCGAAAACCTTTTTTGTAACTTATCAATCGTCCACTCTCGCGGGTTATCCTCTTTCCCTTTGCTATTCAACGTTTTCATAAAGCACGGCCAATGGTCCATGGCGTCGGTGATTATGCACGGCGTTCTCGTCGAGGAAAAGCGTCTGTCGAACTCTTCTGGGGAGACTTCTTTCGCGGATATGCGTTCGATAATCCCCGCTTTTGATTTTAAGTTTGTCGTGTTCAAAACGTTCGCGTTGTCGTAGGCGTATCCGTGCTTAGTCCAACCGCCTTTGGAGACGGAGAGCTCAGAGCGCGTGCCTCGCTTCGCCGCGCGGATCTTCTTCTTCATTTTTTCCTCTTCATTTTTCGGTTCATGCTGTTTTTCTTTGCGGTCTTTTGTCTTGTTCTTCGTTTTACTCTTCTTTTTCTTCTTCTTCTTCGTCTCTTTTTGTTCTTTCGTGGCCGTCGTCGTCATCGTTGTTGTTGTTTGTTTCGTTTTCTTCTTGTTTCTCTCGATTTTTCCCCCTCTCGTCTGTTCACCTCCTCCACTTCCTTCATCGTCGCTTTCCGAGGATGAAGATGACGATGTCGTCGAGGAAGACGAGGAAGATCTCTTCGTAGCCCCATCGTTCTCTTTCTCTTTCTTTTTGTTGTTGTTGTTATTATTGTTATCATTATTATCGTCGTTCGAGGAAGAGGAACTCCGTTCAGAGGAATTCCTCGATTGAATTTTCGTCTCCTTCGAATTCTGTCTCGGAGATTGAATGCGTTCTTCTCTGATGAGTGGTCTCTCACTCCGCCTCGCAAAAACATCAGTCGAGGGAGGAGCACCATCATTCTTCGCAGACAGAACTATGTGCGATACTGTATGCGATGATTGTTTGTTTATCATCGTATCTGTATTAGTAGTGCTCTAAAAGCGTGGGTGGGTGTCGAGGTTCTGAGGAAGAAAGTGCTTCTCTTTTTTCTGTTTGCGCCGTCAAAAAACAAAAAGTTTTATTTGGGATTTCGTAAAAAAACATGCACTTCACTCTTTTGTCGTCGCTTTAAAAAAAGCGAACAACAACAACAACAACAGAGAGAGATGACGAGCACAACGAACACGTGATAGAAACGGTGGTGGTAAAAACAGAGAGAAGATGAGTGCGTCGTCGTCCTTCTCGTCTGTTGTTCGAAAGAGGTTCTTACAAAAATCTTCTTCTCTATTTTCCTCCTCTTTCCTGACTCGAATTCTCCCCGGGAGTGTTAAAAATGGTGTTTGTGCTTCTTCGTTTAAAGAAATACGAACAACAACAACAACAACGACCGCGACGACGATTCCGTCGTTTTTCGTTCAAAGAAAGAGTGAGAACAATTGGTGTCGGCCGTGCTTGGTGACGATTGAGAATTTCAACTCGCCTTCATCGTCGTCCGCCTTCAGAAGATCGTACGCTTCGTCTTCCACAGAATTAATGACTTCCAGAACAAGTCCGACTGAAAGCGCACAACGAAACAACAAGGAGAAGAAGAAGAAAAATAAGAAGAAGAAAAAAAGTTCGACGACGACGACGACTTCAAAAACAAAAGCGGAATTGGAGGAGTTGAAAACGTTGATGGATATGAAAAAACCTGGTAAATGGTATCCTTTGGCGCGGACTATGCAACGTGAAATCATTTTACACGTCGGTCCGACAAACTCCGGGAAGACGCACGCGGCCATGGAGCGCTTGAAGCGAGCGTCATCGGGGGTGTATTGTTCGCCTTTACGTCTGCTCGCTTGGGAAATTTCCGAGTCGCTGAATAAGTTTGGCACGAAATGTGACTTAGTTACTGGTCAAGAATTGAAAAGAGTAGAAAATGCGGAACACATAGCGTGTACGGTAGAAATGGTAGACGTGAACAAAGTTGTCGATTGCGCGGTTATAGACGAGATACATCTTATCGGGGATGATTTTCGCGGGTACGCGTTCACGCGAGCGTTACTAGGTACACCCGCGCTGGAGGTGCATCTTTGTGGCGACACTTCCTGCGTAGAATTGATTGAAAAGATATGCAAGGATACCGGCGATAAGCTGAGAATACGAAACTACGAGCGCTTGAGTCCTTTAAACGTTGCCGAGGAACACTTTTCGAAGAAACGTTTGGAGCAAAACATTGAGAAAGGGGATTGTTTTGTCGCATTTTCGAGAAAGGCGGTGTACGCGCTGAAGAGCGAAATCGAGAGAAGAGTGCCCTTGAGAGCGTGCGTGATTTACGGAGGATTGCCTCCCGAGGCGCGATCGAGGCAAGCAGAATTGTTCAATAAGCCGGATTCGGGATACGACTTGTTAATCGCGAGCGACGCCATTGGTATGGGATTGAATCTGAACATTCGACGCATTATTTTTAACGAATTAACAAAGTTTGACGGAGTAGAAATTCGACAGCTGTCGAGTCCAGAGGTGAAACAAATTGCAGGCAGAGCTGGACGGTATAAAATGTCTTACTACGATAAAGGAGGTGGAGTTGTGACGACGACGGACGATGGCATGGTTCTTGATGGTAATAGAAAAAATGGCGATAACGCGAAAAGTGATATCATAAAAAGTAGCGGAGTATCTGGTTTACAATTCATACAAAATCAACTTAATGCTCCTGTAGAAGCTTTGAAAACTGCGGGTTTAGCACCAACGTTTGAGCAAATACTCGAGTATTGCTCTAAAGTTGAAGGTGCGACTTTGGAGGATGCAATGAAAGCGTTATCGTCGGATGCAATAGTTCCGAAATATTACAAGATGCGCAAGAGCGATGAAGTTATTCGATTGGCAAAGTATTTAGAAAACCTTGGCATGGAGATTGAGGATCATTACACGTTCTCCGTATCACCCACGAGTGTTGATTGTCTGCACAGTATGAAGACGTTGATGAATTTTGCAAAGGCGTTCCTAAACGAAGGTCACGTGAGCGTAAAGTTGATTCCAAAGTCAGTCAACAAACACGATAGAAAGTCTAGAGCAGATGCGCAGACGCGCATGAACCAACGAAGTGTGGGCATCTTGGCTACTTTGGAAGAGCAACACCGAGCGTACGATTTATATTTATGGTTCGCGAGGCGAATGAGCGCGCAGTTTCCAGAGTATAGCCTCGCCGAAGCGTTACGAGTCATGTGCGCACATTCGATTGATGCTGAACTCCAGAAACTATCTACAACAGCTACCATTGAAAGTAACTCAAGGAAGAAAAAGAGCGAAAAGAAGGAAGAGGGTTCGAGCAAGCCGGTTAAACAAATTGAGGAGCTTGATAGAAAAATTCTCCGCTCTGCGATAAATCGGGTAAACGAGGAAAGGAAGAATTTGTCTCTCTTATCGAAGCCAGCGACAACGAAAAAAGCAACAACAACGACATCGAGGCAGCACTAGTTCAGCAAAAGCAGTAGGCCCACGTAGTGTATGATAGGAAGTAGTACTAGCAATATTGTAAGCAATACATGTAGAAGAACTAGTTTATTTATACAATTTTCCACTTAAAAATCTGCTTTCTTTGGTTTTGGCGGAAGAATGTCGTATCGTAATAATCGCGTGTCGACGCCGCCAATCCCCAAGACGTGCTTACGACTCGCGCGCATATAAATTTCTCTCGATATAGAAGGGTCTCCAGATAAAACGAACGCGGACTGGTTTGGCATTTCTCTTTTTAAAAAGATTCCCAACTTTCTCCAAGCGTCTCCGGCTTCGGTCGAGTTCACATCTCCCGGCAAAATTTCGTTGTAGTCATCACCACCGCCATCGCCACCACCCCATCTTTCTTCGTCATTGTCTTGGTCTTCGTTGTTATAGCCGTTCTCGCCTCCGTAAGAAGAATCTCTATTTGATGATCCGCTGCGGTTACGATTCACGTCGCTCATTCTACTATCGAGTGAAATTCTCTTCCCCCACGGTGGGTTCGTACAAATGCTTCTTCTTTTCGATTCTAATAACGAAGGCGGAACTACCCACTCGTCAACGGAAGATTGGTACACTTTCACGACGTGCGGTACACCGGCGGCTAGAGCTGAGCGCTGCGCCAACGATACTGAACCAGGATGGATGTCGTTGCCTAAGCACGTCACTTTATTCTTTTGGTCGGAAAACTGATGGAATTCTTCCTCTGCGATTCTCTTTTTTTCGGCGTTATCGATGCAATCGAGAAAGACGTCCTCGTTGAAATCTGGCCAATTTTGGAACGCGTATCCACCATTTTTGTACCGAACTAGCCCAGGTGCAACATTCATAGCCATCAAAGCGGCTTCAACAACCATCGTACCTGAACCGCACATTGGGTCTATAAATACAGGAGGCGATATATCGTCATCTTCTTCTCGCTGGCTTCTCCATTCGTCGAGCGCTTCCGGCCATCCGGCGATGTGAAGTAATCCAGCTGCCGCGGCTTCGTTCAACGCGGCTCGATGAACAGATAAATTTGATCTGTATCCTCTTCTGTGTAAAGAATCACCGCTCGTGTCGCGATAAAGCGTCGCCCGATCTTTATACAAAGTCATAAACAACGGAACGTCTGCTTTCACTTTGTTGCCGCGAAAGTCGCGCGGATCTCTCGGGCGAACACCACCGCACGCGTCTGAAATGTAATCGCAAATGGCATCTTTTGCTCTCGTGCACGCGAGTTTCGTGCTCGAAATTTGAGAATTTGACCATACTCTCGCTTCGATCGAAAACGTTAATTCTGCGTTGATTAAAACTTCTTGCCACGGAACGCAATGTTTAACAAAATCATACACGGAATCGAAACCTGATTCGAGCGGATCTAAATCCCCAGACGCGAGTTCGCACAACACTCTCGTTCCCGAACGAAGCCAAATGTTCGCGTTGTATGCAGTTTCTAAAGTACCGACAAAGGAGACACCAGATGCGCCTATTTCAACGTGCTGCGCTCGAATCTCTTTCGATGAAAGCTCTTTGGCGACAACTTCCTCCAAACCCGGATGGCAGGTGACGAAAAAGCGAGACATGCCTTTTGACACTGGTGCGCGTTCGGGTGCCGCTTCTTGGTCTTGGTATGTATCTTCACCTCTTCTTCTTCTATTACTACTGTTACTACTTTTTTGTGCATTAAGAGGGTTTCTGCTCGTTTCGGAAGAAGAAAAGAGTCGCTCGCGGCCTTCTCTTTGTCTCGGCGCGCGTTGCGTCGTAGAAGTTGATGACGCCTCGCTCCTTTGCTTGAAGTTTTCGTGGAAGCTCCTAAAGTCTGCATCATCATCATCATGTAAATCATCGTAATCATCGTAATTGTCATCTCCGTCAGAATCAGAATCATCACTGATTTGCTTGAATTGATCCATTTGTCGTTGAAATAATCGTTTCCGCTCTTCATCACCGCCTTTGCCTCGGTTCTCTTTGAACCTGTTTGTCGTCGTATTTTTTGGCGAAGACGATGTTTTCTTGGTCGTACTCCTCATACCGTCTCGAGGCGGTTCCGTAGTCGCCGCTCTGATGGCATCGAAATCGTTTTGCATATCCTCGCGCACACTTGGTTTCCATCCTGGTGGTGCCGGAGGTGGTACTGCTCCTCCACCAACGCTTTGTGTTACTTCGTGTTGATATTGTTGTTCCGCAGAGGCTGAAAAAATCGGTTTTAATTGTTGTTTTTCTCCTCCTTTTCCTCCTCCTCCTCCTCCTTGTCGCGCGTTTCGTAAACCAGCGCCCCAACCACCGGAATCATCGAATGAATCCACGTCTTGTCTTCTTCCTCTTCTTTCTCTCCCTTCGCCTCTTCCTCCTCTGCCTCTTCCTCCTCTTCCTCTTTGTTGTTGTTGTTGTTGTTGTTGTTGTCGTGAATCGTTCCCGGCGGCGTTCGTTGAAAATAAAGCGCAATTCCTTCCTCGTCTAAATCTCGACGACGACGAATCAAAAGTGTTGTTGTCGCGCGCGTCGAGAAAGCGCACCAAAGATGAAGGCAGGAATTGTCTGACTAAAGAAGAAGAAGAAGAAGAGGAAGAGGATGTTTTTAATCCTGCTCTTCCACCGTGTGTGCCAAAGGTGAACCCCGTTGTTGTTCTCATCGAAGGGGACTAATTTTTGTTTGTTTTTTGTGAGGGAAAAGCAAAAAAAGAATTCGTCCACCCCGTTTTGCACACACAACCCTAATAATTTCCCCCTTTAAAAAAAAAAAGCAACGAAACAGAAAGTTTCGGGACAAAACGTGTACTCACCACACGTACGTATTCTTCGATAAAATGGCGACGACGAGGATACGATGATGACGATGATTTCGACGACGACACCAGCAACAATACCAACAATAGGGATGAATGTGAAAGGAAGAAGGCAACGGCGATTGATTATTATAATAACTCTTTTCGTTTCCTTTGTATTATTGCTCGCAGGAGTGGGTCTGTCGTTTACATCATCATCATCACCTTTGAGTCCTTTTGCATTTGGAAAGGAAGAAGGAAAAATCAAAGGACTTCTCGGCGCAGACGATGCGGGATTCTTAAATCCAGACGAGGAAGAATCGACCAAAGTATTAGTCGAGGATGAGGTGGAAGTGCACGGAAAGAACGAAGAAGAAGAAGAAGAAGAAGAAGAAGAAGAAGAAAACGGACAGACGGGGGAATTATTAGGTGTTGGTGACCAAGAGGAAGATGTTCGAAACGAAGATAACGACGAAGAGGAAAATGTCAAACGAGATGAAGCAGAAAGTGAAGAAGCAGTTGCTTCAAAAACAAAGAAAACTACGACGACAACAACGTTCTCTCGCCACGCTTCGCACTCGCACGCGTGCTCGCCAGAGTACATCGCACTCTTCCCGCCAAAAGCGAAAGCAAATAAAGCAACCATCGTTTCCACACTCGCGCATAGAAAGAACTACGAAAACACGGGAGCTTATCGAGATAAGAAGATCCCCGCGTCCATATTACCAAACTCTGGGAGAGATATTTTGGCAGCACCAGCAGTAGTAGCGACAAATAGTGTAGCAGCAAATGGCGACGCGCCCTGGCGAACGTGTGCGCTCGTCGGGAACTCAGGACATCTTCTCAAAATGGATTACGGGAAACAAATCGACGCGAACGATGTAGTCGTGCGCATCAATCAAGCCCCGACGAAAGGATACGAAAAGTTCGTCGGAAAGAAAACAACGCACAGATTATTAAATAGATTGTGGACAATCGCATACCACGACGGAAGCGGCATAAACAAAATCTACCGAGGCGGAGGGTGGCCTTTGGAAAAAGGAGTCACTCTGATTTCTTCACGCACGGCGGCGGAAAATTTCGTTCGGTTAGCGTATTACGTAAAGAATAAGTTGAAACGAAAAGACGTGCAGACTTTATTTCTCATGCCTGAAATCCGAGCGGTGGCGGAGAATTCGTTGAAGAAGTTCCGAAAATGTTACGAGAAGAAGCACTCGAAAAACTTCAAAGGCGGTAATTGCGCGTCGTCGGGTTTAGTAGGTATCGCAATGTTACGTCCGTTGTGCGTGAATATCACAGTGTACGGTTTAGGAAAAGGCCAGCGAGGCGATCCGTACCAGTATTATCGTTTGAAACAAACGCATAGGAGTTATGGGAACCCAGTGCACAGCTTTGACACGGAAGACATCATGTTTAGGACAATGGCCAACGATGGAGTTATTAACTTTTGCAACGCAAAAGAAGAATGTAGATTCAATTATTAGCAATCATAGAGAACAAGAATGTAATGTAGTAGTAGTACTAGTAGTTGAAGGCGTTTAGCAGTTTACTCGTATATTAAATTGTTCACGCTTTATGAAGAGTGTCGTGTATTTGATTCGTTTGTACTTTGGTACTTCTTACAAAAAAAAAGCGCTTCACGTCTTTCTTTTCTCTCCCTTTCTCTCTCTCTCTTCTTATTCTTAATTATTTATTAGTTATGCTATCGTCAGTCAATTCGTCAGCTATTCGTATTAGTATATTATTACTGGTATTATTGCGTCAATCTTAGGGCGATGCGCTCGCTCGCCCAGTGCAAAGTCGAGTCAAAGTTGGTGTCATCTGAAGATTGCGAGTGAAGTTCTTGGAACAACGCTTGGTAAAACGTCTTTTCTTTGAACAGCTCGCCGATACCGTCCATGGTATCCGCCATATCTCCCAACAACGCAATCATGTTCCTCGTTACGCTCGCGTCTCTGTACGGATCTTTTGAAACGTCTTCGATGAAGGATAAAATAAAGCGCGCGTGCTGCGCCAAACTCGCGATTTTGGACTTATCGTCTCGGAACCCTTGCAAAATCCCGGTGTACGCCTCGAAAATGCCATTTCTGAGATCGTTCTTGTATTGCACCGTATCTTCGTCTAATTCAACGTTTGGATCTTGATTTGTCATCGCCAAACTCGTCGCGCTTTGCAACATGGGTAAAACGAATTCGAGATATTTATCGAACGAAGGACCAACCGCCAAAGCAATGTCTCCGAAACAGCTCAAAATCGGCGGCTTCACGGCTCTGTGTAACTCGGACGATTGCAAATCTTGCAACAACAAAAACACGATGTTGTCGCACCATTGCGCCAACTTTTCGTCTAATGCTCTACAGATGTCCCCAACCACACCAACCGTCGCTTGGCACACAGAAAACTCTTCGTGGTTTTTCAAACCAACCTCGACGAACGGGTAAAACGCCTCCATGTATTTTTCGAAATCTTTACCTACCGAGTGCGCCAAAGCGCCGACCGCGAGCATGGCTTCTTCGTGCACAGTCGCAGATCGATTCGCTAAAACTCTCAAAAAAGCAGTCATCAAGTTATCAGAGTGCTGCGCCAAGGAGCCTTTCGCCGCTTCTTCCGATCCCAAGCGTTGAATGATAACTTGCAAAGTTCCGCACAACAACGCCTGTTGATCGGTTTGCTTCTCCAACATGTCTTGGGAAGTCACTTGCGTCTCGAACGTGCTCCCGAGCTTTTGCAAGACGACGGGAATGAGCTGGTGCACCGTAACTAACGTTTCTGTGCTCGCACCTCGAATGATATCGTTCAACGCTTCGTAACATTCCACTTTCAACTTCATCTCCGCATCCGGTCTCTCCGCGGTGACCAACAACGCTTGCACGATGGGCTGGAAAAACGGCGAAAGTGCCGGTCGCAATTGATCATCTTCACCGAGAGAGGTGACTAAATTCTGAATACTCCAGCACGCTTTCCCAGCGACGTTCGGCACGTCTTTGAGAGATTCCGTCAGCGCCGCTAACGTCGTTCCCAAATTACTCTGCGTGATCAAACGATACTCCGGCGATTGCACAAACTCAAAGACGCGTCCAATCGTCCAAGCCGTGGTATCTTTCACGTGCGTGTTCTTATCGTTCATCGAGTTCAACAAGAACGGCAACGCATCGTTCGCGAGAGGAGCTAATTTTTCTCTCGACGGACCCTCTAAAATAGCACCAAAAGCAAACAGAGCGGCTTCCTTTTGTCTCCAGTTATCTTGTTGGATGTTTTGCGTGATGTATTGCATGACGCCGTCCACGACTTGATCGCCGGTCAAGTTTGCGATCAAGTTCAAGCACGTTCCGCCCGCCATGGCTAAATTCCACGCGTTTTCGTCTTCGTCTTGACCTTCCTCTTGTTTCGTCAACTGCTCGAGCAACATCGGCGTCAACACTCCCAACGCCTTTTCGATGAATTGATGATACTTGACGTCCCGTTCGCCGTCTTCGATGGCATCCTTTCTTCCAATTTCTTCCTCGCAAATCGACGACCAAAACTCAATCGCTTGTAAACCAATCTGAGGATCGTCTCCGTGTAAAACTTTCACGGTCAAATCGTAAATTGCGGAGATGTAACTTTCGAGATACTCGTAATACTCCTCCGCGACGCCGACTAAAACTTCAAAAGCGGCGTATCGAATCCTTTGATCCGGCGAGACCGTCGCTTCACACGTCACTTGCATGATGTAATCTCTCTCTTGCTGCTTGGAAAAGTTCTCCGAGGCAAACGTTAACGCGATCGATAACGCGTTACACGCCGCTAATCGCACCTCGTTGTTCGTTTCCGTTTTGTCCATCCCTTGAATAATAGCCGTCAACATCGTATTCACCGCGGTTTGGTCCAAACCGCCCATGCCGCCAAAATCATCCCCTTGCTCTCCGTTCAACGATAATTCCTCGCAGATGTATCCTAAAGCTTCCAACGTCGATTGCTTCAATTCCGTGGAACTTTGAGGACCGGAAACGCTCAATTGCAACTGCGGTATCAGCTCCGGCCACTGTTTCGCCGGTATCTCCGCAGCGGCAAATTTAGCCACCACTTGCGCCGCCGTGTGTCGAATCTCCTGAACAGGCGAGCTCAGCGCCTGGAAAATCATAGACTTGATCTCCATCCGTTGGTTTTGATCGACTTGATTGAGCCATTTTTGCTGTAAACTCTTCTTCGTTTGGTACGACCTCGAGTCGATGCTGTTTTTCAAGATCAAACCGGCGAGTCGTCGGACTTCGCTCGGTTTCGACTCATCTCCGAGTTCTTTCGCCAACGAGGAGAGGTACAAGGAAAAATTCGCCTCTTTGGCTTGCTCCAACTGCTGCTCGGCTTGAGATCGAACGGTTTGATCCGGATTTTGGGTGTTGACCAGAATCTGCGTGATGTCCGCCATCTTCTTCTTTGTATTCTTCTTCTAAGAAGAAGGGGGGAATTTATACACAAACTCTCTCTCTCGAGAGGAGGAGGAAAAATGGAAATCAATCGCAAAAACACAAACACCTTCTCTTTTGTCTCTCTGATTGATAGATGTTCACTAATAGAAAGAGAGAGGAAGAAGGAGGAAAACGAATCACTCCGACTCGTCTCTCTCTATAATATATATATAGTGTGTGTGTGTTTACTTTTAAACTCTTCTTCTTTGTTGTGAAGCAAGAGTTTTTGACAGAAGCGTCGACAGACTTGAGACAGACAAAAAACCAAAAAAAAAAAAAAAAAAGAGAAAAGACTGCACAAAATTGCAGTGTGATGCATGAAAAGAAGAGCACAAAAAATGACGATGCGTTTAGGTGTTCTCGTGAAGTACTCTAACAACTGCGTTTAAAAAGGGGCACATTGACCATGACTGATGCGTACCACTTACAACTACTCTACTATTACTAAAATGACTACTACTCTCGCTTTTACTTATTCTCTAAACACTATTATATATTACTACTTTTGGCACCGCTGACGACGACTTGAGAAACGCGCGCTCGCGAGCGAACATACGTACTTCTTTTCGCTTACGTATATTTATCAAATCACGTTTAAAACCCTCGTTCTCGTCTGCGTAAGATCCATCCAATCTTCTGTTTCAGTTTCTTCTTGAACACTCTCCTATCTCTCTCTTTTAACGCCAACACTCTCTTCTCGCTCGGTTTCTTAAACCCGGCGTCGCGTCCTTGTCCGAGTCTCTCTTTAAACGCATCGAACATCTTCTCGTTGATCATGGTTCGTTTCATTCTTCGCATGGCTCTGTCTACGTTCCCATCTTCGACGACAACTCCTACGTACGATCGTTTCTTCTGTGCCGATGAGGTGATGAAGTTGTTATTTTGCAATACTGTTCGCGTCGTCGTCGTCGATGCAGAAGAAAGAAGAGACGTCGTCTGACGGAAAGCCGCACTGAACCCACAAGAGGAGAAAGACTTCAAGGAGGGTTTCAAAAATGCATGTTGTGATGGAAAAGAAGATGATGATGATGATGATGATTTGAACGAGAGCGCTCTTTCTCTTCCATTATTTAACAAACACGATGATGATGATGATGATGATGATGATGATGATGATGATGATGATGATGATGATGATGATGAGAGTACTCTCGAGAAGACTTTTGCGCGTCGAAACATCTCTCTTCTTCTTTGTGTGTTTTTGTGAGAACAAAAAAAATAGGAAAAATTTGAGAAGAGAGAAATCAGAGAAATCTCAGAGAGAAATCAGAGAAATCAGAGAAATCAGAGAAATCAGTCCTCTGATGAGTCATCAGACACGAGTTTCTTCATTAGTATCTTTGCTGCGCGATAACAGTAACACTTTTTATCGACGGGAGAAGAGTAAAAAAAGAAACGACCACATGAAGATGACGACGACACTCTCGACCACCAACACCACTGTTCGTCGCATGAACAACAACAACGCGAGCGCGCGAAAAGTGCTGAAGCGACAACCCTCTCTTTATTGTTGTTGTACGATTGAAGAAGAGAAAAATAAGACAAAACCATCATCAACTTCATCGTCATCGAGAAGAAGAAGTTTAAGAACAACAAAAGAAAACAACGAGAACGAGAAGTTCAGGTTTACGACGAAAACGGCGGTGTGCTTTGCCGCGTCCTTGACTGTGGCCACGTCGACGATGACGATGCCCATCGCCGGGAACGCGGACATCTTCTCCGCACATGCAGACGAGCAAGTGGAAAAGTGCACAAAGACGGTACGTTGGTTTCTTTCATCATAGTCTCGTCGGCGTTCGCGAGCGATATGTATATTCATATATTTCTTTCTGTTTTCATTTTTCGTCGGTGTACCTTATCACTCACCTTTATCGCTCTCATCTTCACCCAACCAACTCATCGTAATACTCATCGAAAACAGTGCGTCAAAGCGTGTTTAGATCTCGCGCCAAAATCTGACGACTATTGCAACGAGACGTGCTCGGACGAGTGTAAAGCGATGAAAGAGGACGGGGACGAAGGGAACACGGCGTTTTCCGCACCAGAGCCAGACGAGGGATTGCAAGGGAAAATCAACAACGTCCTCGATAAAGGCGCGGTATTCTTCGTCCGATAAAAATATATGATGCTTCGTGAGTTGTGTGTATAAAAAATATTACTTGAATCTTGAATCCATTCCTCGTTTACCTTTACGTCGTCGTCACTTTTCTCAAAAATTTACCTACGACGACGACATCATCTCCGTTTCCCTTCTCTCATAACAACGAACGATTTTACCGCCCTACGCACTCTTAATAAGAGAGCGACGAGCACACGAAAATGTTCACTTTGACTTCGCGCTGTGTCTTTGACGTCCTCTGTGCTTTTGGATCTGCTTCATCCTTAAACCGAACGAACAGAAGAAGCCGAAGAAGAGGTCGAAGAGAAATGTTGGATATCTGTAACGACGACGACGCGACGACAACAACTCAAACGCAAACGCAAACGCAAACTCGATACAACACTAAGCAGTGCAAAAACAGAAGAGAAGCGCTGATGGCTCTCGCTTTCCTTTCCTCTTCCTCGTTATTCTCCTCCCCTTTCTCTGTATTCCTCTCGTCCTCGTACGCGTTCGGGGAGGAGGAAATAGGAAAAGAGGGAGATTTATTTCGACCTCAAAACATAGATATCAGCGACGAGTTCAAAGAGATTTCGCAATGGGGCGACCCTCCGGTTTTCTTGAGAAAAACTTTAGAAATAGCATTAGCCGTTGCTTTATTGAGATCATCGTACGATGCCATAGATGAGCTGAACATTTGCGCGATGGATGAGTTTCAGATTAAGTCTTGGAAGACGCGGCAGTTATCGTACGAGGCGTACAAGTCTTTGATTTACCCGCTCGCGATGGAACAAGGAGATTTGAAGAATCCATTATACTTTGACCACATTAGCTTTTCGCAATATTCAACCTTGAACGCGATTTTGAACCGAAACAACGGAAAACCGGACATGGAGTTTGAAGAGAAGCTTGGGTTTGAAGGCGAAGTGAAACGCGTGAAACGAGATGAAAAATTCGCGACCCGGAAAGAATTGATTCCAGCGTTTAGTTACTTGGTTGGCCGGAATATTTTCAATTTCTTAAAGAATGGCTTCGAGTTGACGGAAGACAAACCGTTCGATGGTGTTCCCGAATTCATCAATCTCGATGGCTCCCAAGAGGAGAACTCTGTAAAAATTGTCGACGGCGTTAAAGCGTTGTTGCAAGTTTTTCTCAACTACGGCTTCTGTAAAGAGTTTCAAGTTTCACTTCAGGATGATGGAAAGTTAATCGTTACTGTTGTTGGTCCCGCGATGTTATGGTCGATTGGTGCGTTAGAAAATGAAGGAGCGCGAGTGGTGAATGATTACGTCGGGTACACGACCAGTTATTTTCTATTTGAAAGCGGCGTAAAGTCCAAAAGGAGGTACGCGAAAACCGATTCGTCGATGGTGTATACGTTCGATTTGTTCGTGTAAGAGAAAGGGAAAAGGAAATTCGAGCGTATGCTCGTAGTAGCTGAGGATTATAGTTCATGCAGTAATAATAGTACTAGTAGTTGTAATAGCAGAATGCGTGTAGCGACGTGATGCGTGACTCGCGGCTGTTTCAGACAGCACAAAACGAACATTTAAACGAGAGGTCGCGTTTAACAAAGAAACAAACAACGCGTCAAAAAAAAGAGAGCGCACACGCGCACACTTTTTATTTGAATAGGATGTTCCTCTCCTCCTCTTCTCCGTCCTCTTTCTTCTCCTCCTTCTTCGTTATCGCGTTGATCGTGCTGTTCTCCTTCGTTCTAACACCGATCAGCGCAGAAGTGATATCAGAAATCGCGTGCGAGACCAACACCGTCGCGTTACATTGTGGCACAAAGCTGATTAAAATTATACGCGCAAACTATGGAAGAACGGATTCTGAGACGTGTCCAATGGAAGGAAACGCTGGTGCAAGCAAAAACACCGCGTGTCTCTCCACTTCGACGTTCGATGATGTGAAAGATTCGTGTCATGGCACTCAATCGTGCGAGATGACTGCGTCCAATAGTAATTTCGGTGAAACGTGTGCAGGAACCGCGAAATATCTCAATGTTACGTACGAGTGCGTTCCAGATTGGCCTATTGTATTGTCCAAAGATGGAACAGTTGGCGTGATCAACGGTGTTGGTGAAGTACACGTTTCGGCGTCGGAAATGAAAGTGTACGGGAACATGAACGTTTCCGAGGGTGATATTAATATTGGAGGATACGGTTTATCACGTTTCAACTCGAGAATAGAAGATATCGAAAACGCGACGGCGACACTTTTGCAACTGCAAACGCAATTGGAAAATAACACCAAAACACCTCCGTATTGCATGCCTCCTGGTGCAGACGGTTTACAACATAACGGGACGGATTGGATTTGTGGCTGTAAGGAAAACTGGTCCGGGACGTCCTGCGAGACGGATGCTTTAGCCTTCGACGGCGGCGACAAGGACAACTATCTTCTTCTCGGTGAGTGTGAAGTTATCGAGACGTTCATACCAAGGGAGGCAGCGTTTATGGGGTTGTCGATGGCATCGGAATATCAGGGTGCGACAACGACGGTTTTCGACACAAGCAAAAGCGAGCAGCAAACTGAGAATTCGCGCACGTACATTGCCGCGTTTCAATCGGTCGATGACTGGTGTAAAATGGTGCAATTTGAAATTAAAAAAGATTCGAAAGAGTGCTATTATAAACCGCTCGCAGCGGGATATTACAGATCTTACGATGGGAGTGAGTCGACGTGCACGATAGGTAACGTAGCAACGGGATGGTTGTCTAGAAATTATAACGATCTGGCCACGGCGAGAAACGAGAACGGCTACGGAATTGAAACGATATCTTTCACGCACCCGTCGCCGCCGACGCCACCGACGCCGCCCCCGCCAGTATCCAATAGCCCACCCATAGGAGACTGTACGAGTGGATTTAGTGAAGTATTTGCAAGTGACGGCGGTACGGCGTTGTGCATGTACGCTTATGGTTCGAGCTCACTCTGCGCTACGAATGGCGCTGGTGAGAATGATGAAGTCTGTGCAAAGACGTATACCAGTGGCGATTTTCGTTATTCCCATAGTTGTCGCGTAAATGGGGCGTGGGACGAAGTATGCATCGCGAATCTGTGCCTTAGTTCAGAGCTTTGCACGGGCTACCAAAAGGATGTTACTGGCACAACTTATTGGTTACAGGGTGGAAGCGGGTCACAGGCATCATACTCAAATTCGGACTATAAGTGTTGTCGAAAGAACTTGCCTGGTTAAAATGGCAAGGCGAAGCGGCAACGACTGAGCAAAGCGGAATTATTGAGGGGAGTCTCATTCAAGAAACGCAAACGTGCGATAATATGTGGCGAGGCCCGATAGCATCATGCGTACAAAAGTAATGGAAAAAAACGCATATCCTTTTTTAGAAAAGAGAACTCTAGCCACCGCGCGCTGCCTCGAAAAGCTCGTCGATGATATCGCGCGCGCGCTTTTGACTTTCCATCTCGTCTACTTTTCTCGTCGTTCCGTGCTGCTGTTTTTCTGCGTTTTCGCACTGCGTCTTCATGCCATTCAACGCCGCTTCCGTGTTGGGATCTGCGCAGAAGAACGGTTTCAGAAGGATTTCCAAGTACTCCTTCGCCGCTAGGTAATATTTGGCGTGGAAATTCTTCGCCGAGGCGAATCGCAAACACCGACAAATCAGTTTCGGACTGAGCAGAAACTGTTGACTAAACCCGCCAAATACGCTCTCGTCTGCCATGTACGTGACCGTTGCTAACGTGCGAGCGAGTTTCGCGCACAAATCTACGTTTCCTTTGTTCTCTTCGCACTTTAAAATCAAAAACGCCGCGACTAAGTGCGTCTTTGCCTTTGCGAACGCGATATCTCCCGAGTGGTAATTATCGCGCAAAAGAACGCACGCGTTTTGGAAATCGCACAAAGCGCCGCGTAAATCGTTCAAATTAAATTTTACAATCCCAGATTGCACGAGTACCCTCGCGTGCGCGACTTGATCTTCGTTCGGGGGGGAGCGAGCTCTGTTCGCATTTCTAATTTCTAGTTTTCGAACGTCGTCGAACTCGTCGTCGATTTTAAACGGGTCGTTCTCCATGGACGATTCGAGTAAACACGACTCCGACACGTCTACTTCTTCTTCTTTTCTTTTGTTGTTGTTGTTATTGTTGTTTCTGTTACTACTACTGTCTGACTTGTTTGTTCTTTCTTTCGTCTTTACGGAATCAAACTCGAGCGGTTCCGCGACCTGTAAATCGCTCAATATCCCGCTCGGCGAACTCGCTTCTTCCACGAACGCGTATTTCCCGTATTTCTTCTTTGCCGTGTGCGTCAGCTCATCCACGTACTTTTCCTCTCGTTCGCTCTCTTCCTCGTGTCCTCTCGTTTCCTGCCACGCGTCGTTCCCGTGCGTGAGCCAACCTTCGTTTCTTTCCTCTTCGACTTTTTCTTCTTTTTCTTCTTTTTTTTCCTTTTTCTTTGACGAAGAAGAAGAAAAAGGAGTCGTCGCTTTGTTTGAGGAAAACCCGGGCGGTGGTTTCAAAGAAAACTTCTCGAACATTTCCCTCGTCGATTGAACCGTAGATCTTCCTTTTCCTTCCTCTTTCTCATCATCAGTCGCACCCGTTGCTGCTGCTGTTTTTTCCTCTTTTGGTCGAATCACGAATTTCAACTTCTTCACTCCTTTTTTCTCATCAGACGACGACTGATGAGATTGATGAGACGACCCCGACGCTTTCGATGTTTCTTCTTTTTCTCGACTTTGTTGAAACCGTTCGATGGGATTGAAGACCTCTTCCTCCTCGTCGTCGTCGTCGTCGTCCATCATTCCTTGTCTGTTGTTGTGAATATCTTTCTTTCTAACGACCAAACAAACTTCGTTTCGTGTGAAGAAGAAGAAGAAAGAAGAAGAAGAAGAGAAGAAGAGAGAGGAACTTTTTTCTTTCAGGAAGAGAGAGAGGAAAGAAAATTAGAGGAAAGAGGAGACCAAAAAAACTTTGTGTGTGTGTTGTTGAAGAAGAAGAGAAAATAAATTCAAAAAAGAAAAACTTTCGTTCCACTCTCTTCACTTCAACACACACAACTAACGTTCAAAATATTGTTGTTCCCTCTTCCGTATTCATTTTACACGAGAACAAGAACAACAGAGTACTAAGAATAAGAATACTAAGAATGACTGAAGTACCAACAAAAGTCGTCGCTTTTGAGAAGGAGAACGTCTCATCCAAAGGAGTTCCAAATCTTCCTTCTCCTCCTTCGCCTTTAGGAGACGAAATTCAAAATGATGAATTAGACGAAGAAGAAGAAGAAGAAGAAGAACGCGCAACGATTGAAGAAGCCGCGATCGAGAAGACGAAAGAACAAAACAACGATAAAGAAGAAGAAGAAGAAGAAGACTTTATTCGCATCAAACGAAGAGTTCGAGGGACCAACGAGAAGGAGGAAGAAGAAGAAGAAGTCATTGCTGATGCCGCTGATATTAAGAAGAAGACAAACGATAAAGAAGAAGAAAGAGAAGACGTCAACAACAACAACACCGTCGAAAAGTCGTTCAAAAAGAAGACTTTGAAACACAAATCTGGCGAAAGAGTAGAAAAAGTCGCGTCGAAGAAGAATACTAGTGGTCAAGGTGACGAAGAAAAAGCAGAAGAAGGAGACAAATTTGAATTTGAACTCGAAGAAGAAGAAGAAGAAGAAGAAGAAATGGAAGAGGACGACGACGAGGAACGAATCTTAGAGCGACGTTTCGCGGAAACAGGACGTCTGTCCGAAGATGAAGAGGAGGATGAAGAGTCTGAATCCGAGTTGAACTTTTCCTCCTCGGAGGAGGAGGAGAATGAGTCTTCGTCAGATTCCGAAGTGGAAGACAACGAAGGAGGTCGACGACGACGAGGAGGACGAAAAGCAACCAAAAAAGGAGGCGGTAAAAAGAAGAAAGCGATCGATCCGAACGATAAAGAAGCCGTCATGCGACAAAAGAAAGAAGAAGCCGACGAAGCGCACGAGAAGTTGATGCGTAAAACGGCAAAACACGTACATTTTCCGGGATACAGAGTCCAGGCGGAACGCACGTCTTTCCTACCGGTTATTGAAAAGTTGCAAAATAATTTACGAATGGTTGAGAACGATGAGAATTTACGGGCAAGGTACCCTCGACCTCCTCCGTCGCCGGAGAAGAAAGAGTTCCAAGCGGAAGAGGACGCTGAAGGCGCCGTTAATGATGGAGTGAATGAAGAAGTTTCGGAAGATGAAGGCGAAGACGGCGGGAAGGAGAAAACTAACTTTGACGAGATCGACGGCATGGATTTATTGAGCGAAGAGGAGGAAGAGGAAGAGGAGGAAATGATAGAGCTTGAAGAAGAGAGCGACTCGGACGATGAAGTTGCCGCGGCAGAATTCATCCGCAAATCTCTTTCCGCCAAGAAAACCATGAAAGTTGTCGTCAACGATCCGGCCCATGCCGAGGACAAAGACAACACCGCAAAGGAAAATCAAGACGACGAAGACGGAGACGAAGACGACGGTGAACTTTCCGAGGAAGAAGACATGACTGGAAAAGAAAGACGCGAACAAAGGAAGCTCGCGAGAAACTTCTACAAGGAGGATCGAAAGAATCAAAAGAAGGAGAGAAGGTCTAAGAAAGCAACCGAAGGCGTCGACGACGAAGCCGAAATGTCTGAAGATGGTGGTCACACCGACGATGATGACGAGGACGATATAGAAACCGCCCGCGCTGAAATCGACGAAATGGCTGATTTCGTTGATTTTAGAGAAGGTACTGCCTTAGATAACGATGAGAGAAGAAATGAAGCTCGACGGGACGCGCACGCGAAGAGAGAATTTCAAGAAGACGAAGAATACATAAAAAAAATGAAAGAGTTAGTAGAGAATGGATTCAAGAGACCGAAAAGGGGATTGAATGGCGAAGAAGACGATGACGGTAAATGGAAAACGAGAAGAACACAAGAGAGAGGAGATGATTCCGAGAGCGAGTCTGATTCTGATGACCTGCGCAACCTTCGACCCGAGGAAGCGGTTGAAGTTTCCGACGACGAGGACGAAGGCGCGAAAGCGTTTAAAGAAAGACAGGCCCAGCGATTTTCCATGAAGAAAGCTTCGGGGGGTGATACCCAAGAACCAAATGAGAACGAAGCGTTACCAGAAGTCGGCGAAGGTAAAGTATCGATGGAGGTTATGAAGTTGTTTGAGAAGGAGAAGAACAAAAAATCGACGAAGTACAACAATAAAGGCCAAGGGACCACTCAGAGTCAAACGATCGCGAGCGATCTCAGTAACAGAGGAGGAGGAGGAAGCGGTAGTGGACTCTCGCGAGGAAATTCTCAGTTTTCAAATCTAGGCGCCGCGCGAACATCGTCGACGAGTTTCTTAAAACGCAACGGAAGCTCAAAATCTCAGAGCGGTTTCGCGAAAGGTATCATCAGCGGTGGCGCTGCATCGAGAACATTCGTGTTTGGTAGCGCATTAGACAACTCAAACTCGCAATGGGCAACAACACAGAGAGAAACTGAAACGATGCCGTCTTCCTTAGGTAACAACTTGCTCGGAGGTGATGAAGCTCGAACGGGTTTCGGCGACGATGTTGCCAACAATAACATCAACTCAAGCGCGTCTGTGATGGAGAATAAAAAGAAGAGTTTGTTTTCCATGTTACAAAAGAGCACGAAAGATGAAGATTGGGAGAAGGACGACGACCAGGGACAGGGGATCAAAAGCGTGCTGGGAATGTAGGCGTAAAACGCGCGCACATGTAGAAGACATAGAGCAAACAACTACTCTCTGTTTATGTTATTGAAACTTTTGCGACAAATACGCGTTTATTACATCTTTAAGTGCTAGAATCTATATTTTATTTATATCTTTAGTTTTCCGCTCCGATGATTGGCTTAGCCATGTTCTCATCCTCCTTCGGCTCCTTAATGATAATGGTATCCGGAATCGGCGTCTTCGGACCCATTCTACCCTTCGGATCGTGATCAAGCATAATCTTCACCTTAATACCGACGACGCCTTGTCTCAACAAGACGTGTCTCGTCGAACTAACAATGTATTCGCGAACCGGGTTACCCGAAGAAATCATGTAACCATCCTTAAACTTCATAGCCTTGGCTCTTTGACCTCTCAATTTACCAGAGACGATGACCTCCGCGCCCTTTGCGCCGTTTTCCATGATGAATCTCAAGACGCCATAGCACGCTCTTCTGACTGCCAAGCCGCCCAGCAACTTGTATCGCAAAGACTCGCACTGCGAGATGGCGCACAAACCACGGTTGGCAACCTTTTCGGCGTACAACTCGACCGCGCCTTCGGCGAAACCAAATCTCTTTTGGACCAACGAAGTCAATTCACGGATTCTGCGACCCTTTTCACCGAGAACGTTTTGCGTTCTCGTCGCGCGAATGATGATTTCCATCTTCACCGGCGTCGATCGAACTTCAACTCCAGAGTAGCCATCCTCGGCGAGTTCACGAACGAGCATTTCGTTCAACTCGGCGAAGAAGACGCCATCGGCGACGAATTTACGCTTTTTAGAAATGTTGAGGGAAGACGCCTGCGTTGTCATTTAAAGAAAGAAAGAAGGAAAGAGTTTATCGTCGTTAGTATTCTTCTCTTCTCGTAGAGAAATTTTGCGTCTTTGGAAAGCCCTGTGTGATGTTCAAAACCATCTTTCTCGCTGAACGCGCGCGTAAAGTGCGTCAAGGTCTCTCCAAGCGAAGGCATCAAAGGCCTCGATGATTGCAATTCACGCGAACAAACTCGTGAATGATACGAAAATCTCGTCCGTGGATTGATTGCACCTTCGCACCGTGCGCTCGAGCTTGGTATTGACACCGGCAAGGCCCGCACATTTGCTCAAACGCACAGACACGAGAGAGGAGTTTCTCCCTCCAAATCGACCGCCCTAAAAAAATTCTCGCGGAACCTTCCGCTTTTGCGAGAGACGCGACCCGTGCAAAAGCCTCGCGCAGACGAATGCGAACGTAAACGAAACCGTATCATCCAAAACAACGGGAAGACGACGGAGGAAAAGTCAACGAGAATGAGACGCGTACCATTTTTTTATCTCGCTTGTTGTTTGCAAACAAATTTAATGAAGAAGAAAAAGGGAAGAAGTGTGAAATTGGACAAATGGGAAAAATCCAAAATTGGTAAAAAAAAAGAAGCACACAGCCAAAAGCAGAAAAGGAAAAAGAAAGAAAAGAAAGACCGTCGGCGTCATATCGATGTCACGTCAGTAGCAATAGTTTAAAGGTCAACAACAGTATTCTGAACCCCTGCGCAGAGGCTTTATTTGCTTTCATCACTCGCGACAAAAAGATGACTAAAATACGAGAACAAGGACGATATAAAACGAAACTTTCTCCCTCTCGTTCTCGCCAGAGGAAAGCTACTTTGCCTCCACCACAGCCAGTGGTACGAAACTATCATCAATAAGAATAACATACTAAGAATACACTCGCGCGGTCATGATCATCAATCACGCGCTCTCTGCGTTTTGCAAACTCAGATTGTTCACCAACTCCTTCAAAGAAACGACGTTATCTTTCAAATCTTCAATCTCTTCGTCTTTTTCTCCCAAAAGTTCCAAGACGACGTTGTACCTCTTTTCGATTTCCGTAAACTCTTCGCGAAGCTGAGCGTCGGCCAAATCTTTCAACGACGTTTGACCGTGCGATTGAAAGTAACTTTCGTCTTCGCTCAACAAATACGCCGTGAGCTCTTCGCTCAGAGCGTCTCTCGTGGCCTCCAATCGCTTTATTCTCGTGTTCGCGAGCTCTAACTGTTCCGTGCGAGCTTGAAGTTGTCTCTGCGCGTTTTCTAAAATTTGCTGAACTTGTAAAGACGCGCCTTCTCCAAAAGAAGAGAGAGAGTCAAACGTTATGGGAACGGTCCACATGGACGGTCCTCCTTTCCCGTTGGTTTTTTGGCTTTGTGCTGATGTTGACACTCTCTCGCCACTAGGGGCGATACCATCGCCGCCGGTGCCACCGCCACCGTGACCGCGCAATTCTGCCAACTTGATGTTTGCTTGACGTAATTTTTCTTCCAAACTTTTTACCGACTCCTCAAATCGGTCCCGTTCTTCGTTCAACGTGCGATCAATCTTTTCCACTTTTGCCCGTTCTTCGGCGAGAAGATTCCGTAACTGTTTCATTTGATCTTTTATTTCTTTTTCGCGCTCTTCTCGTTTAGCTTCTTTCTCGGCGATATTTTGCAACACGGATTTTTGCGCTTCCTTTTCCTCCTCGCGCTCCGTCTTCATCTCTTCGCACTCGTCTTGTATTTTTCTAATCTCTTCATCTTTCTGAGCAATCTTCATTTTATGCGATTTCAGATCGGCGTTAATCTTCTCGCACTTCTCCATCGCTTCGAGTTTCAGCGCCTTTTCTTCCTCGGTCGCACTTTCAGCCTGTTCGATTCTTGCGAACAACACCGCCTCGACTTCTCGCCATTCGTTTGTTTTCTCATCCATTAATTTCTCGTTACTTTCGATTTGTTTCAAGAGCGGTCGCGTGCTTTCGGGCATTTTTCTGGTCAACTCCTCCAACTTCTCCTCAGCTATTCTGCATCTCTCCTCGACTTCGATTAAATCTCGTTTCAATCGTTCCTCTTGCCGTTCGTATTGTACCGTGTTGCGCTTGAGCGCGTGCTCCAAATCTTTCTTCAGTTCTACGAGATTGAATTCTCTTTCTTTCGCCTCGGATAATTCTTGCTCTAACTTGGCTTTACCAGAGTTCGTGATGGATAAATCTGCGGTTTCTCTTCTCGCTTCCGCCAGTTTATCCGAAAAGTATTGATTCTTCTCCTCTAAATCCGTCGTCAACTCTCGATTGTTCATCTCGGCGACTTTCAAATTTTCTTGCACGCGAACGAATTCGTTGTTTCGCTCTTCCATCTCTTCGTCTTTTTCTCGTAACGTAGCTTTCAACTTTTTAATCGTCCCTTCCATTTCTGATTGTTTCTTGCTCAACACTTCGCCTTCTTTCATGACCTCGTCGATAATTTTATCCTTCTCTTTCACTACATCCGAAACCGCTCTATTTTTCTCTAAAGATTTCTTCAATGTGTCTCGCTCTTTCGTCAACGCGAGGACTTTCCGCTCAGCTTGAGCGACGCGATCTTTCATCTCTTGTTCGAGTTTTAAAGCCTCGCTTTCGTCTTGTCTTTTCAATTCCGCGTCGGCTTCGTTTTTTCTTTGCAAAGTTTCCTCTCGAGACGCGAGCGCTTGTTTCGTCGTTTCGAGTTCTTTCGATTGTTCGAGATGTTTCGCTTTCAACGTCTCGAGCTCTCTCAGAAGCTCCGCAGTTGCATCGTTACTTTCGTCGTCGTTTGCTCCTTTCTCTACTGCTGCTATTTTTGTTGGTGTTGTTGGTGTTGTTTTTGTTGTTGCCGCTGCTGTTGCTATTGTTGTTCCTTTAGTGCTATTACTAGTAGAAGCGTTGGCATCAGATTCGCTCGTCGATTTTTGTGGTGGTGGTGGCGGTGATGGTGACGATGACGCCGGCGCTACTTGCGCCGCTGGTTTCTGCTTCGCGTCGGGAACCGCCGGCGAAGCTTTCTTCTTCTTCTTCTTCTTCTCGTTTTCTTCCTTCTCTTTTTGAGCAGCGGCTGTTGCTGCTGCTGCTGCTGTTGCTGCGGCGACGGCGGCGCGCTCGCGTTCGCGTTTTTCTTCTTCTTCTTCTTGTTCCTTCTTCTTTTTCTTCTCTCTCTCCTTCTTCTTCTTCTCTTCTTCTTCTTCTTCTTCTTTCCTCTTTTTCTCTGCTTTTGCCTTCTCTAGTTTCTTCCTCGCTTCTTCTTTCTGTCTCGTCGCGTTCGCTGCCGCTTTCTCTTTTACGACGAGTTCCTCCTCGTTCATTGATAAACTCTCTTCCTGCAAGTTAAAATCATCATCGCGAGAGAGATGATTCATCCTTTCCGCTTCCATGACTGTATTCTTCACGGCCTCGTCCGTCATTCCTTTCATCTGCGAATACGCCTCGTCTGCTTTCGTTTCCAACTCTTTCACCACGTTGGAGATGGAATCGGAGAGCGAGGCGAAGTGGAAGTCTGCTGAAGTCGGGAGAGAAATCGACGGAAGCGAGAATCCCCATCCCGTGGAATCACTTTCTTCTTCTTGTTGTTCTTCTTCTTCTTTTAATTCTTCTTCTTTTAATTCTTTTAATTCTTCTTTCTTCTTAGTAGTAGGAGTAGGAGTAGGAGTCTCGCTCATCTTCTTCTTCTTTTGTCTCCTCTAGAGAAGAGAGAAGAACAAGAAGAGAGAAGAGAGACTTATGTGTTGTTTCACTCAGACAGAAGAAAGTGAAAGTTTAGAGTGAAGAGAGAAAAGAAAAGAAAAAAAAGAAAAAAAAGAGAAAAAATTTGTCTCGTGTGTCCCTTTCGTACAAAATATCAAATTTCATTCCTCATAGGAGAGAGAGAGAGAGAGCGAGAGAGAGTGAGTGATGATGATGATGATGATGATGAGAGAATGAGGACGGAAGACCAAAACCAGAAGAGAGAACGGGGCGACGATGATGTTGAGAACAACAACAACAACAAAATCAAAACTGTCTTCTCCAGAGTGCACGTGTACGATAACGAGAACAAAAGACGCATCCAAAACGATTGGGGAAGAGACCCGTTTTTTTGGGCGACGCCGAAAGTGTTCGCGAAAGAAATTTTAAACGCGCGAGCGGTGGAGAATACGAACGAAAGCGTTTGGGAGATTGAAGATAGAAGAATAGTGGGTGGTGCAAAGCATAGAAACAGTGATGATGATGATGATGAAAAGAAGAAGAAGACCAAAAGAATCATCAGGAGAATACGAAAGTGCGAACTGTGCGGCGTTATCGTCGAGTTTACCACGAGGAAAGATTCCAAGATATTTCTCTCTTTAGACGATGGGACCGGAGTCATCGAGTGCGTGATTTGGGCGCCTTCGACGATAACCTCTTCCGAGGATAATAATACTTCGTTCGGTTTCGTGGACGAGGAAGAGGAGAACTATTATACTCTCAACCAAGTGGAACGAGACCCGTTTGGGAGGATGGTCGCCGACGACGGCGTGTTACTTCTTCACGGAAAACTTCGTCTCGGCGAAACCGTGTTCGTCCAAGGCAGAGTGAGTCTGTATAACGGGAAGAAACAGATAGTCGTAAACTCGATGCAGATGATATGCGAGAGAGAAGGGTTGGCGAGAGAGAGGGATTTAGAGACTCTGTTTTGGTTAGACGTGGTCGAGCAAAGGATGGATAAAGGATATTAGATTGTTAGATATATTAGATTCGATGTAAAAATGTATATAAAATTTTAGCTTGTTCGAGATTTTTGACTCTTTCCCAAATTTTTTTCTCCTCTTCCTTCCTTCCTTTTTTCAGCTCCAAAAACACACAAAAGGAAGGCGCTTGATGAAAATTCGCCATATTTAGAGAGAGAGAATAGAGATAAAAAATGGTGACTCCTTTGGTGAAAACGACCAAGATCAAGAAGAAACCCAACGGGTTCACGCGTTATCAATCCGATACCGCGAAGAGAGTTTCGGTACGTCTCTTTTACTCGCGCATTACGACGACTCTCGTGGTCGAATTTCTTCCGCGAAAAAGAAATGTGGAGACGGAGAGAGGTCTTTTTATCTGTGGGGAGGAGAAGCGCGCGTTTGCGACGCGTAAAAGAGGGATATCGAGACGTAAACGCATGAAATGAATGTTTTTGCGTTCATTTTAATCGTCATCTCGAGATGTTGTGCATGCGTGCCCCCCTCTTTTACGCATTCAAAGCGCGCGATTTTCCCTCCCTTTTTCGAGTCCGCGAAGCCCTTTGTCCTCGTGGAGTAAAAGTCTTTCTCAAAATCGTTCGTTTTAAAACAAATTTTCACTCCTCGCAAACTAACCTCGATCATCCTTCTCTCTTTCAACAACAACAGACGTCATGGAGACGACCGAAAGGTATTGATTCTCGCTTCAGACGTAAATTTAAAGGTTTGCCGTACATGCCGAACGTCGGCTACGGTACCGCCAAGAAAGCCAAACACGTCTTGCCGAATGGCTTCTTGAAGTTTGTCGTCAAGAACGTCAAGGACTTGGACCTCTTGTTGATGCACAACAGAAAATACTGCGCGGAAATTGCCCACAACGTCTCTGCGTTGAAGAGAAAAGCTATCGTCGAGAGAGCGGCGCAATTGAACGTCTGCGTAGTGAACAAGGACGCGCGCTTGCGCTCCGAAGAAGACGAATAAATGTGTTCGTTCTTCTTCGAGATGTAGATTTTTTGTAGTAGAAGCTTAGTAAAACAGAGAGAGAGAGAGAATAAGAGAGAGAGAGAGAATAGAGAGAGAGAGAGAGAGAGAGAGTTGTGTTTTGTAATATGTATGTTATATATCACGACGCGACGAGTGACGATGAAATATAATTTAACTCGCTTATATCGCTTATAAAATTTTCGTTTTCTTTTCACGCACTCAAAGTTTTGTTGGTAAATTATATTCTAATATTCCTCATTACGACAGTAAATGTTCTTCGGCAGTCGCGCGAAAGGAGGAAGACCTGTGACAGAAGATGAACGCGCAAAAGTTTTGGAGGAGGAGAAATACCCCACGCTCGATGAGCTGAGAGACTCGACGGCGATCGAGTCGACGAACAGTTTAGACTTGGTTGGTTTGAAACAATTGAAACAAGAAGAAGAAGAAGAAGAAGAAGAGAAGTCGTTGCCGTTGAGGAAGAAGAGGACGATTTTAGAGGAGTGCGCGGAGAGTATCTTGAACGAAGCGCGCAATCATAGCGACGGCCAAGAGACGAACGAGGAGGTTCCTGAACCGCAAATCGTGTATCACGTGAAGAGACTGGCCGAGTTAGCCAGCAGAAGTGCCAGAAGTGATGATGGCGAAGACGACTTTTTGCGAGACGGCGACGGCGGCGTTCGGAACCAAGAAAATAAAGGCAACCACAACCACCGCCACCAAGAAGAAGATAAGAATTTCAACGGAATTCAAACGAACGAGGAAGCTGATATCGTCATGACGGTATTCGAAACGATCGCGGAGAGAGAATCGGCGCTGTTGAGAGAAACGTGCGCGGAAAGTTTGGGTTTACTCTCTCGGGCGTTTCTCGCCGTCGATTCGATTTACGAAGAAAAGCTATTGGAAATTGCGTTTGTTCTGTTGGAAGACGACGATCCAGACGTCGTCAAAAAGACGGAGGAACAGTTTTCGGTTATTTGCGAAAACATAACGAGAGATTCCATCGATAGAATGCTTATACCGCACGTGATTAACGTGATGTTTAAAGAGAATGACGAACAGCTGCGAATATCTTCCTTGAACGTCATGAAGAATATTTTGGTCGGGTCAGGAAATAGTACTACGTTCGTTGAACATTGTTACCATGGAACAAATAGTATTGGCGAAAAGGATTTGGAAACGATGGATGAGATGATTGGGTGCTTCTCGAGCGCTTCGCAGGATAAAAGTTATCGCGTGCGAGAGACGTTTATTCAAAACGCAGTGGAAGTAGCCCCACGATTAAGAGAGATAACACTGACGGTGGACGCCTCGAAAATGGCCGCAATAGAGACGCACTTAAGAGCTTTAATCGATGGATTCGTCTTGTTGTGTGAGGATGAAAACTGGGCCGTTCGCTTCAACTGCGTGAAATCGCTCCACGCGTTGGCGAAAATTTCCTCCTGGGACTCGGTCGTCGTCGACAAAAAATCTGCGGGTACCGATATCAGTACCGATAAAGTGTTGGACTTGTTCGATAAGCTTTCCAACGACGTTTCTAAGAAAGTTCAGCTATTGACGTCGTGCGAGCTTGGTAACGTCCTCGCTTCTTTGCTACCCGGAGATGTCAACGATGCAAAACTTTCTGGAATGATTCAGAAATATTGCGATACGGTTCGAGAAGTGAGCACGAATCGTAGCGGTGCAAACGCGAAAGATGATGATATTGAACAGATTCGGATAAGCTGCGCGAGTTATTTTGGTGCCATGTGCGAAAAGTTAGCTCCGATTGGGAAGTGGGACGACATTGTTGAAGCGTTTAGATTACTTTCGTCGCCGCCACCGCCGCCGCCGCCTTCAGCCATCGACGGACACGCTAACCATAGTGATCCGAACTGGCTGTTGAATTCAAACGCTCACAAAGCGAGACTTGAAATTGCAAAGTCGCTGGAAACAATCGTAAACTCACTTCCTGGTGATATCGTGGTCAGGGATATCTGCCCTATCGTGGAAGCAACGTTTCTGAATGATCTCAACGACGAGGTGAAAATTGTAACCATCTCGCAGTTACATTACCTCCTTCAAAAAAAGTGTTCGGCGATGATGAAGAATGAAGGTACTTCTGACGAAAATAAAAATGCGTCTTCTCCTCCTCCACCTTCTTCTGGACGTTCTGTGCCGATTGTGAACCTCTTATCTTCGCTCGCGGAAGATTCCAGCGCTTACGTTTCCCTTTCTCCTTTAAAGTCTAGGAAACCGGCGGCGGCGGCGGATTCCGTGGGAAGTTGGAGAGTTCGACTCGAATTGGCTTCCTCGTTGGGGAACATCTCGAACAACATGCCGATGCAACCACGACCGTCTTCTCTTCTGTCCATATCTTTGAAGCTCTTGAAAGACCCAGTGCATGACGTGAGGAAAGCCGCGAGCTCGATGGATTCGTTTTATTACGTGTTCAAGAACAGTTTAACGCTTCTGTTTTCAGAACCGCCGACGTGGTCTTCGTCCAGTCGCGCTGAATATAAAGACGCTTCAAATGCAATCGAAAGCGTTATTAAAATGGCATCGAGTAAGATTTGGACGGAACGCAGAACGTTCGCAGAGTGTTCTGGACGCGCGCTACTCGCTTTAGGCGAGCAAGAGGAGAGAATACAAAAGCAAGACAAGAAACTTCTTCAAATGCAAAACACGTTACTGACGAAACTGTGCTTTCTCGTGGCATCCGATGCGGTTTCGAGCGTTCGCTTAGCCGCATTAGAGGCGTTGGTAGAATTGATTTCCAAAGATAACTCTATAGCGAGCGATGCGATCGTTCTCTCGGCGCTCGAAAGCGATAGAAATGAGGATAGCGTTGGGTTGAACGCCATCGAAGTGGAAGCTCGAGAGCGATTGTCAAACGTGATTAACGAAGTGAGCTTTTCGAAAATAACCGTCTCTTCGTGACTCGACGCGAATCAAATATAAATTAGAACGACGACATGTATACTACTGGTACTACTAGTACTATCAAACACTAGATAGAAGAAAAAGAGATTAGCGCGGCTGCTGTATATACTTTGTACTTATCATAAACGGAGTACTACTCTAAATATATAAAACAAAACAACTCTCTCTCTCTCTCTCTCTCTCTCTTTCTCTCTTCTTTACTGATACACGCCCACCTCCGCCGCTCTCACTACTCGATCGTGTAATCTATACCCAGCTTTTGTTACCACAGCAACTGACCCGGGCTCTTTTTTCGTTTCCCCGACTGGAACGTTGAACAACGCCATGTGCTCGTTCGCATCGAACGGTTCGTCCACTGGATCGAATTTTACCAATCCGTTCTTCTTAAATCCGCTACTCAGTTGTCTTTGCGTCAACTCCACGCCTTCTTTAAAACTTCGCAAAAGAGTTTCCAATTTACCCGCGTCGTTCTTTGCCTCTGCGATGATCTCTTCCGTCACCGTCGCGCACGCTCGGTCCATATTATCCGCCACGTCTAATAAATCTTTCGCGAAGCCTTGCACCGCAAACTTCTTCGCGTCTTCGTTCTGTCTCTGCGTTCGCGTCCGTAAGTTTTCCATATCCGCTAATGTTCTCAAATGTCTTTCGTTTAATTCGACGATTAAAGCGTCTTTCTCTGCCATTTCGTTTTGTTCTTGTTCGTTTTGTTCTTCTTCTTGTTCTTTTCCTCCTCCTGTCGCTCCATCTCCTTCCGCGGTTGCTGCTTTTTTTTCTTGGCTGTTGTTTTTTCCGCCGTCGTCATCTCCTTTCGGCTGCTGCTGCTGCTCTCGCTCTCCCTCTTTTTGGGTATTTCGAGCGAGAGAAGTCGTGCTCACGCATCTGCTGCTGGTATTCTTTCCTCGCGAGGCGAACGACGAGATGAACAGACGAGATGATGATGATGGAGCGTCGTTGTTCATCATCCTTCTCGATAATAAAGACGAAAAAGAAGAAGAAGAAGAAGAAGTGAAATTCGATCGATTGGAAAAAGAGGCAACATCTCCTGCGCCTCCTCTTCCTCCTCCTCTACTTCCTCCTCCTCCTCGCGATACCAACGATGATGATGATGATATCGACGACGATGATGATGATGATGATGAGAGGAACTGTCTCATCATCATCGATATCATCTTGGACTTCTGTCTTATTCGTTGTTGTTGTTGTTTTATCATCATCATCGTCGTCGTCGTCGTCATCCGAAGAGAATTCTTTTTCTTTGTTTTCGTGTGTCTTTTTTGTGTGTTGTTTTTTTGCCGAAGAACTCTCCTCTCCCTTTTTCCTCTTTAAATAATAATCGATTATTGTGTCTCGATTCTAAAACCCAAAAAAGTCAAAAAATTTTGAATCCACCCCCAGTTCCAAGTTCCAACAACAAAACAAACGACACAACAACGAAACAAACCTTCCCTTTGAAACTCCTTTCGTGTCCGCCGTCGTCATCTCCTTTCGGCTGCTGCTGCTCTCGCTCTCCCTCTTTTTGGGTATTTCGAGACAAACAGACTTTTGGGGGGACCGACCACCAATAATAGAATAATGAGCGGCAGATTAGACTCCTCCTCTTCTTTAACTTCGTCGTCGTCAAAAGTGAATAACTATTGGACGTTCACTGTGCTCCTCGTGTTCGTGTTGTTTCTCGTCGACGGGTTCAACACCAAGACAGATTTTAACGTTGGAAGATATCAACAAAAGAAGGAGACAGAAGTCGTAAACAACGAGTTTGGCGGTATTGGTGCTGTGAGTGCTCCTGATGATGAAAATTTAAGTGAAAAAGAAGTAATAGGAATAACAAGTTTCGATATCGCGAAAATAGAACAATCCGACTTGATGCCAAACCCGGAGAAGTTAAAGTTTATCGTCGTCGAAAACTTAATCGAACGAGAGAAATTACGAGAAATCTTGAACGATTTCCCTCCCGCGCTCGACTCGACGACGTTGGCGAATAAGAAAAACGTGGAGAAGAAAGACGTTTTAAAGACTGGACAGGTGAAAGGGACGTACGCGGAGCTGTTGAAAGATGTCGAGAGCGATGCTTTCAGAGACGCGGTTGGTGCAAAACTAGGGATTAACTTGAAAGGATGGCACAACCGCGTGACGTTAAGAGGAGCATGCGAACCGAATCCCTGCGGCGGCATGGACAGCATTCACGTCGATCACAAAGCAAAAGCAGTTTCGGTTCTGATTTACTTGAACGAGGAGACGCTGGACGAGACCGACTACCACGGCGGCGATTTACTCTTTTTGAGAAATAAAAAGAGTCTGGACGACGCCAATATTGTCGCTCGCGTTCCTTCTTTCGGCGGCACCATGGTTGCGTTTCGAAACTATAGAAACGTGAAAGGGCAGAAAGAAGCCATCCACGGTTTGCGGCCGTTCACTGGGAAACGAAGAGCGGTGCAAGTGAATTGGTGCAAGAGTAAAACCTGTCAGTAGTTTTGTTGAAAACTTTTTAGTATAACATTCGTAGTAGTATAGTATTCGTAGTAGTAGTAGTAGTAGTAGTAGTAAGTATTCAGTAATAGTTTTGTGTGTCAAGTGTGTGATTTTACGAGTCATGAGTTTTTTGCTCGTTTTTTTTCTCTTTTTTCGTCAAAAGTTCTAATTTTTAATACGAACATATAACAACAACAACTTCGTATTAGTATTCGACTATAATAATACTAAGAGAAAAAGAAGAAAGAAGAAAGAAATGACGACTCTGGCGGAGAGTTTTCTGGCAGATTTGGACGATTTATCCGACGACGACGAAGGAGAAGGAGAAGAAGAAGAAGAATTACGAGATGAAAAATCTCATTTGAAGGACGAGGAGGAGAAATTCGCCGTCAAATCATCATCATCAACAGCGAACAAAAGAAGTAAAAGTAATACTAAAGAAGAAGAAGAAAACGACCTAACAGCAAAAGCAACTGCTCAGAACAACAACAACAAGAGTAATAATAACGTCAACGCGTTAGAAAAGTGCACGAAACTGTTAAACACGGAACGGTACAAAAGAACGGTGGGAGAAGTCACTCTCAAGAAAGAAGATTCAAAGGACGAAGAAGAAGAAGCAGAAAACAATACTACTAATTTGTACGCGTTGATTTTAGATTGCAACGCGTTAACCGTAGACATCGACGACACGATCGTCTTCGTTCATAATTACATCAAAGATAAGTACAAGAAGAAGTTCCCGGAGTTGGAATCGTTGGTGCCGCATCCGATCGATTACGCCAGAGTCGTACAAAAAATAGCAAACGAGATGGATATCATGCGAGTAGATTTGGAATCGGTATTACCGTCGGCAACAATTATGGTCGTCACCGTGACCGGTTCGACCACGGACGGGAAGGAGTTGAGCGATGCGGACTTGGATTTGACATTAGAAGCGTGCGAACGGTTGTTGAAGTTGGACGACGACAAGACGAAACTGTTCAAGTTTGTCGAGAAAAACATGGAGAAGACGGCGCCGAATTTATCGCAAGTTTTGGGAACAGACGTCGCGGCTCGAGTCATGGGATTAGCCGGAGGGTTAGAGCTTCTTTCGAAAATGCCCTCGAACGTCGTGCAAAACATAGGAAACGGGAAGAAGAAAAATACCGCCGGTTCGTCTTTACAAGTGCTTCAGAAATCTGGCGACGTAAACGTCGGCTTCATTTTTCAATGCGATTTGATTCAAAAGAAAACGCCGCCGCCGTTGAGAGTAAAAGCAGTGCGATTGATTGCCGGTAAGTGCACTTTAATGGCCAGAGTTGACGCGTTCGGCCAAGACCCGACGGGCGAAACCGGGAAGAAAATGTACGCAGATATCGAACAGAAAATTGAAAAATGGCAAGAACCTCCGCCGGCGCGCACGGAGAAACCGCTCCCGGCGCCGGGGATGATTCAAAAGAAACGCAGAGGCGGTAAACGCATGCGCGCGATGAAAGAACGATACGGAATGTCTGACATGCGAAAACAAGCCAACCGCGTTGGCTTTAACGTCGCCGAAGACGAAATCGGTTACGAAGGCGAAGGTTTAGGCTTGCTCGGCAAAAGCGCCGGCGCCGCCGCGGCGAACGGTAAGCTCAGATTCCAAGAGAAGAAGACAAAGATCGGTAAATACGCGCAGAAAGGATACAAAGGTGGCATGGGCAGTGGGTTAGCTACTTCCGACGCTTTATCTGGCATGAGTTCTTCCTTGGCGTTTACGCCTATCCAAGGCATCGAGTTGGTCAATCCAAACGCGGAAAAGGAAAGCCGAGACAGTCAAAGCGGCACCGACTCGGTTTTCAACGATAAAAGAGGGTTCTTTGCCACTCAGAATATTAAGAAGTAGTAGACAAAGAAGAAGAATAGAAGAATAGCGTGTAGGTATTTAGTTAGAGAGATTTTCTTCTGTGAATAATAGTAAATAAAATAGATAAAAGATTAGACGTTTCGTATGATTCTCCAAAAAAAAAATCTCCTCACCTCTTCTTCATAAGTAAGTGTCTTCTCTTCATAAAGAAGTTCCATCATCAAAACTACTTTAACACACATATGATTATGTTTGCCACTTCCTCTCCCGCTTTGTCTTCTTCTCGGTCTTCTTCTCGGTCTTCTTTGAGGAAGACCAATACTAGTATTATGTATACGAAGAAGACAAAGATTTCGTCGTCGTCGTCCCAAAAACAAAAACAAAGAAGAAACGTCGTCGTCGTTTTAGCTGAAGCAGCGGAAAGCAACAACGACAACAACTCAAACAACGAGGAAAAACAGTGCACTGGGGGATCGTGCGATTCGTGCGGAGTAGCGAGAGAGAAAATGCAATGCGATGGAACCGGGAGAATTCAAGGCGGATTAGCTGCCATTCCGTTGTTCTCTTGGTGGCCTATTAAAGCGTACAGGCCGTGTCCAGGCCTCATCGAAAGCGGAGGGACGTACACGAGGAAAGGACAAGACGTGGATTCCATCTTATGGGGCGAGAACGGGAGAGATTAGACAACGACGAAGGTTTTGATCATGTGTATACTACTATCTACGTATTCTATGACTAACTGCTACTCCTACTCCTACTCCTACCGTATATGCGCGCCGCCGCTCGTAATAACTCGATGATACATTTTTCAATCATCATTCTCGAATCGCCATCGAAGAAGACGAATCTATCGCCGTCGTCCCTAACATTCTCGCCCCGTCGTCGTTATCGTCATTATCGTTGTATTCATCGTCTTCTTCTTCAACAATCAACTGCGTAAAGTTGTTGCTAAATTGAGAGCCAATGGCTAAGTTTTGTGTCATTTCTTCTCCGCACGCTTGCAGTTCCGCGCCGTCTAAAGATTCTTCCAGAACCAAACCGTGCGTTTCCGGAACTAAAGTACACGTCAACACCGCTAACAAGGCGAAGAGCGCCAAGACGATCGAAGGAAGTTCCGGAGAAATCACGCGCAAGAACAACACTTGCGGCGCACTGATTGAACCGATGCGTCCAATCATCGAACACGACCCCAACGCCGCCGATCGAACGATAGTCGGGAACAACTCCGTGGTGTATAAATACACGACGTTGAAGGAACCGCTAATGCCGAATCGACCGACTAAAGCGAAGAATATCCTCTGTTTTCCTTTCAAGAAACCGCTGATAAAGGCACCGAACCCGCTTAAACTCATCAACGACATCAACGTCGTGCGTCTTCCGATGATATCCACCGCGAACTGCGCCGCGATGTGCGATGGGATCTCCACCAACCCGCTCAAGAAATTGTTCATATAAATCGATCCGGCTAAATTTCCAACGTTTAAGGATATCCCGTAATAGATTAAACCGTTGCACGCGAACACAAACGCCATGCACATCAATCTTAACTTTAACTTCTTGTGCGGGAAAATCGCGGACACGTTCACATTTTCCGTCTTTTCCGGTTCCTTCAAATCTGGGAGTCGTTCAAACGTCAAGCGTCCGTTTTTCTTCGCCAAAAACTCCAAGACCTCTTTCGCCTCGTTCGGTTTCCCGTTCGCTAACAACCATCGGGGACTTTCTTTAAGAAAGGAAAACGTGAAAAAGACGTACCCGCACCCTAATAACGCGCAGAAAAACGAATACATTCGCCAACTCTCTCGCATCAAGTATCCGAAAAACGACATCGAACAAATCCCGAGCGCCCACCAGTATTGCGTCCCGATGCCCATGATGCCTTTCCAGGAAATCCCCAACGGTTCCGTGCACAATACGAACGACGCGACGCCAATACCTCCGACACCAAATCCACCTATGAATACAGCCACGAAATATTGAGAATACGAATACGATATGGAGGCTAACCCGGCACCTAGAGATGAAATCAACACCGCGGCGTACACTCCCGTTCGTCTTCCTTTCACGTCCGAGAGTTGTCCGAGTAAACCGGCGCCGAAGAAAAAACCGACGAAGAACATGGACGACGCCAGTTGTACTTTATACTCCTCTTTACATATTAAGTTAAACTCCGAAACGATCGATTGTTTCTTGTTCGTCCATTTCCATACTATTATTTCTTCTGTGTTGTTCTTCTTGTTCTCCTCGTAATATTCATTCAACGAACACAACACGGACAAGTCGTCCTCTATTCTTTTCGCTTTCTGCTCTGTGCAGTACGAGTAAAAGATATCGTCGTTTTCATCGTCATCGTTCACGCACTCCCACTCGGGCGTTCTTTGGGTGAACACCGAGACCAGGGTCAAAAACGCCGCCGGTAACCACGCCGAGGAACTCAATAAAAACTGTTTCAATTGTCCTCGTCCAATTTGTCCGACGTACGACGCGAACGCTTCGTCTACGGTTATTTTAGATGTATTCGATGTAGTATTCGTAGTGTTGATATCGTCGTCGTCGTCGTCTGGATACTCGTCGTCGTCTAAACCGTCATTCATCATCGTACTCTTAACAACAACAACAACAACAACAACAACAACTGTAGTGATGATGATGATGATGATGAGAGGAGCACAAGAAGGACGATATGGATGAGTTTACAAGAAGAGGAAGGAGTTTTGAAGAAAAAAGTTTTGAAGAAAAAAGTGGTGCACAAAATGGAAAAAAAGAGGAGAAGAGAAAAATTGAGAAAAATCTCATCAACCTTTTTCTTTCGACAGTTCGACCAGAAAAAAACAACAAAAAACAACAAAAAAGAACAACAACAACAACTGAAAACAATTATTTCACACAACAACAACAACAACAACAACAACAACAACTTAAAACAATGCTCAGCAAGAGCACAAGACGCGCTGCTTTGAAGAGTGGTGGTGGTGATATTGGGAAATTCAGTCACGCATTAAGAAGCGTTACTCTTTTTCTCGTCGGGGCCGACACTACTTTTGGTTCTTCTTCTTCTTTAACTTCTTCTTCTTCTTTGGGTAGTTGCAAATATTCGTCGTCGTCACAAAATCATTATTCGACGACGAGAAATATCGGAGGAGGAGGTTTAAGAAAAGGTGTGCTCGGGGGAACAACAACAACGAACTTTTCTCCTTCTTCCTTCTTGAATCATCATCATCGGAATTACAACAACAACAACAACAACAACAACAACAACAACAACAGGAGCAGAGGAGAAAAAAGACGACAATTCTCCACGAAAGTGACTTTACCAGATTTACCGTACGATTTCTCCGCGTTAGAACCCATCATCGACGCGCAAATCATGGAGATTCATCACTCGAAACATCACAACACGTACGTGACCAATCTGAACGTGACTTTGGAGAAACTCGCCGAGGCTGAAGCGAAGAACGACGTCGCCGCCATGATCGCGTTGCAACCAAACTTGAAATTTAACGGAGGCGGACACGAAAATCACTCCTTGTTTTGGAAAGTCTTACAACCGAAGAAGGAGTATTCCGACCCGTCTGGCGAGTTGAAACGAATGATCGAAAGAGACTTTGGCTCGTTCGAGAACATGAAGCAAAAATTCGCGTCCCAAACGGTGGCGGTGCAAGGCAGCGGATGGGGCTGGCTCGGTCTCAATAAAGAGACGAAAACGTTGCACGTGGTGACAACCGCAAACCAAGATCCGTGCATAACGACTGGTTTGGTGCCTGTTTTCGGCGTGGACGTTTGGGAACACGCGTATTACTTGCAATACAAAAACTTGCGTCCGGATTACGTTAACAAAGTCTGGGAAATCGTAAACTGGAAACAAGTCGAAGAGAATTTGGTCAAAGCTTTGATGTAATGTACTAATAACATAGTATTACTTCGTTTTTGTTGTGTTCTTCTTAGGTTGTTGTTCTTCTTTATTATGAGCTACTCGTATTATTGCTATCTCTTCTATTTCTGGCTATTATTATAGTTTTATTGAGTTCTCTCCTCAAATCATTCCATCATCATCGCGTCGTCGTTCCCGTCGTCCTGGTCTTCTCCTTTTCCATCTTCCTCTTCTTCTTCTATTAAAATGTCCTCTTCTCCACCGTCATTTTCGTCGTCGTCGTCGCACGTTAAGTCCATGATTACTTTCACGCACTCCTGTCGATCGTTGTGCATGGCTTCGTCCATCGGCGTTCGTCCGTTCTTGTTCACTTTGAACGCCAGCGTTTTCCCTCCTTTTTGCAAGAGAAATTTCACAACCTCTTGGTGTCCGTTCAAGCACGCCCAGTGTAAGCACGTGGACTCGTCCGTGTTCGTCGTTTTCATTATATTTGCGTTAAATTCGTTCACGAGGACTTCTACTGCGTCTGTGTGTCCGTTCGCGCAGGCATAAAACAAGGCCGTTCTGCCGTTCTCGTCTTGAAAGTTTACGAAATTATTTACTTGAGTATTCTTTTCCTCGTCGTCGTCAACTTTTCTTCCAAAATTCGAGACAATACCATGATTAAGAATAGTTTTGATATCTTCCACGTCTCCGTATCGCGCGGAGGAGAATAACGCATCGATGAATTCTTTCTTTTCTTCTTCTTCTTCTTCTTCTTTTTCCTTTGTTGTTGTTGTAAAGGACGACGACATCTTAGTGGTTTTGGTGTTAATCCGTTGTTCTTAAACAAACTTGTTGTTGTTGTTGTTGTGAATCAAAGTTGTTCTTTCTTCTTCAGTTGTGTTTGTTTGTTGTTCAGACAGAAGAACTGTTTTTTGTCACTTTTTGAAGCTTCTATCGCGAGAGGACATTTTGTCTTCTTTTTCATTAAAAACTTTTTTTTGTTCTTCTCACACGAGACTCGCATCACAACTTTCTCGTCACATTCATCTTTTTTCACAAAATCAACATCATCTCTCATGTTGTACAAAACACTAATAAAAGACTAGTAGTAAACGACGACAAAAAACGACTTAAATCCTCAAATAACCAAACGCCTCCTTTTGAGGAGAACTTTGTAAACGATGATTTTGTGATTTTGTGGTCGATGCAATACTACTCTACTACGTAATACTACTCTCGTAATAATAAAATGACAAATTTCAGAAGCGGATTCTCGTTGCTCTTTTTAGCGCAAGTGCTCTCGAAACTTCTACCGTTTCTGTTCAACTCAGTGTTCGTGTACAGGACAATTTCATCCACGGATGGCGTTGGAGACACTTTAGTGATGTTTCCGCTGGTGTATGCGTTCGTTTTATCAATCAGAGATGGTTTACGAAGGAGTTTATTACGAAGAACTTTTAGAGAGGAAGGAGAATCAGAAGATGATGAAGAAAACGAACGTGCGTTTCGAGTGGCCACGAGATACGTAAAGCGATACGTCGTATTCGTTTTGGTTCTTTTAATGGTACCGCTGCTACTCCTGCTACTGTTTTTTCCTTCTTCTTCTTCTTCTTCCGCGAATATGAAGGCTTCATACCGAATATCTCTCGTCTCTTGCGTCTGCGCCGCCTTGATCGAGTTAACGAGCGAACCGCACTACGTTTGGTTACAAAAGAAGCAACTCTTTGGATCGCGAGTGATGGCGGAAACTGTTGGGACATTTGCAAGGACCGCGGTTCTGTTTTACCACCTGTCGTCCTCACATATAGATTATTCGACAATACTAAGTAAAGAGAAGAGGAAGACGAACGTGTTGTTCGCGTTTGCGTTCGCGCAAGTCGGACAGAGTTGCGCGACGAGCGCGGTGTACGCTGCGAGTTATTATCTGTATCGAAAACGCGACGATGATGTGAGAAAGAAACAGAAGAAGCGGAGAAAAGGTACAAAAACGACCACCGATGGAAAAAAAGAAAGGAGTGACGACGACGAGAAGAAACAGCGTCTACTGATTGATTCGTTCTTGTATCAGTCTTACTTGAAGTTGGCGTTGGCGGAGGGCGAAAAATTCGCGCTGATAGTCGCCAACTCGGAAGATACAGTCATGGGTGTTTTCGGTCTCGTTTCGAACTTAGGGTCGTTGTTTGTTCGGTTAGTGTTGCAGCCGTTCGAAGAGATTGCGTTCGTGACTTTTGCGGCGAGCGCGACGAAAGACAAGAAGAAGGAGAAGTTGGGCGATATTCTTTCCATCGGCGTGTTAGTCGGTACGATTGCTTTCTTCGTAGGACCGTTCTTCGCCAAGGACGTCATGTACTTTCTTTACGGTAAAAAATGGATGGAAGACGGGACAGAAACTCTGCAAGCGTACGCGAGATTAATATTACCGTTGAGTATAAATGGAATAGTCGAAGGCTTCGCGCACGCAGTCATGAACGAGCGAGAGATTAAAAAGCACGGAAACGCGTGGTTGGTTTCCTGTTCGTTCGTCAACTGCGCCTTGGGATTTTCGCTTCTCAAATATTCGCGAATCGGTGCTGCCGGATTGGTTTATGGCAACTTTATATCCTTAATGATGCGAATATACTTGACGTCGAGATTCTTGATCAGAACAGGGAAGCTGAGCAGTACTATTTTTAGAGAAACGTTGCCGAAACCAGGGACGCTCGTCACCGTCGCCGCGTGCACTTTCGCGTTGACGGCAATAAAGGACGATACAAATGGAAGAAAGACTGCAGAAATGACGCCGAACTTTAAACACACCGTTGTTACGGGAGGTAGTGTAGCCGTAGCTCTTCTGATAGCGCTGTTTGTTTGGGAACAGGATAGATTTAGAAACGTATTTAGTAGTACCAATAGTAAGAGAAAGAGAAATTAAATTCATTAAAATATTCGTTTTAAATATCCGGGAAACATAATTAACACGTTTCTTTTACACAAGTATTCTAAACTTTAATGTACATGCATACAAATGAATTACAAATTCGAATTACATTCGGGATAATTCTTGAAATTAATTATTAATATTTTTTTTCGGACTTAAAATTTTTACTTAATATAATTAAGTTTAATTACATGAATTTCATACTATATTAGTTCAAAGTGATCGGTTTAATATTTATATCCATGATAAATATCTAATTATAGATTAAAGGGGAAGAATAAAAGGATTTAACAAACTCTCCTTGTTTTTATTTTTTGCAAAATATCCCAAATTAACACGTCTGTGATGATTTATGCTCTGAAATTACAAAAAAGAACTTTAAATAAAATTATGAACTCATGGGGATGTATTATGAAAGGGAATTGTACAATTTTATAAACTATTTGAAAGTTTTAATATTTTTAGAATGGGACACCTCTAAAAAAGGAAAGAAGTTTCTTTTTCGCTCATAATTCACAAAAGAGAAGAAGAAGAAGAAGAAGAAGAAGAAGAAAAACGGATTCGTGAGAGTAAGAGAGAAAGAAGAAAGAAAGAATGGGCGGCAAGAAGAAAGATAGCCGAAGAAAGAAGAAGAAGCGCTCGAACGGCGATGATGATGATGATTCTTCTTCATCTTCATCATCAGAAGAAGATGAAAACGATGAATTGAAAAACAAACTCCTCGCGAAAGCGACGAAGAAGTTGGTGGCGCAAATGAAAACCGATTCCGTCGCCGGAGGTTTGTACACGGACGAAAAGAACCCGTTCAACGACGAAAACTTGACCGAAAAGTTCGTCTGGAGCAAGAAGATCGAAAAAGAGGGTAAAAAAGCGGTCCAAAACTTGACCGATAAAGACGCGCAACTCGAACGCGAGGAGGAGATTAAAAAAATCGAACTGAGACGAATCGAATACGAAAAGGCGAGAGCGGAGCGAGAGGAAGAGAGAGACCAGAAAATGAGAGAGAAAGCGATGGAAGGCGCGGAAGAGTTGGAAGAGAAAGAGGAGAAGTTTCACTTCAACCAGTTGTTATTACGGGCGGATATTCGATACAAAAACGGTCGAGCGAAACCGATCGATACTTTGCTGAGAGCGTTGTACGGCTCGGCGTTTACGAGCGCACTCAAAAGCGAAAAGGAACTCGCCGCCATGAAAGCGTTCAACAAAGAATTCGACTCGAAAAACTCGTTGTTCAAATACATGACGGAGAAAGATTTGCAGGAGTTGAAAGACGAGTGCGTGAACGTGTTGAAACTCATCGACGAAACGTCCGAGAAGGAGAAGGAATATAAACTTTTTTGGACGTGCGTCTATCGCTTGACGGAAACAGAATTAGGAGAAGAAGAAGAAGATAAACTGACGGAAATGGACGAAGAGATGATGGAATCGGTCGACTTATCTGGCTCGCTCGAAGAGTTGACCGATCTGGAACAGGAAATCAATCGATCCATAAACGAGGATTTAGACGACGACACGGAAATCTCGTTTTGGAGGAAAGCGATGAAGCGAGTGACGCTGGCGAAATTAAACAGGCAATGCAGAGAAACGTTGGCGAAAGTGTACGAGGAATCGAAGAAGAACATCAAGTTTGTCGTCGTCGAAAAAAAAGATGGAAAGGAAGAGAAAGAGAACTACGACAACGACAAAGACGACGAAGACTTGCTCGGCGGCGACGACTTTGCGAAACGAGTTCGAGACGACGATAAAGACGACGACGACGGTAAAGAAGAAGAAGATGAAGAAGAAGAAGAAGAAGAAGAAGAAGAAGACGAGGAAGCGCTCTTGGCGAACATCGACGTGACGTATGGCGACGAACCGAAACCGCTGTCCAAAGAAGAGTCCGCGAAACTTTTAAAACTTTACGAAGAGCAGCAGCAGCGGCTGCGAGGAGAAGGCGAAGATTTATTGAATGTTCAAGAAGTGATTGTCCTCATCGACGAAGACGAAGACGCTGAAAATCTTCGCCGGTTGCGCGCCGCCGCTTGTGAGAAGTTTGCGAAAGAACAGCTCGAAAAGAAGTTGGAAAAGCAACGACGATATCAACAAGAAAGAATGAAGAGGCAAAAAGGAAGAAAAATCAATCCGAGCGACGACGACGACGAAGAAGAAGAAGACAAAGACCAAGAAGAAAAGAAAACGCCAGAAGAAATCCAACATGAAGCCGATGATCTCGAGGAAGAACTCAAAGCGAAGCGATACGCGGAGAAACAGATGGGCAAACTCGAGGATGGGGACATCGCGTTCACCGGCGAAGTCGAACAAAAAGATCTCGGCGATCGAGAACTTTACTGGTGGCACAACAAGTACAAACCTCGGAAACCTCGATACTTCAACCGAGTGCACACCGGGTACGAGTGGAACAAGTACAACTCCACGCATTACGACCACGATAACCCGCCGCCGAAAACCGTCCAAGGGTATAAGTTTAACGTCTTCTACCCGGATTTGATCGATTCGTCCAAAGCGCCTACGTATAAGTGCGAGCGCGATGTATCCGCCGTAAACGACGACACGTGCATACTGAAAATATCCAGCGGTCCTCCGTACGAAGACGTCGCGTTTCGCATCGTAAACAAAGAGTGGGAGTACTCGCACAAACGCGGGTTCAAGTGTACGTTTGAACGAGGGATATTTCATTTATACGTAAACTTCAAACGCCCGAGATATAGACGTTAATAGTAAAATAGTCTTCTTAGTAGAATAAAGTATATATAGTAAAAAGTAGTCCGCGTCTTCTCTCGTCGTCGTTAAAAGCATCACATCTTTTCAGTGCGTGTGGCACACTCATCTCTCGTCTTCTTCTTCTTTTTCTAACCTTTTCCTCGCTTCTTCTTTCGCCCATCCGACTAAACTGGTGTCCGGTTTCCCGTTCAAACCGACGCATAAAATCACACCCGCGCTGAAGAAGGTCACAAAATACGGCAGTTCCCAGCTCTCTCTGATTCGTTTTTGCCCTTTTAAAGGTGGGGTTTCCCCGAAGAGAAGTCCGTTTCTTTTCGTTTGCGTGCCTTCGGAAAAGTACGACGATCCTTTCGGCGTGGCGCCCCCGTAGGATCTTCTTTGTACGTTTTGATGACTACTAAAACTGCTCTTCATGTTGCTACTCCTCACAGAACCACCTGATCTCGAGGAAAAGGAGGAAACGGAGGAGGACGTAGAAGACAACCCCCCCGCGACTAAAGATCTGAACGCTCTCAGATTGGTAACAATACGTTGTTGACACCCTTTTGACATTTGTTCGTTTTACTACTTAAGAAGAGAGAGTGTGAGAGAGAATGAGTTTCTTCTCGAGAGTGACTACTCTTTGTGTCAAGTGTTTCTTAAAAAGCAAAAGAGTGAAAAGGAAAAAAAGCGATTCCAGTGTATTTAGGGTGTACAACCCTAATTTTAAAAATTGCTTCTCTCTCTCTCTAGAAAAAAAAAACAAAACTCTCTCGAGTGTTAATAATAAAAGGGGGCGCGTCTGTCTTTTCTTCTTCTGTTTTCCTCATTAATTACATCATCGATTCCATTATTAAGAGAGGAGCACGAAAGAAGACTTTCATCGCATAACGAACAACAGAGAAAGGAGAGAGAGCGAGAGAAGAAGAGACTACTTTATTCTTTTGTTCGTTTCTTCAAAACTTTTACTTAAGAAGCAAACTTTGGGAGGAGGAGAGGCGTCTCATCTGTTTCCTTAAAGGTGTTCTGAGGTGGAAACGCGAGAGTCATTTTCCACTTAAAGAAGAAGAAGAAGACAAAGAAGAAGAAGAACGAGACGATGAAAATTGCTTCTTTGTCAAAGGAAAGAAGGAGGAAAAGGAGGTCTCTTTCGACGACGCCTCTTCTTAAATGTCTTTTCCTTTGTTTCATCTGTTGTTTCATCTGTTGTTTTCAAGACGCGCAGGCGGCAGATGATGAAAATGAGTTTCAGCGCATCACGACGAATACGAATATCAACGACGAAGAGAAGAAGAAGACCAAGAGTAGCATCACGAGTGGCGGCGGTTTTAGTAAACCGACGACGACTTCTAGAAGGAACTACTACGACTACGAAGATGAAGGAGAATCATCATCATCATCGATGACTAATACGCAAACGGGCGATTTAGGAGCTTTAACGAAAGTGCCGGCGTGCATCACGAGAGACGAAGCGTTTGGGATCGAACTCACCGTCGCGACGGGAGGGAGCTCGGCGTTAGAAGGGATCGACGGGACGAAGATTTTCGCCCTGAGCGCGTTGTTTGGACCGGAAATTGCGGATGATTATAACGAAGAAGACGACGACGCGAACGAGTCTAGTAGAAAACCGATTCAGTTGACGACGCCGAAAGACGTCAACATGACCGGGTGCGAAGAAGTAGGGAAAGACGCGGCGGATGCTTCGGAGTATAAGAACAAGTGCGTGGTCATCAAAAGAGGCGGGTGCTCGTTCGAAACGAAAGCGCAAATCGCGCAGAATAAAGGCGCGAAGTGCGTTATTATCGTGAACGACGGCGAGGATTTAGGATCTATGACGTGCGATTCAGATTTAAGCATCGATATTCCGGTGATGAACGTGATTGAAAAAGACGGGAAGATGTTAACGACTGCGTACGAGTTGGACGGCACGGTGGAGATGAGAAAACTAAAAGACGGGACTGATTTCTACGGAAACGGCGCTTTGCTCTTCATCGCGGTGTTATCGATCACGTTAGGGGCTATGTTTAGCGTCACGGATAGGTTTTATTCTCGTGGGGATGGAGGAGGAAGTAATAATGATAGTGGTTTTAGCGAGTTGAATAATAGCGCGAGCAGCGGCAGTCTGAGCAACAGCAGCGCGTCGCCGTCGCAGTCGAACGAGAGTTCGCCAAGCGGGACGCCAGGGAGACATAAATCGAGAGAAAAGAAGTACAACAACAACAACAACAACAACAACAACAACTCGTATGGGACGACGACAAATACAAATGAAGGCGACGACCAACCGTTGATTGACGAAGAATCCGGTCGAGTTAAACAGAAAAGAAGACAACGGAGCAGAAGCAGAAGAGGCACGAGCCGACGCCGACGACAGCAGGACTATTCCAACAACGCGGGCGAAGAAGAGGGAGCGTTTGAAATCACCGAAATGTCGGCGGTATATTTCGTCCTCTTCTCCTCGTTAGTCTTAGTCGTCCTCTTTTACTCCATGGACCATTGGATCTTTGTCGCGTTTCGATTGCTCTTTTGCTTAGCCGCGTTCCAAGGATTATCGATGATGTTCTTTGAAGTGATAGCTCGAATCTTTGGCGTGGATCCGCACAAGACGTCGTACGATCACACGACGCCGCTTTCTTCCACCAGAAGACGCTCGAACAGTCGCAGTAGAGGATCGCAAGAAGTGGACGAAGAAGCGACGAAAAACAACTCCGCTTTGAACGCACGCGTTGAAGAAAATAACGTCAACTTCATCCTCCTTCCGCTCTTCGGCAACGTCCATTATTTGATGATTCCATCCGTCATTCTCGGAGGCATTTTAGTCTGCATTTGGCTCATGTTCCAATCCGAAGAGTGGGCTTGGGTCTTGCAAGACATAATGGGCGTCGCGTTCTTAGTCAACGTCATGCGTTTAGTCCACTTGCCAAACTTGAAAATCGCCACGTTACTTCTCACGTGCGCCATGTCCTACGACATTTTCTGGGTGTACATCCAACCGCACTTGTTCGGGAAGGAGTCCGTCATGGTCAACGTCGCTCGAGGTGGCGACCAACACGAATCGTTACCGATGTTGTTCATGTTCCCGAGAATAGGAGGCTCTCAAGGCGAATACAGCATGCTTGGCTACGGCGACGTCATCTTACCCGGGTTGTTGATTGTTCACAACGCGTTGTTCGAGAATCGATTTTATTCGTCTTCGTCGTCGTCTTCACCAACAGGAGGAAAGGTGGTTACAAAAATGAGGTACAAATACTTCGTCTGCTCTGTATTCGCGTACTCCGTCGGTATGATTTTAACCTTCATCGCGTTATACTTGAAAGTTGGCGGTCAAGGCGGTCAACCGGCGTTGACGTATTTAGTCCCGACGACGGTGCTGACGACGGTGTGTGTCGCGTGGATGAACGGCGAGTTAAAAGAGATGTGGAATGGTGGTAAAAGTGGTAGTAGTGCTGATGATACTCATACTAATAGCAGAGATACTCATGGCGAAAGCCAAGCGTTGTTGTAACATTACTACTGCGTTACTCTTTTAGAGAGAATTTTTTATCAACACTTGTCCTCACAACTTCTTCTCCTCATTTGCGCCGCCGCGAAAGAGTTTAAACAAGAAGAAGAACAACAACAACAACAAGCGTTTTCATCTCACGTCATCAATGACGACGATTCAGACGACGACGGCCTTTTTCTTCTCGAGAAGATACAATTTATACCACTCGTAATGAGAGCCTCTCTGCGACCGCAAAAGCGCGACCACATCTCCGCGTTTAACACGCGAACGAACAGAAAAGTTTTGCACTTGCGCAAGTGCGCGGAAGCGCTTTTGAAAGAGTTGGAGAATAATAAGAAGAGCGATGAAACCAACGAAGATTCAGACGAGGACGAGAAGAACAACGTCTTAAAAAAGAGAAGGACACAAGTCAAGGTCTTGGCGGCAGAAGTCGCGCTTAAAGCGATTCGTCGAGCGAGAGAAGGCGATTTGCCGAGGAAATTAATTGACCAACAGAACTATTGTTTGAGGTGCGGGTTTCCTCTTCGTAAAGAAGAAGAAGATCAAAAGAAGAAAAGCAATGCGAACGAGAATAATAATAATAGTGATAATAACAGAAGAATGAATTGTTCGTGTTGCGGGTACAAGGTGTCGTCGTCGATTCACGCGAAGAAGAAGAAGAAGAAGAAGACGAAGAAGAGGAGAATTTTGTAGTATAGTAAGCGGGTGAGTAAATGTATTATATTTTTAGATGAAACACAAAACGCGCTCTTCTCTCTCTCTCTCTCTCTCTCTCTCTCTCTCTCTCTCTCTCTCTCTCTACACACACACACATTCCAAACATTCGCTTTCTCTCCATTCTTTCGTTTTTATAATAATAATTTTATTGTGATGTTGATCAACTTTCTTCTTAAATTTTTCTTAATTCGCTAACTTTTGACTCAAGACGTCCATGACCTTCCCCAAGTCTTCGGCGACGTCAATCGGTGGGTTGGCGTACGTCGCCGCGAAACCTTCGATTTCTTTCGCGTGGTATTGAATTTTCGTTCCGGTGAACTTCAAGCCGTGGGCGGTGGAAACGACGACGACGCGGTCGGACGGGCCGATGGTTTGGTTCTCGCGCAACTTTCTTAACGCGGCTAAAGCGACGCCGGTGTGCGGGCAGTTGAACATGCCCGTCAAGTCGGCGCGAGCAGCTTCGTCCATCATCTCTTCCTCAGAAGCTTCTTCGACTAAACCGTTGCACTCGGTTAACGCGTAAATGGCGCGGTTGATGGAAACCGGGTCGCCGATTTGAATCGCGCTCGCAAACGTCGGTTCCGCTTTGATCGGCGCAAAGTTTTCCCACCCATTCTTGAACGCTCGGTACAACGGGTTCGCGTTCTGCGCTTGCGCGACAACCATTCTAGGTAACTTATCGACTAACCCGAGATCTTTGCACATTTTAAACCCTTTGAAAAACGCGTACACGTTGCCTAAATTCCCACCCGGGATGATCACGTAGTCCGGGACTTCCCAGTTGAACTGTTGGAGGATTTCAATCGCGGCGGTTTTCTGGCCTTCCAAACGCAACGAGTTCAAAGAGTTCGCCAAGTAAATCGGTAATTCCGCGGTGACTTCTCGAATGAGTCTCATGCACCCATCGAAATCGGTATCGATGGACAAGACCAACGCGCCGTTCGCAATCGGTTGCACCAACTGCGCCAAGGAAATTTTGTTCTTCGGTAAAAATACGATGGACGGAATCCCGGCAGCCGCGGCGTACGCGGACAAAGCCGCCGACGTGTCCCCAGTCGACGCGCACCCAACTGCCGCCAACGGTTTCCCTTGTTTTCTCATCCTGTTCACCTGAGAGACCAACGCGGTCATCCCGAGATCTTTAAAACTCCCCGTGTGCGAGTTCCCGCACTGCTTGACCCACAAATCGTTCATCCCGAGGCACTCTCGTCCGTACCTTTCCGCCCAAAACAAGTTCGAGTTGCCTTCAAACATGGAAACGATGTCGTCGTCGTCGATGCCTGGTAAGACCCACTCTTTCTTGGACCAAACGCCGGAGCCGTACGGCCAGGACGTTTTGCCCACGCGTTCGTCGAAGAGCGTTTTCCAGTATTCTGTTCATAGTATTATTATTATTATGTTGTTGTTGTAATAGAATGATTTTAAAGAAAGCAAGCGGTTAATATAATAATAACAATAATAACAGTCAGTTTGAGATGATGAAGAGTTGTTGTCTGTCTTCTTTAATACTACTGTATATCTATACATGAGGTATTTATTTCTCACCGCGAGCAAAGCAGAGAATTAACCAATTTGGTTGGATAATAAAAAGAAGGGTTTACTCCTCCAACACGAACGAGAAACTTACCTGCGGGATACTTCCCAAGCGCTTCCATGTCGTGTTCGACGTCCAACAGTCCACCATTCTTCGATCGGTAAATCACTTCGTCTAACGAGTACGTTTCTGATTTATCCGCCGAGGAGAACGGGACGTACTTCGCGCTGAACAGATTTCCTTTCACGCCGTCTCTCGAGTCTTTTTTCGCTTGCTCGCGAATGTTTTGGACGTTTGCTTGTGTGATGTGTCTTTGTCTTCTAAAACTGTTCTTCTTCTTCTTAGTATTAAAATTCTCTGTTTTGTGTGCTTTTGATGATGCATTTCTGCCGCTGGTGGATGTTGTCAGCGCTTGGCGGAAGGAGAAGAGCTGCGAGGCTTGCACGCTCGGGTAATACGGCATTTGATATTTGATGATGATGATATATAACGTGTTCTTGTTCGTGCGTGTGTTGTGTGTGTTCTAATGAATGACGACGGACAAATGAAACCACTTTTTGGGTTAAAAATCGTCTTTTTTTGACTTAAAAAAAAAAGAAAGAGTCTGTCTGATTTTAAAAGACCAAACTGTTCCTCTGAAAGAGCTCCTCTTTTTTTGTTTTTTTTGCTTTGTTTTTTTCAGGGTTTATATAAAAAACGACTGATAACCCAAAAATCAAGCCCGCAGAGACAAACACCAAAACAGAGGAGAGAGAAAAAGTAAACAAACACAGAAGAAGAAGAGTTTGAGAGAACGAGAAAGAATAAGTATAAGAGAGAGAATGACGATCAGCGCTTCTATCATCTCGTTCTCGCCGAATGCGAGATCGATGATGGCTTCTTTATCGTCGAGAAAGTCGTCTTCTTCGTATAAAAATAAGTCATCATCATCTTCGATTGTAAACAACACCAACAATTACACGTCACCAATGACTCTTCATCATCATCATCGAACGACTTCTTTCTTTGTTAAAAGACAACGCTTTAACGAAAAGAAGGTTTCAACAACAGTGATGGTCAGAGCAGAAAACAAAGGAGACGAGGAACCGAAACTGACCCGAAAAAAGGAAGCAGAAACGGAGGCGTTCTTATCTCCCGCGGAGAAAAGCGGGGAGAATCCTTTGAAAGATCCAATGGCGATAATAGGCATCGTGGGGATAGTAGGCGTCCCGGCGTTGATTTTACTCGTCGGCGTGACGAGCGGGTACATCGGACAATAAGATATTAAATATATATACACACTGCTGTGGTTGATGTTGTTGATTAAAATAGTATATATACTACTCTGAGCTCGCACAAGATTCTTAAAGGACTTCACATTTCTCTCACGTTTCGACTCGTTTCCTCACCAACTTTTGCAGATATATATACACACTACTAATATCATCATCAGATCGAAAGGAACAACAACGAACGAGAACAAAAACTTTCATTCGATTGAGAAGCACACCTTTGACGACGACGATATCCTGAAGAAGAAAACTGAGTAAAACAAAGAGAGCTAAGAAGAAGAAGAAGAAGAGAAATCAAATCATCAGAGATGTCGGACTTATTCGACGCGTTCGATGACGATAAAAAAGGAAAGAAGAAGATGATGCGCACACCTCCTGGAGGAGGGTTCGTGAGACCACCACCGGCTGGAAGTAATACCACTACTCATTCTGCGGAGACGACGACGAATCTTAAACCGACCGCGAGCGCGTTCGTTCCCGGAGGAGGAGGAGGAGGAGGATTAGGAGGTGCAGCCGCCTCTGGTGCTGCGCCTGTACCGCCTCAAGCGGTTTCGTCGACGCTCGATGAACAACGAGGAGATGAAGAACAAAAAGAAGAAGTAGAAGAAGTAGTATCGTCTGTGATGCAAAAGGTCGCGAAAACGTTAACGATTGGCGGCGATTCCGGCTCGGATTCCGCGTTATCTCAAATGGCCGAACGCGAACAGAAGTTAAAAGAAGAACAACAACGCAAAGAAGAAAAAGAAGAAGCGAAGAGGTTACAACAGATGGAAAAAGAGAGGAAAGACTCAGAGCGAAAGAAAGAAGCGGAAGAGGAAGAGAAACAGTTGATGGAAGAGTTGGCGAATAGTAAAGACGCGGATAGTCGAGAACATTTGAACTTGGTGTTTATCGGACACGTCGACGCCGGGAAATCGACCATCGGAGGGCAGATTTTGTATCTCTCCGGTCAAGTCGATCAGAGAGTCATCGAAAAGTACGAACGAGAGGCGAAGGATAAAAATCGAGATTCGTGGTACATGGCGTACATCATGGACACTTCGGAAGAGGAAAGAGCGAAAGGGAAAACCGTGGAGGTTGGTAAAGCGCATTTCGCGACGGAGAAGAAAAGATACACCGTGTTGGACGCGCCGGGGCACAAAAATTACGTGCCGAACATGATCGCCGGCGCCGCGCAAGCCGACGTCGGCGTTCTGGTCATCGCGGCGAGGAAAGGCGAATTCGAAACCGGGTTTGAAAAAGGCGGGCAAACCAGAGAGCACGCGCAGTTGGCGAAAACTTTAGGCGTTACAAAGTTAGTCGTGGTGGTGAACAAAATGGACGATCCGAGCGTCAAGTGGGATAAAAAAAGATTCGACGAAGTACACACGAAACTGATTCCGTTTTTGAAAATATGCGGGTACAAAGAAAAAGACATCACGTTCGTCCCGATTTCCGGATTAAAAGGTACGAACGTGAAAGATCTCGTCTCGAAAAGCGAGTGCGATTGGTACGGCGGCAAATCGTTCTTCGACACGTTGGACGATTTAGAACCGATGGATCGAGATCCGAACGCGCCGTTTCGCATGCCGGTGATGGACAAATACGCGGAGATGGGGTGCATGGTCATGGGAAAAACCGAATCTGGGGCGTGTCGAGTCGGACAAAAGCTCACGTTAATGCCCGGTAGAATCGATTGTAAAATTGAAAAGCTTTGGCAAGACGAAGACGAGTGTTCCATTTGCAAGTGCGGCGAAAACGTGAGAATGAAACTCTCCGGCGTGGACGAAAAAGATATCCATCCCGGGATGGTCTTGTGCCCGCCGAACAAATTGGTCCACGTCACGCAAGAAATCGAGTGCCAACTCGCCATCGTGGAATTGTTAGACCACAAATCCATCTTTTCCACCGGCTACAACGCCGTCATCCACATCCACTCCGTCACCGAGGAAATCGAAGTCAAGAAACTCGTCAGCGAAATGGACCCGAAAACTCGAAAGCCGAAAGAAAGTAAGTGCAAATACTTAAAAGCTGGATCCATCGGCGCCGTTCGAATTACCATCGCCGCGCCAATCTGCGTGGAAAAGTTCTCCGACGTCCCTCAGTTAGGGAGGTTCACCTTGAGAGACGAAGGGAAAACCATCGCCATCGGGAAGGTTTTACGGATCAAACCGAAATCCGAGGAAATCGATAACATGGCCAAGACGACCGGTGGCGCTGCCGTCTGATTTATCATTACTATTATTATTAAATTACTAAACAAACAAGAAAGAGAGAGTCATAAAGAGAGAGTCATCAGAGAGAGAGTTAGTTGTTGTTCGTGATCATCATCATCAAGTATTCATTAAGAGTGTGTTCTACGTATCGTTTTGCTCTCATTTTTGTAACGAACTTTTGTCTCATTTCGTCACTCATCTCATCGCTTTTTCATCGCTCTTATTTAGATATATATATACGCACTCACTCGTATGACGATGACTTCACCAAGCAGATTATTCCTTCTTCTACACAGACGACGTCAGCTCTGCGAGATCATCGCCACTTTCGGAGGAGCACGCGTGACATTTTCTTCTTCTTCCATTGAAGAAAAAAAGCGGATAAAATGGACGCAAAACCAAAGTTCACGAACGTTAAAGACGGACGCGTACGTGGCTGGGAACGGCGATTTCTTCCGGCTCGGAATACCATTAGGGTCATCAGCATCGTCGTCTTCAAAGAGGACGTTCGTTCCTGTAGACATACCAACGAATGGAGGAGGGAATATCAAATCGATCGCATCTGGTGGCGCACACTCGTTGGTGGTGACGAGCAAAGGCGAAGTGTTCGCCACGGGATTGAACGAATACGGCCAATGCGGGATTCGGATTATTAATAATGCTGATGATGATAAAGGAGGAGAAAATGGAGAAAGTAGTAATAATAACGCAAAAACGACGATGAATGACATCGTGCGAGGATGGACGAGAGTAGAGTTTAGAGACGCTACATGTGACGGAAACGTCAACGTTGAAATCGAAAAGGCGATATCCGGGCCGGCGAGTAGTCACTCGGTGTGCATTGCGCGAGGCGGGAAGCGAGTGTTCGCGTTCGGGAAGAACGATCGAGGGCAATTAGGTGTCGGAGATGCGTTTGACGGGAAGGAAAGAGAGGAAGGGACGCTCGTTGCTTTCGATGAATCAACAAGAACAGACGAAGAAAGAGAAGAAGACGTTGTCATCGTAGACGGCGCGACGGGGAGAGAATCGACCATTCTCATCAGCGCGAACGGGGACGCGTATTACAGCGGAAAAATTAAGACGGATAAAGACGAACGGTTTTCGTTGATTGCTACCGCGATAGAGTTTTTCTTCCCGCAAAAATCATCGTCGTCATCAACAACCATCACCGCTACCGCGACAGAGTTACCGCAAACCAATTCGTTTCGGAAAATCCCGGGTTTACGAAACATCGTCAACTGCTCGGTCACGGACGCCTGCGCGGCGTTTGTGGATGCACACGGGAAAACGTTTACGATTGGAACGACATCCGGGAAAGTATTAGGACGAGAAGTAGTAAAAGGAGGAGAAGAGAATACAACCACCAATGCGTTAGGCGCAATCGAGGATGTTTTACTGGAAAACGTTTCGTTAGGATTCAATTTCGCCGTCGCGGTCGCGAAATCCAGCGGCGCTTTGTTCACCTGGGGAGCAGCATTGGACGATCAAGAAGCGGATTCGAAATACGGTTTAAAACCTCGATTGGTTAAACACGAACCGCAGAACATCAACGTCGCGTTCACCAAAGTCTCTTCCGGGTACAAGCACTGCGCCGCAATCACGAGCGACGATCGATTGTTCACGTGGGGATGGAGCGGTTCGGTAGGTCAGCACTTCGAGGACGAAGAGTCTTCCGCCGGGCAACTGGGATTAGGGAACGATTTCGATTACCCGACGCCGACTGAAGTGAAATGGAAGGATCGATCGACGAAGGTTTTAGACGTAAGATGCGGGCAAAATCATACCATCGTCCTCGCTTCGCGAGAAGATTAGAATAGAACTTAGAGAATAGATTTAGAAACCGACCGCGTTAATAATATATACAGAAACCCATATCGTAGTTTATTATTACGTCTTCTAGTATTTGCCATTCATCTTCGAAGAGTAATTACTGCTGCTCAAAGCATCCATCAACTCCAAATGTTGTTCGTGCAACTTTCGAAACATCGTCGCGTTTTCTTCCTGCGCGCGGAGGAGTTCGAGGTGCAAATTTCTCACATCCGCTTTTAACGACTTCACCTCTTTTTCTAAACACGTTTTGACAACATCTTTGGTCCTCTTCGAAACTTCGTCAGAGATGGCGTCGGCCGTAATGAGCACTTGTTGTTGTTGTTGTTGTTGTTGTTCTAGAGTTGTCGTCTTCGTGTTCAATTTTTGCATCGCTTCGGCGGCTCTTTCTTCTTCTTGTTTATTCAGATGTCGCTTCTGCTCTTGTTTTCGCGGCACGTTGCTTTCGATTCTGTTCTCTTTATCGCTGTCGTTCTCTTCATTCGTCGTCTTCGTCTTCGCTTTTGTCGCAGGTGGTGGTTGCCATTTTAACCCAATCACTCTTCCGCCCTCGTGCGCTTCGGTTTCAAACAAACATCTCGTCTCAAAATCGTCTCCGGAGTAAAATTCCGCGCCGCCGCTCGTGCTATTGCTAAAACCGTTCATCCGAGTGCTCCTGTACTTATTACTCCTCTCATCCATATGCGTTCTCAAGCTTCGACAATCGTACATCGACACGACGCCGTTGCCTCTGTATCCGACCGCTAACGCTTGACCGCTCGGATGCCACGAGACGGAAGACGCCGCGCCCGCGGTACCAAAAATGACACCGTTCTCCGACGATGATTGCATCCATCGTTTATTCGGATTCGGTATGTGTAAACACACCCCAGTTTTTGGATGCATGGCAACATCTCGCAATGAAACCGATCCGTCGTCGTTGGCTACCGCTATAATTCTAGGCGCCGTCGGCGAAAACGCAATCGAGCGAATGACGTTGTTCGCGTCCGAAGAATGAAAGCTCGTCTCTAACGATTCCGATTCGCAATCGTAAACGTTCAGATCGCCACGAGACGTCCCCGCGGCTAACATCATTCTTCTGTGCGGTGAGAAATCTAAGCATTTCACCGAGGAGGAGGAAGAGGAGGAGGTACTCATCATCGACTTTTCCTCGTTGATGTCAAACGCGCTCAAAGGCTCCGAGTAGTACTTATTAAACTCTTTCCCTCTCCCTAAACCAAAACTCTCCTCATCTTCCTCCTCCCCGAATCGTTCTCCACCTTTATGCAACACAATCTCCCCTCTCTCTGAACCGCACGCGATCACTCGATCGTCTTTACTAAATTTCACCGCGTTCACGACACCGCTATCAATAGCAGTACTCGCCGAGCGACGACCGCCGCCTGATAATCCGCCGGATGATACGAGTCTGCTCGCCACCCGTCTCGTCTTCAAATCCCAAACCTTCACGATATTCGACGTCCCACCGACTAACAAGTATCGCGAACTCGAGTGAAAATCCATCGATTTCACTTCAAAGTCGTCATCGTCGACATCCTCCTCTCTCGCTGGATTTTCTGCTGCAAAAGTCAACGGTGTATTTTTGTGCATCTTTTCCTTCTCCGCATGATCATCATTCTCACGCTTCTTAAACCTCTCTCTTTTCCTCTCTTCCTCCTTAACTTCTCCCACGCACTTTAACTGTTTATCCAGAACGACCACTCGCCCGTCGCTCAAGCCAATTGCGACGCAGTTCCCGTTCGATTTCGACCACTCCACGCAGTTGATTTCATTCGATTGGATTTTTGAATTCTTTTCCCCGTTTTTGGAGGAGGAAGAAGAACAACTCGCTTCCGCATATCCTATCGTTCCGTTGCTGTTGTTATTCTTGTCGTTGTTGTTGTCCTGGTTAGAAGGAGAGTACAATTTAACCTCGGATGCGCCCCGGCGAGACCACCCGATGGTCGCTAACATGTTGTTTCTTGTGTTCGTTTCTTGTGATGATTTTTTTGAAATTTCTCGAGGAGTTGACGAGTGACTTTAGAGAAAAGAGGAGACAAATAACACGTTAGCGGGATTTCATTCGTCTTCGAGGAGCACGCTGTGTAATACAAAAGAACTCTACTCCTGTTATTGAGTATGCAAAATGTGGCTTTGTGAATGACTACTATGGATGATGTACGAAAACGCTTCTTTTCTCGCGCAAAAATCGTCACATTTTTCGTACTGCGGTTTCTCTCGTTCGTGCGATGAATACGCAAAATGTGGCTTTGCGAATATTTCATCTCCGGCTCCCTTGGCTTCTTTCATTAAGGTTTTCTTCTTCTTCTATCGTTTTTGTTCGAGTTTTTGTCGACGCCTTTAATTCCTCCTACTTTTTGTCCGGAAGACGACGACGATTTTGACGATAACAACGCGACGAAACCGACGAAACCGAGTATCGTCCCCCACGCGATTCGATTGACCATCGCTTTCCGTTTCAAACCTTCTTTGTGTTCGTCCAAGCGCAATTTGCACCTTTTGCCAATCAAGTCGCACAGTTTAGCGCCATCGAAGTAGTCTTGGTCGGAGACGTCGGACATGTCTTTGTCCGGGCCGCACGCGGCGCGGAATTTGGTCAAGCCGACGCAGGAACAGTTGAATTCGCCGAGGATGTATCGCGTTTTTGTTTTCCTGTTGTTGACATCTTTTTTGTTCTGTTCTTCTTTCTCGAATTGTTCGTCGCGTTCTTCTTCTTCTTCTTCGTCGTCGTCATCCATGGGGATAAAATCCGCCGTCCATAACAAAGGTAACGCGTTATACGCCAAGTTTAACTTCCTCGCGATGCGTTGAATATCGTTCTTGAGAAACTTCTCGGTCAAATCTCGAAACAACGGTTCTTCCGGTTTGTAAAACGTCGTCTTGTTGTTCCAGGCAACCGCGGAACGGCCGTTCTCGCCGACTGGTTTCTTATGAATGATTTCGAATAACTCGTCTTTGACAAATACCATGCGTATTTCGCCTTCGCTGATTCGAGGGAGTAAGCGTTGGTCGACGACGAAAGCGCCTTTGAGAAGTTGACTTTGTTTGTCTACTTTGTCGTCGTCTTCGTTTTCGTCGTCGTTCTGCTGCTGTAAATAGTTCCCGTCCGAAACGGACGTCCAGTTTCCGCCCGCGTCCGGGTGGTTTTTCCCGCACGCGCAAAACGCCACCAACTCTTTAAACGTGTGCTCTTCGATGTGGTTATCGTTCATCTCTTGACAGACGACTATCGTATCGTCGCCGATTTCGAATTCCTCCTCCCCGTCGTCGTTCTTCTTTCGTTCTTCTTCTTCTCTACTACCACTACCACTACCACTACTACTATTACTGCTGCTCGTATTATTGTTATCGCTATCTTCTATCTTATTCATGTTCATGATCCGATCGTGCTTCCCTTTCAACCACACCAACCAAATCCCGCACCCGGTCGACCCTCGATTTTGTTTCAAAACTCTCGGCCACACTTTCAACCCTTTCTTCAATCCTCTCTCCATCTCTTTCTTCGTGTAATACGCCCGCGTATCTCTCAACCCGCACGCTAACTTGCGTATTTTCACCAGCGCGATTTTCGATCCCATGTTTCGTAAACTCGCCTTGTTCCCGAAGATTAAAATATCCGTTTTATTTTCCAACTCCTCCATGAGGTCGTCGAACCTCTCCTGATTTGAATGCGGCGTGATTTGACCGGGGTTAATCCTCACTAAAATCGCGTCAAACTTTTCCTCTATCACGTATTGTTTGAACGCGTCGTGTTCTCGAGGCTTATAATCCACTCGTACGGCGTAGATGCCGTTTTCGATTAAACCGTTCGTCAACGCCACGGAATCGTAGCGATAGCCGTGTTTGTCTTTGTCCATGGATATATTCACATTCTCTTTCACTTTAGTACTCTCACCATCCTCGTCCAAATCCTCATACACGTGTCCGTACCCAACCACGGCTATTTTATACGTTCCATGTATATCTTTCGAAGAAGAAGAAGAAGAAGAAGAAGAAGGTTGTTCTCGGATGACGTTCGAGCGTAAAAACTGATTTTGTGCCACGTGGTATTTCAGTTCCAGTTGTGATTTTGATTCATCTCGGTGTTCGTCCTCGTCTTCCTCGGAGAATAAACTCGTCATGGACTCTCGTCTCGACGAAGACGCGTGGTTTATGCCGTTGTTCTTTTTACTCTCGCTCATCGTCGCGCTCGTCTGGTAGACTCCTCTCTTCCTCTCAAACCAATCACTCTCGATATATATAAACACCAATGGAAATTCGTTTTATCTTATTCCCATCGACGAGAGATTTAAAAGAAGACAACACCAACAAAGTTGCTCTCCAAAACAGAAACAGAGACAGAGACAGAGAGAGCGTTTAGGAGGAGAAAAAAAGGTGGTTTCGACTCTTTAGCTCTCTCTCACTCGCAATTTTCTTCGCAGCACTACTCCTTTTTACGCGCTTTGATGATGATGATGCTTTTTACTCAGACGTGTCTGATGCGTTTACTCATAAAACACGAAACAAAAAGACTAAAAAATAAAAAATAAGTGTTAGGGTGTCCAACCCTAATTTTGAAAAGCTTTTCTCTTTCGCCTCTTTTTTTTCTCACTTTTGCTTCAAAGGGCAAGAGCGTTGAGAGTTGCGCGCGCTTCGTTTAGGATAGCACATACAGAGCTTTACACACATAAAAATGTTGACAAAATTCGAGACGAAATCGAACCGCGTGAAAGGCCTCTCGTTCCACCCGAAACGGCCGTGGATTTTAGCCTCGTTACACAGCGGTGTCGTGCAATTGTGGGACTACCGAATGGGAACGCTGATCGACCGATTCGACGAACACGACGGACCGGTTCGTGGGGTGGATTTTCACACCAACCAACCGCTGTTCGTTTCCGGGGGAGACGATTATAAAATAAAGGTTTGTTTTTGTTTTCTTGACTTCTTTTTATCGTCGTCGGTTGTCTCGTTGGTGGTGGTGTTCTTGTTTGCGTTGTGAGAAAGAGAGCGTTTAAGAGAGTGATCTCGCCGGAGTGTTGATGGGGTAAAATTGGAGAGATTTGAGGGTTACGAAGAAATCGAGCGAAAAGCGAAACGATGGAAACATTTCTAATCACTGACGACTTTATTATCTCTCTCTTTACTACTACTACTACTACTACTCAAAACAACAACAACATTATTATTAGGTGTGGAACTACAAGCTCCGTAGATGTTTATTCACCTTACTCGGACACTTGGACTACATCCGAACGGTGCAGTTTCACGTGGAACACCCGTGGATCGTCTCCGCGTCGGACGATCAAACCATTCGCATTTGGAACTGGCAATCTAGGAATTGCATCTCGGTGTTGACGGGACACAATCATTACGTCATGTGCGCTTCGTTTCATTTGAAGGATGACTTGGTCGTTTCGGCGTCGTTGGATCAAACCGTACGAGTGTGGGATATCGTCGCGCTGAGGAAGAAAGTTGCCTCGCCGGGAGGTCCGCAAAGACCGAGCGAATTGGATTTGAAAATCCCGCAAATGAACGCGGATTTGTTTGGTGGCGGTGATGCGGTGGTGAAGTACGTGTTGGAAGGCCACGATCGAGGCGTCAATTGGGCGTCGTTTCACCCGAGTTTACCGCTGATCGTCTCCGGCGCGGACGATCGCCAAGTGAAATTATGGCGCATGAACGACACGAAAGCCTGGGAAGTGGACACGTTGAGAGGTCACGTGAACAACGTGTCGTGCGTGATGTTCCACGCGCGACAAGATATCATCGTTTCCAACTCTGAGGATAAATCGATTCGAGTTTGGGACATGAGTAAAAGATCGGGCGCGCAAACCTTTCGAAGAGAAAACGATCGATTCTGGATTTTGTCCGCGCACCCGAACTTGAACTTGTTGGCTGCCGGGCACGATTCTGGGATGATTGTTTTTAAATTGGAAAGAGAACGACCGGCGTACGCCTCGCACGCGAACATGCTGTATTACGTAAAGGATCGATACTTGCGTTCGTTTGAGTTTGAAAGTCAAAGAGATAATCCTTTGGTGTCCGTGAGACGACCTCCGGGCGGTGGAAACAACTCTGGTTTCCGCAACTTAAGTTACAACCCGGCTGAAAACGCGGTGTTGATCAACTCCGACAGCGAAGGTGGATCGTACGAGTTGCACGTCTTGCCGAAAGACGACGGTCGCTCGGGCGAAGTCGGTAACGAGCCGAGACGAGGTCAAGGCGTTTCCGCGACGTTCATCGCGCGGAATAGGTTTGCCGTTTTGGACAAATCCACGCACCAAATCTTAATCAAAGACTTGAAAAACGAAGTCACGAAGAAGTGCGTCCCTCCGGATTCCACCGTGGACGCCATCTTTTACGCCGGCACCGGATCTCTCTTGTGCCGAGCCGAAGATCGCATGATTTTGTTCGACGTTCAACAAAGAGCCGCGATGGCGGAAATAACGACGCCGTTGATTAAATACGTCGTTTGGTCCAACGACATGTCTTTGGTTGCCATGTTATCGAAACACGCGATCGTAATCGCCAACAGAAAGCTTGGGCACGCGTGCACGGTGCACGAAACCATTCGCGTGAAATCAGGCGCCTGGGACGATAGAGGCGTGTTCATTTACACGACTTTGAACCACATCAAATACGCGTTACCGAACGGTGATTCCGGGATTATCCGAACGTTGGATAACGCGGTGTATGTGACCAAAGTCATCGGCAACGTCGTCCATTGCTTGGACCGAGACGGTAAAAACAGACGCATTCAAATCGACTCGACAGAGTACGTCTTCAAGCTCGCTTTGGTTCAGCGCAAATTCGATCAGGTTTTATCGATGATCAAATCGAACGTCTTGTGCGGTCAATCGATCATCGCGTATTTGCAAAAGAAAGGGTACCCAGAAATTGCTTTGCACTTTGTGAGAGACGAACAAACGCGATTCGCGCTGGCGGTTGAGTGCGGCAACATTGAAGTCGCGTTGGCTGCCGCGCAAGCGTTGGACGAGAAAGAAACGTGGCATAAACTCGGCGTGGAAGCTTTGAGACAAGGGAACCACCAAATCGTCGAGTTTGCGTACCAAAAGACGAAAAATTTTGAGCGCTTATCGTTCTTGTATTTAATCACGGGGAACATTGAAAAGCTGCAAAAAATGTTGAAGATTTCCGAAATGCGCGCGGACGTCATGGGTCAATTCCACAACGCGTTGTACTTAGGCGACGTTACGGAACGCGTTAAAATCCTCGAATCCGCCGGTCACCACCCGTTAGCATACGTGACGGCGAAGACGCACGGTTTAGAAACCGACGCGGAGAGAATAGCGGAGGAGTTGAGAGAAGCCGGGGCCAAGGTTCCGGATATCGACGCTTCAGTCGGAGAGTTGTTGACGCCACCGGAACCGATTTTGAAGGAAGATAACTGGCCTTTGTTGACCGTATCCAAAGGATTCTTTGAAGGCGTCTTGTCCGGCGAAGTTTCCGCCTCGCAATACCAAATGGACGAGAGCGAGATGGAAGGTGTCGGAGGCGATTGGGGCGACGGCGACGATTTGGATTTGGGCGTCGGCGGCGACGACGACGAGATGGAAAAAGACGATCCTTTGGCGAACATCTTACCCGGCGGAGACGACGAAGAAGACAGATCACAAGACGGCTCAGACGCTGGTTGGGATATGGAAGATATGGACTTACCGGCGGCGGATTTAGTCGGTGGAAGCCAGCCGGGATCGCCGACGGGTATCCAAGCGGGCGAAATGTTTGTCGCGCCGAGCGCCGGCGTAGACCCGAGACAAAAGTGGACGGCCAAATCCGCGGTCGCTGGCGATCACGCGGCAGCTGGGGAATTCGATGGCGCCATGAAACTCTTATCCAGACAATTAGGCATCGTAAACTTCAAACCGTTGAAACAAATGTTTGTGGATTGCGCGTTTGCGAGTACCGGGGTGTTACCCGGTTCGCTCTCTGAAGGCGACGCCGCGAAGATGCGGGTGATTTTATCTAGAAACTGGGACTCGTCCGATCCTATCGGCCAAGTCAAACCGCCGAATTTGTTGGGCACGTTGCCAATTCTCGAGGAGAAGTTGAAGCAAGCGTATAGAAAAGTCACGGAAGGGAAATTCTCGGACGCGTTGAACTTGTTCGTGAACATTATTCACTCGATCACTTTGTTATCCGTGGAAACGAGACGCGAAGTGGACGAGGTGAAAGAGTTGTTGGCTATTGCGAGAGATTACGCCGTCGCTTTACGAATCGAATTGAGTCGCAAAGAAGTCGCGAAATCGGATCCGAACCGAGCCGCCGAGTTGGCGGCGTATTTCACGCACCAAAATTTACAACCGATTCACTCCTCGTTATCCTTGAGATCGGCGATGACTATCTTTTACAAGATGCAAAACTTCCAAACCGCGGCTGGGTTTTCTCGAAGATTGTTAGAGCTTAACCCACCCGCAAACGTGGCCACGCAAGCGAAACAGGTTTTGCAAGTGTGCGAGAAACAGAACAAAGACGCCGTGGAGTTGAATTACGATTCTCGCAATCCGTTTGTCGTCTGTTCCGGGACGCTGACGCCAATCTACAGAGGCACCAAAGATCTCGCGTGCTCCTGTTGCGGGGCGAAGTACGTCGTCGAGAAGAAAGACGCTCTGTGCGATGTTTGCAACTTGGGTAAAGTAGGCGCGGATGCGACTGGTTTAGTCGTTTCGGAGACGCAAAGTTCATCATCGTCCAGGCGTTGATGATGATACTTTTTTAACTTTGGCGAACGAAGAGAGAAGAGGTATTCTAATAGAACTTTTACTTTTTACTAAATAACACAAAATTACAGTGGTATAATATTAACAACTCGATCATAAATGCCGCCTCTGCCGCCGCTCTAATAACATTATGCATACAAAACTACTACGACCTCGGTTGTCCGGAGACGATCAAATCTTCGCTCGATAAGTTCGCGACGATATTAATTTCTTCTTCTTCTTCCTCTTCTCCTCCTCCTAATCCTCCTCCTCCTCGCTCCTCCAATTCTATCTTTACACTACTAATACTACTACTCTTATTCATCTTCTTCTTCTTAGTATTCTTCTTACCAAACGTCGCTAAGAACGCCAATTGCACAACCCCCAACACGCCTCCGAACATATTCGGACTGACTAAAAACCAATCTTTCAACGCAAACCCGTACGCGGCCCAGGAAAACCCATTCACGGTAATCGCCACGCTCATCGGCCAATACAAACTCGACGCGTCTCTCTCCATAATGATCTGTCGCATCTCCGACAACGGCGACGCGTAATATATCGCCAAGACGACGTTGCAAAAAATCCCAGACGCGAATCGCTTCTTCCCTTCCTTTTCGTCCCCGTGCATGACCACGCCCAAGACAAACCCCATTACACTTAAAAGCGCGCAAGATACCAGTACCATCTTTTCCAACTCTTTTCTCTTCTTCTCGTTTCGCGCGTTTAACGTCAGCGCTATCATCAACGCGTACACCGAGACGAGCAAGCCTGGAAAGTTTGACACGAACACCCAATAGTCTTTAATCACGGATCCGTACATCATCCACCCGATGCAATTGCACACCACGATCGGGTACGGGTGGCTGTTTAAGGAACCCCACTCGTTCATTTTGCGGTATTTTTGGAGCTCCGGTACCGAGGCGAAGAACATGACGTTTGCGAGGAGGAACCCGAGGATTGGGGCGATCGTGCGCGTGAATATTTCCATCGATGCTTCGCCCATTGCGATATAGATTCGTTGCGCTTCTTCCTGAGAGTATGTTTTTGTGTGTGTTGATATCTGTGGTATCTTTAGTATTGCGTCTGATGTGTGAGAGATGAGAGAGAGGTCGTTGGGTGTATGTACTTCTCCGCTGTTTCCCGGGAAAGAGATTCTATCCTCTTTGTTCTGTGTGGTTGCAACTCTCACTGTCGCTCGATATAGAGAGTATGAGTAGTATTCAATACGATGAATATGTCTCTCTTCTCTCAAATTATCTCATCGCATGCATATTGCAACAGTACTACTGATATACTACTACTCTAAGTATCTGTCCTCTCTCGGTTACTAGTATTCACCGAAACCCCTAATAATAAAAGTCTGAAGAGTACGAGTCAAAGTAGAGTCTTTTTCACAACGAAACAGAGCAGTTCCCCCTCGCGTCTTTTTCCTTACGTATGCTTTTAGGACAGAACTGTTCGGAGTAAAAAAGCTCAAAAGAAGCAGTTGTTTTTCCTCATTAGTTTTTTCCTCTAGACTCTGGGCAGTGTGGTGACCTTTTAGGGGAATTCGTTGTGTCTTTTATATATCACACACTCTGTAAAAAAGGTACGCAAAGAGTGTTGTCTTCTTCCAAAAAAACAACAGCATCTCTCCTCCTAAAAGCTTTGTTCTCTTCTAAACGCTTTGGGGTGTGTGTTTACGCGCGCGCATTCTTCTTAATGCGCTCTGTCTTCTTTGTCTTCTTTCGTGATATGATCCGATGCTTTATTACAGTTGTGCCCGTTGAGAAAAAAATGAGAGGACAGTCAAAACCAAAAAAAAGAAAAAAAAGGAAAAAAACACTGATGACAAAAACTGACAAATTTCTCTTCACAACAACAACACAGAATTTTTAAAATACACGAAAGAAGAAGGATTTGAATGAAGAATACTAACACCACCATCGAGAAGAAGAAGAAGAAGAAGAGAGGAAGAGAAGGACGAAGAAACAGTAGTGTTTTCGCCATTTCCGCCTTTTCCTTGGTTTCTTCGCTTTCATGATACGTGTTGGAGAGGCGGCGGAGGCGTGCGTGAACCCGACGACGGCTTCGTTAGGTTTATCGCTGAATAATCCGAAACCGGCAGACTTGAGGAAGGACACTGGATGCACGTATAATGCCGGCACGGAAACGTACGTCGATCCTGGGGATTCGACAAAGTCGAAAACGTTGACGTATAGCCCGAGCGGGAGCGCGGTGAGCACGAACGCGCACATCTACAACTCTTTCGAGGCTGGGTTTTCCGATAAGCAAGATAAAGTCATTGAAGGTTGGGGATGTTCCACGCCGAGCGATCTCTATGATAATGCAGGAGGTTTAGATCTCGGCTTGGCGGAAAGTAAAGTCAGGAAATTGTGTTACGATTCTGTCGCGTGGTCGTTTCCGAACGTTCAAGCGGATGACTCGTATCGCGGATGCGTCGGCCCGTGCGGCGGACACACGAGCGATTACCATTTCCACGGACGGTATCACTGTTTGTATTCGCAATCTGGTGCGCACTCGACGAAAATTGGCGACGTCGGGCCGTACATCATGTACGGGAAGTGGGAGGATTTCGAGAACAAAAAGTTGCCGCACTTGGACGCGTGCGGCGCGCACATCGGGAAGACTCCGGATTCGCCAGCGAATGACGTGTACCACTACCACGCGCAAGACAGAGGACCGTACGGCGTCGGCTGTTTCGGCGATGGCACGAACTTGGTCACCGTTGAAAAATGCAGATCGTTATACCCCGAGTGCAACGATGCCCAAGCCGAAACATTCACGGACATGCCGCAACCGGACGGCACGAAAAAAACGTTCGAGTACGACCGCGATTGTCCGTGCTTCGACGCCAACGGATTAAACACCGGTACGATTACCGAGCGAGCGATTATCGCGGCACCGACGGTTCTTTCGTACGACGCGAGCGAGTGGACGTGCGGAAGTGGCGTGAGTTGCATGCAAACCGTGGAAAAAACGCTCGGGTATACCGATTACGTTGGTTCCGATAGTACGACTACTACTACTACAACTACGGATACTACTACTACTACGACTACTACTGATACGAGTACGTCTGGAGGCGCTTCAACCAAGGCGATGCTGGCGACTGCTGGCGCAACCATCATGGCTGCGTTGCTCGTCTAAATGAGAGAGAAAATGGTAACATTACGTATCAAAAGAAAAATGTACATATTTATGACGAGTAAACTCGGATTTAAGAAAGAAACGCTCGATAACAAAGAAGAAGAAGATAAAGAAGATAAAGAGGAAAACATATCATTAATCGCCAAGAATCTACTTTGATGATACTTTCTCTATCTCTGTCTCTCTCTTGAAAAAAATTTATTATTCCCACGCCGCTCTGTCTTCCTTCCCATCCTCGAACGCTTTAATCCCGGCGAGTTCCACCACGCGATCTCTCGTTTTCTTATCCACAGATTTTGCCTCTTTCGCGCGTCTCGCCCGTTCTTCTTCGCTGACGGCGCCTCCGGTGCCGTAAATCAAACCTTTCGCGGCGAGCTCTTCCGCGCGTTTCAATTCCGGTTCGGCTTCTTTCGCGAGCTGCAAGCGCACTTGTTCGACTTTTTCGTTTATCGCGGGCGTGTTTTCGTTCAGCCATTGTTTTACGGCATCCTCGACGGAAAGATTTGAGGATGATGAGGACGACGCCGTCTTCAGCGCGACTTTTTGCGTCTCCACCAAAGCTTCGTTCCAGACTCTCTGCGCGCCGTCGTGCTCTAACCACTCGTATTTGAATCTCACTTTCTCGCCTTTTGTGAATCGAATTTTGGAAACGTCGATGTCTCCGTTCTCGTCTTTCGGCAACGCCTTCCTCGCGTCTTCGTCGTTCGCGCCCGCGACGTTGTGCTTTTCGATGTACTTTCGTTGGAAACACTTCCGGTCGGCGGACATGCACGTCACCGCGTCTCTCGGCGTGTCTAAAAACGAGTTGTGGCACAACTCGTGCGTTTTCGGTAATGCGCAAATTAACGTTTTTTTTGCTAAATCTTCCTTCAAACTCTTCTTGGCTAATTTTGTGCCTTTCTCGTGGTGAAAATTTTTCTCCGAAGCAAACAAGGTGTAAATGTTCTGGTTATTTCTTTTCGTCGCTTCGTCTTTCTTGTCCGTTAACTCTTTCTTTTGCACGTCTCGATGGCGATTTTGGTTCCCGATTGCCGTTAAATCCTTATCGATTCGATGGAGCCATTTTGGATCGTATAAGCCAACTTTGAATCCTTCGCTCCACATGCGAACGGAAATTTCGAAATCGAACCCTTGCGCCATCTCGCCCGCGCACGAGAATTGATCGTGAAACCCTCCGGATGATAAGAAAATGGACTTTCGAAACAACATCGGGCCCATGTTCACTTTGTACATCCAGAGAAAAGGAACGCCGAGTTCGCTGTCGACGTACGCGATCGGGCGAGTCTCGCGATCGGATTCAAAGTTACCGCCGAATTTCGAGCCGTCGTTTTGGTTGGACGATGTCTTCATTCGAGAACCGTCGTCGTACCGGCCTCGGTAGGCACCCAACAAAGCCAAGTCTTTGTGACGACGCATTAAAGATAAACCGTCGAGAAGCCAGGATAAAGAGCTCGGGTCTGTCACGTCAGGTTTATCGTCGTCTTGCGCAAAGACGAGTAATTCAGCCGTCGCGACGTGCGCCAATCGATTATACGCTCGGAGTTCGTGAATATCGTTGGAAAATGACAACACGAACGGCGAATCGTGATTACCGGTTTGCTTCTTAAACTCCAACGCATGCTTGACCCAGTTATCAGATTTTTTATACCCGGAGTCTACGTTTGCCAACACTTCCATCGTGAACGAGGAGGGCGAAGATATCGACGAGTGCTTGACGCTCTTCGCCAACGCGTCGAAAATCTCACCCAACGTTTTCGCTCTGTTGAAGTATTGCATGATGAACGTCGCTTGAACTCTTCTCTTTCGTTTGTTAATGTTGTCGTTATTAGATGAAGTGGGACAGAACAAACTCTTTTCGTTCCTCTTCGAGGCTGATTTGCATCCTAAATCAAACGCGCCGTCGACGCCGCCGCGGTTGGAGTTCGCTTCCCATTTACCGTCCATAATGTCAATACCCTCTTCTTCTTCTTCAAAAAGTAGTCTTCTGTTGCCGCCGTCGTTCCTACTGCTGCTATCTCTATTATTACCACTACCAATACTACTACGCGATGATTTATCGATTCTTTTCAACTTCCTCGGCAATCGTTTAAACTCCATGCCTTTATCGACCATGACGGACATTAAGCTCTTCTCGGTTTTCGCGCACCCGGAGGATCCATCTTCACTCGTCAGCGCAAACTTTGCTTCCCACGCTCTAATAACCATCGCCGGTCGCTTCGCGCCTTCAAATCCGCTCACGTTGTCGTTCCCGCCGAACAGAACCGCCGCGACGGTCGGTTCCGTTCGAAAGACTTTCACCAGTGCCATTTTCGTCCACTCCGCCGAGGGAACGATCGCGTTCAAATCCGCGACGATGGCAAACTTCGCTCTCGTGAATTTCACGCCTCTCGCGATCGCGTCGTCGTAATCGGAAATTTCATTCAGCGCTCGTGTATCGCCATCGATAATCGCTAAATAGAAATCATTCTCGCGGAACAAATGTTTCTCTAAATCCTCTAAAACCTCCTCCGTCTCTTCGTTCACCCCGTACACGACTAAAACCAACTCCCCGTCCGAGTGCATCTCAGACTTCTTATCCCTCTCGTCCCCAAACGCCATCCGTAAATTCTCCGTAAACTCCGTCATCGCGTCAATCGACTTCGATTTAATCTTCATCAAAGATCTCGCGTGTATCGCCGACACGACGGCGACGGGCGGAAAATCTTCATGCGTAAGTCTTTTCCCACATTTAGTATGACTACTACTGCTACCACTGCTCTTATCATCGTTCTCATAAAGTCGTCTGGATGGTTTCATCGCGATCGATCGTGCACATTTCCTCCCGTTCATTGGCGTTTCCGCGGTATTCGTGAAGAGACTGACCTCTTCCTCTTCCTCTTTTGCCTCAAATGTCTCATCATCAAAGGCATCGATGAACGCGTCTCGAAACTTCCCCATTCGTTTCTTGTAATGCGTATTCGAGTCATCATCATCGATGTCGTTATTCTTCGTCTCGTCTTGGTCCCAATAGTCTGAATCTCCTTCCTCTTCGTCGAGAAACTCGAAATCGAATTCGTCCTTTACAGCGGGGGAAAACCTCCTCTTCTCGTCGCGCATCATCCGTAAAGTCTTCTTTGTTCTCGACAGAGGCGCGGTAAACGTCAGCGACATCGCGAGGAGTGAAAAGAAAACGACGAATACGAACACTCGTCCTCTTTTTCGCGCGGTGTTGGTGTTTGCGTGCATTTTATGGTGCGCTCCTTTTCAGTGCAACGAGTGACGCTTTGGGGGAAAGAAAATGCTTTCATCTGTGTGAGAGACATAAACGTGCGGAAACGCTGGACGAGGAGGACTTTTTACGACGATTGAACGATGACGACGGCGAGGAGAACACATCTGCTCGTTTTGAGGTTTAGGAAGGCCTTTTCAATACCATGACGAAGCTTTTGATGCTGTTTTCATCCGAGGAGACTTTAAACGCACATGCGGGAACATGTGATCACAGATTCGTGATTTTACGCGTCATTCGACGACACTTCACGCGTGCTCGAGAAAAACGTAAATCAACACAACTCAAAATTCCACGCGATCGATGTGTACGTGAAACGCTCCGACAAATCGCTCTGCTCGCGCGTAAAACATATTTTCGCATCACCGCGCATCAAAACGTAATCGTCATTTAGAGAGGCGAATTTCCTCCAACGAAGACGTTTTTCCAAAGGGAGCAACCCGTCATTCCATCGCACAAAAGGAACGAGTATACGGACGTCGCGAGGGTCCCCGAACCGTTCTGAACGCGCCTCACGACTCCACGTAAGGAGCACAATACATGCACCCACCTCTGACCCTCTCCAAACACCCTCTGTGTCGCCAAAACGTGCAAAACTTACAAAGCTGTCACACGACGAACCCGTGGTACGAAAAGTGGTTCCTCGGGAAATGCAATCGAGAAAAGTGGGAGCTGGACGAGTGCTTGAAACTGCAGAAGATCTTTAAAGCGAAAAGGAATAAAGAGAAAGGGGAGAAGTATAAAGAACGGTTAAAAGAGAGACACGTATTTGAAGAGAGGGAGAAGAAGAGAGAGGAGTGAGAGAGCGATGGAGGAGGGAAAGAAGGAGGAAATTCACGTGCTTGTTCTCGTGACGGGATCGGTCGCGGCGATGAAATGGGTCGAACTTATTCATAAAATAACGGACGAGTACTTCGACGATGAAGCACATAGAGAAACAACGAAGTTATGTATTCACTCGGTGGCGACGAACGCGGCGAAACCGTTCATCGAGGCGACTGAGTTTGGCGGCGCGTTTCCCGCGGGCTCGCTCGTACCTACGAACGACGAGAACAAACGTTCTTTGGATCAATTGAGAAAGAAGAAGAACGAGAGAAACTATTCCAATGGCGGCGGCTTATACGATGAGGTGTTTGTCAAGTTGGGCCCGTTTACAGTTGACGGATACCCGAATTGCGTCGTGCAAAATTACAACGACGCGTCCGAATATAATCAAAGCGGAGGATGGCAAAAACGAGGCGACGTGGTGACGCACATCGATTTACGAAACAAAGCAGATATTTGCGTCATCGCGCCGTGCTCGGCAAACACGTTAGCAAAAATAGCCAACGGATTATGCGACAATCTCGCGACGTCGATACTCCGCGCCTGGGATTTTACCAAGCCGCTTCTCATCGCGCCGGCGATGAACACTTACATGTGGCAAAACCCAATCACGAAGAAACACATCGACGCGATTAAAGAAAATCACGGCAAACAACCTTTCGGCGACGGCGTGCAATTCTTAGACCCGATCGAGAAAACGTTGATGTGTGGGGAGATGGGCGTAGGCGCCATGCGCGAAACCGTCTCGATTGCGAAAAACGTGATACGGGTTTTGAACGACTATCTTCAGAAGAAGAAGACCGAGAAGTAAACGAGAAGTAAACACGTAAAAGTAGCACATATATATAGCAGAAAGAGAGAGCATAAGAGAGTAGCCGTCGTGTAATCATAACCGCAAATAATGAGAAGAGAAAGACCGCCGCGCATCGTCGCCCGAATCGAGAGTTTTCTCACATTTTATCCAAAACGAAAAGCTTCGTGTCGTCAGAATTCCTTCTCGCACTTATTTATTCACGACGACGCACGCACGCATCGATCGTTTTTGTCGAAACCATCATGCTCTTCAGAGCGGGCGTAAAACTCACTCGCCGTTGCTTTTTCTCCGCTGCAAATTATCATCAAAACGCGACGACGAGGAGGACTTTACCGACGAAATGGATGACGCGACGGAAACACGTCGTCGTTCTCCCCGGGCGGTCGGTGTCGTGTTCGGCATCATCCTCCGACGCAGAAAAGGCACGAAACGATGTGACGATGAGTAAACCGCAAGAGGTGTGGAAAGCGTCGATTGATTTTAAATCCATCCGCGAGAACCAATCGCACGTGGAGACGAATTGTTTGAACCGAAACGTGACGAACGTTTCCGTCCAATTCGTGGTTTCGCAGTACGAAGCGTTCGTCGCGTTGGACCAAAAAGCGGATTTGTTGCGAGCGAGTCGGAACGAAAACGCGAAGAAAATGAAAGGGAAGATGGAAAAAGTCATCAGAGATGAATTAATCGAGGAAGGGAAAAGGATTAAAGACGAATTAGCGCTGATTGAAGTTGAATTGAATGACATTTCCGACGCGTTGCAGCGAGAAGCGCAAAAGATTCCGAACGATACGCACCCGGACGTACCGATTGGAGGCGAAGAGTTCGCGACGGTGATGGAGGTTGTGGGAACGCAGAGAGATTTTGGAGCGATGAAGTGTCGAGATCACGTGACGATTGGTGAAACGTTGAACATGTTTGACTTTGAGACGGCGTCGAGGGTCAGCGGCACTCGATTCGTTTATTTAACCGGCGTCGGCGCCATGCTCGAATTGGCGTTGATTAACTGGGCGATGCAAAAAGCCATCGCGAAAGGGTTTGAACCGATGGTTGTTCCCGATTTAGTCAGAAAGTCAGTCGTCGAAAAGTGCGGGTTTCAACCGAGAGCGGAAAACACGCAGGTGTATTCCGTGGAAAATTCCGATTTGTGTTTAGCCGGCACCGCGGAGTTGTTGTTGGGCGGTAAGTGCATGGACCAAACGTACGAGGAGAAAGACTTGCCGAAAAAATTCGTCGCGTTTTCGCACTGTTTTCGAACCGAAGCCGGAGCAGCCGGAGCGGCGACCAGAGGCATGTATCGTTTGCACCAGTTTTCCAAGGTTGAAATGTTCGCCGTGAGCACGCCGGAAGCGTCGAACGCAATGCACGAAGAGTTGTCAAACATCGAGAAAGAAATGTACGCGGAATTAGGTTTGCACTTTAAAGTATTAGATATGAGCTCGCACGATTTAGGCGCTCCGGCGTATAGAAAGTTTGACATCGAAGCGTGGATGCCGGCTTTAGAGAGGTACGGGGAAATCTCGAGCGCGTCGAATTGCACGGATTTTCAAGCCAGACGATTGAACATTAAATACAGGCCAAACGCGGTGGACGGTAAGAAACAGCCGTTGCAGTTCGCGCACACGCTAAACGCCACGGCGTGTGCCGTTCCGAGAATGATTATTTGCATCTTGGAAAACTTTCAAAACGAAGACGGGTCGGTCACCGTGCCGGAAGCGTTGAGACCGTTTCTGGGTGGCATGGAAGTTTTCCGTAACCCAGCTGCTATTTGAGGAGTAAAAAGAGAGGATAAAACGAACACTGTTTTTAGTATTACTATCCATACGCGCGATGATACTTACCGTTTCTCTTTAAAATAAAAAATAAATCTCTCTCTCTCTCTCTCTCTACTAATGTTGTTGTTAATGTTGTTGTTGTTGTCGTTGTTGTTCTTTCAGTATTATTATATTTTATTGCTTAGCCTTCCACGCGTCGATCCACTTCTGCGCGTCTTGCGCCGGGTCTCCCGAACCGCCTCCAGAAGAGGATTTCCACGCGTCAATCCACTTCTGCGCTTCGTCAGCACCACCACCTTTACCAACACCAGCGGCACTCTTCTTCGCCGCTCTCGGTGCCGCCGCCGGCAACTTCGGCTTGTTGTCCTTGTTTTCCGTAATCTTGACGATAAACGCGGCGGACAAAACAGACGCGATGAACGTGACGATTTCGTTATCGCCGTTCGCGGTGGATTTGTTCTCCGCGCTTCTTCTTTGGAAGCCTTCCGCTTCCCCAGGGCCAGATCGAGTGAACTCATACGTTGGTTTCGGCTGCACTGGTCTCGGGGCTTTCTCCTTCTTCGGGGCGGGCGCCGGCATGTTCGAAAAGTTCGCCTTGGTGCCCGGCAACAAGAATCGAGAGCCTTCGGAGGAAGACGAATCGGCGGCAGCTTTCTCCTTCTTCGGAGCTTTCTCCTTCTTCGGTTTTTCCGCCTTTGGCTTAGACGGCGTCGTCGAGTTCATCATCTCAGACCAGTTGATCGGGGAATCGTCCATGGCCGCCTTCGGTTTCGGCGCGGCCGGTGCGGGTGCAGGCGTTGGCGCCGGTTTCGGCGCCGGCGCCGGCGTCGGTTTCGGCGCCGAAACCGCCGGGGCTGCCGCCTTCACCTTCGGCGCCGGTTTTTCCGCCTTCACCTTCTTCTTCGCGGGAGCTTCTTTCCTCGGTTTCGCCGCGGGTAACGCCGGTGCCGATTTCACCGCCGGTTGTTCGACCAACTTCGCCGTCTCCGTCCCTTCGAATCGAGACTTCACTTTCGCCGTTTGCCCTTTCGACGCGTACATGGCTTCCAAATCAAAACCCGCTGAATCCGCGGCATTCGCAACACCACTCATTCCCGAAGAACCAAGCGTCGCAATCGTCGCCGCTACTAACGCTGCGTTTTTCATTCCGTTTGAATCAGTCATGCTTGATTTGTCGTCTTCATCGGATTTTGAGGCTTTGCACGCGACTTTCGTCTTCTGTTTTTTTATTTTTAGAGTAGTATTAATTGGATAAAGTTTCGTCAGAAAAATTTAGGGTAACAACCAAAACCCTAAACAAGAAGAAAGATACGCTGGTCTTGGTTTTCCGATTGATCTCTTTCCCAAGCGAGCAAGCTCTTAAGGGAGGATTACGATGATAAAGAGATGAAAGACACGCGAAAGAGAGGAAGACAGAAGAAGCCAAACGACTTTAACAAAAGAGAGAGAGAGAGAGAGAGAGCAAACGGTTCTCTTTCAGCATTCACACGCTTCTTCTCTTCTTCACTCGTTATTATTCTTGCTCTCGTATCATCAAAGAAGAGAGCAAAGAGAGAGGGAAATTATCCGTAACATTTTATATATCTCTTTTATATAAAAAGCGGTTGAATAAACGAATAACGACAGAGACAAAGAGGAAAAAAGACGAGGAAATCGTTCATACCTTAGCAGTGCTCTTCTTCGCTTTGACGGATGATATTTTGGTCGTGCCGTTGTTCACGAGTACGCGTGAGTTCGAAAGCATCATCATCGTCTTCGTCTATGTGGCAATAAAAGTGAGACAAAAAACGGAGATTTTAGAGGGAGATTTCTTAGAGGTTTAGGGTTTGTAATTTAGTGATGAATATACTTGTTAAATGAAAACCTACTCCTATCTGTCGTTCATACCACGTGAAATCCATCGCTTCCCATCAGCACAGCGAAATTAAGCCACGTTGGGCGCCAATAGTATTGCGGTTAGTAATAACGTGAGAAGTCGGCGTGATGACAGGTTTTCTTTTTGCTTTTTGTACGTGTGTTTCTCTTAATTTCAATTCTGAGCTGTTTCTGGTACCATATCTCTATCTCTCTGCGTATATTCGCGTATTTCGCGCGTTCGAAAACGGAAGCTGTTTCTCCTTTCTCGTATTCTTTTTTTGTTGATGAATGATACCTGTGATTTTAAATCGTGTGTAGCTCTCCATGTTCGTATCGCCAACCATCTGGTAATGGGCAGTCGTTGTCGAGGAGGTATTGTACACATTCGGGGTGTTTGTTCTCGTGCGCTACTCGTACGGCCAAATAGTCCCAAGGCGCTTTGGCGGTTTCGTGTAAGTACTGCAAACAGTCCAAGTGACCGTTCTCGGCTGCATTTCGACACGCATATTTGCTATATTGATCAAATTTACGCTCGACAAGATATTCGAGTATGTGGAGATGACCATTTTCAGCCGCCCGTGAGGCAGTACTCGAATCCCAAGGCGCTTTGGCTTCTTGGCGTAAGTATTTGAGGCACTCGAGATGACCGTATCGGGCAGCACATGCACACGCCTCCACATCGATAGGACACTCATTTGCAACGCAATACTTTACCATATCTAGATTACCTTGACGTGCGGCCGCATTAATCGTCCCTCCACCCCACTCACACTTTTTCTCCTCTCGTATCCACTTGAGCAACTCGAGTTTATTCGTTAGAGCAACTCGAATGCAGAACCATATTTCGTCCAACCATCTCGGCCACAACGATTTATGCTCCCACGCAACTTCCAACGTCGATATCGACGACATCTCTTTGACTTTAAACCCCTCTTCCAACTCCCCCTTGCGAGACGATCTCTTAATCAAAGCTCTCGTTTCACTGTTCACCTCGTACAAGAGTTTGAGATCCGCTCGATTCAATCTCGGTAAAATATGAGTGAAACAAATATCGTCGCACTTCACGATCGTGCCCCACAAAGAATCATCCCTTCTCTCCCCTTCGACGACCGTCATCATCCTTTGTTGTGTCTTCTCTTTAACTTTGTCTTCTTCTTTAAACTCTCTTCTTCTCGTAAAGAATAAATGATAGACGATGTGTCTTTAAAACAACATGTGATTGGTTTTCCCAAGAAAGAAGAAAGACAGAAAGAAAAATAAAATTTAGGGTCTTATACCCTAACACAACAACCCAAGAGGGACACAAAGACAGTCGAAAACGCCACTTTATTAGAGTGCGCATCTCACCATGCCTCCGAAGGCAAAGAAGAAGACCACGACGACGACGAGTACTTCTGCTTTTGCTTCTGTTGGTGGTGTTCCTCCTCCTCCTTTACCTCTTCCAAAAAAGACGACGCAGACTTCTCTCGGGGAAACGATGACGATGAAAAATGTTTCGTCTTCTTCGAAGCGAACGAAGTCTGCGAATACGAACGCGACGAAGAACACAACCGTTCCTCCTCCTCCTAATAATAAGAGTACGAAGAAGAAAGAAACATCAACGATGAATATCAGTAAACCTTTATCCGCGTCTGAAAAGCTCCGGTTGAAAGAACAAATCGAAAGAGACGCCTTTGCATCGAAAGAAAAAATCCGGATCGAAAACGAAAGGAAAAGCAACGAAGAGAAGGAAAAACTGTTCCTCAAGAAGAAAAAAGAACTGGACGTGAGAAAGCAAACGAGACTGAAAAGAGAAAAGCTACGATTAAAAAACGAAGAATTCGATGCAGTTTTAAAGGAAAACGATAAATCGAAAGAAAAAGAAATGGAAAACAAGTTACGCCAGATGGATTCCGCGATCAAGAAGAACGTCGCGCTGGTGAAAAAGCTGAAAACGAGCGCGATTACGGAAGCGACATCTGTGACTTTAAAAAGCGATTTTGAATCGAAAATAAACGCGTCGAAATATATGGAAGAATGTATAATTGCCATCTCGAGAGGGAAGTTGAAAGGATCGGACGCGTTTTACGCTGCGGAGGTTATACATTCAATGTTTGGGCAACTGTTTCAAAAGAATCAAAGGACGGAGATGAAGGAGATGTTGAAGAAGGAAATTTTGGCAATCGCGACGCCGATGAGTAGCGCAGAGGCTGCACAGATGGCTTTAGAAATAGGATTAGGATTAGGAGTAGGGTTAGGAATAGGAGGAGATAGTAGTGTTGGAGGACAACAAGGAGAAGACCTTAACAACGACGACGACGACGAAGAGAACAAACCGCCGACGCCGTTGTTAAGAAGAGCGAAATTGTGTTTGTTGGCGGAATTATACTTGATATCGATCATCGATTCGCCAAAGTGCGTGTACGAAGTGGTTAAAAAACACGCGGAGATGGAGTACGACGTCGCTCCGGAAGCGTATTTGCAATCGTTGAGCGCTTTGGCGTTTTTCGCCAAGACGTATTCGCTGGAATTTTTAGGCAAAGAGGATGTGAAATTAATTTCAATTAATTCAACAGAAGGAGAAGAAAAAGAAGCAAAAACAGACGACGTAAACGACGTAAACGACGATGAAGAAAAGAATAGTGTCGTCGTCAAGTGCAAACCGGAGGTGTGCGAGAAATTCGCGCAAATTATCCACGAAAAGTACGAAAAGGACGCGTTGGTAAAATTAGCCGCCTCGGTACGACTGGCGAGCGCGAGGGAGGAGGACGTTTTGAGAGTTTTAAAAACCAAAGGCGAAGTTCCCGCGCAAGTGTCTTCGGCGTTTTCGAAAGCGACGGCGACGAGAGATGCGTTGTTGAAACAGTGTCAAACCTTAGCGGAAGCGTTGCGCGTGGATAAGATTCCAAAGCTGGAGGATTTCATGGACGACGATATCGACGATAAAGATAAAAATAAAGAGGCGAACAGAATTGAACTCGATCGAGGATTGAAACAACGAAACGCCGCTGCCGCAAACGAGAACAATTCCGATGTCAACGCCTCTGAGTGGGAAAGCGACGAGCAAAGACGCTTTTACCAAGATTTGTTGCCGATTAAAGAGTCGATTCCGGCGGTGCTTCTCGTTGAAAAGCCGGCGCTGGAGAACGAAACGGACGCAGAAAAAAAACGGAGAGAAGATCAAGAGTCAAAAGATTTCAAGGTGGACGCGTTGATGAATCGATTGCGGCGCGACTGCGAAAACGCGGAAAAAGTTGACGCGTTCGCGGTGGATTTCTGTTACGTCGCGACGCCGGGAGCCAAGAAGCGTTTGGCCGAGGAGTTGTTGTCGCCTCCGGAATTAACCAACATGAAGAATAACAACAACAACAACAACAACAACAACAACAACGCGATGACGGAGAATAGTAGCAACCAACAACAAAACGCTTTGTTGATGTCTCCGCTCGTTCCTTTTTACGCCAGAGTGCTTAAACTCATGTCCAAAGTCTTCCCAAAAGACATCTCGGACGTCGTCGCGAGTAAAGTTCTCGAGAAGTTTTTCAACCTGAACACGACGATTCAGACGACGACGACGCCGCAACCGAGATCTAATGTGCATTCATCATCTCAACAACAATTGTTGAAACAAAAGTTGCAAAACGTGCACTACGTTTCCGAGTTGATCAAGTTCGAGTTGATTGACCCGTCCGCGGAGGCCATGCAGTGTTTACAAATCTTAATCGAGAATTTCGAACGCGTGAACAGTTTAAACGCCGCACAAAATGGCGCGGTGGAGTTAATGTGCGCGTTCGTGTACAGGTGCGGACGGTTTCTGTGTAAATCCGCGAAATCCAAGAAGAGGGCGAATACGTTCCTCGACATCATTTTGCGCTTGAAATCAATCGTTTCGAAATATTTGGACGAGACGCAAATGGCGTTGGTCGACGAAGCGTATTACGCCGCGCGGCCGAGGGAGGTCTTTCGAACCACGAAACCTCCTAAACCAGTACTGTTCGAGTACGTAAAGTATATATTCGTGGAGCAAATGTCCGCGGATCCATCCTTGGCGAAAAGACAACTCGCGAAAGTCTTGAAACATTGCGATCAATTCGACGACGTGCACTTGGAAAGGTACCTCATCCGAAGGGCGATTAAGCACTCGCAACAAAAGTTTGACGACGCCGAACGCGTGGTGAGACTCATGAGCAAACTCTCGCAAAACCAAAAGGACGTAAAGAAGAACGAACTCATCGTCAAATTCACCGACGCCGCTTTAGAGGAGTTTCGTTTCGGTCTCGAGCAAAATCTGAGCCACATGACGCAACGAAGAGTCTCCAACGCTAGAGTGATTGGCGAATTATTCAGCCAAAGATGTTTACACGCCGAATCCATTTTCTCGTGCCTGTTCTTACTCTTGAATAATTTGGAACCGTTCAATAACGACTTCGATAGGAAAGATCCTATAAGAGTACGAGTGGCGAACGTCTTGCTCGAGAAATGTGGTCGATTTTTCAATCGAGGATGGCAGAAGAAAAAATTAGACGTCTTTTTGACGTATTTTCAGAGGTACATGCGATCGAAAACGTTAAGCATGGACGTGAACAACGACGCGGTGAACATCATCAAAGAGTTGAGGCCGCAAATGAAAATTTGCGAATCGTTTCAAGAGGCGCACGAGAAGTGCGTGAAAATGGAGGAGAGGTTTGGCGTCGTTTCATCGAGCGCCGTCGAAGGAGAGAAGAAAGGCTCCGGCGGTTTAGGAACGTTGGCGGAGGATGAAGAGATGGAGGAAGAAGAAGAAAACGGTGATGATACCGACGACGACGACGACGACGGTGAATCAGAGACTTTAGAAGACGACTACGCTTCGTCAATGTCTGGTGATTCATCGGACGATGACGAAGATGAAGAGGAAGAAGAAGAGAGCGACGAAGACGACGACGATGATGATGATGAAAGCGTATCATCGTCCGACGACAGTAACGTCAGTTTTTCATCTTCAGAATCTTCAGAATCGTCGTCGTCGGAAGAACAAGAGGTCGAAGTGCGAATGAAAACCGTCGTGGCGTCGCGCCAAGAAGAATCTGAGTTTGAGCGCGAGATGGAGAAATTTTTGGGCGTCGGTAGCGTCAAGGTAAACAGAAACGACGAGAACAAACAACAAACAACCGCGATACCTTCGGGGCCAAACGTTGGAAAGTCACCACCACCAGCATTTGCGGCACAATCCATCGCGTTCAAAATGATGCGCAAAGGTAAAGACGGTAAACGAGAAAAGGTTGACATCGCGCTCCCGGAAACCGCCTCGTTCGCGATGGAAGCGAAGAAGCGGCAAATCATGGAAGCCGAGGAACTCTCTGAAGTGCGTCGATTGACGTTACAAAGAACCGCGGACATGCAAGAAGAAGCCATTTCATTAGAGAAACAAAACAAAGAAGGGGGCATCAATAGCATGAGTTGGAGGAAAAAGAAATCGAGCGGCGATGCAGACCAGGACGGCGAGAGTAAGAAGGATAGCTTTTGGAACGCCCACCGACGATTGTAAAAAACACAAGCGCGCATATATGGAAACTTTTAGAAGACAACACCAACTTCCTCTTCTTTCTTTTCGACCACCTTCTTCACCACTTCTTTTTCTTCTTTTTTCTCTTCTTTCTCTTCTTCCTTTGTCAAATCCGTAAACGTATACGTTTGGCTTTCGAATGCGGAAACGCCGTCAATCGCCTCGAGTTGCTTCACAACGTCTGCTTCAAAAGTAAACTCATCGCACTCCCAAACCGCGAAATTCGATTCGTGTAACGTGACGATCAACTTAAAGTCGTGACAGTCCCCGCACACGACGCGGTGAATAGATTCCAAGCCGTTCAGAGCACGCATTCTGTGCAAATGCGCATCAATGACTAGAACAAATGATGTCAAAATGAATTTTGAGATCAGTAAAAAAAGGCGTTACAGTACGAGAAAAACTAAAAGTCGCGCGCGTAATGACGACGACGACGCAAAAAAGAAACCATTTAAAAAAAGAATACCATCTTGACACTCAGTCAGAGCCTTTTTGTCTCTCCATTTCAACCTATACTCTCTGCTCACGTTCGTGAACGACACGTTGGGCGTGATTTGAGTCGGCATGTGATTGTTTTTTTTTTAATAATGCGAATAAAAATGAGATTTTCACAATACTACTACTACTAAAAAATCTCTTTCACATGTTCTCCAACGCTTCCTCTAAAGTACCGAACGCGACAGACGGGGCACCCGGAGTGCTCTCACTTTTCGCTTTCTTCACCTTCTCGTCGTCTTTTGAATCGTCGTCTTTATCGCCGCTAGTAGTAGTAGTATAAAACACTTTTACTGAATTCAAACCTAAACTTTTGCAGACGTAGTCGCTCGTTTCTTCGAAGACTCGAAACTCGTCAAAGACCGTCGTGTTCTCCAACGCACTCGCGCCGTCTTCCGCTAACGCGTTGACTTCGTCCATTTTGAATTTAATAAACGGCATCATGACTTTAATCGCGCCTTTGAAGTTCCCATCCGCGACTTCTTGCAACAATTCGGTGGCATTTTTCAGAGCGTCCATGACTTCTTTCGAGTCTAATTTCGATCGCGAGTGTTTCTCTTTCATAATTTGCAAACACTGAGATCTCCAGCCGATGAACTCTTTCGCGACGTAGATTTTCATATCCGTCACGGTTGTTTTCACCGTCGCTTTACCTTTCTTCGGCGGCGCTTGGACTTTGGCGATCATTTTACGCCAGTTGGAAATTTCCTTGTTTACGTGCGCGTTCGCTTTCATGAGCGCGACGTCGACGTCTTTGGATTTCGACGGGAATCCGGCGTTGACGACGTGCTTAGATTTCTTCTTCAGAACGTTCTTCCACACGTGCTCGCACGTGTGCGGACACACCGGCGCTAAAAGCAGCGTTTGCACTTCGACGAAGAACTCGATCAAATCCAATCGCATTTCCTTTTCGCCGACGGCTTGTCGATATTCGTCTCTCGCCGCTTGCAAGTTGTAAAAGCCCGTTCGCAAGGCTTCGCGAAACATCATGTTTTCGTAGTACTTTTGCGTTTCTTCGATGGCGAAATTGATGGAATTTTCAAACGCGCGGTCGGCAAAATCATCACCACTTTTATCGTCGTCTCCTTTAATCCTAAGCTTTTTGCGTTCGTCTGAACTTTCGTTCATCATCGATTCCATCCAATCGCACTCTTTCGTCAGGCGCAAGATTGCGGCGTTGGCGGTTTCGTCGGAAAAGTTGGCGTCTTCGACGGTATCGCCGGCATCCGCTAACGCGAATCTCACGGCGTCCGCGCCAAATTCTTCAATCGCTTGGCCTAAGGTTTTGAAATTCCCGGTGGATTTACTCATCTTATCGCCGTTTAATAACAAGTGGCCGTTGCATCGGAACGCTCTCGGCCACCTGTTTTCTTGACCTTCCGGCCAAATCGCCGTGTGCGAGTACATGGAAAACGTCAAGTGGTTTTGGATTAAATCTTTCCCGGAAACTCTCAAATCGAACGGGTACCAGTAGTTAAACTCCGCGATGGCTTTATCCAAAACATCTCTCGGAAATTCCGATTCGCTCGGTTTCTCCGCGCCTAAGAAAATGCAGTCCCAGACGGCGTCGGTCAACTTGGACGGTTCCACGGACCCAAATTTCTTGCCGTACATATCGTAATCACCTTGAAACAAGTGCGCGACGGTATAATACGCCATGTATATGGTCGAGTCAGATAAGGATTCGATCAAAAATTGATCGTCCCACGGGACTTTCGTACCTAAACCGAACGATCGAGAACACGCCCACTGTCTTAACCACCCTAAAGTGTGTTCAAAATTCTTCTTGGACTCCTCGTGGTACGTGTTCATTTGGTTCAAGCACTTCTCCGTGACGTCTTTCCAATTCTCTTCGCCGTATTCCAAATACCACTGGTCGGTTAACGCCACGACGCACTCGCCGCCGGATCGAGACATGACCATTTTTTCCGGCTCGGAATAAATCAAACCGGTATTCGCCTCGACCATTTCTTGCTTAATAATCGGTTTGACTTCCTTCACCGGTTTCCCTTTATACTCGCCGACAATCATGACGCCGTCTGTGAAGCCTTTTAAATACGTTCGGTGTTTCGCTTCGTCCAACTTTTGTCGATCGTTTTGCGATTTGATTTTTAACTCTTCGCAAACCGCCGGCGCGGAGGCGTCGCCGTACCCCGGTATGTTGATGATTGGAATCACTTCGAACGGTACGACCCACTCGTCTTTGACGTTAAACTTAGCTCTTAACGCTTCTTTCGATTTCAAATCCGATAAGGCCATAAAATCATCCGGAGAATCCGACGGGACCGAGGTGACCACGCCGGTACCTTTGGTCATGGAAATCGTCAACATCGGCAACACGTAAATTTTCTCCAACACCGCGTTCGGCGCTTTGACCGAGCACCCCATCAGTTCCGAACCTTTCATCGTGCACAACAACTTTGGTTTCCCTTCCTCTTCGAATTGTTCTTGGTACGATAAATTCAATGCGGCTCTTTCCGCCATGACGAAAACTTCTTTTGATTTCAATTCGTACGCGCCGTATTCGCCCTCCGGTAAGATCCAGCAGTTCGTTTGTCCGTACATCGTCTCCGGCCTCAAAGTCGCCGCGGCTAAGAACACCTCTTTCCCTTTCAACGGTTTCAAGCACTCCAACGTCTCAAAATTCTCCTCTAAAACGTGCATTTTTATGAGTAAATACTCTTGCGGCCCGACGCCTTCGCCCGAGGCTCGATCGTGATCCGCGCACGGTTGCTTGTCAATCGGCGAGTACACCGCGTACCTTTTCGCCTTGACAATCTTCCCGAGTTTTTTCAGCGTGTTGAACTGCCATCTCACGAAACTATCGTAGAATGGATTCACATCGGTCGTAATGAACGACCTTCTCCAATCGACTTGACATCCTAATAAGGCGACGTCTCTCTTCGCCAGCGGCGGAAAATATTCCAACCAGTGCATGGAATCCGCGAAGGACGGAATCTCCTCGTCCGCAATCCCGCTCGCTTGCATGATCCCCCACTGCGTGGCTTGCTTCCCAGTCTTCGCCGCCGCTTTCGATTTCTTCGCCGCAAACTTCGTCGGGTCTTTAAACTCCTTTTCTTCCTTCTTCTTCTCCGCCTCGACGGCCTCCGCGTCCGCAGTCTCCATCGACGGAAATATCGGCGGGTTCCCGTACGTCTTAATTTCTTTCTCAATCTTATCCGCGCACGCTTTTATCGGCATCCCCGTGCAGTGAAACCCAAACGGGAACAAGACGTTCTCTCCTTTCAATCGGTGGTACGCTGATGCGAATTCTAGCTTGGAGAGCGAGAACGCGTGCCCCAAGTGTAACAAACCGTTCATGTAAGGGTAAGGGAAGTTGCCAAAAAACTTAATTGTCTTCTCATCCTCTTTTGTTGCTGCGTTCACTTCGAAGACTTTGGATTCTTGCCATTGTTTTTGTGCGAGAGTTTGGTAGTAAGTGAGTTGGTCTCTTCGTGCCGTGGATCTTTGTTGCGTTTGTTGCTGTTCTTGTTCTTCTCCTTCCATGTTTACGATGCGTTTCGCTTCCCGCTTTAGGGCCGATATTTTCCCTTAAATGTGTGCTTCTAAAACCACTTTAAAAGAGGCGCTTTTACGTCTCTCTTATACTCTCTACCGATAAAAGGTAAAAAGTACCTCTCGTGTTGTCTCTTTTTATATACAAAACACGCGTCACGTCGCGCGTTACGTGTGCGTTTAATGCGCTTACGTGCGCGCAAAAGTAGAGGAAAAAAAAAAGAAGAGCGAAAGCCTTTAAGACGACTAGGGTTTAACACCCTAAACAAAAAAAACGAGGGGAAAAAAAGCTTCAATTTGCTTCATTTTCGCGCGCATAAGTGCTCGATAAAACACACGTAAGACGACCATGGTCCGGGACGTGGACAACCACGGGCACAAAATCTGGTCCCCGTTCAGTTATGGTGGTATTCATTCTCCCATCGACGGGAATGCGAGTAAGAATACGTTCAACGATGCACAGAAAATGGAATTCGTGTTGCACGCAAACATCATCCATTCGGTACGAGTTTATATGCTCTCTGTAGTTTATGCGCGTCGCATTTCTCTCCCTCTCTCTCTTATGTGTGCGTGTTCTCATTTCTGACGACTTCTTTTGTTCTTCTTTTTACGAAACAGGAATACTTCCAAAACGCTTTAGTGCCGACGGAAGATATCGACGATTTGATCGATGAGATTTACAACGAGGTGAGTAATTAATTGGTTGTTGGTTTTCGATCGACGAGAGCGGATGATGAAGTATTATGATCCGCTTATTGCGTTTCAAGTTCGGGGTCGTCTTATTCTCTCTCTTTAACTCACTCTTTGTGTGTCTTCGTCGTCGTCTGAATCGTCTCGTACGATGTGCTTATTATTAACGCAAAACTCACCACTCGTCTTTATATCTATCGTCTCGCTCAAATCAAACGTATAATAAACAGGTATCGGACGTGGAACCGTGGATGTCCGGCAACGCTCGAGGCGCCTCGACGGCGTTTTGCATACTCTACCGAATCTTAGCCATGGAAAATGTGCCGCACTTTAAAGTGAACAAAATGATTTACCACCAAGATTCCGTGTACATACGATGCATCGGTTTGCTGTACGCGAGGTACAAGTTTTACAACGACGAGGAAAATTTGATGAAGTTTTTCTCCGAAGACGTGTTTAAAGATAAAAAAGAGATAAGCTTCGCGCCGTCCGTGGACGGGAAGAAGTTGACGTCTTTTTCTCAGTTCGCGATAGATTTAATCTGTTCTCAGGAGTACTTCGAGACGTTGTTCCCGAGAATACCGGAGGTTTTGAAGCGGAAAATGCAGGCGAAGATTGAATCGTGGTTGGACGGCGGAAAAAAAGTGGAAGCAAAAGGTGGCGGCGGCATCGGCGAGTGGCGGAGGAGTAAAGGCGACGGAAAAGGGAGAGTCATGTCCGTGAAAGAAAGTTTGAGCGTGAACGTCGGTCAGAGAGCGCCGCATTTGGCAAACGCGAGAGAACGAGGGAGAAGCGGCTTCGATCCGGAATCCTCCTCCTCTCGCGGCGGCGGCGGCGGCGGCGGAGGTTATCGTAATAAATATAGTAGCAGTAGCGGAAGGGGGAGTTTTTATCATCAGCGCGACGATAGAGGAGGAGAAAGAGGAGGAAATAGAAGAAGGGACGGGAGCAGAGACCGGTACGAAAACAACGACTACGGCAGAGGAGGAGTCCGAGGAGGAGTAGAGCGAAGAAGAAACAATTCAGACGACGACAATTATTACGACGACGACTACTACGGAAGAAGAGGAGAAGAAAGAGGAGGAAAAGGAAGAGGTGAAGAAAGAAGAGAATTGCCGTACGCGACGAGAGAGCTCCCGTATAAACGCTAATAGTATAAACACGAGCGGTTTTACGAGAATTCACCTACGTACTGGTACGCAGAGAAAAATGTGCTCCAAAACGCACAACGATTACTTCTTTACACGAGAGAGTGTTGAGAGCTTTTCCGGGTGTAATACACGCGAATACTAACACTAGCATCTATTCGATGAGAGAATCATTCAGGTTTTCGTCCTCGCTTTCCTCGTTTGATGTTGACATCATCCGACGCGTTAGAAAAAACTTCACCTATTTGCCTTCACAACAAAGAGCAGCTCTTTCTACTCAAACGGACAAACAATGACATCTTTCCGCCCATTCACATCCTTCGACCTCCTCAAATACAACCTCGTCAACACCGACGTGTTAACAGAAACCTACGGCTTATCTTTTTACCTCTCTTATTTAGCAAACTGGCCGGAATATTTCGTCTGCGCGGAGACTTTGAATCGTGAAATCAGCGGGTACGTCATGGGAAAATCCGAAGGAAAATCAAATCTCTTCCACGGACACGTCACCGCGATTACTGTCGCCCCTTCGTACAGGAGACAAAAATTGGCGAATAAATTGATGGAAACTTTAGAAGTAGTCACCGAAACGTTCCACTCGGAGGCGTATTTTATAGATTTGTTCGTGAGAGAGAGCAACGAAAATGCGATTCAAATGTACCGGAAAATGGGCTACGCGGCGTATCGAAGAGTCCTCGGATATTACGCCGGACCATCGACGTCATCGAATACTGACGATATAAACGACGAAACGAAGAACAAAGGGAATAAAAAAGGACCAATTTTAGGGGAGGACGCGTTAGACATGCGGAAAAGTACGAAACGAGATGTGCAAAAAGTGAGCGTCGTTCCCGCTCGGAGGTTCGAGCAACATCCGTGGGAGATCGAATGGCACTGACGATACGTATGCGTTTTGAAGCGCGTTTAATGGTGTTTGGTCGCGAAAGGTCTCGCAAAACGTCTACAGTCGGGAGATGTAAGAGAGAACGAGTATCACGAGACCGACAATTGAATAACGCGATGTAAAAAAGAAGAGCAGTTTAGTAGAGTAGTAATACTAATCGTAATAGCAACAACGAGAGCGAGAGGAATACCAACAACAACGCCGCGGTAGCGAAAGCGTCTTCGCTTCAGAGACGCAGACAGAGAGAAGTTGTGTCCTACCTCCCTAGCAGAGAGAGAGAAGAATAGAAAGACGCGCGAACCAAAAGTATCTCTCAAATGTACTCATACCTTTCTTAAAGTTCAACTGTATTCAAACTGTTCAACATTATTAATCCATCGGTATCGCGGCGAGCGAGCGAATATCGATCACAAGAAGGTCAATTCCTCACAAGTAACCTAAATGCATCGCACGCTTTCAGAGGCCAGTTTTCTCGAGACTCCTGGTCGTACTCGCACAGAAACGTGTGCTGCTGCTCTTAAAACAACTCCTCGTGTTCCTAAAAGAGTAGCATTCGCTCCTAAAACTCTTTCTTTGTGCATTCGAAGGGTGTTCTTGTTTGCATTCGTTTCCGTTATCCACTTTCCTCCGTTGTTCCAATTCTCATCCGCGTTGGAAACATCGACGATGAATACGATGAAAACGAAGTCCCCGTACCACGGCGTCTCCTCGGACGAACAAAAATACACTCAGTTACTCTTCCAAAACGTCCCGGGGTTCACTCGGTCCAAGTTAAAACCGGAGTACGCATTAATTGCGCACGAGTCCAGAGTCTATGGAGGTTTGTTCGGATGGACGAATACGCTCGGCGCGTACGTGGTCTCCCCGGGGATGAATAAAGCGACGATTTTAATGACCATGGTCTCTATGAATACAAACGCAAAATCGTACGTACCGTCACCGGGCGCGTGGCGGTTTGCGTTTGTTCTGGATGGCCAATGTTCGATTCGGTATCGAGACGAAGACGCCGAGGCGGAGGTGACGCGAGAGGATTTGAAAGCGGGGGAGTACTTTTATTTCCCGATGAATGTCGAGCACGAGATATACACGGATGAGAAGAATCAGTGCGAATTGGTCATGTACGAAGCGTTTACGAAACCGAAATTGAACGGTACACCGGATGAGTTTCCTACGGGGCAAAAAGTCATCGTCGGCGAGACGGACGCTTTGCCGAACATCGAAACGCCCGGGGAGATTTTTAGGTTGAAGAAACTGTTGCCGCAAACGCTCGAATACGACGTGAACTTTCACGTGATGGATTTCGCGCCGGGAGAGACGTTGAATGTGAAAGAGTTGCACCATCCGCAACACGGGTTGGTCATTTTGGAAGGACAAGGTATTTATCGCCTGAACGAGGATTTTATGCCGGTGCAACAAGGCGACGTCATTTACATGGGGCCGTGGGTGACGCAATGGTACGGCGCGTTGGGGAAGAACAGGACCAGATATTTGATTAGTAAAGACACGTACAGAGATCCGCTGAGAGATTCGAACCCGTGATTTCTACTACGATCAATAAAATAAGGTGATTATCAAGAAGAAAATGTGGAAGTTGCGTGTGTGATTATATATAACTAAACTGCTTTTACTTGTTTATCTCTATCTATATAATATATCTATAATATATCTCTATCTCTATCTATATATACGTATGCTACACCTATAAGGTATGGTAAAAACTACTGTATTATGGTGTATATTACTTCATCCACTCGTCTTTGTTATCTATATTATCAGTCGCCGCATTCGCCAACGGGGAAGACGGTCGTCCGCCGATTAAGTTCTTCAAGGCGCCTCCTGAGTTTTTGTTCGTGCCCCCTCCGCTTCGAGTATTCAATCGCCTGCTTCGTAAAGCCTCTAATTTTGAGGAGGTCTGGTGATGCGCGTGTAACGACGCGGTATTTCCGTACCCAACTTGCGTTTCCATGTTCAAAGTCGACGACGGATTCTCTCCCGCTCCGTTGAAATTCTTGCGCGCGCTGCCGAGCGCGATGTTCAACGTGTTCGGTAATGTCGCGCCAATGCCGCCAACTTTAAAGTCAGGCAAAGCCACGTCCGAGTTGTCATCAAAGCCACCGTCTGTCTCTTCGTTGGTGTTGTTGTTCTTGTTCTTTGCCGGCGACGGCGATTTCATCATGAGCATGTTCAAATTGGCGTTGCGCGTGGTAGCAGCCTCGTTGTTGTTGTTGAAGAGATTCATCGGCAACGGATTCGCCGAGTTGTTGACGTTACCATCGCCATCCTCGCCATCGAACATTGGCGATAACAACATCGATTTTTCGCTGTTTTGCTTCTTCTTTTGCGTAGTTGTCGACGTCAACGGTAACTTGCGTTTACCGTCGATCGAAAGCTGCGTCGGCGAACGGTGTTGCGAGGGAGGGTTTCTTTTGACCTCCACGCTACCGCTCGATTTCAACTGTTGTTGTTGTTGTTGTGAAGGCTGCTGCTTCGATGGAGTAGACTTCTTTGCCGTTGCGATGGTGATTTTTTGTATAGGAATCGCCGCTACGTTTTTGTTGTTGCCGTTGGTATGCTGAGAAGAAACTCCGTTTGGAGTTTTCTTGGCCGTGGACGACGGTCCAGGCGTGCGTTGAAAGCGCGAATGCGTTTTTACGTGCTCCAAAGACGATTTCTTGTTTGTCGTTTGCGTCGTCGCCGTCGAGTGAGTCGTCGTTTTCGTCGTCGCGGAAGGCGTTTTCATCGCGCTCGTTGGAAGCGCTTGGTGTTGGTGCGCTACGACGACCGGCGGGGGCGGCGGCAGCTTTTGAAAATAGTCTTCTTCGTCCATCGGCGCGCCCATTGGCGGCGCGATATCTTCTTCTTCTTCTTCTTCTTCAGCGTAAGCAATCTTCTTCTCTGCCGTTTTTTCCACGGTCTTCTCGCCGCCGCTGCCGCTGCCTCCTCCTCCTCCTTCAATCGATGGATCCGATCTTTTCTTTGCGTCGGCGGTCGCGTCGTCGTTTAATGTCTCTTCGCCTTGCGTTTCTTCCAACATCGCGCCCGGTAGCGGTGGTGCAAACCTACTCTCATCAACCTTGTGCCCTTTTCTCGCGCATTCTTCTAACCACTCTTTCGTGACGACTTTTTTATTCCAGTTCACGCCGGCTTTATACTTGGACCCTTCCGCTTTAGAGACCACGACGTGCGTATTCTTACCTTTTTTCAAATTCTCCGTACACTCGCAGCCGCAGATTAAGGAGAGCATTCGGATTGCACTTTTCTCTCGTTCGGTGTACGACGACGGGGACAAGACGACACCTTTCATGCTCAAAAATTTTCCGTCGTGGTCCATGTACGGTTGGTACGCCATAGACTCAGACGGCTTGAAAATTTTGCCCTCCAAAGAGACGCCTTCGAGAAAGTGCGGCGCGACGAAACGCGCGCTAAAGATAGCATCCGGGTTTTCTCGAGCAGCGCTGGCAATATCCGACGCTAACGCCTGCAGTTTCTTCTTCTCGCTCATCGAGGGTAACGCCGGGCAGATGATAAAGTCCGAGGAAGCTAACGTGGAGGTTGAACTGCCCCGTAAATATTCGCCGCCGAGAAGACTGATCAAGTTCAGCGCTACCTCTTTCTCTCCGATGCACAAGCCTTCGAATAAACTCAATTTCACGTTCGCTAAAGGATAAAGCTGCGATTGTTTAGAAGAGTGGTCGCTGGATTCATTTCGCGAATTGTAACCGTTTCTACCTAATAACAACGCGTCGTCCTCGTCCTCGTTATTCACCAAAGCAGTTTCGCCAATCGCCGCGCGAGTTTCCGGTATTTGTTCCGTCATCGTATTATATTTATTATTCTTGTCGTTGTCGCGACGAGACTGCTGCTTGTCGTTTCCTCTTCTAACGACGATATCGTCGGCGGCTGGCGCGTGTTGCTGCGTTTCTATATCGTCTTTCTTTACCATCGCGGGTTGTCTTCTCAAAGGATTCTTGTCTTTATCGATGACTTTCAGAGGACTCCTCTCCGGGATTCTTCGCGGAGGCGATGTATTATCGTTCTTGTAGTTTGTCCAGGACGTTTTCTTATCATCATCGTCGAAGGTTGTCACGGGATCGTTGCAGAAGGTGGGAGCTGCGATAACTTCCGAAAATCTCTCTTTCGCCACTCGAAACCTCTTTGATTTCGGCATCGTCCTTCCTTCCTCGCTACACTTTTTCAACCACTCAAACGTTACGCACTTCTCACGATGAGGTCGCATGTACGTTCGTAAAATGAAATCAACGTCTTTTTGGCACTCCAAATCGTCGTTGATGACGACGTGTGTGGCGTTTTGCGGATTCATGGCGACCGTAGCTCCTCCGGCTCTCAAAATTTTATGCGCCAATCGCGCGTTCTTCGCGCTCGGCCTTAAAATATCGTTCGGGTCTACCGCCGTACCACCCGCCGCCGGCGTTGAAGTGCTATTATTACTACAACTAAACCCAACCAAATACACTTTCGTGCTAAACAAATAGTGTTGTCCCCACGGCGTTTGATCTTCGTCGTACTCCTCTTCCAACTCTTTCGTCAACTCTTCTTTGGTCGGGAAAGGTACCTCCGGCTGCTTTTTAAGCAGTTCCAAGGACGAATCCGTTTGTTTGCTATTCGATATGCCGTTTTTAACGTCGTACTCGTACTCGTTCAACTTCACGCCTCGTTTCACGCAATCCTCCACCCACTTTTTGCTCAAAACCCACATGTCCCACATCCTCGCGTGTCTGTATTTCGCGCCCGTCGGTTCCTCTCCCGCGCTCGTTTGTTTCGCAATCAAATGCGTCACCACGTCCTTCTCCAAATCCGCGCTAAACACGCCTCCATTCTTCTCCACCATCTCTTGAATACCATTCCTCTCCTCCCACTGAAACCCAGTCACGCAGACCACGCAGTCCGTAAAAAATTTGAACGGAAATTTCTCGTACTCGTACGTCAACTCGCCGCTCTCGGCGCACGCGTCCATCCACACTCTCGACACGATTGGAATGTTCCTTAAAACTGCAATTTCGTATTTCGGAGAGTGCGAGGTGTTGGCGATTAAAACGTCGAACTTTGTGTTCGCGTCTTGGAGTTGGATGACGGATAATTGGCATTTGTTCGCTTTCCGTTTCATTTCCTTCTGTTTTGTGTTTAAAAGGTGATTTAGAGAGAAAAGTTCATCATCAGATACGTTTCAAAACCGACTTTGTACGCGAAGCCTTCGCGCGCGACCGTTAAAAGAGAACAACGAAAAGAGAAACACAGTGAAACGCGGTCTCATCGTGCAAAGTTTTTGGTATTTTCATCGCGTAAAGCGCGAACAAAAGCGCTTATATAACGTAAAAAACGTACCGTTTCCTCGTCCTCGAATCCCGTCAAAACCACCGTCAGAACGCCTTTCTTTTCTTTCATTGCATTCATTTTATCTCAATTTAAAAGTAGTACTAGTGCGTTCACACATCAAAGAAGCGTTTTGTCGTCGTCGTCATTTCGTTGAGGTCGTGATAAACTCTCTTCCGTGTGTGCATATATAAACGCAAAGAGAGGAGATCAATGAAGAGATTTTTCAAACAAATCGATTCAAAAATCCTTCGAAAGATCAGACAAAAAGTGCTCAGATTGAGTTTACGAGAAATTTTCGAAGCGCGATGATGTTTCTTTTGAGCGATGTAATACTGCTGATGGGTGAAGCGTTTATGTGTGTTATTTCTCGTATTATTCTTTCTTTCTCTCTCTCTCGAGCGTTTTCACTCTCTATTACTCGTACATTGTTATTTCCTGCCGCGCGCTGCCAAAGACGACGTCATAAGAGCCTTCTCTAAAGTTTCTATTCGTTTCATGAGCGCGAGTGTATCTCTTCGTTCCTTCTCCAAGGCCATTTCCGCGGCTTTTAATCTGGTCTCGACGTGACCGAAATTGTTCTTCGTCCACTTCAACTCGTCCTCGGAGAAGCGTTTCAGCTTTTCGTGATTGCGAAAGCTCGTTTGGGAGTGGTCGTGGAGTTGTTTTTCTAATCGAACGTGTTCGTGTTCTAAAACGCTTAATTTCGGGAAGAGTTTTTGGGTCACCGTGAACAAATGGTTCGCGCAATTGTCTCGCACGTGCGCGTCGAACGTTTTCTTCGTGATTGGTTCCGTCGGCGAACAGCAATCGAGTTTCTCGTACGGACACTCAAACGCTCGATTTTCGCACCGGTTCATCGCGTGCAAATCCACCTGGTTCCTTTTCAAAACAGTGCCGCACTTTAACGGACACTCGACTTCAAACAAAGGGCAAACTTTCTCGTCGTGCCTTTTCCTAAACTTTTTACTAAACCGTTCGTCGCACCTCTCGCATTTGACTTCGACCCACTCGCAGGCCGATTCCTCGTGCTCTCGAATCATTTTCCGCAACTCCTCCGCGTCTTCCGCTTCGCATTCAAACAGGCAACTCGCGACGCCTTTTTTTCTATCGTACATTCGCAAAATCTCTTTACTCGTTTCTTCTCTCGATTTATCATCGTCTGCTGCTAAAAACATCTGACCGAGGTCGAACGTTTTCATCGCGTTCGTTTGCGTTAAAGACGTTTCTTTCAACCTTCGAACTTCATCTTCAATCTTCTGCTTGCTCGTCAGATCGGTAAAGAACGATCGATTTCGGTCTCGGAAATCTTGAATTTTACGTTCCAGAGTTTCTAACGATACGCGTTGTTCATCCTCCTCGTTTTTGAGTATTCTTAGCAGTTCTTTCGCGTGCTCGGGCAACGCGTCGTGCGGTGACTTTATGAGCGATTTGATGCCAGATTGCGCATAAATGGCGCTATAGCAGATGGCGTCGAGCATGCGGTCGGCTAAGGTTTTGGAGGAGAAAACGCAGCAGTTTTTACATCTGTACGATTGCGTGCTCTTCTTCTTTTGCTTCGTTTCTTTTTCGTCGTTTGATGAGATCATGTTTAGGCGTCCAAAAGTCTCTAACGACTTTTAGTAAAGGGCGGATGATTTTATGACGATGATAGTAGACGCTGCTCATGTTTTCGTTTAATGTGTGATTCGATATGTATTCGATATAGTAAAATTACACTCTAAGAATTTGCAAACTCCGACTAAACGCGATGGCGATCCAATCCGGTTGCGTGGCCGACCATTGCAACTGGTTAATTTCCGCGCCGGCTTCGTACGCCAAGACGGGATCTAAGCCGCCTTCGGAGAGTTGATTGATGGCGCTTAAATCCCAAATCAACGCTTGCGCGTCGTCTCCGGCGGAGCATATGTGGCACGAGGAATGCGGGGCCCAGGCTAAGGTGTTGACGGAACTCGCGTGGCGTTTTAACTCGGCGACGGGTAACGTCGGGAATCGAATGTCGATTATGGCGACGACTTTCGAGTCCATGCCAAAGGTGGCCATGTATCGCGGGTCTTGTTTGTTCCAGCCTAAACGGAGTAAAGGGACGCCGATTTCTGGGTTTTCGTAGATGATCGTCGAGTGGTCTTTATCGCGTAAATCGAAAACTCTGACGGAACCGTCCGCAGAAGCAGAGGCGAAGACGTCGGGACCTCCCCAGGCGATGTCGTGGACTTCTTTATCGTGCGCGATGAGCTGCGTGTCTACGCACTCTCTTTCGATATCCCAGACCGTGCACGTGGTGTCGATGGACGACGTCCCGACTCTGTTGACGTTCGTTTCGTTCCAATCGAACGAGGTTAACGGCGCGCAAAACTCAGAATTTTTATTATTCGCCAACAACGCTCGGAGTTCTATTTTACCGTCTTCTTGTTGTTTGTTCGATGCGTTTTGTTGTTGTTGTTGTTGCTGCTTTTCTTGTTGTCCAGACGTGGACGGTTTCTCCGTGTTCGTATCTCTCCCGCCGCCGCCGCCGCCGCCGCCTTTCTTCAAGTTTCTTTTATTATTGTTGTTGTTGCTGATGTTAGTATTCCCATCATCGTTCTCTCGTTCCTCTTCCTTCTCATTCGCCTTCTCTTTCGCCGTCCCTCCGACGTCTTCGTTAATCTTCCAGATCCGTAAAAAATCCCCCGTCGTGGCCATTAAATCTTCGTGTTGGCACTCTTTATCCGGCACGAACATCAGTTTCGTGCACGGGTACGGGTGATCGAATCGTAAGTTTGGGTCGTTTAAAAATTTTCCGGTTTCTTCGTCCAGCGTGACGATTTCGACTTTGTTCTCGTACTCTTCTAAAAACGATCCGATGCCCAGGCGTAATTTTTTATCGTTTCGAACCTTTCGTTTATATCATCGCGCGTTTATCATCGCGTTTATCGCACGAAAGAGTGGGAGAAAGGAAGAGCATTTGTTGGTGTCAGTTGAAACGCGCGCGAATGATCTGACGTGTATAAAGTATAAAGTAAACAACATCGTGGATATAATTTGGATCCATTACGGAGAATAAAGAGCGGCTCCCGATTGGAATTCCATCGCATCATAAACAGAGAGTTAGAGAGAGAAAAAGAGCGACATAAAGAGCGATATGCACGACGCATAAACAACAAAAAGAACGTAAACGTCTCACCGACCAATTGCACGCGTAAATCAACCACGGCGCTTCGTAGGTGTAGATTTCCGCCTGCTTTTCTCCTGGATTCATGTTGAATTTCTCTCGTGTTATCTGAAGCTTTTTTGTGCGTCGAAAACGTCGAAACGAGTGAAGATTTTGAGTAAAAAATACGAGTAAATGTAAGTGAATGTATTCGAGAATTGACCATCTTTGACGCTCTTTAGATGCACGTAGAAGTGAACACAAAGAAACAAGACGCGTGTGAGTGATAAATACGGAAAAGAGCTTTCGAATGGTATCGTTTATGCTTCGTTCTCGTTCGAATTGAGCTGGTTTTTGTGCGTTTTCGAAAACGTTCGTCTCTCTCGAGAAAAAAAGCGAAGATTTTTATCAAAAGTGACAGTTGGTCTCTCTGGATTTCTTCAACTTTATGCCGTGAAGAGCGCGATATATATACACACACATATATATATATACTCTCTGGAGGGGAAAGAGTCGAAAACGTCGCGGAGACGATGGGGGTAACGACGAGAGGGAAGAAGAGGAAGGTTGGGCAGAGAGACGTGTGGGATTTAATCGTGAAGAACGATGATATAAGTTTCAAACACATTCTCCCGGGGTTGAATCAAACGGATTTGAAATTCTTGTACGAAGTGAATACGGAGACGAGAAAGTTGATTAAGAGATCGTCTTACAACAAGGGGGAGTTGCAAAAGGAGTTTAAAGTGAGAGAGATGTCGTCGATATCGACTTTGGAAGTAGCGTGGGAGCATTATCCGTGGGGTAAGTTGGTAAGGCAGTACGGCCCAAGGAGGGACGAACCATATTTCTGCGAGAGAGTTGCTCTAACGAATAAACTCGAGTTGCTCAAGTGGGCGCGAGAGGAGAAAAAGTGTGAGTGGGATAGAAGGACGATTCATGCGGCCGCATATCATGGTAATCTGGAAATGGTAAAGTATTGCGTTGCAAATGAGTGTCCTATTGATGAGATGGCGTGTGCATGTGCTGCCTTAGAAGGTCATCTCGAGGTACTCAAATACTTACGCGAAGAAGTCAAAGCGCCTTGGGATTCGAGAACTGCCACTTTTGCGGCTAAATATGGTCATCTTCACATACTCGAATATCTTGTTGAGCGTAAGTTTGATAAATATGACGCATGTGCGTGTCGGTGGGCGGCCGAGTACGGCCACTTGGACTGTTTGAAGTACTTGCGCGAAACCGCCAAAGCGCCGTGGAACTATTGGGCCGTAGAAGGAGCGCACGAGAACAACCACCTCGAATGTTTACAATACCTCCTCGACAACAACTGTCCATTACCATCGGGTTGGCGATACGAAGGCGGCGAGTTACACACTCCATAAAATCAACACAACACACACATATACGTACACGCACACATGCGCTTGTAAAAACACACATCACACAGGGAGAGAAACTCCTCATAAAACGTAACGCAAAAAAGAATGTGAAACTCGTACTACTAAACACACGTTATACCTGCGCTGCTTTCCAAAGGAGAAAGAATGCGAGCGAGAGGAAAGAACGACGACTACACTAGTACTTCTTTAGACCTCACCTCGCGATCGAAAACCATCCTCCGCGCGTTCGATCGGTTACAAAACGAACCCGTTTTGAGCGCAAAATTTGCCAAAATTGGAACCGCGTTTAAGGGCGAGAAAACGATCAACGTGCTCCTTTTAGGCTGCGATCGACGCGAAGGCATAAACGACGGGGAAACTAAACGGATATTTAAGGATTTGGGCAAAGAACGCGGCGTAAATTTGAGCTTGTTTGGACCGAATTTAGTTTTCGGTGATGATGATGAGAATTTGACAAGCAGAGGGAGGAGCAACGAGAGCGAAAGCGAAGACGACGATGAAAATGAAAATGATGAGGAGGAGAAGACAAAGGGAAAAGCGGCGCGAATAAACGTCGTCGAACGCGAGCGGTGTTTATTTCACGAGAGAAACAGAGAAAAGGACGAAATAGAATACGATGTGGCGTTTGCGTTCAACGCCGGCGTTTGGGGGTACGATTCCTGGTTGGAGAGCTTTAAATACGCGTTGAAAAGATACCCGAACGCGCCGATAATCGTCTCGGCGTATTCGATGAAAGAGTGCGAGTTGGACGAAGACTGCGTGAGAGAGGAGTTTGGGGAAGACGAGATTAAGTTCGTCTGGGAAGCGGAGGAAAACGAGGAGTGCGCTGGAGAGAGGACGGGAGGCGAGGAGAATGGCAGGGAGAATAGCGGCTGGATGTGTTTCGTTTCGAGTCGTTCGTACGGTGAGTAGAAAGAGATTTTATTTGGTCCCGTTTTACGTGGTACCGGTTTACGAAGAAGATTGAGTAGAAACGTCGTTCTCCGCGGCGACGGGGCAACTCGTTTGCAATCCACTCAATCGAGCCATAAACTTGGCGTGGTTTTCAATCATTTTCCACGTCGACGCGTCGCTCGTTCGAACGCCGAACCGACCAGGGCCGACATTTTCATCGTAAAAGTGCCAAAACATCGAGCCGCTGATTTTGTTCTCCTTGGCGAGTTTCTCGGTCGTTTCGAACGCATTTTTGAAATACATGTCTCGCTTCTTCATGTCCTCTTTTCTCTCTTCCGGTGATTTCCCGACGATGATACCAAACTCTTCCAAAACGAATGGTTTCTTTCCGTTTACGAGTTTCGCTCGGTTCAAAATGAATTGCTTTTGAAACTCGGGCGTTTCGACGTCCCAGGCGTCCGGCCAAACGTGTATCCCGGCGTAATCCACGCACGAAGACTCGACGACTTGCGACAAAAAATCTTGTCCTTCTCGTCCGGCCCAACGACCACCTCCTTTCCCTGGGTTCATGAAATCCGCGTCGCGTCGTCTGCTGTCGTCGCTAAATCCCTCATACCTATACGTTGTTTTACGTGTGATTGGTGTTTGATGTAAGAAGTAAGAAAAACGTTTTTCATGTCAGCGAACAATACAACAAAGAGAAGTGAAAAAAGAGACTTTGAGAAAAAAATTAACCCTATAGCACATACCCAACTGCAACTAAATGATTCGGCGCTTTCTTCTTCAGATATTCGCACGAAGCTTCGATCCACCGTCGCATGTCCTCTCGCGACTTGCCTTTCGCTCTCGCTTCGTTGGCTAGATTCCACGCCATAATCGTCGGATCGTCTCGGTACTGACGCTTCGTGATTGAATTCGTTCTGTACGCCAGGTAATTAATCGTTTCCTTGTAGTACTTCTGCGCTTCCTCGTCCGTAAAAAACTCGCTCTGATCTCGACACGTCCTCGACCATTCGCAATACTCTTTGATCCCGCCCGTGGCGTACCAATTATCCGCGAGGACTAAAACGACTTTAACCTCTCGTTTCTCGCACTCGCTGAGGAAGAAATCCAAGCCTTTCAACGCTCTCTCGTTCCAGGTCGTTTTCGTCGGCCTTAAAGCGTAGCCTTCCGTGATTGGATGCACCCAAATCCTCACCACTTTCAAGCCGGTTCGCACCGCCACATCGAGCTGGTTCGTGATGTGTTCTATGCCCAACTTTGGTGTCCATCGGTACGGCGGTGGCGCGTTTGAAGCCGCTTCGACGACCTCCCACTGATTCCACCCGGCGAACGTGAACGGTTTGTTGTTTAAAATAAAGGAGTCGCCGGAAACTCGAACGAATTCGTCCGTGGGTAAACACGTGGAACGAGGTGGTGTTTTATCGATCAACAATCGAAGCGTTTCCGAGAAATCATTTTTCTTCTGCGCGGAAACATTAACCACGACTTTGAGGATAAAGAAAAAGAAGAACAGGAAAGACGCGAGAGAGGAGGAAGAGGATCGAATCATTTTTGCGAAAGTGTTTTCGAGAGTCGTTGGACGCAAAAGCCGCTTGGAAATGATGTCGTTTTTTATTCATTGGATCACGCATGCACACATGTGGTTTTCCAACAACGAGGCTCGGGGTTAAAAAAGAATATAAATTTTCTTTCTTCCTTTCTTTCTCTCAAACGCACACAAACGCGTAGTAGTAGTTTAAATAAAGATATATATGAATTGAATGTAGTACACAACCGCATACAGTACGTAGCAATTGTCATAAAAAAAGTATTGCTAAGCTAGGAAACACCCTCTAAATTTATTATATCCGACGATGATATAAAACGTAATAATCTCTCTCTCTCTCTCTCTCTCTCTCTCTCTCTAACCCGATTGCGTTATGCGCAAACCGCGATGGATCAAAAATACACCACTACTCTTTTATTATTCATCCGGCTTCATGACTCTCTTCTCGGAGACGTACATGCCATCTAAAAATTTACGAATGTCCTTCTTCTTCACCAAGCACGAATCGTGGATCAACGCGCAGCTCTTGGAAACGTTGTCGATGTCGTTCCCGGTTAAGACGATTTGATCCTTCACGTCGCTCGATCGTTCCGCTTTCACGCCCGGCAACATCTTACATTTCCTCGGTCTCTTCTCGCCCAAAAAGTTACGAATTTCCACCGTGTCGCCCTTCTTTTCGTCGATGTTGATGTTAATCGGAAAGTGCGCGTACACCGCTCTCATCTTGTACTCGAACCCGTACAAAACGCCGTCGAACAAGTTGCTGATGTTCGAGCACGTCGATCGCAACGCCGAGGTGATTTTACTCGTCGGAAAATACATCGCCGCGACAATCATGTTGTTTTCCTTGTCGTGGTGTAAATCAATCTTCGCGACGTGGTTGAAATCTCTCTTCAGTTCGCCTCTCGGCCCCGAGACGGTGATTTTGCGGCCGCTCATCTTCACCGTGACGCCTTCCGGAATGTCGAGCGTACGCTCCGTTTTTACGAGTCTCATTCTTTTTGTTTTCTGTATATAATGTGATGATGAATAATAATAAGAGGTTGAACAATGAGAGGTTAGTATTAAAGAGACAAAAAGAAACCGTTTAATATCAAAACATCAGATTAAAGGAGGAAACAAGACCCCTCAAGCCAAAGTCCTTTAAGTCCTAAAAAAGAGAAAATCCAAGACTCTCGAAATCTCGTCGAAATCGACGCGCAAACTCGCCGTCGCGACGCGAATAAAACGCGATTACGCGTTCGGTGACATCCAAAACTATCGTTTCTCTCAACAAAATACGTTTTCATCCGAAAAGCGATTCAAAACGACGTCCGCGTTTGTGTCCTTTTCGCGACCAAATTTCTCATTTTTCGCGATGAAGAAAAACGAAATGCAACGATTCTCATCGCGCATACGCGCGTTCGAGAGAAAGAGAGACTCCTCTCTCTCTCTCTCTCTCTCTCTCTCTCTCTCTGCTACAAAAGTATATCGAATGCAGTGCGAGTCGCAAAGCACAAAAAAAAAACGTTCGCAACGTACCTCTTTATCGTCGTCTAAATCTTCTTTTAGTGTGACGCTTAGAACCAAAAATGCGAAGAGAGAACCAAAAATGCGAAGAGAGAGAGAGAGAGACAAACACAAGCTAAACCCTAAACATATATCTAACACCCTAAACAAAAAAAAAGCTTCAATTAATCTGCTCACAATCTGCCCTCACATTGCCTTCTGACTGACGCTCCTCGGAACACCACGCGAACGAGAGTTTCTTTCCCAGAGCTACGTGTATTATTGCTCGTCAGTGAGAGCGTGCTTTTTGGTGAATTCTAGCGGCGGAGAGATTTTTATTCGAGAGTATATAAGAACTGAACTCAAAAATCCATTTTCCCAAGCCGGCGGCGGTTCTGTTTTGCGTTCGTCTGACGTTTACGCCGGCAAAGAGAAGAACTGAAGAAGACAAAGAAGAAGTGTATTATCGCACGCAAAAGTAATACGATCAACGAGAGAGTGAAAGCTCAAACGCAAAATCATCGTCGTTCTGAGAAAGAGCATCGTCCCAAATACTAAGAATACTAAGAGTAAGAGTAAGACCAAATGGCAGGCAAAGAAGACCAACAACGAGAAGAAACTTTCAAGGCGAATCCGGAACATCCATCGGATGGAGATGTTCAAACACCTCTCGTCTCCTCGCGCTTGTGCATAAAAAACCTCCCGAAACATTACACGGAAGTGAGGTTTCGAGAGCACTTTTCAACGATCGGAGAAGTGACCGATTGCGTGATTAAAAATACGCACGGCGGTACCAACGATAACGACTCGAGGAGCAGTTGGCGGCAACATCGAAAGCAGCAGCAGCAAACTTCTCGATGTTTGGGATTTATTGGGTACAAAACGGAACAGATGGCCATCTTAGCGCAGAAATATTTCCACAACACGTTCATCGATACGAGTCGGATCGATGTCTCGTTCGCGGCGAGTCGGAAAGAGCGAGCGGCGTTGAGCGAAAGGAGTTCGTGGTCGAAGTATTCGGCGGGGACGAGCGCGAACGAGAGATTGAAAAGAGAGGAAGAGAAGAAGTTAAAAAAGAAGAATAATAAAGAAGACGAGGACGAGGACAGAGAGGAAAAGAAAGATCCGAATCGATTTATCGGCGTCCGGGAGCGGATTAAGATGGAAAAAGCCGCAAAACTGAAGAAAGAACAGTTCGTATCGCCCGAGGAGAAAATGTTGGAGGAGAAAATGCGAGAAGATCCGAAATTGAGAGAATACATGGCTTTAATGCTCCCGAAGAGTAAATTCGCGGCGAAATTTTGGTCGGACGGGTTAGTGCACGAAGAAGACGATTACCTGTCCGGAGGTCCCGCGCAAACGAAACTCGCCGACATCGAAGATACCGAAGGCGGGAACGCAGACGAGGATTCAGACGACGACGAGTACCAGGACTTAGAGAACGACGATAGTAGTGATGATAATGGTAGTAGTAGTAGCGAAGAAATAGATTCCGATTCAGACGACGTTAAGAAAGACGACGCGGTTTCGGACATGGAGTATTTGAAGGCGAAGAGAGGGAATTTTAGCAGCGATTCAGAGGATTCCGAGGAGGACGAAGAGGAGGAAAATTCTTCGGACGACGACGACGACGACGAGAACAACAACAGCGAAAAGAGTAGCGACGATGAAAGAAAGGAATTTTCCTTGGAGAACGACAACGACGACGACGTCGATAATACGGAGAAGAAAAAGTCATCAAAGAAGTCGAAAGATGATGAGAAAGCAACAATAAAAGAAGTCGAAGTCGTCCAAGCGTCGGACATGGAATCTTTACAAGAAACCGGTCGCGTGTTCCTTCGCAACCTTCCGTATACGTGCACGGAGGAGGAAATATTCGACCACATGCAATCTCACGTCGGAAAATTGACCGCAGTGCACGTCTTAGTGGACAAGTCGACGAAACAGAGCAAAGGATTGGCATACGCGACGTTCGCGTTGCCGGAAGATGGCGTGAAATGCATCGACGTGTTAGACGGTGCTATTTTCCAAGGTCGCATTTTACACGTATTACCGGCGAAACGAGCGCCGACGAACGCGGAAAAGAACACGTTAGGCGGCGTCGGGAGGATAACTATAATAAACGACGACAACGGGGAAGACAACGACGACGAGAACGACCCAAAAAACTCTTACAAGAAACAAAAAGAGCACACGCGCAAAGCGGACGCGGCGGATAAAAAAGCATGGAACGCGCTCTTCATGCGTCAAGACACCGTCCTCTCCGCCATCGCCGCGATGTACGGCGTGGACAAAGGCGATTTGTTGAGCACAGAAACCGAAGACGTCGCGGTGCGGGTCGCCCTAGGTGAAGCTCAAGTCATCGCAAACACGAAAAAAGAGCTCGGCGATGTCGGCGTAAACGTCCACGCGCTCGAATCTGCAGCGGAATCGAGAGAAAATGTCAAAATCGCGCGTTCGCAACATTCGATTTTGATTAAAAATTTACCGTACGAATCCGAAGAGTCCGATTTGCGAGAGATGTGCGAAAAGTTTGGCACTTTGAGTCAGTTGGTGTTACCATCGACACGGACGATTGCAATCGCGGAATTTCTAGAGAGCAACGAAGCGCGAAGAGCGTTTCAAGGGTTAGCGTACAAGAGGTACAGACACGTTCCGTTATACGTCGAATGGGCGCCGAAAGACATTTTCAAGACATCGAAGAAGAAGAATGACGACGACGATGATGATGCAACAGAAAATGACGAGAGAAGAACAAAGTTCACCAAAGAAACCTCTAATAAAGACGATGTCGAGGAGGATCCGGAAGAAAAGTCTAAAGTTCTCTTCGTGAAAAACATCGACTTTGCCACCACGGACGAGAGTTTTCTTCAATTCTTTGAAAATCTTTGCAAACGCGCGGGAGGAAAGAACCGAAGACTCGTCTCCGCCAAAATCGCCCGAAAACCAAATTCAGACGGTAAATCTCTTTTATCCAAAGGATTTGGTTTCGTCGAGTTTGAATCGCACGAAACCGCCTCGATATGCTCGAAATTAGTCTCCACCGGCATCGGGAAGTTAGACGGTAAAGTCTTGTCGATCGAGCTTTCGAGGCAGAAAATGTCTCGAGAAACCGTCGAGGACGACAACACCAACGCGCTCGCGATGAAAAAGAAATCCAAAATACCAAAAGGCAAATCAGCGACTAAGCTCGTGCTTCGGAACGTCGCGTTCGAGGCGACCAAACGCGACGTGCAACTATTGTTCAATCCGTTCGGCGTTCTGAAATCCGTTCGCGTGCCGAAGAAATTCGACGGATCGCACCGAGGTTTCGCGTTTATTGAATACACGACGCAAAGGGAAGCGACGGACGCGATGGACGCGTTAGGGAACGCGCACTTGTACGGGAGAAAGTGCGTGATTGAACGCGCGGACGAAGACGAGACTGTGAATACGATGGATGATTCGAACACCAACGCGGCGGTCTTTGGCGAATCAAACGTGGAGAAGTTGCGGGAGAAAGCGAAAAGGCAAATAGACGGAGGATTGAACCAGCGGTCTTCGAAAAGACAGCAGCGCGCGTAGTTTTGTATAATACTAATTGCTGTACCTACTGTAGCTTTAATAACATCTTAATACTCTATTTCTTTGACCTTAAGCTTCTTCTTCTTCGTCTCGTAACGTGCCGAGCAAAATGGTCGCCGGCCCGGATTGGCCGTTTTGCATCACCGCGGATTTCAAAACGTCTTTAATCGTTTCGCTTTCCATGATGCTATCTTCGTCATTCGCATCAATAGTCGTCGTTTTTGTAGTCGTCGTCGTCGTTCGTTTCACGGACTCTTCCACGTGCGACCCGAGCAGTTGCTCTCTCAACGCCGCCTCGTACGCGACGTCGAAATCTTCCGCTTGTAAATCGAGTTCGTTTTGAACGACGTCGTGTTCGACTTTTCTCCTCAAATCGTCTTTTGGATTGTCGTGAAAAGCTAAATCTTTCGTGAATTGCTCTAAAAACTGTTCCGACTCCGGGTCGTCCATCAAAGCGTTCATTAAATCGCGTTCGAACGCGTCGGCGTCGAGTTCCGGCGGCGCAATCTTTTTCTTCTCCTTCTTGGAATAACTATTACTACTATTATTACTACCGTTGTTGATGTTGTTCGCGCGTTGCACTTCTTCCGCGCCTTTATACGTCGCTTTCGCGTTCATAAACGTCCCGAGTTTTTTCCCGACTCGTTTCACGTCCTCGCTGAATGCTTTCTCTTTCTCTCGCCGTTTATCGTCTTTGAGATCGTCGTCGAAATCGAATTCGTCGTCAAAGGCGCTGGGTCGTCCATCTTCGTCGTCGTCCGAGAGAGGATGCAATTCGCGCTCCGCCGCTCGCGCTAAAATCTCGTTGTCTAAATCGCGCATGCCGTCGCGCATCCACTGGTCGCTTTCCGGTTCGAGGTTTTGTACGTCCTCTTCGTCTTCATCTTCCTTTGTTTCTACAACACGTTCTAACGCGTCCTTGAATTGCAAAATCGCCGCGATTTCCTCCGCGTTGAATGTCTTCGCCAAATCCTCGTCGTCTAAACTATCATCTTCGCTGCTCATCAAAAGCTTTTCCAACGCAATCTCCATCCCGACCGTTAACTTCATCCCGATATCAAACGCGTTGTGCAAATCCGCGTCGGTTGTTTTCGCAATCACATCCATCGGATACTTTCTCGGCGCGTCGAACTTTGCTCGAGCGAGTTGCGCGTACGCGCATCGAGAGAAGCGAAGCGTAACGGAGTCCATCTCATTCATCATCGCGTCGTCTTGGATGACGATGGAACTCTCCTCCTCTTCCTCCTCCTTTCCCGCGTTTGATTCGGCGGCGGGAGTATTAAAGTTCAAATTGCGAAAATCTTTCGAGCTTCGCACGTCCGCAGGCGTCCGCTCGTAAAACACGCGCGTCGCCAATTGAATGAACGTTTGTTTTTGCTTCATCGATTTCATCCCAACACGTTGCAAAGCTTTCCTCACGCGTTTCGGAAGTAACGCTCGCGCGAGATGTCTGGACGTTACGATCGCCTCCTCGGTTTGATAATATTTTTTCATCTTGTGCTCTTTGAGATGCGCGTCGATCGCATTGCCTAGCCTGTACTTCTTTTGATCAGAAGCTTTAATCAACGCATTCAACGCGTCCACATTCGTCTTCAGCGCATCCATTCTGTCTTCTCTTTCTTCATCATATTCCTCTCGTTCCTCCTTCCTCGCTTCGTCCTCCGGCTCGTAAACGACGTGTACCGCGCCACGTCTAATGAACGTCCTCCCTTCCGCCACGTTCGGTTCCACCCACATCGGTAACACGTGCGCGCATTCTACCAATAAAAACTCCCCGTCGTCGTCGAACATGCGAACGGATGTGTCTTCAAATCGTACACTCAATCGAAACAAGATGTTCGCGACCATCCACTCGTCATCTAAAGCGTCTCCGAATTTCGTCGATCCTTTCAAGCACCATCTTTTCGTCGCGTCGCAGAACGCACGGGTGAGGTTGAATCCTTCTCGGTGGTAACAGTAAGCGTCGTAAACATCATCTTTTCGCTTCATTTTCGATGATAGTAGTGCTTCTTTCGCTTCAAAGTCTTGCTCTAAATGTTTGAAAATTTCGTTCTTTTTCTCCTCCAACGCGCAAGAAACGTCGTCGAAGTAGATGAGATACTGCACGCAGTTTGGCTCCAAAGTGCGAGAATTATAGTCATTGTCATCATCACCGATATGATTTAGTTTTTTTCTATTTTCCTCTCGTTCGGATGCATTCATTGTGTTCTCCTTGTTAGTGCTAAATTATGAGGAGATTCCCCTTCAGACTTAATTGGTTGTTGTGTGGTACTACCGTACGTAGTATAGTGGTACAATATAGTATGATGATGATATTACAGCAATTTAATAAGTCTCTCTTTCAATTCTTCTTAACTTTGTTCTCTTCCGGTGGATTCGCTCGTAAAGTTTGGAAAAATTCATTCAACGTGCCGACGGATTCGTTCGCGCCGCCGCTCGTACGCACGCGGCCTCGAACCCATTTGCTTATTAAGTTTATGTTCTCGCGGTTGTGACAAAACCTCTGGTCGACCAAGAAAATAGCGGCGTAATCGTGTAAATGCCGAACGCATCGACCGAGCGCTTGGTTATACGCTCGAAACGCTTGGTGTTCGTACCATCGATTGCCGTCGAGTAAGTTTTTCTGCGCGCCGTGCGCGGAGGAGTTGAACTGTTTCTTGAGGTTCACTTTGACGTCGCCGAGGTTCGGGAACGGGATTCCGATGCAAAACACCGCCCGCGCGGCGTTGTCTTTAAAATCCAAGCCTTCTGAACATTTGCCACGGAAAACGGCAAAGAGTAAGGAGCCTTTCTTTTTCAAACCGTCTCTGAAGTCTTCGAGGGTTTCGTCGAAACCTCGAGATCCGCCGGTTTCGAACACGATTTTCTTGTGCTTCGAAATCTGCGCGTGGTGTCCGGTGGTGTGGAACCACTCGTCCGAGATCCTCTGGATGAGTTCGTAGGACGGGAGAAACACTAATACGCCTCCTGGAATGTGTTTGCAATACCGTAAAAGCATGTCGCCTAATCGCGCGGAAAAATCTTGGCCGCTCGATTGTAAATTTCTCCTCGTGATGGCACCGAGCGTATCGAGACTTTCCACGAAGATTTGGTTGTTCGGAACGACGTGCGGGGCGTCGACTTTAATCGGGAACGGAACGCCCAATTCACCCTCTAACGAAGACGTCGGAGATAACGTGCCTGAGGTTAAAATCACGCACCGCGCTTTCTCGGCGACTCGTTCAAACGCCACCGCCGGCCGGAGACACCACAGGGCAAAACCACCAGTCTTCTCGTCGTGTTTTGGTTTGTCCGCTGGGTTGCTGAACGCGTCGTGCGCGAATTGTGCGATGCATAAGACGTAATCGTTGGAGTACTTCTTGAACAAGGAGAATTTTGTCGCGATTTCGTTCGCGAATCGCATGGCTTGCATGCCCAAGACTCCGGTGACTTTCTCGCCTTGTTCCGAGATCATTTGCATAGTTTTCGATTGCTTGGCCGTTATCGTTTGGACTTTTTTCAAAACGGAGTCTAACGTCTCCTCTTCTCGTTTTGGGTTACACAACGCGTCCCATAACTCTTCGATTATGACGTTCGGATCGCTTATCGTTCTCGTTTGTTTGTATCGATCGAACTCTTGTCTCTGTTTCATCTTTCTCGAGATCCACGCGGCAATTTGAATCAAGAAGTTCTTCACCGGTAAAGCTTCCGGAAAAGTGACAACCAATATCCCAATTTCGTTCAAATATCTCTCTAAATCTTTCTCGTAGACTTCCACCGACGCGCCTTCTCTGCAGACGTCTTCGATGTTGTGTCCTTCGTCGATGATGATGGCGGCGTTTGTTAAATCGATATCCATCGCCGCGCGAATGCCCTCGTCGAAAATGTAATTATACGGACACAAAACAAACTCGGCATCTTTGTATAACTCTTTCGTGACGTAAAAAGTGCACGCCTCGTGTTCCTCTGCGGCGTACTTCAAATCTTCGATGTCCCAAATGTGCGCGTTTCTCATCTCGTCTAATAAGTGCGCCTGGCGATTGAAATACGCGCACTTTGAGCTCGTCGAATGCGGCGGCACCGCTTTCACGCACCCTCTGGTCATCTCTTGACACTCCTCGTCCGTTTTCTTGGCCGGACAGAACTGTTGTCGAGATCCTAACACCGAAAAGTTTGGCCTGTACGGGCACCTCTTCAACTCTCTCGCTAACTGAGCGATTTGCGAATGCGTTCGCGAACACAAGAAAATTCTGGGAATTTCTTCCTCCTCTCTTTCCAACCTTTCCATCAGATTTTTCATCGATTGTTTTTGGTCGTTATCCATCCTCTCGGGGTCGCTATGTTCGTACTTCTTTCCTCTCGCGTTCTCTTCGAAATTTCCATAGCCCATACCCATGCCCATCGGCCGCATTTTCGTTTTGATGGGTTCAGAAATCCCTTTCCCGTCCGGGCCTAAACCTTGTCCGGGTAAGTGGCCCATTTTCGCTAATAACTTTGCGCCGATACCACCGTCTGGTGGGAGTACGTTTTTCGAGGAGTTGTTGTTGTTGTTGTTCGTCGTCGTCGTCGCAGCTTCTTCTGACTTTATCCTCGCATTATCTTTATCTTCTTTAACTTCTTCTCCCGTTTCCATTTTCACCGTTTCCGCCTCTTTCGCGCCGACAAACATCCCGTTCGCGGTTCTCCACCCATCCGGCAACCCTTTATTCTCCGGCGCCGCCCCAATTTTCGCCCGTTTCTCCCAAATCTGCCTCCTCATCTCCTTCTGAAACGCCAACGACGCGCACAGCAAGGCTAAACTCTTCCCCGTCCCCGTCGGCGATTCCACCAGCGCGTGTTGCTTCGTCTTGAGCGCTTGCAACACTTTCGACATGACAATCTTTTGCGGAATTAACGGCGTCAAGCCTTTCGGAAACGCCACGGGAATCCCCATCATCGGGAACGTGTTCGACGAATCCGGTCTTTGCGTGGCTGGGAGGACGTAATGCTCTTTCCGTCTCTTTCGATGTCCTTTCGCGTTGTTGTTGTTGTTCTTCGCGAGCGAATCTTCTTCTTTCATCATCGTCTGCGCGGAATCTTTCGAATCCCCCGGGGTTGAAAAATCCTCCTCGTTATCTTCTCGTTCTTTCTCGTACTCTAAGTTTACAACTTTTCCTTTACTGTTGTTCTTCTTCGTGGAATTGACCATGTGTTCGTTCCTCGCTTTCGTCGCTTCCCGGAAGAGAAACTTGACTGATTTTTCGCTCTTGTATTTCTTCGTTTTCGTCTGCGCTTTGTGGTTGGGGCGATGATTTTCATTTCTCTCTTCTTTTATTACCCCTTCGTGTTCTTCTTCTTCTTCTTCCTCTAAAACAACAGAAACATCCTCCTTTGAAAACGCATCATCTTCTCTCCCTTTATTCTCGTTTTCGTCGCTCATTATGAGCACGTGTTCTTGTTCTCACTGAGAGCGTTGTTCTTCTTCCTCTTTTTCTCACAATGAGGCGCGAAACGAGATTTTTAAAAATGTCGCGTCGCTTTATATTTAGGGTCTTCAAAGTGCTCAGATTCGATGAAATGAGATGACCTTCTCTGATCACAGATACATATCGCTTTCATCAAACTCTTCTTCCGGAAGACGACGAGACCATCGAGCGCACTAACAGAAGCGCGAGAAAAACGGCTCTATGTGTGTCATCATAACGGCGTTGGTTTGTTTGGTGCATTTGCATCAAGAGTAGTCGTCGTACCAACACGTGTTCAAAAGATACAACAGAGTCAAGGTTTAGTATTATTAGTAGGTATCCATACTCTTTTAAAAAAACCGACAGCTGCTTTTTTAAAAAAAGTGTCCTTCGTGTTGTTCCGTTGGTTTTAGATATAACAGAAGCACGTGCGGCTACGTGTCGTCATAACGGCTGGTTTTCTGGTACAACTATGCGTACGCGAGCGCAAAATGTATTACAATCAAGGAGGGCAGTAGTCGTACCAACGCGTTCAAAAGATGCAACAGTCAAGTAGGTAATATTTTCAAAAAACCGTTCAAAGACAGCTGCTTTAAAAAAAAAGTGTCCGTTGTGTTGTTTTTAGATATTCTTCCGAACGACGGCGAGACCAACGAGCAGCGCAACAGAAGCGCGAACTGGCTCTGGTGCAATTGCGCGTCATATGCGAGCGCAAAAGAGCACAAGCGAGGAGGGCAGTAGTCGTACCAACGCGTTCAGTCAAGAAGTTTATTATTACCTAATAATACGCGAGTATTTTCAAAAAAAAAGTGTCCGTTGTGTTGGTTTAGATACAAAAAAAAATAGGGGAATCACCCTCAGAACAATCTCTCGCCGTTATCTCTTCTCCGAGAACGAATTTGCGCGAATACTAATGTTGTTTCGCAGCCGAGGAGGAGGAGGAGTAGGAGGCAGCAGCGAGGAGACCGGCGAACGACAACGAAATCGAGAACAAATGCGCTCGCCTCTGGCGGACAGAAACGAACGAAATGTGACGGGGCATTTTATATCCAAGACGACGGGGAAAGAAGAAGGCGCGATGAAAGACGAGAGCGAGAAAGAGCGACGAGAGCGAGAGTTTGCGGGGGTAAAAAAGAAGCAAAACGAAGGGAAAAAAACGACGAGCAAAACGACCACCGCGTCCGTGTCTGTCTGCCCGGACATCATCAGAGAGTACCGAGAAACGACGAGCACGAGAAGTTTAACCGAAAATGAGATTCAAATCAATTCGAGAGATGAACTCAATTTGGGCGAGGAAGAAGAAGCGTTGAAGACGAAGATATCGACGTCGACGAGAACGAAAAATTCGTACAAGAAAATGAAACTTTTAGGGAAAGGAGGGTTTGCAATCGTATACTCCGTGAAAGATTTGAACAAGAAACCCTCTGATGATGGCGTCGTCGAATCACAATCATCGTATAATTATTACGCGGCGAAGGTTGTTTCGAAGAAAAATTTGGAACGGCAAAAGCAAAAGGACAAGATGTTGGCGGAAATTCGAATCCACAGAGCATCCGAGCACGAGTTTATCGTGAAATTTAAGAAATGTTTCGAAGACGAGATGAACGTGTACATATTGATGGAGAAGTGTTCGGATAGGACGTTGGCGGATGTGATTAAATACCGAGGCGCGATTACGGAAACGGAAACGAGCGCATACGTTTGGGAGATTTCGCAAGCGATGCAGTATTTGCACGAGAAATTAGTCGTTCACAGAGATTTGAAGTTAGGGAACGTCTTTTTAACGGATTATGGCTTAAAAGAAGCGTCGGCGATGGCGGACGAGAGCGAGAGAGTTCTGAGACGGTTTCAGACCGGAGAGGAGAGGTTGAAAGCTTTCGAACGGATGGAACGGTCGTTTTTGTTAGAATCTGGAAGTAGTAGTAGTAGTAATCATCATCATAGCAGACAACCCAGAATCAAAATTGGCGATTTCGGTTTAGCCGTGCAGTTGGCGCATAAGCGCGAGAAGAAATTCACGGTGTGCGGGACGCCAAACTACATCGCGCCGGAGGTTTTAGCCGGAAGTCAAGGCCCGGGGCATAACTCTGCATCCGATATTTGGTCGTTAGGTGTTATAATATACGCTTTGTTATGCGGCGAACCGCCGTTTCAAACCGAATCGGTGGAAGCGACGTACAATCGAATTCGGAAGACGGATTTCGGATTCCCGGACGATCGACAGTGTCTGAAAGTGTTGTCGAGCGAACATTTATTGATGAATGTTACCACCACCACCGCGAAGAAGAACAACAATAATATTAATAGCGATGAGAACAACAAAAATAGCACCAAGAACGAAAACGTTCCAAACCTTCCAAAGTATAGGTTTCCGATAAGCGCGACCAGTCGAGATTTAGTCAAAAGGTGTTTATTAGCCGAAGCCGAGAAACGCTTAACCGGCGTTGAGATTTTAGAGCATCCATTTTTCGATGTCGTTTGGGCAGCTGCGAACAATCATCAAACGGCGATTGAGACGAAGACGATTGAGACGACGAGGATGACTGAATACGATAATCGCAACAGAAACATTATCATCGCCGACGCGATGACGACGTCGTCGACGACGCCGCGACGCGCCGCGAGCGTGCCTCCTTTGGTTTCTTCTTCAAACAAAGCTCATCAAAATCAAAGTCCAATGCATTCGGCATTAGAATCGATATCTGGATTGCGGCAAATGGAAGCCGAGACAAAGCATGCTTTACAACAACATCAACACGCGCTGAACGGTCAAAAGAGTTGGACGAGACGAACGAGAAGCGCGACGATGGATGGATCTACTACTACTACTACCGAACGAGAAAACATCGAATCCGCAAGGGTAGCGTTGGCGCAAATTTCCGTCAACGCCGGAAATGGTGGTGCGCAAACGGCAACGACGTCTCCACCGATAACGATGACGAGCTTTGCCAGAACGAACGACCAAATTCGTTCATCGGGGTTATCGACGTCATCCTCGGCAAACAATAACAACGACAACTACCATATGCCGCTCTCTGCGAGAATCAAAGTAAAACATTTTACGAACCAAACCGAGCAGTGGGGTCTCGGCTACGCGTTAACGGATAACTCTTTCGGTGCCATTTTCAACGACGAATCGAGAGCGGTGTTGACGAAATGCGGCAAGTGCGTGTTTTATTGGCCAAACAACGTATCGGCAACGAGCAGCGCTCATCATAGCAGCAGCGCGGAGAAGAGAATCTCGCCTCGTAAAAAGTTTAGCTCGAAAATGTGCATCGCAGTGCCTCTTCGCCACGCGCAAAATGGAAACGCCGGAGATGATCATTTCAATCGCGATTTAGCCAAGAAGACGGCTATTTTGTTGCGTTTTAAAGAGATTTTGTTGAGAAAAGAGGAAGAGTTTAGTAGAGGTTGCAACGACGAGAACGAGAACGAGAACGAGAACGAGAACGACACGACGACGACGACGACGACAGAGAAGAGAAAGAAAGTCGAAAAAGAAAACCTTCAACTCGATCCGCACGATCCAAACTACTACTACGACAAGAACCCGCTCTTTGATATCTCAAAATCGATATCTTTATTGCTCGACCGAGGCGCTATGATCAACTACTGGCGAACCGGACGGTCCAACGCGACGACGTTCACGTTCAACGATGGGAGTTTTCAAACATTATTCGGCGACGCGAACAGCACGAGCGTGTTTTGCTGCGACGACTACAGCCATCAGCATCATTCTTCGAATACGAATTTGAGAGGAGACGCCTATTATGGGGGCGTTCTCCTCGGAGGAGGACAAGGAGTTACCAAACGACGCTTAGCCGTGTGCGAACAGCGAAAGATAGTATTAAAAAACCTCTCCAAAGTCCCGGTGAGCAACACCAGTCGATTATCCTCCGTATCGAATAGTCCCGCGAGTCCTTCGCCTTTGGGAAAGATGAAAACGTCCTCCGGAGTATCCTCCTCCTCCGCGACCATCCGCGCCAAAGTCTTGGACGCTCGCGAGATCCTCTCTAAATCCGCTCGCTCGGATACAAACTTGGAAAAGTGCGTCCGATATTGTCACGAAAGTGGCACGAGATTAGAAATGCAAAATAACAATAATTACAACAACGTTTAAGAGACAAGAAGAAGAACGTTTAGTAGTAAAAGCGGACAACAGAGGTTATATGACGATATATAATCATCCGGCGAAAGAGAAAGTTGAGAGGCGGATTTTCCCGCTTCGCCGCCGGCCGCGCGAGAATACGCGAAAGCTATTTTATTCTAACTTCGAGGTTAAAACTCCTACGCGTAAGCATGTCTACATAAAATGCGATGACGTTATTATTAGTGTATTGTGTTATTAGAAACATCCGCATCCATCCGCATCCGTTTCAACTTTGTTTCCTTCTAAAGCTCAATCTCGATTTCCTCGCGTCCTCTTTCTCGTCTCTATTACTACTATCACTACTACTACTCCCGGTAAAACCACTACTATTCCCATCTCTCATGTTCGCCACGTTCAGTTCTCTCTTTTGTATCGTTTTGAATAAGAATGGAATCGCGCACACGACTAAACCGAGGGAGACGCCGAGGAACACTTTCCGCTGATCCGCCGGTTTCTGTTCCATCTGATTTTGTTGCGCTTTACGTTGTCGACCACCTAAAGACGAGGATGTTGACGTATTGGAGGAGGAAAGAAGCGTTTGCGAATAGATGTTTGGATTTTTACGAGTTACGATCGTTTTCATCGATCGCATCGTCGTCATCATCATCGTCGTTGCTCGTTTCCGATGAGATATTTTACGCGTAAAATGTCAGCACTTTTTTAAAAAAAGAATGACGCTTTTTACGCTTAAGAGTACGAGTACTACGAGCGCGACGCGAACGCGCGTTCTCGCGAACGACGAGAGAACGAGAAAAAGACGGAAATATCGTTCGCAGTTTTATGCGTTTTCGTCAAAGACGAAGCGTTCTTTCGAGTCGGAAAAGGGGGATTTTTCCGCGACGATTCCATCGGCATCGCGTCACGGCGTAACGGCTTTCATCACGAACGGTCGGGGGGAGTTGATGCGAACATCCGCGCATCCAACGCTCGCTTCATTCTCGATCCAACCGATAGACTCGTTTGGAATTTGGGCCGTATTATTAGCGTCCTCGCACTTCGGCACGTGGGCGGAAACGAAACCGTGGGGGGCGTCCCTAGGCGGCGCGTGTTTGATTAGTGCCTTGACGACCTTGATTTTAGCAAATATAGGCGTCATACCGCACGTATCGCCGACGTATGATCAAATCAACCACATCATTTTACCACTCGCGGTACCGCTGCTTTTATTCAGCGCGAATTTAAACGTGGTGTTTAAATCCACCGGAAGGTTGGTGCCTTTGTTTTGTTTCGGATCGATCGGGACGTTGCTCGGCGGCGTCGTCGGATATATGCTCGTGCCTCTTTTGTCCTTGGGCGACGAGGCGTGGAAAGTGTGCGCGGCGTTGACGAGCAGGCACATCGGCGGGGCGGTGAATTACGTGGCCGTGGCGAACGTGTTGAACGTGAGCCCGAAAGTTTTAGGCGCTGGGTTAGCCGCGGATAATTTGTGCAACGTTTTGTATTTCGCGTTGCTGTTTTACTTGGCCAGGGACGCGGAGTACGTTAAAGACGGCGAAGAAGAGAAGAGTACGAGTATAAGTAGTAGTGGTAGTGGTAGTGAAAATAGTGGTAGTGCGAGTAGTACGAATAGTAATTCGTCGTCGTCGGCGGCTTCAGAAAAAGAGATTGACGAGATTGCAAAGGAGGACTCTTCCGGTAAAGGTTTCAGCACCTACAACGCCTCCGCGGCGCTCGCGTATTCCGCGGCGTCCTGTTACCTCTCCAAATCGTTATCGACGCTCATCAACGGCTCGACGTCGCTCACCATCCCGATCGCGACCATCTTTTCTGTTTTAATCGCCACGACGTTTCCGAAACAGTGCAAAGAAGTCGCGCAATCCGGTGAAGCTTTAGCCGCGTTAGCCATGAACGCGTTCTTCGCCACGGTTGGCGCTTCCGGGTCGATTGCCGACATGTTGTCCACGGCGCCGTCCTTGTTTTTCTTCTCCATGTGTCAAGTCTTGACGCATTTAACGTTCCTTTTATTCGCGGCGAAACTCTTCAACTTTCGTCGCTCGGAGGCGTTAATCGCGAGCAACGCCAACGTCGGCGGTCCGACCACCGCCGCGGCGATGGCGGCGAGTTTGAAATGGTCTTCTTTGGTCGTCCCGGGGATGCTCGTCGGCGTGCTCGGGTACGCCGTCGCGACGTTCATAGGTTTGGGTTTTGGCGAGTTCGTCTTGAAATCTTTTCTGAAACTCACTTAAGTAGTAGTAGAAAAAAGTGAGTCATAAAAGAAGAGAGCGCAGCGCCTCTCTGAACGTCATAACAGATTGAAGAAAAGAAGAACATATCTGGATTTTATTCGAAGAGAGAGAATAGAGAGAGAAAATATTGAGACGAGAGCACGAGGTGTGACACTGTGTGAATATATTCGCAGAGCAGTTTCATTTTTAAAACACACGTATCGTTTATATATAACGCACTCGTACTCGTACCTCGTCAAGAGTCTCGATTTTCTAAAACCCTAAATACTAGGGTTTAGGTCGAAGTGGATAAAAACCTCTGACACATAATTTCCCTCATTTTTGCGCGCAATAAATACTCCACACAAACGCATACTTTATCACAGCGCTCTGCTTTATAATAATGTCATCATCGTTGTCGTCGTCGTTGTGTTGTGCTTCTTTTTTCTCTGTCTCCTCTTTTACGAGTAGGCGTGTGAAAAGAAATGATATCTGTAATGGGGGCAAAAACGAAGGCAAATTCAGCCGCCAAGACACCTCTGTACAGCACCAAAGAAGGAGGAGGAGGATGACGATGAAAGCGCGATCCAGCGCGGAAACGCCCACAGAAACAGAAACAGAGCAAAAAGCAAACCAATCGAATAAATTTATCCCGGCGCACATGCGCAAAACAGTCTCGAGAATCACCGAAGCGCAGATGAAAACGAACGGGGTGGAGCTTTCCAAAGCAGCCACTCAGGTGCAAGAATCCATCGCCGGGTTCCTGGCGTTTGAGTTTTTGAGAGCGAGAGTGAAAAACGTGCCAACGTTGAAAGTGTTAAACGTGGACCCACCGATTTTAACCGCACCGATGTTTTTGAGCGAGAAAGAGTGCGAAGATATCGAACGGGCGATGTTTGGAATTGATGGCGGCGATAAAGAAGAAAGCGAAAGCGGTTCCGAAGTCGTCGGGCAACAAAAAAAGGTGAACGGTTTGAGTTCTATGAAGAAAGCGGAATTAGTGCAGTGCTGCGAAGAGAGAGGGTTGGACGCGAGCGGGACCGTGGCTGTTTTGAGAGATCGATTGAAAGAGTTTAATACGAATGCTAACGACGACGACAGCAACGAAAAAGCTCCGTCTCCGTCCTCGAGATCCGACGAAAGCAGGAGCGCGAACACCGGGGGGGATCCGTTTCGAACGTCCAACCCAGACGCGTTGGTGAACGCGTCTTCCCGACCGGAAGCCGTGAACCAGCTCTTGAAGCGTTTGAACTACTTGTTTCCGGATTGCGTGGAGGAATTCGAGTCTCCTTCGGCGAGAAAAGAGAACAAATTGTGGGGCATAGAAGTCGTCGCCGAGGCGTACAAGTCGAGCGAAAATTTGCGAGCCTCTCACGCGGCGTTTGAACAACACGAAGCGATCGAAAAGCACTACCAAATCAGAGCAAACTGCACGTTCTTCTTAAACGAGAGCGGCGACGAAAACGGCGGCGGTGAAATCACCTTCCCGGCGTTACCCGGCTTATCCGTCAAACCGGAAAAAGGCATGGCTTTAATCACGTTCCCGTCCACCGCGGCGAGTCTCCTCGACCCGCGCGCCGCGACCGCCAGAAACGCCCACGATAACGGCGCAAATACATTAAACTCCATCGAAGTCCTCGTAAGAGGCGCGACGCCGAAAATCTTGACCGAAGAAGAAGCCGCGGTGGAACGTAAACTTCGCCACGAGGAAGAGAAAGAGCGAGCGAGACTCTTGGCCATCCCGAGAAGCGAAAGAAGAAAGATGAGTAATGGGGAAGACAAACCGAAAAACTCCAGGAAGAAGAGTCAAGATTAATATACTACTTAAATATGTGTCATTTTATGTGTTATATATGTGTACTTACTTACATTCGCTTCGTTCGATTTTCTATCATCCGGTTATTAGTCTTCACTTAATTGCACGCACAAATCCATTAAAGAACAACACCATTCTCATCATCATCAACCCTCCTCTCGATCGACGGGCAAAAAAAGTAATAAAACAACAATGTCATTCTTCGGCATCGGTCCATCTGCGAAATTACTCACCGTGGATGTCACCTTCATCCACCCGAAACGCGCGTGCGTGGTGAAATCCTACACCATCGGCATGTCTGGGGGACATCTCAGCGGAGACTCCGGGGCGACTTTGATGCACTCGGGAGGCGGGAATATCGCGCGGGAAACGCTTCCTTTGATCACGTCTGGTGAGTAGTGTTCTTTGATCGTTAACGTCGCTCAGTAGTATTTCTTAAACTCTTCTTAAACTTGACAACAAACAGGAGAATCAATCGAAGGCGTTTTGCACGTCTCTCCAGGTAGGAAAATTTTCGCGTTAGCGAACGAACGAATGTTGAGACAAAGACTTTGATTTTACTTTTAATGATGCGATAGATCTCGATGGATCTCTTTCACTCTGCGTCTTCGTCTTTGTCGTCGTCTGAATCGTCGTCTGAATCGTCGTTTTCTGTGAAGATGTGAAACTTTGCGTAGTTTGAGTATCGCCGCCAGAAGCGTTTGCGATCGAGATAGATGTTTCTTATTCTTCTTTGTCTTCTTCTGATTCTTCGGTTTGTTTTGAGATCTCGAAAACTTCGGGTGGTCGTTTTGTTGTCGTTTTCGTTTTGTTTGTCGCGGATGAGTAATGATTTGTATATGCGTATGAACTGACCGTACGGATGATGATGGTTTTAAATGTACTCTTTTCAACAGTTCCCGGGAAACGCGTGGAACATTTGGGGGTGAAAATCGAGCTCATTGGACGAGTGGAAGCGTATTTCGATCGGTCCGGTCGCGAAGGCGACGGGGATTTTCTTTCTATTTTGCGCGAAATTGAACCTCCCGGGACGCTTTCGGAACCAATCTCGAAACCGTTTTCGTTTAAATCGGTGGATTTTCCGAACGAGTCCTACAACGGGAAAAACGCGTCTTTGCGCGTGTTTTTGAAAGTCACGGTGGTGAGGAGTTACGCGTCGAACATCGTCAACGAGTATAAATTGTGGGTGCGAAACGTGAGGGAACCGCCGGAGGTGAATAATTCGATCAAGATGGAAGTCGGGATCGAGGATTGTTTGCACATTGAGTTTGAATATAGCAAGGCGAAGTATCACTTGAGAGACGCGATCATCGGGAAAATATTCTTCTTGTTAGTTCGAGTGAAGATTAAACGGATGGAGATTGAAATTCGAAGAAGAGAGATTTGTGGGTTAGGCGCGAACGCACACGGAGAGAACGAGGTGATTGCGAAGTTTGAAGTCATGGAAGGCGCTCCGGTGCGAGGGGAGTGCATTCCGGTGCGTCTGTTTTTGTCTCCGTACGATTTGACGCCGACGTATAAGAGCGTAAACAATAAGTTTTCGGTGAAGTATTACTTGAACTTGGTGTTGATCGACGACGAAGATAGGCGGTATTTCAAGCAACAGGAGATTATTCTGTACAGATCCGAGTTGCTCTAATAGGTTAGAATAAATAGTAGAGAATAGTAAAGTACGGCAGATGTGCGTTTTGTATTTCAATTCATTCCAGTGAGTTCTTCATTTCCGTTATTTGCCTTCATGACCGCAAACGTTGGCTCGTTGTTCTCCAACAAGTATAACGTCAACAGCCAAAGGTATCCTAACGTGTTCCCTAATCCGTGCATACCTTGTTTATACCCGTTTTCTGCGTCGAATCCTAAATTCTCCAGCGCTTTCTCACCCGTCGGTCCGGGCGTAAACTTCAAGCCGGCGAACTCGTTGCAACACAAACACTGGAACCCTTCTCGAATTAACGAGCACTTGTTTATCCATCGAAAACACAACGGCACGGTTTCCACGTTTACGTAGTACCCGCCAAAAACGATGAAAAGAACCATAATACCTGGACCCATAGCGATCGCGGCTTCCGTGCTCGGCGCGACGGAGGAGATGGCTAAACCCATCGCGGACGCGCAAAAGGATTCCATAATAATCGCCGAGGAGAATTTCAAGAATTTAGGCACGGTGGGTTGTAATCGAGTCATCGGGTAGACGACGCATCCAAACGCGAGCGGAAACAAAGCGCTGACGGGCAACTCGGCGAAAATCTTCGCCACGAAGAACGGCAAGATGCCGTAGCTATTGTTCGCGCGTTCGCGAGTGACGATGGTTTTCTCCTTTGTAAACGCAGTCAACGTCTTCATTAAAGCCGCCATGGCGGCGTTGATGGTACTGACTTGGAGCAAACCGAACCTGTTCTGCATCGACGCCGGGTCCATTTTGAGCTTCCAGAATATAGATCCGAAAACGAGCGCCGAGTTGAGGTTTGCAGTCAATCGAATCCTGTTCGTCGTCTTGTCTCTCACGACCTGTTTAAACGCTCGATGGAAGAGAAGCGGAAATTGACCCAAGAATTCTTGGATTGGATTTTTATTATTATTACTTTTTGTTTGTTCTTCGACTGCTCCCTCCGTCTTTTCTGCGGGCGGCAAGATAGCATCAGCAGTGTCACCACCACCAAAACTGTTTTCGGCTCCATTCTTCCGAGAGGCGTGCTTCGCCACCTCTGCGATTAACTTTTCGCTCTCCAACATCGTCTCCGGCGTGCTCGCGTCGACGCTGATCAAATCAATCACAAACTCGAGAATGTTGTGCCCTCTCGGGCACTTCTGGCCTAACTTGTTCTCAAAATGCCCTTCCAAATTGTCCATCGATCCGTGATACATCAACTTCCCGGAGGATAAAACGGTCACGTCGTCGAACAAATCCACGATTTTCTGCCTCGGTTGATGAATCGAGCACACGACGATAGTTCGTCTCTTCTCGCACAATCTCTTCAACGCTTGAACCACATTCAGAGCCTGATACGAATCCAACCCGCTCGTCGGTTCGTCTAAAAAGATCACCTTTGGATTCGACACCAAGTGACACGCCAACGATAACCTCTTCTTCTCCCCGCCACTACAACCTCTCGTTTTCGCGTCGCCGACCTTGGTCTCCGCGCACTTCATCAAACCCAAATCCGTCATCAAACGAGAGCAAATCTCTTCGTCTTGTAAAACCACATCCGATATGGCGAGTTCATTTTTCGATCTCGCCAGCTTTACTGCGAATAAAAGCGTTTCCTTGACCGTGAGTTGTGCGAAAAATGCATCCTCTTGCTCCACGTACGACATCCGTCCTTCCCTTCTCAAAAGGCCACTTAACTGTACATTCTTCCCAGGAACTCTTTCCGCTAAAGCGTTCAACAGGGACGTTTTCCCAGACCCAGACGGCCCCACGATGGCAAACAAACGTCCGACGTGCGCTTCACCGGAGATTTCAGATAAGATTTGAATAGTTTTTGATGGTGTTTTCTGCGTCTTTTTGTGCATGGATAAGTGGATGTTTTTCCACCGCAACACGGGGAGTTGTTCATCAATTAATTCATTCTGCTTTGTTTTCTTCTTTGTTTTCTTCTTCTTCTTCTTGAGGAGGATGTTTTTCGCGACGGCGACGGATGCGAGCAAAGGATACTTTATTTTACTCGGGAATGTGGCGTATATCGCGGTGCCTAAAAGGAACGCAGGCCCGACGACCATATTTTCTTTCCTTTGTCTTTATGGGGAAATGCAGAACTCTGAAAACCTTATGAAAGTGAAGAACGAAGATTTAAGCTTTAAGCAGATTTAAGAAGCGTCGAAGCTTTTGCGCGTATAACTCGTCGAGCTTGATACTACCGTTTTATTTATTACCCGATGATGTAAATCTATGATACTTTATATTAAACTCTAAACGTTTTGGTTTCGCGCGTATATTTAAGACGACGAGCGCTAACGAGACAAACACAAGAGTAGTCTACTTACTGAGGCCCCATCCCGGGTCGAAAGCCCGGCGGCGGCATCATCATCCCCGGAGGCCCACTCGAAGGTTGTTGCTGCCCTAACCCCGGCGGCGGCATCATCCCCGGCATCATCATCGGCGCGCCTCTCCCCGCCGGTCTCGCCACGCCCCCTCCCGGAATACCTCCGGCGTCCGCTCCTTGCTTCTGCGAGGAAATTTTCTTCACGCGAATCGGCGGCCCTTCCACCGCGACCGAGACGACTTCTTCGCCTCTCAGTAACACGAATCCAAGGACTCTTCGCACGTCTCCTCCTGCATCTTCATCGTCTTCTTCTTTCGTAGTAGTGTTCGTTTTCTTCTTCTTCGGAAGTTTCCGAAACTCCTCCGAATCCGCCAAGACTAAGTTCATGTGTCTGTCGAAGGCGACGAATCGGCCGACGATTTGCCTCCCGTCCACGATCGTCGCTCGGATTCTGTGGTTGATGAAAGAGAGCATTTTGGTCGTGCGGTTCACCGCTACCATCTTGAACTGCTTTTTATGTGTCGTTCTCGTGATAAATACTGATATTATAATCGATGCGTTTAGTCGTTTAAGCCGCCAACTTCAAAACTCTTCTTTTCTCCGTCGCGTGATCTCTCGATTTCCAATTCTTCTAACGTCTTATATATATACAACACACGAAAGACAAAACACACACAGAAACTTCAAAAGCCTACTACTAATAAAAAGGGAGGTTGTCGTTCCTTCTCCTCTCCTTCCGTGAACAGAAGACGTAGTAAAAAACGCTCTCTGTCGCTCACAACAAAGAGCTGTTTAAGTGCGTGAATGTTCTGACACAAAATCACTCCAAACTGTCCTTTCGAAAGAAAGAAAAGCGAAAGAAAAACAAAAACTATACTTTTAGGGTTTCACTTTAAATTTTAGGGTTTAGAGGAGGCCATTTGAGAGGCATTTTTTATGAGCGTTTTTTTCTCTTTTTACGCAGAAGAAACACTTCAAGGGGTTGACCCAGATCGAAAACGGTCGAAGGTGTGCGCGTAGTGTCGACGTAAACCAGGTACTAAGAAGGAGTCTTCTCTCATTAGTCAGAGAACACTTCATCTCAACTTCTCACAAATAACACACTACTGTATATATAACGTCTTTTGAGGAGAGACTACTCTGTGTTTTTGTGTTTTTGTGTGTATCTTTTTGACCACTCTTTCTTAAAACAAGTATTCTTGCTTAAGGGAAGAATTGCTCATTAAAACCTCTTCTCAATTCGTATTCACTCACATCACTGTATTGAGAGAAAACAGAGCGCGAATGATGACTTCGACGAGGATGATTTTCACTTCCGTGATACCTCCTCACGCGTCGTCGTCGAAATCATCGTTTTTCAAAGTGCGTTTTCGGAGGAGGCGGGGTGTAATAAAGACGTCCGTGAATGCGAACGACGACAGAAGGGACAATTCTTCGTCGTTGCATCGCGCGATGGATAAAATGGAAATTAAAGACAAAGACGAGGAAAGAGCAGCAATTGTTCACAATAAAAGAGAAGAAGCGTCGTCGCTGAATAACACGCATTCGAACGAGAAGGAGACGGTATCGTTGCAACGAAAGAAGACGACCCAGGTAAAGAGTCCGAGTGAGAAGAAGAAAACAAAAAGCAACTTTGCTGAGGCGGCTGGAACCACCAAGAGGAGGAGTCTTAAAGCGAATACTAACGCGCACAAGAAACGCCTGATGGCAGAGAAGTACAGGAGAGAGCATCATCAAAATCATCGTAAGAATACTAATACTCATAGTACTAATACTAAGAACGAAAAGGAGGGTGTTCATAGAAACGCGGAGCTGGATTCGATGCGACCGGGCGAGCGGATCGTGAAAGCGATGGAGAATATCAGCGCGTTCGATAAGTATAGGTATTACTACGGCGGGGGCAAGAAAAAAGACGAAGACGACGAAGACGAAGACGAAATGGCGTCTTCATCGGAATACGAACCGATTAATTTTGATTTAGTTGAAGTGGACAGCACGGAAGTGGAGAGGTTGTACAAAAGTCTGGAACGAGATCCCGCGGAGTTATCCGCGGACGACGAGTTTAAGGATTTGTTGATGGAGGTTGACGCTTCTTCTTCTTCTTCTTCTTCTTCTTTTGAGGATGGAGGAACTGACGACGAGGAGAACAACAACAACAACAAGAACAACAACAACAAAGAAGAAGACTTTGAGAGGAGGAGCGGTGAAAATAGCAGCAGCGGCAATAATAGAGGTAGTAATAATAGTCTTAGCGGGGGACAACAACGCAGGCGATACAACAACAACGTCATCGGCAACCACAACACCACCACCACCAGAACAACGAACGCGGACGTGTTCCATTTGAAAGACGTCGCGCGAGCGGTGATTAATCCGTCCTCGTCGTTGGCGCAACACAATCTAGACGAGATGAAAAACAGCAAGATCGAGAAAGATCCGAACCATAAGTTTGGCACGTCGACGATTAATTTCGCGATTAAAGAGTTGGGGGAGAGAAACGACTTTTCGAGGGCGTACGCGTTGTACAGGTGGATGTCCACGCAAGCGTTTAACGACGAATCGAAATACTCGCCGAACGCGTACACGTTTTGCGCCTTGGCGTCGAGCGCAAAGACGAGTCGCGAGGTGAGAATCGTCCTCGAGGTGTGGAGAGGCGAGTTGAAAATCGCAAAGCACATGTTGAATAATAATAAGAATACTTCGAAAGCAACAGGAGGAAAAGATGTAGATTTCGATTCCACGCAATCTTGGCTCGCGCGAAACGAGTGCGCCTCCGCCGCGATTGCCATGACGACGAAAATCGGCGATTGGCAATCCGCGTTGGAGATTTTCAACGACGTGAAGAAGATTGGGAACGTGAAGAGAAACATTTACACGTACACGGCCATCTTAACCGCGTTGAGAGATAGCGGCAAAGCGGACGAGGCTGAGCAAATTTTGTACGAAATGTTAGAGGAAAGAAACGTCCGAGTGACTTCTCTAGCGTTCAGTTTAGCATTGGGCGCGTTTGAAGTCGCTCGAATGTGGCAAGAAGGGAACAAACTCGCGAAATCTGCGTTTAAAGTGTTCCAAATTGACTCACCGGATGCGACGTTAACGCACGCGATTATCACCATGGCAGGTCGCGCTGGAGATTTGCAATTCGCCTCGGAAACGTTCGAGAACATGAAGAATTCAACGTTAGTGGTGACGACGTATTCGTACAACGCCTTATTAGGCGGGTACGCGCGGTACGGGGACTGGGAAAGTGCTCACAGAGTGTTTAGCGATTTACGCCAAGCGCATTTGCAACCGGACAGGTACACGTACACCCAACTCATCTCAGCCGCGGAACGCGCGGGAGAGTACGAAGCCGCCGACGTCGTGTGGCGCGAAATGTTGACAAAATCTCGACACGTCGTCCCGCACACCGTCATGTGCGGCGCGTACATTCACTGCTTGGCCAGACAAAGACGAAACTTGGAAGCTGAGGACGTGTTGGAAACGATGAAAGCGAGATGGGATGTGCCTCGAAACGCCGCGGTGTACAACGCGTTAATCGGCGCGCACGTGCGCGCCGGAGATGTGCCGAAAGCCTTACACGTCTACGATCGCATGCAAAAAGAAGACAACATCATGGCCACGGAAATCACGTTCGCGGTGTTAATCCGCGCGTGCGAGGAAGACGGCGAGTTTGTCAAAATGGCCGATCTGTTGCAACAAGCGAAAGAGTTGTTGGCGAGAGAAGGCAAATTGGTCATGGATTTAACCGGAGGAGGCGGAAGAGGAGGCTCGAATGGGTTGTTTTGATCATCATCGTCGCGATTTTACTATTTTAGGATTGTTTAGTATTATGCGTTTAGTTATAGATAATATTACCGAACAACGGAGTCGTCATCGAGCGGCGGCGACTAATAATAGCTTGGTATTCTTTTGTCGTTCTTCTTTGTCTTCTTCTTCTTCGGGTCGCCGCCGTTCCTTCTTCAAAGTCAAAAACGGAACCAAGTGGTCGTCGTCCTCTTCTTCCGCTTCTTGCCTTTCGTCCTCCCTTTCATTTCCGATTAGTATTATTCGTTCCATCTCGTCTCTCGCTCGCTTCTCCGCCATTTCCAACGTCAACTTTAATCGCTCCAACGTCGTTTCTAATCTCGCGATGTCTTCTTTCCGTTTCTTCTTTTTCGCGTTGTCGTTATCGTCGACGACGACGGCACATCGACGATACCATCCGGGATGTTTTTGTACGTTCAAACTTTTCTTCGCGGTTGTTGTTGTTGTCGTTCGTCTGACTCGTCTGACGGAAGAAAGCGTCGATTTCATGTACCTTTGCGGTAATATCGTTTTCAACAACAACGAGGAAGCAGCATCCGCGGCGGTACTTTTGCCTCCTTTTACTATTATTAATTTTTCTTTCACTCTCGGGTGTTTCAAGAGAAACCGCAATCGACGAACCGCTTTCGTCGCGTTCGTGAACGACTTTGACTTTTCATCATCGGAAAAGTAAGTGTTGTTGTTGTTCGTGTTGTTGTTGTTCTCGTCGCTTACGTCGTCGTCGTCATCCTCCGACGACACCAAAGATGATGATTTTAATGCGTTGACCGAGATCAGATTCGTTTTTTTTTTAGAATCATCATTTTTGTTGACGTGTGTGTTGCGACGACGACGAGATAAAGAAGAATTCGACGCGGCGACGCGAATGAGGTCGAAGAATATCAACGATAGAGGATTTTCGCCGCTGGGAATGGTCGTCGTCGTCGTGGTGATCATCGCTTTTGATTGAAAACTTTGTGATATTTTTGACTTTTTTTTAAAAATATAGACGTTTTTGGTACAAATGTAGTGTGGTTTAATAAAAAAATGCGACGTGTTGAGAATAATGTTTTTAAAGCGGCGCGGCGTTCTCCTTGGCCACATGTCCTTTCTTGGCCGCCGCTTTTGTTGTTGTTGTTGTACTTTTATCCGCTCTTTTCTGCGCGGCTGCCCCTAACGCGCCCCCATCCTTTTTATCTTCTTCGGTGACTTTATCCTTCAACGCCGGCGCCGTGCGGGATACGGTGGATAAGCCGTCCACAAACTTGGTCCTAAAAATAACGTTCGCGTTGTTAAACATGCCTTCTTTCAAGGAGACGACGATGAACTGCGAAAACGGGAAGTGCGTGCGAATCATTCGTCCGATGTTTTGCGTGTGCGATAAATCCAACGCCGCGTCCACTTCGTCCAAGATATAAATAGGCGCCGGCTTGAAGAGCAAAAGCGCCAATATTAAACTGAGCGCGAGCAAGGATTTTTGCCCGCCGGAGAGTTCCGAGAGCGATTCTTTCCACACTTCACCGAACGCGACTTTGACTTCTAAACCGTCCAAGAACGTAGTGCCTTCCACCGGTTCCAACTTCGCTCGCGTTCCCGGCAATAACGTCGAAAAGATGGATCCGAAATCTTTGGTCACTTTTTGCCAAACCAATTCGAGCGTCTCTCGCTTCTTCTCGTCCAACTCGTGGATGACTTTTTCAATCTTCGATCGATCGTTCAGAACGATTCGTCGCTTCTCTTGCAACTGCTTAAACTCTTGCTCGGCTTTATCGAACATGGCGATGACTTTTTTGTTCACTCGTTTCCCGAGTTGCTTTTGCGTCTCTTCCGCCTCTTGCAACTGCTTTTGCGCCTTCTTGACGTCTCTCTTGGAGAAGTCGTATTCCGTGCCCTCTTTGCCGAACAGCTGCCTTTCGTGTTCGGTGGCCCACGGGTGCTCTTTTTCGAGCAGATGGAATCGCGATTGAGCGTCGCTCGCGGCTTTGGCAAACTGGTCGATTTTGAAGTTTAACTTCTTCGCCTCGACGGATTCGTCCATGTGTTTCTGCTCGAGCTTCGATTTCTGTTTCCGCAACGAGGCGATTTCATCGTCCGTCTCTCGTAACTTGGTTTGAATGATTTCCAACGCTTTGCTCTCTTCGTCGAAAGCTTGTTGTGCGTTTATCATCTCTCGTTCAAACTCGATGACTTTTTTGGATAACGTTTCGATGCCTCCTTTCGCGTGCTCGATGTCCTCCTCCAAGCTCGCGATGGCTTTCATCGCCGCCTCTTTCTCCACTCGAGCGTCTAAAACAATCGTCTCTTTCTTCTTGATTCTCTCTTTGATGTCATTGACCAGCTTTTTCGTCTCTTTCACCTTCTTCTCCGCGTCTTTTAACAAGTTTTGGCGCTCTTTGGCGAAGTTTTTAATCTCCGCGTCGAGTTTCTTCTGCAACGCGAGCGTTTCTTCCTTCACTCGCGCCATCTCTCGGACGTTTCGTTCGCACTCCTCCAACTCGTTCGTCAGCTTCATTCGTTTCTCTTCCAACTGAAACGCCTCGGATTCGCTGTTTTTCTCCTTTAATAAGTTTAATTTGTGTTCACATTGGTCCAACTTCGTTTCCAGCTCCGTGTATTTTTTGCGCTCGATTTTTGCCTTTTCGATGTCTCGGTCGCACCGCTCGATGTCGTCGCGCAACTCGCTCGCTTTCATTTCCGCTTCGGAGAACGCTTTCAACTTTTTCAAGACCGATGAACCTTTATTTCTCGATCCACCGGTTAACAGTCCAGTTGGGTTCAATAAATCGCCCTCCACGGTCACGCAGTTTAACAAAACGTTCTTATCGAACGCCACTCGCTTCGCCGTCTCTTGCGTTTGACAGACGAACGCGCGACCGAATACGTAGTTCATCACCGATTGTACCGATTGGTCCTTTGCCGTCACCAAAGACACCGCCAACTTTGCCTCGTTGTTCGAGACTTTTTCAGCCGCTTTGACCTGTTCATCGTGCGCTTTCCTCCCGTCGACTTTATCCAAAGGCACGATCGTGACTCGTTTTTGCAACTCTCCGCGTTCGAGCAACGCTTTACCGGTATCCGCGGAATCGACGACGACTTGGTACAACTTACCACCGGCGATGACTTCTAACGCCGTCATTGTCGACTCATCCATCACGTCGAAGAGTTTCGCAATCGTTCCTTTCACTTTCTTCGCGCGATCGAACTTCACGTCTGGATTTTTGAATTTGAAATCGAGACCGGCGAGCTTTCCTTCGAGTTGGTCGCACGAGTCTCTGGCGTCCTCGAGCGCGGATTCTAATGAAGCCTTTTTCTCCTCCAACTGCGCACATTTGTCTTGAATGTCGTCGAATTCGGTTTCAAACGATGCCAACTCCAGTTGTGCTTTCTCCACCATCTTTACGGCTTCGGACATTTCGTTTTGCATCTTCGCGCTTTCCTTCGCCTTACACGCTTTCAACTTCTCCGCCTCTCGCATCTCCTTCTCGATGTGTTTTTGCCTCAATGCTTCCGATTTCGCCTTGGCATCGCACTCGGCGACTTTCCCGATCGCTTCCATGAGTTGCGTTTGTAACGATTTGTTCTCCGACGTATCCCCGGCGCCGGTTTGGACGTTCATTAATTTCCGTTCGCTCTTCTCCGCCTCCGCTTCCGCCGAGCGTAAATTTTCCTCCTCTCGCTGCGCCTCGAGTTCGAGATCTTTGACTTTTTCTTTTCTCTTCTCGTCCGCGGAGATTGCATCTGATTTGCTCTTTTCGAGCTTCTTGAGAGATGACTCCTCGCTTTTCATCTCTTTCGAGACGTGTTCGAACGCACTCGTTTTCTTGACCAACTCTTTCGATTTCTCCTCGACGCGCTGCTTCGAAGCGTTCAACTGGTCGCCGCACGCCTTCTCGCGGTTTTCAATCTTCACGGCGATGTCTTTATCCATCTCTTGCGACATCGCTTTCGCCTCCATCGCCTTTGAGAGATGCATTTCCACGGTTTCTTTCAACTTTTCCGACTCCTCTTCAGCTTTTGTCATCTCTTCCTCTGCCTCGCAAAACTCCACCGCGACGCAAAATCGCCTCAACCGTTCCAACGTATCGTTCGCCGACGCCCATTTCATGTACTCGCCGCGTTCTTTCCGTAACTTTTCAATCGTCGGTAAAATCTCCTCTTCGAGAAGCTGATCGATTTCCGTCACTTTCAGTTCTTTCTTCGTCAAAGTTTTCGTCGCCGCTTCCTTCTTGCTCTCGTACATCCTCGTCCCGGCGGCTTCCTCCAACATGCCTAAAATCTCAATCGGTTTCATGTTCAAAACCTTCGTAATCCTCCCTTGCATGATTAAAAAATGCGGATTGTTCACGTTTAACTGCACGGAGTGAAACAAATTCTGCACCCTCGTCGGTTGCGCGACTGACCCATTGATCATGTACTTATTCTTCCCGCCGATGACGATTTGACGCGTCACGGTGACTTGATCGCAGTGTTCGTACCCGACGGGCGAGCGAGACTTCTCCGAGTTGTTGAACGTAATCGAGACGGACGCTTTCGTAATCCCAGCTTGGCCTTGCTTGTATACCAGCTCTTGCAAAGAGGAACATCGTACCTAGAGTTTTAACGCGTTATTTGATCGTAAACGTCATCGAGAGAGAGAGTAGAGACATTCGTGAGTCCTCCGCGCGCAAAAATCCACCTCGAGGGGCTTACCCCAAAAGGGGAACGAAAATTCAAAATCAGAATCTCTCGCTCCTTTTTCTACTCACACTCTCAGCATCCTCTCGTTCCCGAACGCGAAAGAACGCGAGAAAGACGACAGAAAGAGTACGCAGCAGAGAGAGAACCATCACATCGTCACGAGAAGAGTGCGCACCTGACTTAAATTCGTGATCCCGAGGACGAAGCAGATGGAATCCAAAATGTTTGATTTCCCGCTTCCGTTCAAACCGGTTATGGCGTTGAAATATTGGTCGAATTGAGGGACGATGGTACGTTGGGCGTAGGATTTGAAACCGTCTATGCAGACCTCCTCGACGTACATTGTTGTTGGCTTTTAAAGAGTAGCAGCAACCGCAGATGGGGGAGTATATATATGCGCGCGCAATGTGAGGACATTCGAGAGACAAAATGGAGCAAACGGGCGGATACCCTAAACAGTTTCAGTTGAGACCCCTACAGGGAAACGGTACTCCGCGCATGACGTAAACCTTTACAAAAGCGTGATATTGATGATAGCGATGGCGTGTTTTGTTGTTGTTGTTGTTGTTGTTCTCTCTCTCTCTCTCTCTCTCTTTCGAAACTCGAAAGGAAGCCCACGTCTTCGTCTTCGTCTTCGAAAAACACGGCGGCTTTTTAAAGTCTCTTTTTTCCGTGCGTAAAACGACAACACCTCGCGGCAAATTCATTTTATATTAACACTTGAACGAGCTGCTTTGGATTCCACCCGCCGCCCAGGGTTTGTTACAGTGCGCGAAGAAACTCATCATGGTCACGTTGACTTCGTCGCCGCCGTCCGTGCCGCTTTTTATTCTTTGACTTAAATCGTCGTTCGAGGCTCGATCGCCGTCGTTGATGTCGCTTCCTTCGGTTAACATTTTCATCTTGAACTTTCGGGTGAACTTTTCAAAGAGTTTCGCGTCCGACATTAACTCCTGTCCGAACGGTGCGACCGAGATGACTTTTAACGCTTCGTCTAAAGAGTCAAACCGCACTTTATCTGCCTCAAAAATCACGTCCACGTTTTCAAACCCGGCTTTGATTAAATCCGTCTCTAACCTATCGATGGCGTCCACTCTCGAGGTCGATTCGAAGTCGCCGCTGTACGAAAACGGTTTCAGCAATATCGGCACCCACTCTTCTTTTTCGCACTCGATCAAACAGTCTCTCAAAACTTCGAACAACTTCTGTCCTTTCACCGGCGCCCAAACGGCGACGTTAAAATGCGCGCCCGGTTTTAAACTCTTGAAAACATTCGTAAGCGCTCGCTCTCGATCGGTAAAAAACTGCGCGCCTTGATGACAATACGCTCGATCGAACTGGTCCTCCTCGCTCTTCCATTCTTCCATCGGAACGACCTCGTACGTAATCGGTGCCGGTAAATCCAAATCCTCGCCAGTTTTCTCGTTCTTTGCTCTTTTCTCCGCGAAAATGTCCTCGCGTCGCTTCGCTTCCTCAACCATCCCTTCCGAGCTGTCGATGCCAACCACTCGTGAAAATCTATCCTCGTTGCCTAAAATCGCCGCGATTTCTCGACTCGTCGCGCCGGTCCCGGAGGCTACGTCTAAAACTTTCTCCCCGGATAAAGGCATGGGGACGGAATCGATGAATTTTCTCGACCAGGGTTGGAATATGGTTCGTTCCAGGACCGAGGCGTAGTGTTTTGATTGCACCGGGGAGAATGGAAACGAAGCCGTCGACGACATTGATTTTGGCGACGATGATGTTGAAGAACTTCCGATGAAAGCGTTGTTGTGTACGACTGCTTTGAGCCAAACGCTACCACTACTCGTACTACTCGTGCTACTGATGCTACTCATGCGACGCATCAACGACGCACCCTTTTCCATGCGGTGGAAAAGCGCTTTAAGAAAAGGTTGGTGGTGGTGACGACACCGACGCATTTTATCCATTTTTTACTTGTGAGGAGACAACGAAGGGAAAATACGAGAGAGAATAAAACGATACGCGTCATCATCGAATGTGTTCGAGCATTCGAGTGTGTACTACTATTTCCTATAACATATATATACTACCAGTATGTTTCCACTTCTTTTGCTAAAATGACTTCTACGCGACCTCTCGAGATTTCCGACTCCTAAAGAAGCGCGCGACTCCGGCGAGCGCGAAGAACGAGCCCACGAGCACCGCCAGGTAAACGACAGAGTCCTGGAGCCTTTTCGCTTCAGCTGTCCTTTTCTCTTCGCCGCCGAGAAGAAGCAACCCCCCTCGCGGCGAAAACGTTTTATTAAATATCTCGTCGATATTAGTCACCCCGCCTTGTTTCAACGGCGAGAGGTAATCCAGAGTTGTTCCGACGGTTGCCCCGCTGTACACGTCGGAAACGGTTGCGCAATTTCTTACGTTATCGCGACACCAGGACGTGACTGTACTAAGAACCGGAGCACACTTCGTGCGTTCGTAGTACTTTTTCTCTCGATCGAGAAGTAAAGAAACCGACGAAAACGACGACGCGTCTTTGAATATTTCGGTAACATTCACGTGCATCAGAGTAGGCACGCTTTGCATTTCTCTGAGATTATCTACAAACGCTTCACACGTTTCAGCGCTACCAATTGATGACGAAGTGCACGCGCCAGAAGCCTTCAGTGCTATGAGAGCCTCATCTCTAGAGTTGGACAGCAACAAAGATTCAACAGAAAACACTGGGACGTTTAAACTCTTCGCTACGGTTATGAGATGCCAGAAATGGAAGAAATGACCCAAGCACTCTTGTATCCCTCTAATACCTGTTGTACCGGCAAAGATGTGGTGATCTCGTTGTTTCACGATGGCGTCGAACACATATTTTGCGTAATTTCGAAGTCTGAGAAGATCTGCGCCCGCGGGAAGCATTCGTACATTTTCAGGTGTAGTAGATATCAACGATCGCCAAAAAGCAAAATAATTTTGCCCCCCTCCCCCTCGACGCCTCGACACGGGAAACGTATGTTCTGGTTTACGAAAAACGACGAACAAAGGATGCCCCCTTTCGTGCAAAGTCTTCAAATGCCATCCGTTCAAGTGTGTATCTTTTGTAAATTTCCAACGTCCTAGATTTGCTTCGTGGAACACGTTTTCCAAATCAGAGGACGAGCACGTGTTCCACATTTGGACTGCTTTTTGCCTGTAGAGAGATGGGATACATTTAGCGTACAACTCCGCTCGACGTTTACTCGTTTGGCACGCTGGATTTATGAGTTCCATTGGACATCCTTCTGATATGCCTACTTCAAACGTCTCGTTTAACGCTTTTCGAATCGCGCCAGAAACTAACGTTGAGCTTTGTTCGGGACCGGTGAGCATAATCAGAGGACGCCACTTCCCTCTACTGGTGGATTCATTGCTATTGTTGTTGTTGTTAAACATCCGCTGCCGTCTTCCGGGCATCAAATCATCGTTTATATGAAGGCGCGAGAAACGCAACGCCAGCGAATCATTATTCTCTTCTGGAAGTCCAAAAAAACTTTGGAAGCGCTTCGTCTCGCTCGTCTCGTTGTACCAACCGAGCGATATGTTAAGCAATTTAGAAGTTGGGATACATTCTCTCACCGATTGCTCGTACTCGTCCAAATGTGCCGACCAAATCGACGACATCAGCGACGTTAGATTATTCTTCTTAATAACTTTATCGTCGGGGTTCTCTCCGCAAATTTTCGAGTGTTCGTCACAAAACGTTTGAAAATACGAACCCCACGAGCGTTCTCGCAACGCCTTATTATTCGCATTCAGACAGTGTATCGGCGCGTCCCATTTACAATGCATGCGAAGCACGGAATCAAAATGCTCCATCCTATCGCGGTGTACGTAAAGAAATCGCGCCTCCTCGGGGTACTTCGCGAGCAATCGGCACGGCATCCCCGGCATAAAAAATGGCACGTCCGTGAAAAATTGCAAGCGTTTTCTCTCGACGGCTTCATCGAGAGCGCTTTCAAATCGAGTCGTATTCGTATTCGTATTCGTAACGAACGCCTCTTCACGAACGAACGATTCCACATCTTGCACATTCCACATCCCGAACATGTTGTGTGCGCATCGCTGGTGCAGGTATTGATTAAAAAACGCGCACATGCTTCTCGTACTCGTTCGTCCTGGTGAAATCATAAACGTCACGAATCTTGGTTTTCGTTGGTGTTCTCCTCCTCTCTCGGGAGGCCAGCGCGTGTTGCTCAACAAATTCTCGTCCTCATTACTGGCGAACGCCGTTTTCGCGAGTGCGAGTGCGACGACGAGAAAGAACTTTTTCAGCGATGGCATCAAAAACGTCCTCGTCATCTGATGCTAAACCTTCTTTCGAGCAAAAACGTTACAGGAAACACAAGCGATGAATCGATCCGTTTTAAAACGCGCCGAAGAATCGCACGCTCGAAGCGACGCAACGCGCATCATAAAATTGTCCAAAACGGGAGCGTTTGTTCACCATCTTCCGCGCTCGGTGCGTTCTTTCGCGAGTCTTCGCTCTAAACATCTTTAAAGTTTCGGAATAAACGCGTGCGCATAATGGAGCTTTCGAGGCACCTCGGGAGGAAAATCTTCAGAATTTTACACACAAACACGTACACATATAATTGAGCTCGAAGAGCATCGAATACCTCATATATCAAACGCTTTCGAGAGGACGCAGAACACAACCCCTTCATCGCGCTCTCTTTTTGTGGCTGAATACGCCTCGGTATTCTTCGCTCGATATCAGGAGAGATCGCATCGTTCTAGGGGGGAAAAAATTCAAAATTGAGATCTCTTCCTTCGTAAAGAACAACATAAGCGATACGAACGAGAGAGAGCCTTTAAATCATCATCTCGCGACAAGAACAACAGTTTGTTTCGTGGTGGTGCTCTTTTTGCGGTTGAATAATCCTCTCGTTATTCGCTTGATATCGGGAGAGATTAGTCGAAAAGAATTCAAAATTGGACAATTAAGTCTCTCGGATTATTGAGATCTCTCGAGACTGCGAGAGAGATGCGCGGCGGCGATAAAGGACAGGATAAGATGCAACTCATCGACGAACGCGGCGAATTCGATGAACACGCGTGCGAATCTTTCTTACACGATGCCGCAAACGCGCACGAGTGGAATAAAAAGTACACGGTGATGAGCATCATGGGACCGCAGTCGAGCGGGAAGAGCACTTTGATGAACCACGCGTTCGGGACGAGCTTTCGAGAGATGGACGAGTTGTCCGGGTACGTTTCTCTTTCTCTTTATCACTCTGTTTGTTTTGACTTTCTTTTGAACGCGGTTTTGCGGATGATCGTGATGATTTTATGCTGACTACTCTTAATACTATACTCTTCTTCTATTCAACAGACGCCGACAGACGACGAAAGGCGTGTGGATGGCAATCGCGGAACAATCGGATGATAACAATAATAATACGATCGTGCTCGACCTGGAAGGTTCCGACGGTCGCGAGCGAGGCGAAGACGACCAGACGTTTGAGAAGCAAACCGCGCTGTTCGCTTTGGCGGCCTCGGACGTTCTCTTAGTCAACGTGTGGTGCAACGACATCGGGAGAGAACACGCGAGCGGGAAACCTTTGCTGAAGACGATTTTACAAGTCAATTTGAAGTTGTTTTGTTCGAATAACAAAACGGCGACGAAGAAAACGAAACTCGTGTTTGTCATTCGCGATCGGTCGAAAACGCCGATTGAATTACTCGAGAAAGCGTTGAAAGAGGACGTCGAGCAAGTGTGGCAATCCATCAAGAAACCAGAGCATTTCGCAAACTCGGACGTGAGCGAGTTTTTCGACGTCGGATACTTCAGTTTGCCGCATTACTTGCACGAGAACGAGGTGTTCGTGAAAGAATGCAAAGGTTTACGCGCGGCGTTGATTTCTTCCACGGATGATGAGTCGACGCACGAGAGCAAAGTTCCGTCGACGGCGTTGCCGACTTCCATGAGAGAAATTTGGAAAGCGGTGCAGGAAAATCGCGATTTAGATTTACCGGCTCACGCGATTATGGTTGCCACGGTTCGATGCGAGGAAATCGCGACGATGTGCGCTGACGCGGTGGAAGCTTCGGACGCGATCGGGATGCTTTGCGAACGCGCGAATACCCCTAACGCCAGCGAATGCACCACGCTAGGGAAAGAAATCGAAGCCATTGCGAAAACTGGTTTCGACGTCTACGACGCCGAGACGGCGTTTTTCGATAAGAACGTTCGAGATATGAAACGGAGAGAATTAGCGGGGAAGTTAACGACGGTGTTTAAACCAACCTTGGAGGCGCACTTCACGAACGTATCGAAGAAGTTGTTGACCAAAGTCAGAAGAGAGTTGGACGCCGGTTTCGAGAGCGGTTTTGAAAAGAAGTCTACGAAGAAATTCTCGCAAATGGCTTTGTCGTTACGAGAAGACTCGATTAACGAATGGAACGAACACGTCGCAAACTCGACGCCGACGGAAAACATCGACGGGTGGAACTTTGAAATCGTCAAAGATTTGACCAGATTATTTCACAAAGATCTCGAGGAAACCGTCGATCACGAGAAGACCGAGAAGAGCGCTTTGATGGCGAGAAACGTAGAGAGAACGTTTTCGAGACAGGTTTCGACGTCTATTTTAGGCGCGGTGGATGAATTTAGCCGAGAGATTTGCGTCGACGACGATTCAGACGACAAATCCGAAGACGCCGAAGCAGCTTTGAAGAGGCGACAAAGAAGAGAGGAGAAAAAATACTCGCTGTGGCCAGCCGCGAGACTGGCCTATCGCGCCTCGGAGAAGAAATGGATCGAGACTTTAGAAAACGCGCTGTTGAATTTCGATTTACCTACAGACGCGTTCGATTCGAGGAAAAACGAAGCGGAAAATGCCATCAAAATCGCATCAAACGGCGCGTGTTTCGAAGCCGGCGATAAAGCGAGCGAGTTCATGCGCCAATCCTTCAGCGCGTATTTCAACAAGACGAAGGAAGGGATACCGAGAGTTTGGACGTCCTCGGACGACGTCGGTAGGATTGCTCGATTGGCTCGATTGAACGCGGTGAACGTCTTGGCGAATATTTGCATCAACCGCATTGGAGCAGACATGCCTCGATTGAAAGCGGTGGCGATGACGCAGTTTCAAACCGACGAGGCGAAACAGTTTTCAAAGGAAGAGCGAATGAAGATTGCAAAGGTGGAAAAGACGTTGCGAACGTTAGTGCCTGGTGTTATGAACAAGACAGGAGAAGAAGGAGAAAAACAAGAAGAAGAGTATCCACTCTCCGGCGGATTGAAGACGAAGAACCCTGAGGAAGAAATGATAGCCCAACCTCCTTTCCCGTCCGAATGGTCTCTGAAACTGTGCGACACCAAAGCTTCCGACGTCATTTTGTCGCCATCGGAATGTCGTCAGCACTACCGACGATTCGAATCGGAAACGACGCACTTTGTCGCGCAAGCGTTGCACGCGCAACAAAACGCCAAAAAAGACGGCTTGTTCGGTGGCGCCCCGGTGTGGATGATTTTCGCCTTGTTCGTTTTAGGATGGAACGAGATTGTCTATTTCCTGACGCACCCGTTTCGATTGATGTTTTTCGTCTTTCTAGGTTTGTACGCGAGAGCGATTTTACGGCAAATCAACGCGAAAGAGGCGTTTAAACTCGGCGTGGTCCCGGGATGCGCGTTTTTAGTCGCCAAAGGCGTCCCAGCCGCCATATCAATCTTCCAAAAGTTGATCGAGCAACAGTCGCCTGAAGCGTTGACGGAAGGTCTCGATTTTAGCAAAGTCTTATTAGGAGCAGGAGGCGGAGGAGGAGAAACATCCGCAAACGACGAAGAAGAGGAAGAAGTCAAAAGAACTGAAGAACCCATGGACATCGACTCTCCCGCAAAAAAAGTCGTCGTGAGTCCTTTCGCGAGCGTTCGAAGACGCACGAATCATCAACATCATCAGCAAAGCGCCGACGCTCGCTAGCCTGACGACGGGTAAACGAAAAAGAAGAAGAAGAACCGAAAAGAAAGATAATATAAGAGCAAAGCGGTGAAAAGCACAGACAAAAAACGCATATTTGATGTGGTAGAGAAAAGATTGTAATCCCAAAGCGTACACGGTATCGTCACACGTTAGTAGTAATAGTATTCAATAAGAGTTTTGGTAGAGTCTTTGGGGTGGTAGTAGAAAATGAGCTAATGACACGAGAACTACTCTCATTACTCCTCGGAAGCCGGCGGTTCGATCGCGAAACTCTTCGCCCACGCGAACGACTTATCACCTGATGTTGTTTAAAAAGAGAGAGAGAGAGAAAGAATGAGAGAGACTCAACGCGAGAGAACGAACAAAACATATACTAAAGAGAGAGAAAGAGATCCAATCCCCCCAATAACAAAAGAGCGGACACATTTCGCGCGTCACACGACGTATTCAAACAACGATGAGATCGCGTACCAATCATCCAAAACGCGGTAAAAACCCCCACTCCGCCCCATTGCGCGAGCTTCATCGCAGATGCAGTCGTCGGGACGATATCCACGTTCGTGGAGGACCAGTGCGCGCGAGGGATGAACGTTTTCAATATTTCTCTCATGTGTAGTGTGTTGTTTAGGAGAGGAGGAAGAGGTGAAACTGTGGCGTTTTCTGCGAGCTTGGCACGATGCGTTATATGCTACTTTTACTGCTGCTTTTGTTTTTCTTCTTTCGGTCAAAAAGCGCTTTTATTAGTCTTCTTCCGTTCTCGTACTAATCCGCTGGTACACGTATCTCTCCTTTTCTAGGGAAAAACTGCCCCTCGAAACACCGTCAGAAGAAAGAATTTTGCACGCGTTTACACTCGCAACACACGCACCGAGACACGAAGTCATTTACTAAAACGAGAGCATCATCGTTCTCTCTTTCTATCCCTGCCTTTTGTGCCAAAGAAAGCGCTTCGTTTAAGTGCTTTTCTTTCGATCTCGCGTGTGTATAAAGTAAACAATCGACTCGTCGTTTCGTTCAATCTCACATCCGTTGGAGAGTAAAGCAAACGTGGCAGAGATGACGACGCCAATAACGATGAGTCCTCTTGGAAGCACGAAAAAGCCGAGGCAAAGGATGACGAATCAAACGATAAACGCGTCCTCCATCCAACACCAACGAGAAGAACAAGACGATGAGATGAAGAAGAAGGAAAGAGATTGGGATTCCGAAGGGATCAAATCCTCCTCTTTTAAAGGCACAATATCGCCATCGAATGGATCATCGTCGAGATGGTGGTTCGTGCGTCAAACGATGGTTGGATTGAAGTCCTTACTCGACGTGCGAGGAATACACACAGAGAGACACGACGGGTTAAAAAACTCCTACCAGGAGAACTTTAAAACGGTTTTGTTTGGGACGAAGTTGAACGCGTTACTCCTGTTCGCTCCCTTAGGGATAGTATGCCGCGCGTTCGATTTCGGCGACGGGCCGGCGTTTGCGTTCGCGTTATTGGCGCTGTGTCCTCTCGCGGAACGGTTAGGGTACGTCACCGAGGAAATGGCCAAGCACACGTCGCAAACGATTGGCGGATTATTGAACGCGACGTTCGGGAACGCGACGGAGATGATTGTTTCCGTCTTCGCGCTGAGAGACGGGTTGTTGAGAGTGGTGCAGTTATCTCTGGTCGGGTCGATCTTTTCGAACATGCTTCTCGTGTTGGGGTGCGCGTTTTTCGCCGGCGGGGTGAAGTGGCCGGAGCAAAGATTCAATAAGAACGGCGCGATGACGAATTCGTCTTTGTTGTGTTTAGCGGTCATGGGGGTGACGTTGCCGAACGCGTTGCACGCGACGCACACGGAGTTACACGGAACCGCGTCCGAGTTGGCTTTGAGTAGGTTTTCGGCGACGCTGTTGTTGATCATGTACGTCGTGTTTTTATACTTTCAGTTGGTCTCGCACACCGATTTTTTCGAGGACGAACCCGCTTCTACGGAAAACAACGGCGAGACGAAAGACGATAGTTTTATTAGCAATACTAGTAAGAAGAAGAAGAAGGACGACGACGAAAACGATCACAACGAAATAGAAGAAGAAAAAGACGACGACGATTCAGACGACGACGACGACGAAGATCCGGAACTCGGTTTCACCGAGGCCATTTACTACATGGCTGCAATCACCCTCTTCATCTCCATTCTCTCCGACGTTATTGTCGGCACCATCGAAGGTGCCGCCCGGTCCTGGAACTGCCCGGTGGCGTTCATTTCCGTCGTCATGTTACCGATTGTCGGCAACGCCGCCGAACACGCCTCGGCGGTCATGTTCGCTTTACGCAACAAAATGGACATCTCCATCGGCGTCGCCATCGGCTCGAGCACCCAAATCGCCATGTTCGTCTTCCCGTTTTGCGTCTGCGTCGCGTGGGCGATGGACAAACCTCTCGATTTGAACATGAAAGTCTTCGAAACCGTCTCGTTGGTTTTATGCGTCGTCACCGTGACGTTTTGCATACGAGACGGGAAAGGAAACTGGTTGAAAGGTTTGACCTTGATTTTAGCGTACGCGATTTTAGCGGCGTCGTTTTTCTTCCACGCCGAACCTCCGGCGGAAGGGTTAGCCGGGACCAGCCGGTTTCGCATCGATGGATGATAAGATGATAACAACGACTATAAAGGTTAATATTATAACTATATTACTATTAAAATTACTACTACTATCAGTGTACCCGTTTTGCGTTAAATACTCCAAAAACACTCCAAAATTCTCCATTCTGAACACCAATTTGGGGGCAAAAACTTGAAAGGAAAAGCCGCTTTTCATCATCACGCAGAGACACAGAGAGAGAGAAAAGAGCCGCTCGAGACGAAATCGTATTTATTACGCACGCACATATATATTCAAAGTGTTCTTTGCGCCTCAGCGTTGGTTGTGTGCGCATCATCATCTCTTAAACTCATAAAGAGTTCGATATTTTAATCGGAGGACAGACGAACACATCTCATCATGTGTACGAATACTACTGGACAAGGAAGAGGGCAAAGAACAACATCGAGAACTGTTTTTAACGTCGTAAACTTCGTGGCTTTAGCGGGTTGCAGTTTTGCTGCGTTAAATAGTGGTGGTGGTACTACTCTCGTCGTTTCCGCGGCGAGAATGGCACCGTCGAATTTGGGCGTTGATTTGCCCGCGGGAAGAGGAAAAGGATACGAAGGCGAATACGAAGAAGAAGGTTTAACGTCCGTCATCGGCGTCGATGATGAAGCTTTGACGATATTAAGAAGAAGCAGATCATTGCTCACTCATAAAACACACTGGCACGGCCAATCGTTTTCCGTGAAAGACCACGTCGGCGACCGCATTAACCGATGGAAAGGCGGCAGCGCCGCCGAGCAGGCCGGCATCGCCAAACGCCACGCTCGCGAGAACCCGAACGGACACGTCGCGCATAAAGAATCCGCGAACCCATTACACAGCACCCCACAAGTGTCCGAAAAAAAAACCAGGCCGAAAATGCATCGACGAAACGCGATCGTTGGACACGAACAGGTTTCCGGAGAGAACGACGGCACCGAGCGAAAACGAAAACGCAGAAACGCCATCACCGAACACGCCATGTCGGACGAAGACAAAGACGCGCTCGAAAAATTGAGAAAAGAACACGAGGAAGAAAACGACGACGACGACGACGACGGCGACGGACCCGGGGGGTGCTGCGGCAAGTAGTCGTCGTCGTTTTTTACTGTGTTGTTATCCTTTACGCTTATTTGTTGTTGTTTGTATAATACTACTCTTTTACTCTCACAGAAAATCTAAAGTAAGAACTCCAGACGTATACGAGTAAGAAGTAGGCACTTAAGAGTACCCACTACGCACTTAAACCCTAAACATATAAGTGCGTAGTTCTTACTCCTAAGTGCTCAGTGCTTACTCTTCCTTCATTTCTCCTCCTCTGCGATAAAACCATTTCCTCGTTGTATTCTTCGTGAAAACTCTTCTCTTATTCGTGCGTTTGTTCGCTTTGTTCTCGAGATAAAAGAAAGAAAGAGAGAGCGCGTTACTAAAGAGCAGCGCGAGAGGAAACGCGCGCGCCTCGTATTCTCTCTCTCTCTCTCTCTTCTTTTCGAGGACGATTTCTTTGAGAAAAAGAACGATACACAACGCGCTCAAGTAGAAAAGAGACCGAAGATGGGCGCGAAAAGTCCTCCGACGCATCGCGCGATGAAGAAGACGAAAACGCGCGCTCCTTCGACTCACACTCTCAAAGAAGAGAATAAAAAGACAAAAAACGTGTTAGTGTTTGCAAAACTGGAAGGGTTTCGATGGTGGCCCGCGGTCGTGCTCGGGAACGTGGAGAAAGGTGTGCGCGAAATGGACGAGCACACGAGGAAACGACTGAAACTTCCCAAAGGGAAAAAATCGAGAGAGGAGTGCCATCTCGTTCGATTTCACGGCACCGGGGACGTTTCCTTGCTCGCGAAAGATAAAGTGTGCGAGTTTAACGAGGAGAGCTTTAAGCTGTACGCGAGTGGAGGTTTTGCAGGGGAGAGTTTGGAGGAGATGCGAGGGCGTTTGATTGAGAAAGAAGACGAAGCGAAGCCGCTTTCGTCGTCGGCGTCGCCTAAAGAGGATGAGAAGAAGAAGGAGGAGAAGGAGAAGGCTACTACTAAAGCTGCGAAGAAGCCGTCGCGAAGCGCGTTTCAGAAAGCGGTGGAGGAGGCGGTGAAGTGGGAGCGAGAGAATGAAAATGGAGACGCGTCTTCGTCGGAGGACGATTCAGACGATTCAGACAACGACGAGGGAAAAGAAGAAGCAAAAGAAGCAAAAGAAGAAGATAACGCGAAAAAAGGAAAGAAAGCAACGGACGACGACGTCGAAGAAGAAGAAGAAGAAAAAGTTGTTCGGACGACGACGAAAACGAAAGCGACCCCGACGAAGGATAGGAAGAAAAAAGACGTTGAAGTAAACGCAGCAGCGGAGGCGGCACCGGCGACGGAAAAGAATAAAGAGACAAAGAAGAAAGAGAAGAAAGGTGTTGACGAGAAAAACAACAACAGGAAAAAGACTGGTGGAGCTGCTGCGGAGAGGAGAGAATCCGGCGGCAAAGCCGCGACTTCTACCGCGACGCCTCCCGCGACGACATTAAACAAGAAGAAAACAACAACATCGACGACGAGGAAGAAGAAAGAAGAAGGAGTTAAACAAGATTATGAACAAGGAAAACACGAAGAGAAGGAGAAGAAGACAGAAGAAGACGCATCTCTTCTTGGTGGTGGTGGTAAACGGAAGCGGAGCGGCACCGCGTCTCCTCGCGCTGAAGTCGAGGAAAAAGTAGACGTGAAACGAGAAGAACCAGAAGAAGTGCCTGCGAAACCATTATCATCGTCAAAAGAAGAAAACAAAGAAGAAGAAGAAGAAGAAGAAGAGCTGAAGGCACCACCTGCGCCTGCATCGCCACCTCCTCCATTACCACCGCCGCCTTTACCTCTCGAACCGACGAAAACGTGGCTGGAGTTTTCTCCGATTGAAGCGTCCTCGTTCGACGCGTCCATGGTAAACGATCAAGAGAACGCGACGACGATTCAGACGACGACGACGATGATGACGAACAACAACAACAACAATAATAGCAACAACATAGCAGCGGTCGTTTCCATTGCGCCCAACGAGGACATCGAGCAATCTTCAATCGTCGTGCAAAACGAACAGATGCAACTAGAAGAGGCGCATTTGAACCGAGCGCGATTAACGAGGAATCAAAGGAACAACAACACCAATAGCACCACGAACAACAACAACAACAAGAACAACAACAACAACATTCACGACAACAACAACAAGAAGAAAGCGCGAGGAGAACAGAATCAGCGGGAAAAAATTCTGTCGTCGTCGAAAAATTATAGCAACGCTCTTTTAGCAGAGACCAAGAAATCGGTCTCGTTTGCTAAGCAAGAGAAGATTGTATCTAATAGCAGTGGTAAGAACAAGAACAACATCGACGACGACGACGTAAACGACGACGACGAGAAAGCTTTCTTGCGAGGCGCAAACGCAGACGTAAAAGCGACAAAGACTTTGCATCGCGCAATGTCGACGACGAACAACGCGTCATTGACATCCGCGGGAGGGGTGCCCAGAGCTACGCCGCAACACTTTCCACGCGGCGGCGGCGCGGTAGTAGTAGGAGCAGCAGCGGCGCTGGATTCTCGATTTTGCAAGTCCTGTCATCAGTGTCAACAGCAACACGTCGCCTCGCCGTGCGAATTCGGCGGCGCGAAAAGTAGCAATAATAGCATTAACAACAACAACAACAACGCAGACAACGATGCCCCCGGTAAGAACGATACCGGTAATCAACATCAAGCGGCGGCGGCGAGTAAATGTTGCGGCGTATCGTTCTGCGACCAGTGCGTGGAGAAGTTCTACTCGCATCTGACTCGATCCCAGTGTAGGAAGAAGTGCCCGAAATGTCGAGGTTTGTGCAACTGCCGATTGTGCTTGCGAAAAGAAGACGTCGTCGGTAAATCTTCCTCGTCCTATTCGAGTAAGTCGAATACTAACAACGCCACAACCACCATCGCTTCTTTGTTTGAAGACAGCGAGAACTTAGCGCTGGTATCGCTCGAAGCGACGTTAGATATTTCAGAGAGGAAGAAACGCGCCTCGTATTGTCTCGTCGCGATGGAGAAAGCGTTCGCGAGGAGCGCCGAATGCGACGCGTGGGAGATTGAACGAGAAGAGAAAAAGAAGAAAGAGGAAGAGAAACAAAGCAATAATAGAAATAGTAACACATCATCGTCACCACCCTCGGACGAGGACGAGGACGAAGATAACGACGAAGACGACGAAAAAAGCGATGATGTAAACGACGAATCGGAGAGAAACAACAACAAAAAGAAGCGCAAGAAGTCACACTTTTTGTCGACGACCGTCCCGAGCGGCGCCTTTTGCGACGCGTGTGCGAACGACATCGTCGCCGTCTGTCTCTCCTGCGACGAATGCGACGTGCGAGTATGCGCGTATTGCATCTCTACGTTGCGCAAAGGCACGGAAGCGCCGTATGTGGAAAGAGTGTGTTGCTTATCCCACGACGACGTCGCGAGAGCTAAGATTAAAGCGGAGATGAGCAGAAGGATTTTAAGCGAAAAGCCTCCCGCGGCGGAGACGAAAAATGCGACGACGACGAGTAGTATCGCGGCGGCGGCGGCTCAGAAAGGATCGTCAAAAGACTCTCCTCTGCTGCGCGTTAATAATCCATCGCCCTCAGCCGCCCAAAATCAGCAGCGAGAGGATACAAGCAAGAGCACAAAAAACAACGACGAAAACGACAGCGCTTTACTTCCCATGAAGAAGCGATTGAAGATGGCGTTTAAAACGCTCAACTCGAGCTTCACGGACGGGTCGGACGACGAACTCGAGAAAAGATCTTCTCCGGCACAACCAACGAGTGCGCATCACTCTCAAGATCATCAACAACAACGCAAACAAAAAGAAGAAGAAGAAGCAGCAGCATCAGCGGCGGCGTTGAAAATAGCGAAGAAGTCCAAGCTGGAAGACGACATTACCTGCGTCGCGTGCGACGGGGCGATGAAGGTTGATTTACGAATGTACGATTTCAAACGCGTGAAAGAAGCGACACACGTGGCGAAGAAAGAATCCTCCTCTTTTTTCTCGAAAGTTGATAAAAATGGAAACGACGACGAGAGCGCGGAAGAATGCCCGTACTGTAAAATGGAAACGATCGAAGAGAACGTTCGCGTTTCTTCATTCGGCAAAGGAAAAGAAACGAAAATTTGGACGCCGGACCAAAAGGAACTTTTGAAGGCGGAAAAGAGCGCTCTACACGCAAACGATGCGAAACAATACAATGAGTTCATCGCGCACTTCCGGTACCACTGGTTGAGAGGTGACCCTGTTGTCGTTCGTAACGTTGAAACGGAAATGTCGTGGGATCCGTCCGTCATTGAGCGCGCGATGCGAGATCCGAACATTGCATCGATCAGTAGTTCCTCCGCGGCGGCAGGTTTTGGTAACCTGGGTGGTGGTGGTGGTGTCGGTGTTGGAGGCGGTATTGGTGGTGGTGATAACGATTTGAACTCATCCGGAGCATACGCCGCGTGCTTTCAACACGATGCCGTCGTGCCGGTGTTTGCATGCGGCGCGGACGAGTACGACGAACTCGCGAAGACAAAGAAAACTTCGACGACGCCGGTCAAAGGCGGTACTTCTATGACTACGAAAAGCAGTAACGATACATCAGCGCTTCAGGGGAAAAAGGAGGACGCCGCGACAACACAAGTAGGAAATGAGAAGAAGAAGAAGAAGAAGCTCCTCCCAAAAGCAGCTTCAACGAATACGCCGAAATTCTCCATGGCGCTGAAAGACTTCTTCGCCGGATTCTTCGATCCGTTACTCACGTTTGACGGCAAACTGTTTCAACTGAGAGATTTCCCGCGATGCATCGGCGGTAATCGAATGAACTTGAAAGAGGTACTCCCGAAACACTTTCGACGTTTATTAGCCGCTCTGCCGTTTCGTTTATACACGAATCCAGAGGTTGGGACGATCAACTTGTTCGCCTTGCAGTTTCAAAAATACGTTCTCGGCGGCGGCGGCGGCGGCGCGGGAGAAAATTTCTTCCAAGGCGTCTCTTCAAATTCGAGAAGTCGCGGCGACGTGGCCGCGAAGAAATTCGTCGAGAGTTTGGTGAAGGCTTCGTTTTCCTACGGCAACGGAACGAGAACGTACGTGGAAGGTAAAAGCTCGATTGAAACGTTTGGTGTGGGCAGCGCCGACGACGTGTGTTCAGTCAACGTGTACTCCTCCACGTCGTTTTCCTCCACTGACGATAAAACCATCGCTTTGTGGACAGTCATTCGCCCACAAGACGCGGATGAAGTATTACGACGCGTCGAGGAACACGAAGACATCGAAGAAGACGCTTTATATCTCTCCGACGACGCGCTGGAAAAAGCGCTTCTTCTTCCGCGAGAAGACGACAAAAGCAAATCCAAAAGCATCGAATGCTTCGCGTTTGCGCAAAACGAAAAAGAGTGCGTCCTCCTTCCCGGTGGCTCCTTGCGGCAAATCTTAAACGTCCGCTCGAATTGTCGAGCGGACGTAAAGTTTAGCAGCCCCGAACACTGTCACGGTTGTAATCTTCTCCTTTTCGAGGACAACATAAACGACGACGATTTTGAACGCCGTCGCGTGACTGTCCTCAAAGCCGCCAAAGCGTGCGCCGACGTCGTTCTTCATCCTTTCGCGGAAGAAGAAGAAGAAGATGAAGAAGAAAGAAAAGCAAACGACTAGTTTTGTAAAAGCGCGAAGAATTTTAAAAAAGGAAGAAGAAGAAGAGTTTTAATAATGCGAACATTTCTGTGTACTGTATGTGTGTGTCTCTGTTAAAAAAAGCTTTGTTTGTTTGTATGTGTTTATGAACTGTGTAACTCGCCGCCTTCGTATCGCCAACCATCTGGTAGAGGACAGTTGTTGTCGAGGAGGTATTGTACGCATTCGGCGTGGTTGTTCTCGTGTGCCCAGAATACGCTCCGAGCGTTGCAAGGCGCTTTGGCGGTTTCGTGTAAGTACTTCAAACAGTCCAAGTGGCCTTTCTCGGCCGCCCACTGACACGCCCGTTCGTTATATCTATCATACTTACGCTCAACAAGATATTCGAGTATATGAAAATGACCATTTCGAGCCGCCCAAGCGGCAGTATAAGAATCCCAAGGCGCTTTGGCTTCTTCGTGTAAGTATTTGAGTACCTTGAGATGACCGTTTTCGGCAGCACGTGCACACGCATACGTACCGATAGGACACTTCTTTACCACGCAATACTTTACCATTTCCAGATTGCCTTGTTCTACGGCCCTATTAATCGTCCTTACATCCCAATCACACTTTTTCTCCTCTCGCACCCACTTGAGCAATTCGAGTTTATTCGTTTTAGCAACTCGAAAGCAGAACCACGTTTCGTCCAACTCTATCTCCATCTCTTCTTCTTCTTCTTCTTCTTCTCCAATGTTCACACACGTGCCCCACGGATAATGCTCCCACGCGACTTCCAAAGTCGATATCGACGACATCTCTTCAATATGAAACCACTTTTTCAAATCTCTCTCGCGAGATGATCTCTTAATCAACGCTCTCGTCTCCGGATTCACGTCGTACAAGAATTTGAGATCAGTCGCATTCAATCTCGGTAAAATATGAGTGAAAGTTATATCGTCGTTCTTCACGATCAAATCCCACAACAAAGCATCTCTTTCCCTCTCGCGCATCCTTTTCTGCGCTCTCGTCCTCATCCTCTCTCTCTCTTCCGAAAAGCACTTTTGCAAATACGGAGACGATGATGATCGCAACAAAAGTATATTGCCAATCTCTTTTTATATTAGTACATGTGATTTTGTTTTTTCAAGAAAAAAAAATTAAGGCGTTCTTTGGTCCTTCAAAAAATCCTAAAAAAAGCAAATCTTTTCGTTCCTTTTGGATAAACTTCAGTCTTTTTCTCTCTATTCGTAGAGAGCACATATATCTGATTAACAAAACTTTGATCACGAGAGTACTACAGAGAGTCACTTTAAAGACGCGCGAACACACGCACACAAAAGAGAGACAGATATGCTCTCTTCTTCTTCTTTGACTCGGTGCATTACTCCCGTTCTGTCTTCTTCTTCTTCTTTTTCCTCCCGACGGAATGGACTTCCATCGTCATCATCATCATCACGCTTAGTAAAGAAGAAGAACATAAGAAGAACACAAGTAACAATAAAATCCGATTTGGAACCAGATAACATCTCCGTCCTCGTGGCTGGTGGAAGCGGAGTCGCCATGGACGTGTTTCGGCAGATGACCGCCGCCGGGACGTGGGTGACGGTGTTGCAAAGACACGAGGACAACAGGAAAGAGGTACGAGAGTTTTCTCTTCACATTTTCATATGCATCTGACACAATGTTCTCTCTCTCTCTCTCAAAATCAGATTGAATCGGTGGGCGGATTTTTAGTCAAAGGCGACGTGTTTGATCCGAAATCGGTGAAGAAAGCGTTGAACTTAGTCGAAGAGTACGACGCGGTGGTGTCCACGGTGGGCGGGACGCCGGCGGACCCGAAGGCGGATTCGGAAGGGAACATCGCGTTAATCGACGCCTGCGTCGCGAAAGGCATCAAGAAATTTGTTTTGGTCACTTCTATCGGTACCGGAGACTCGAAATCTGCGCCGCCGCAAAACGTGTACGACGCGTTAGAACCGGTGTTGATTGAAAAAGAGAAAGCGGAGGAACACTTGAAGAAAATCGCAAAGGAGAAAGGGATCGATTTTGTCATCGTTCGACCGGGTGGGTTAAAATCGGAGCCGAGAACGAACACGGCGGTGTTGACAGAAAACACGAACGTGTGCGGTGCGATTCACCGAGAAGATGTGGCCGCGTTGACGATGATGTGCGTTCTGAAAGATAAAGCCAACGGGAAGACGTTGAGCGCGGTGGATAAAGCGCAGTTGTTCGATCAACCGGAGTTTGAGGTGTTTAATGTCGGAGACGGACCGTTGAGTCCGACGCAAGAAGCCACGGAAAACGCGTTGAAGTAAATTTTGAAACTTGCAATGATGATGGTCGCGCGTATGTGAGAGAGAACAAGAGAGACATAGAGAAATTGTGTTATGATATTTGATTTTATTAACTTAAAACACACACACACACAACGCGCTAAAAACGTTTCGCATTTATTCTTCTGTTTTTTCAGTGTGATTGATACTACGGGCGCATCATGCGCGTCGTGTGGTATATATATAATGTTTATAATATATAATATATACAACCAGTCACACACCAGCGTAATGATGATAATATGTGATCAATAATAAATAAGTATTTGAATTTCGTCGTTTAGGCTAATCGGATTTTAGAGCTACTATAATATAATATTCTTTCTGTGTGTATATATTATTACCGGTTCTGCCGTCGCACCCACTCGGGAATCAATTTCCTTCGCAAGGACTCGTCCACACCTTTCAACTCCTCGTCCGTGAAATCGAACAGCGGCGGTAACGGCTTGTTGTCTCCTAAACTCTTTCCTTCCTGGCGTAACTCGTCGAACCACTCGTGCGCGCAAAACTGTAACCCGTCGAATCGGTTTGTAGGCGTGTACACTAAAACGTTCGCGATCACTTCCAAAGCTTCTTTTTCCACCTCTTTTCCGAACACGTTTTCCCACTTCATGGCTTTGATGTGCGGAAACTTAAACTCGCGATAGTTTGGATTCATGGACAAAATCTCTTCCCTCGTCGGCGTGCCTAAAATTTTGATAATCTCCACCAACTGATCGATCCCAGAATCTCCCGGAAATAACGGCGCTCCCAACAACAACTCCGCCACGACGCATCCAACCGACCAAACGTCAATTGCAGTCGAATAATCCGTGCTTCCAAACATCAACTCTGGCGCTCTGTAATACCTAGAACAAATGTACGAAATGTTCGGCTCCCCCGGCGTGAGCGTTTTCGCGCTCCCAAAATCACAAATCTTCAAAGCGTGCGTCTGCGTATCCACCAATAAATTCTGCGGCTTTATGTCTCGATGACACACACCAATCTTATGAATAGCCGCTAACCCTCTGGCCATTTGGTACGCGTACAATTTCACGTACAAAATCGGTATCCTTTCCCCGGCTTGGTTGTGTTGCTTCGATATCCGATACACCGTATCCGGCACGTAATCGAGCACTAGATTTAAATACACTTCTCCCGGATCGTTTCTATTCGTTTCGTTGTTTCTATTATTATTATCTTTATTGTTGTTATTATCGTTTTCTTCTCGTTGTTGTTGTTTGTTATCCCGCTGTTGGTGGTGATAAAAACTATGCCGCATGTGCACCACGTTCGTGTGCCTCAAAAGTTTCATAATAGCGAGCTCGCGGTTTTTAAACCGCTTATCCTGAAGCACTTTTTTAATCGCCACCGTTTGGTTCGTCGTCGTACACAACGCTTTGTATACCACCCCGAAGGAACCGTTACCGACCACGCGCTGCGTTTCGTAACTTTAAATTAAAGAGAGACAGAAGTCAGTATTAAAAGCGCTTTCGTTGAGAGCGAGAGGGCACAAAACCGGTCTGGTCTCCAATTAAGTTCCCATTTAGCCGTTGGGAAAAAAAGGGAATTTGGAGGAAAATCGTATCTCGTAAACGCGCGCACGTCTCGTCTCGCATCGAGACAAACGTGACACTAAAACGCACAGACGCGCACGAACGTAAACACCCGCCCGTTTACATGTGCACACACACAGAGCAGAACGCGAGGAACGCAAAGAAAAGGAAGAAAAACAAATCCAAATTGAGAAATTTCAAACAACGGGGAAAGAAGCATTACCTCACGTCGCTCGCATCTTCTCTCGTCGTGCACCGAGTGGTCACCACGTGGCCAACCTCGTTCGGGTCGCCTTCGAATCGATAGCTTTCGTATTTCTGTTTGTGTTTTAATGCGTTGAAAAGAGAGAGAGAGGATGATATGTGTGAGCATATATCTAATGCACAGGTAAAATTCAAAACACTTGCCTCATTCCGCATGTCGATTTCCATTTGCCCGTTCCCGACTTCCTGTGAAGTACTCGTCAAGGATTTTTTGTCCAACTGTAAACCTTTCATGAGCTTTTCTGGCTGCGCGGAGGACGAGGATCCTCCCGCGGCCATGTGTGCTCGTATAAAAGGGGTCGCTTTTCAGCGCAAAAGAGAGGGCGAATTTGAGGCGAATTGAGGAAAATTTTTGTCCGTTTGTCGTTTGAACTCCGAGGAAGTTTAGGGTTTCATCATTTCTGGCAAGCTTCTCACAAGTGTTAAATGGTAGAGTACACACTACTATATATAAATATTCTTCGATGTCAATGTATCTTTTTACGACGACGAAGCGCCGACGGCTTCAGCGTTAGACGCTTCTTGGTGGTAGACTAAATCCGGCGCCACGTCCAAGACGATCGGTCCGCACCGTTCGCACAACTTCGGGTGTTTCTTCGCATCCGTTGTACCCAACGCGTTGGAGTAACACCAACATCGCAAACACTTTTCGCCGGAGGCTTTCGAAGCCGCGGCGAAGAGTTTTCCGGCGCAGGCGTCGGAGTCTCCGGATTTGGAGAATACTTCTTTTGATTCTTCTTCTCTGTCTTCTTTTTTTTCGTAGTCACTCAGAGTTGCACAAAGAGTCACTTCGGAGCAAATGAACATTTCCTTCAGAAAGTGCTCGTTGGTTTTCAAAAAGCGAGAAAACGTTTCGTCTTCGGCGAAGACTTTGATGCTCGTTTCTAAACTCGCGCCGACCAGTTTCGAGTTCCGGGCGTCTTCGATGGCCAAGTTCGCGACGGAACGTAAATCGATCAACGCTTCCCAGTTCTTGGCGTCAGCTTGAGACATGATGCTATTATTATTACTATTTTTCTTCTTCGTAGGCCAACCTTGTAAGAAGACGCTTATTTGCTTGTCCTCTTTGGCAACCGTGTCTCGCGCTAAGAACGCTTCCTCAGCGGTGTGCGGTAAAATCGGCGCCAACGCGGCTAATAAGTTGGTGATTAATTCGTGCACGACTGTTTGCGCGGCGCGACGTTTCGCATCCGACGGGTGACCTAAATATAAGCGATCTTTCGAGACGTCTAAATAGACGTTGCTCAAAAACGTGGTAAACGCGTTGATTTCCGAGTTTACCGCCGCAAAGTTGTAGTTATCGTACGCGATTTCGATTTTCTTCATCGTTTCCTCCAATCGATAGAGGCAGTACTGATCGAAGCCGGGTAATTGGTCGAACGCGATCGCGTGTTCCTTACTTTTGAAATCGTTTTCTACGCCCATTAAAAATCTCAAGGTGCCTCGAATCTTCCGGTAGTTTTCGCTCGTTTGTTTTATGACGTTTGAGCCGATGGAAACGTCCGAGTTGTAATCTGTGCTCGCGACCCATAACCTCAACGTGTCCGCGCCGTAACCAGGTTCGGTTTTTTGGTTCTTCCCACCTTCGATGACGAAATTCGGATCGACGACGTTGCCTTTACTTTTACTCATCTTGTATCCGTTTTCGTCCAAAACGAAGCCGTGCGTTAACAACGTCTTGTACGGCGCTCTCCCGGTCGCGGCGACCGAGGTTAACAAACTCGATTGGAACCAGCCTCGGTGTTGATCGCTACCTTCTAAATACAAATCGCACGGGGCGTTCATGCCTCTCTCGTTCAAGACGCCGTTCCAAGATGATCCGGAATCAAACCACACGTCCATGGTATCCGTGCCTCTTCGCAAACTCGACGCTTTCGATTTGTGTTCAGACGGGAGTAACTCTTCGATGTCTTTCATAAACCACGCGTCCGTGCCTTCTTTGCGAACGATGTCAGTCACGTGTTTGATGATACTTTCGTCCATCAACACTTCGTTCGTCTCTTCGAAGAAAAAACACGGGATCGGCACGCCCCAGGAGCGTTGGCGAGAAATGCACCAATCCGAGCGACCGGAGACCATGGGACGCATGCGCTTCGAACCGGATTCCGGGATGAATTTCACCGAATCCAACGCCTTCAACGCGTCGTCTCTGAAACCTTCGACCGAGCAAAACCACTGTTCAGTCGCACGAAAAATCGTCGGTTTCTTCGTTCGCCAATCGTACGGGTACTTGTGTTCGTACGGTTCTCGCTTCAACAAAGCATTCGCGGCTTGTAACTGTTCGATACACTTTTCGTTCCCGTCGCCGAGAACGTTTAAGCCGAACAATTCTGATCCGGCTTCTTCGGTGAAGTTACCCAAATCGTCCACTGGAGAGTGTAACGGTAAGTTATACTTCAAACCGGCGATGTAATCGTCTTGGCCGTGGCCGGGCGCGGTGTGCACCAAGCCGGTACCGGCGTCGGTGGTGATGTAATCGCCACCGACAATCACCGGATTTACTCTGTCTTTAATAGTCGGGTGTTGATACGTCAAGCCTTCCATTTCGGCGCCTAAGAATGGGCTTTCGCCTAACGCAGTCAACGTATCTTCTAAAGTTTCCGATAAACTCGCGACTAAATCGTTCGCGACGACGATCTTCTCCCCTTTGAAATCGCACACTCGGTATTCCAACTTTGGGTTCATGGCCACCGCGGCGTTCGCCGGCATCGTCCACGGCGTCGTCGTCCACACGGCTAACTTTAACGACCCGTCTAGTAAAGTCGATTTCAACGTCTCGTCTTTTATCGCGTTCGCGCCTTCCAAAGTCGCCTCGATCGGAAACGCCACGTACACCGACTGACTCACGTGCACGTCTGGATACTCCAACTCGGCTTCCGCTAACGCGGTTTGCGAACTCGGCGACCAGTGCACGGGTTTCTTCCCTCGATAAATGTGTCCGTTCAAAAACATCTTCCCGAAAACCTCCAACTGGCTCGCCTCGTACGCCGGTTGCAACGTCATGTACGGATTCTCAAACTCGCCCCAAATCCCGTACCTTTGAAACTGTTTCGATTGCCTCTCCACTTGTCCCAATGCGAATTTCGCCGCTTTCTTCCTCAACTTTATCGGGGTCAGATTTTTCCTCACCTCCGGGTCTTCAATCGACTGCAGAACTTTCAACTCGATCGGTAACCCGTGCGTGTCCCACCCGGGTACGTATCGCACCCGCTTCCCTCGCAGCGCTTGGTACCGCGTGATGAAATCTTTCAGAATTTTATTCAACGCGTGCCCGATGTGTAAATCTCCGTTCGCGTACGGTGGTCCGTCGTGTAACGTGAACGATTCTTGATTTTCCTTCGATTCGTCTCGATTCGCGACTTGTTTATACACGTTGTTTTCCAGCCACCATTTTTGCATGAGTGGTTCTTTCTGCACTGAATTCGCTCGCATTTCGAACGTGGTTTGCGGGAGCAAAACCGTCGCCGCGTACGCGTTGGATTCTTTTTTCTTTCCAGAATTCGTGTTCTTTTTGTTGTTCGTAGTAGTACCACCGTTTTTCTTCGGCGTGTTCGCGTCCACGGAGAAGTAAACTCGCCTCGCCGTTCTCGTCTTCCCTTTATGCAAAGACGCCGCAGATCCCCGATGGTGATTCTTAGAGAGGAGGAATGACATCGAAGATCGAGTCGCGGAGAGTGAGAGCGATAACATGTTTAGGAGAGATGTGTATTGAGAGGTTTTTCGTGTTCTTATGATGAAATGCGACGTTTGCGCGTTCTGTGTTTCGTAAACGCGTGGAAGATTAGTGTGACGTGTCTCTGAAAGGTTTTATCCAAAAATGGCTCGAGAGGTCAAAAATACACGCTTTGAACGCCTTTTCGGCGGTCTGTCCTCCGGATGTGCTCTATCTATCTGCATCGCTTTTGTTTCTCTCTCTTTCTCTCCCTCTCGTCGTCGTCGTCTCGACCACGTATTGAGCGTATCGTAGTTATCCGTCGTTGGTTCTTCTTGGCGCCGCCCTTTTTCTCGCGAGGAGTAGTTTTATACTCGCTCTTCGGCGCGCTTGAAGTACCGAGCGTAAGAAGCGATGTCTTCGTCCTCCAAGTCGCTTTTACGAGGCATTTTCGCCTCTTCGACTTATGTAAGTATTTGAGGCAATCGTCGAGTTTTTGCCAAACTTTGTTTGCAGCGTTTGTTTTTACGCGGCTGATATCTTTCCCTCGTCGATACTTCAGTTCAGTCGAAAACTTTCCCTCCTAAGCGTTTACTCCGTCTCACCGCGGCTTTCCTCTTCGCCTTATAATCGTCCCTGAACTTCTCCACCGTCTGATGCCATTCCGAGAGAAGCTGTTTTTGTATATCTCGTTTTCTTCGCACCTCCTCAAAATCCTCGTCTTTTGTTGTATCTCCTCTTGCGCTCCAAGCCGCCGCCCCCCACTCGCGAGACTTCCGCTTCACGCGCTCGAGCTCGCCCGGGAGAAAGAACGCGTCGACGAAAGACATTTTCCCCAATTTCGGTTTCATCGAAAGAGTTTTACTCTTACTCGTCATCAAAGCCTTCTTCTTAATCGGGGTTTTCCTTCTTTCCTCGTCCTCGATTGCAACATTTAAACTCATCGAAGGCTTCGTTGGCGTCCGTTCCTTCTTTGTCTTCTTTTCCTCCTTTTTGTCCTCTTTGACATCATCATCATCTCGTCCGTTTCCGGAAAACAGCTGCCAAGACGGCGGCGACACAGAGACTAAATCTTTGAACGAATACTTCGCGTCCACCTCGTATGAGTTTCCTCCTTTTTTCGCGTCGTTGTCTTCCTTCTTCTTCGTCGTCATCTCTACGCGTTTACTCCGTTTTTCCCGTGCGTTGTCGTAACTGTTTTTTTTCCTTCGCGCGGAATGATGGATGCGCTCGAAAATTGAGGAGACGACGGGTACGCGATTTAGAAACGGCGAAAAGAAAACAACACCACGTATCGTTTGCACCTTTCCCGCGCGTCGTTTATGTTCTCGTCGTCGTTTATGTTTACGTTCTTTATGTTTATGTCGCGCACATCTCTCTTTTAAAATGCGGCATAAGTGTACGCGTAAAATATCTTCCGCTTAAGAATACTCTCGTCATCATCGTAATCCGAGATAAAATCAAGAAACTAAACAGAGAATCAAACTCTATTGGGTTTTCACCGTCCTTTGCGTACAAGATCTGGTCTTTTCCCCGTTCGCGTTGCACAGAGCGTTTAGAGTAAACGAGCGCAGATTTCTTCATTTTAGCGCAGACATCATCTCATCAGAGAGAGCGTTTACGAGAACAGAGAGACATTAAAATGACCGAAGATGAAGACAAATCCGTCATCGGCGTCTTCGGCATGGGCGTCATGGGACAAAACCTCGCCCTGAACGTCGCCTCGAAAAGCTTTAAAGTCTCCTGTTACAACCGAGAGGATGAATTTTCGATGCGGTTGTTCGAAGCGTTGGAGATTGCAAAGAGGGACATTTCAAACGGAGACGATGTACTGCGAGTGTTTAAGGATTTACAAATGTTCGTGGAGAGTTTGAAGAAACCAAGGTACGCGTTGTTCTTTTTCGTCGCTCTCTTTTTCGTTGTTCGGTTTGCTGTTCGATGTGAGATGAAATACGTACTGACGCTCATACATCGACGCGCTCTCGATTTTTAGGCGAATACTGTTATCTATTCCAGCCGGGAAACCAGTGGAGATGACTTTAGAACTCTTAAAACCGTTGTTAGAATCGGACGACGTGATCATCGACGGCGGGAACGAGCACTTTTTGGAAACTCGGAGACGCGAACAGATGTGCGCCGTCGATTGGTTTGCGGAGTGCGGGAAGAAAATTCATTTCGTCGGCATGGGCATTTCCGGCGGCGCGGAAGGCGCGAGACACGGGCCAGCGCTCATGCCCGGAGGCTCAGAATTCGCGTACAACAGTTTAAAGCCAATGTTGGAAGCGATGAGCGCGAAAGCTGGGGAGAAGAACGACGAGCCGTGCGTCACGAGATGCGGGCCGGACGGGTGCGGGCACTACGTGAAAATGGTGCATAACGGCATCGAATACGCGGACATGCAATTTATCGCGGAATCGGTGGTTTTGTTGAGAGACGTGTTAGGTTTTGATAACGAAAAACAATCCATTGCGTTAAAAGAGTGGAACAATGGGGATTTGGAATCGTTTTTGATCGATATCACCGCCAAGTGTTTGAAGAAGAAGGATGACGACGGCGACGACGATTCGTACTTAGCGAACAAAGTGTTAGATAAAGCCGGATCGAAAGGAACCGGGAAGTGGACCGTACAGTTAGCCGCGGACGCTGGTATTGCTATTCCGTGTTGTTCGGCCGCGTTGGAGGCGAGGTATATCTCCGCCGCCATCGACGACCGAGCGAAGTGTTCGGAGATGTACTCGAACAACACCGAAGACTTAGTATTAGAATCTTCTAAAACCTCCTCCTCCTCCTCAACAACAACGACAACTCTGAATGCAGAGACTTTAGGCAAAGCTTTATATTGCGCGAAAATTATCGCCTACGCGCAAGGTTTATCCCTCATTAAATCCGCCGGGAACGATTACGGGTGGTCCGAGGATTTAAACATTGCAAACATTTGTAAAGTGTGGCGCGGCGGGTGCATCATACGCGCCAAACTGCTCGAAACCATCGTCCGGGCGTTTACCAAAGAACCGTCGTTATCCAACTTACTCTTAGATTCGGAAATTAGTTCGATCGTGAAGAGCAGAGTCGGTGATTTGCGCAAAGTGGTCGTCGAATCCGCGCAAAGAGGCATCGCCTCGCCGGCGCTGATGAACGCGTTGAGTTACTACGATAACATGAAAACGAAACGAGGGAGCGCGTACATCATTCAAGCGCAACGGGACGCGTTCGGAGCGCACACGTTCGAGAGAGTCGATAAGGAAGGGAAGTTTCACGCCGATTGGTGGTAGTAATAATTGCTATATATATAAGAAAGAGAGAGGAAGATGGGCGTTGAATACTACTAAAAATGATTCGTCGACGAGGTGTAAATAACGTCTAAAAATAGATTTGGCATCCGCACAAAAATACTTCCGCTCGCGCTTATCACGACTACCATATATTCGCACTATTATTAAAATAACCACCACCACCACCAACAATTTAATGCTCTCTGCTTCCGCCGTCGACGCGCTCTGGCGCGCGTGTCTCTTCAAACTCTCGAAACTTCTCGCGTTGGACATCCGCCTCGACGACGCTTCAACGTCTTCGTCTTCTCCTGAGGAGGATGTCACCACCATCGAGTCTCCTCCCTCGGACGACGACGACGACGACGAAAACGAGGATGAAAACGACGCGCTATCCGTGTACCTTCGCTACCTTTCCATTCTCCGTGCCTTAAACCTTTGCGAACACTCGTGCGTGCATCCGCAAAAGCACCGATTGATCGATCGATTGATGTCCTGCGTGTATTTTCGAGCAGCGAAAGTACGACTGAAAGGAGAAGAGGAAAATTTATTCGACACGGAAACGATGGAGGAAAGATTGCGACACCGAAACGAGACGAAAGAGAACGGTAACATGGTCATCCCTACGCGGTTTTGGAGGGAAAGGAGAGGGTTTTTGAAAAAGGAGGTCGCATCGGTGATGGAGAAGGTGAACGCGGATGTGACGGCGTCGCGCCCGAGCGAGATGGATTTTGACGCTCCGGACGACGACGGGAGGCAATCGGACGAGACGAATGGTCTCGACGAGGAAGAAGAATTGAATATTGAATCGACAAAAACGGAGGAGACTAACTCGCAAGAAGAGGAGGACGAGGAAACGCGCAAAGGAGAAGCGGAAGAAGGTGTAGGAGTCGTCGCAGAAGAATTAAACGAAGGAGAAGTCAAAGAAGGAAAGAGAGAATCGAGTCTCGCAAAATACGCGGACGAAAAACATCGATTGGCCGTCGTTCACATGCAAAGACACGCGAGAGGATGTTTGGCGAGGAAAAAGATGAGACGAAAAGTGGAAGATGAATTAGAACGGCTCGGAATGTTGGTTTTGAACAAAGATGATGCGACGAATGCGACGACAAAGAAGAAGAAGATGAAGATGAACGTTTGCGTTGACTCGAGATCCCGCTCGACCGCTCGAGCCGCGGGATCCGAAGAAGAAGATAAAGATGATGATACAGAAGAAGATATCGAAACCAAAATCGAACTCTTGCGCGAAAAACGACTGCGAGAGTTTGAACAAAATCAACCGCATGTGTACGAACGCACGAAGAAAGCGTTACTGGAAGAGCACGGGAGTAAAATTGAGACGTTTGTTCGCGAGTACCGCGAAACGCACCAAGGCGCGTTGCCCGAATTGAAAGATATACCAATCATCTTTGACGATTCCGACGAACGCAAAAAAGAAGACAAAGATGATGAAGATGATGATGATGTCACAGAAAACAAGACAGCGAGCGATGAAAATAGAAACAACGCCGAAGACGACCGAAAGTGCGGATTTGAAGCCTTGCGAAAAATACTCGAAGAATCCGAGCGTGCGTTTCCAAGCGCGACGACGACGTCGTCCACATCGAACGACGACGACGCTTTGAATACTCAGGAAATCAACGACAACAGAAGAGAACGAAGAAACACGAGTTTCAGCGAACAGGCGGAGAAAAGAGCGATCGAGAGAGAGGTGTTGAAAGAAGTGTCGATTGAGATCAAAGAAAATGTGAAACTCGCGTTGGAACGGATGCGCCAAGAGGAGGACGTAAACGACGCGACGTTGACCACCAAGACGACGAGGAAAGAAGAGGATGGAAATTCGACGAAATCGACGAACGAGGCGGTAACGAAGAACAAAAGCAGCGCGACAACAAAGAAGGTTTCAAAGAAGAAGCAGACGAAGAAGAATACGAAGAAAAAGTCAACAAAATGTCCTAAATCCTGCGCCTCCGCTTTGGAGCAAGAAAAAGCGCTGTTCGATTCCATCGACGCGTACCCGATGGCGAAGTATCTACTCCAACACAACGTCAAAATCGACTGTTTTTGTTCTTCGGAGCGCGAGAAAAAGTACGACGACGACGATACCGTCGTGAACAACAACACATTCATCGCGAGCGGTGCGGACGAGTTCGTGTACTGCGAGGAGGAAGCGCCGGACCGGTCCGTGGACGACCAGAAGCGAGCGATTGAATCGATCAAATCGAACGTCTTGATACCTCTCGGAGCGAGCACATCCAGCGTGTGGTTAGAATCATACGCGCACAATGCGGAGAAACCAAAACATTTGCTCTTCATCGGACCGAGAGGGTGCGGACAGAAACATTTCGCGAAAAATGTCCTCGCGAGGGAGACCGGGAGCGTATTTTTTGACTGCTCGATTGAAAATGTCACGCGGAGGAGGAGCAAAGAACCGAACGCAACGACTACAGAAGAACACGACAGAGATGATACGGAGGATACAGAACAAGACGACGAGAGCGCATTTTGCGCGGACTTGTTGAAACGAACGTTCCAGTTGGCTAAAAAATGGGCGCCGAGTGTGGTGTACGTCGGCAACATCGAGAACGCGTTCGCAACGGGCAAGAAGAAGAAGACGAAGAAGAAAACAAAGAAGACGAAGACCAAGAAGGGCAGCGCAAAAGAAGGCAACGAGGGAGAAGGAGAAGAAGACGAGGACAGAAATGTGAGCGAGGAAAATACGGTCGGGAATGGCACATCCGGTACCGATGGAACACAAGCGGATGCGGCTGTTTCATCAAACGCGAAGACTTCTACTACTCAACAGACTCAAAAAGTCGACCCGAAATCGTTCAAAGCTGGGTTAACTGCCGCGTTGAAATCGTTAGAGAAAGAAAACAACAGTTCTTCTCGTCGCGTGTGCGTCGTCGCGTCCATCTCAGACGCATCTCGTTTGACCAAAAAAGACGAGAAATCTGTACTGGGCAAAATCTTTCACCCGAAGGAGACGTTCGCGGCGCCGTTCATGCGTCCATCGCGAGCGGCGAGGTACGACTTGTTGAAAACTTTTTATCGAGAAGTCGTCGACGAGTATTATACCGAGGAATGCAACAACAATACGACGTGTTTGTCATCCTCGAAGAAGTCAACAAAATCAAAATCGCGAATGTTCTCGAAAGTCGTCGCCGACGGCGCTCGCGACGAAGGCGCCGTCTCAGAACTCTCGCACTTCGCGGAGACGTGTAACCGTAAAGTGCTCAAACTTTGCGTTCGAGAAGGTTTCAGGAAAGCCGTGGAGTATATTTCGACGAAATCGATCGTTCAACCGCGCGCGTTCACCGACAGTCAAAGAGCGCTCGTCTGGCGCTTCGCTTCGGAGTCCTTACGAAACCTTCGAGAGACGAATCAGAAAAGAATCGACGAAGAACAAGACGACTTTTACGACGAAAACGAAAACACAGAAGCAGAATTCTTCTTCGCGAGCGAGAACGAGTCGACCCTTCGCCTGTTTGCTAAGCTCGTGTGTTGTCGTCTTCGTTACTCGTAACACCACCAACAATTTGGATGAACATTTTACATATCGCACACAAAATCGCACTCACACGCTTTTTCTTTCATTCAAAATGCACGCATTGCCTGTAATAAATTCTATTCCGTCGTTCTGTAAAGTTTCAGGTGGTTTTATTATGTAAAACGAACATTAACGCGTCGATGGTGTTCTTCGCTCTCAAACCTCTCGAAGTTTCGTTTCTTTCTCAAGAGTTGAAAATCTTCACATTTTGCATCCTTTTGCGCGTCGGACGAAGGTTCTGCGAATACTCTTCGATAAGAAATCACCCACCATGGAAGAGGACGACGATATCGAGATCAACGAAAACGTGAAACTGTACGAAACACTCAAACGCGCCTGGAACGATGAAAAGAACGCGCCGATCTTGTTGAAATTCAAATCCACTGAAGTTGCGCGTTTCCAAACTTTACTCGCTTCCCGCGAGCGAGAAATCGAAGAGATGGAAAACTCCGCGAACGAATCCGGGGACGGGAACGAAATGCTCTTATCTGCGATCGGGAGAGAGGAGTTGAACAGGGCGAAATACGTGTTGAGGAGTTATTTGAGGACGAGGATTAAGAAAATTCAACAGTTTCCCGTGCACGTGTTGCAACGAGAGCGGGAAGCGGTCAGCGGAAAGGAGTTAGTGTTTACGGAGGAATTAGTCAAGGCGTACGAGGTACACGCGCAGTCTGTGCTCGCGAATTTTCCGTTGAAAGAGTACCAAAGCGCGTTTATGGAGTTTGGAGAGGAGGAAGTTGGAGAGGAGTCGATGGTGTCGCATCCGAACGAAGCGAATAAGATGGTATTTATTAGAATTTTGGAGGACGTGGGCATATTTAAGTTCGACGACGGCACGGACGAGGGGGACGCGGCTGATTTGAAGAAAGGAAGGATTCTGTTTTGTAAATTTGAGCAGTTCAAAGGGTTGTTAGAAAGTAGCGAAGAGGGAGGCACGCCGAGAGCGGAGTTGCTTTGAGAGAGAGTGTAAGATTAAAAGAATAGTATTTTATTTCTCTGTAAACTTGTTAAAATACATTTAGAATTCTGACACGCGTAAGTAACTCTCCTCCACGTTCGTATCGCCAGTCGGGTGGTGACGAGCGGCAGGTGTTTTTGTCGAGTAACAGATATAATCTCTCTCTCGCTTATTAAACTTAATTCGTCTTCTTCGCCGAGCCTTTACCCTTCGCGGCGGCTTTCGACTTCTTACCGTCGCCGCCGGTTCTTTGCACGACCACGAAGAACAAACTCGCGAACGAAATACCGGTGACCAATCCGGCGCCGTACAAAACGTACACCGCCCCAGCCTTGTGCTTATACACCTGCGCGATCACTTGCAAAGACTCCTCCCAAAACTTCTTCGCTCGAACGAACACACCGGGTTGTTGCAACTTGAAGCTCTCGCCCTTGAACGAAAACTTCCTCGCGTCTTTCTTATTCTCGGACGCCAAATAGTTCCCCAACGCTTCCTTCGTCCTCGCGCCGCCGGAATACGGAAACATCTTCCCGTCTTCAAAGTACATCAACGTCGGGAACGATTTAATCTCAAACTCTTTCGCCACGGACGCTTCCGCTTGCGTCGACGCGTCCACCGAGAACAGTTTCAAATCACTTCGTCCTTCCGATTTCATCTCCGCTGCCAAAGCGTCCCAATCTTTCGCCATCGATTTACAGTGGCCGCACCACGGGGCGTAAAACTTTGCGAAATACTTCTCGTCGGATGGTTTCGCTTGCAGTTGCGCTCGAAAGGCAGTCGGGGTGAGTTCAATCGCTCCATCATCATCACTCGCGGTTGTTTCACTCGTCGTCGTCGTCGTTTCGGCAGCGGAGGAAGCCGAGACCGAACGAAAGACCAAGACGCCAGCGTTGCCTTTATCATCGCTCCGTAAGGAGACGCTCGCGATCGAGAGAACGTACGCGAGGAATTTGATCGAATTTCTCATTTTGAATTGGAAATGTGTTCTGAGTATATGGTTCGTTTCTTTCGTGTAAGTCGTTGTTGTTGCTTCTTCTTCACGAATGAACTCGAAGTGGTTGTTGCGCGTACTAAAACCGTGTTTTGTGTGGTATTCAGAGAGTGAGAGAAAAGGGACGTTTTTGTTCGCACAGAGAGGAAAGAGTGCCGCTCTTTGGTGAATGTAAAAATATCTCACAAACGGCTTCTTTAGGGGAAACGCATTTCTCTCTGATCGCATGTCTGCATGTGTGTTTGTATTTTTTCATCACTTTTCACGTTGAAAGACAGGAAGCGCAGAGAGAGAGAGAAGAATAAACCTTGTTGAGGAGGATATGCCTTCCAAGATGGAGGAGGAGAGCAGTTGTTGTCCTTTTTCTCCGTCTTCTTTGTGGGAGGTGATCGTGAAGTGCGACGATATTTGTTTCACTCATGTGCTTCCGAGATTGAATTCGAATGATCTCAAATTCTTGTATGGAGTGAATAAGGAGACGAGAAAGTTGATTAAGAGATCCTCTCGCAAGAGGGAGTTGAAAAAGGGGTTTAAAGTGAGCGAGATGTCGTCGATATCGACTTTGGAAGTTGCGTGGGAGAATAAATCATTGCGGTCGGGTTACTTAAGAGACGAAGGATCTTTCTGCTGGCAAGTTGCTCGAACGAATAAACTCGAGTTGCTCAAGTGGGCGCGAGAGGAGAAAAAGTGTAAGTGGAATGTGGGGATGATTCATGTGGCCGCACGTCAAGGTAATCTGGAAATGGTAAAGTATTGCGTTGCAAATGAGTGTTTTATGGATAAGGAGACGTGTGCATATGCTGCCGAAAACGCTCATCTCGAGATACTCAAATACTTACGCGAAGAAGTCAAAGCGCCTTGGGATAAGAGAACTGCCTCTTGGGCGGCTGCAGAAGGTCATCTCCACATACTCGAATATCTTGTTGAGCGTAAGTATGATCAATATAGCGGATTTGCGTGTGTATGGGCGGCCGAAAAGGGCCACTTAGACTGTTTGAAGTACTTGCACGAAACTGCCAAAGCGCCTTGGTACCCTCGCGCCGTAGAAGAAGCGTACTGGAGAAAACAAACCGACTGTTTACAATACCTCCTCGACAATAACTGTCCAATACCACGCGGTTATCGATACGAACATGGCGAGTTAAAATACTGGCCTTAAACACATACAAACAAACAAAGCTTTTGAAAACACAGACGTACACTCAGCGCACCAACTCTGAAAGCCGTTTCGGGAGGAAAAATGAAAAAGAGCAGCCCAAAAACCTGAAAAATGGACGAATAGACCACACAGTTGTTTACAACGACAGAGAGAGAGACTCGCATATACGCATATAATAATCACACGCACAGAAAAAGCAGAGACGCAGAGAATACGCACTTACGCTGCACATACCCTTTTCGTCGTCTTTTGAGAGCATTCTATATATATATCAAAGCGAGGATTGGGATTGGATTTTCCCAAACATTATCCAAAAATCAGATACGTCTCAGCGCCTTTTCTATTCAGAAAGAGAGAGAAAGAACGCGAAAGAACAACTCGAGCGATCAGAACATGCGAGCGACATCTTTCACACAAACGAAAACTTCTTGTTCTTCTTCCTCGAACAAGAAAAGTTTTATCATCACAAAAAGAAGACACAAAATTGGAGGCAAAATGCAGACCAAAATGAGACCAAAGAAGGCTGCCACTGCTGCCTCGGCGGCGACGAGCGGAGGAGTGCAAACCATCGGCGAAACGTTCAAGAAACTCAAATCGGAAAACAAAATCGCGTTCATTCCTTTCGTCGTCGCCGGGGACCCGAACTTAGAAGCCACGGCGAAAGCTTTGAAGATTTTAGGTGCGTTACTTATGCTCGTCTTTCGTCTTCTTTGTCTTTGTCTTTGTCTTCGTACTGACGAAACCACGCTCTTCTCGCTTTCTTTCTTTCTTTTTAATTTCTTTGAAACAACAAACAAAACAGACGCGGCTGGCGCAGATGTCATCGAATTAGGCGTCCCGTATTCCGACCCGTTAGCGGATGGTCCGGTGATTCAAGCCGCGGCGACGAGAGCTTTGGAAAATGGCGCTACGTTAGATAAAGTCATCGCCATGGCGAAGAAAACCATCGATAACGGCAAAGGCGTGAAGGCGCCGATTGTGATGTTTACGTATTTCAATCCGATTTACCAGAGAGGCGTGGAGAAGTTCGTGCAACAAATCGCCGACGCCGGCGCGAGAGGGTTGTTAATTCCAGACGTACCGTTGGAGGAAACGTACGAGACGAGCAAGATTTGCTCGAAATACGGCATCGATTTGGTCTTGCTCTCCACGCCGACGACGCCGACGGAACGCGCTCGGCAAATCGCCTTGAACACCAAAGGCTTCGTCTATTTGGTTTCCGTCACTGGCGTGACTGGGATGCAAACCAACGTCGCCTCGAGAGTCGAAGAGTTAGTCGCGGATTTACGTAAAGTGACCGACGAACCCATCGCGGTTGGTTTCGGCGTCTCCAACGCCGGACACGCCAAGCAAATCGTCAACTGGGGCGCAGACGGCGTCATCGTCGGCTCCGCGTTGGTCAGAGCGTTGGGCGAAGCCGCCTCCGAAGAAGAAGGGTTAAAAGCGTTCGAAGAGAAAGCGAAAGAGATTCGAAGCGGCGCGTGCAGAGATTAAAAATTATAAAAGAGAGAGACCAGAGAGAGAGTAAACGCTTCGCATACGCATCAACATTAATCACATCGATATAATCTTAATAATAATAATAATACTATTAATACAATTCTCACTTATTCTTCTCCAGCCACTCTTTTATTTTGACGTCGTTCTCTGTTTTCGCGGTTCGGCCGTTATCCACAAAGGCCAGGTAATCTTTGAAATTTTTCTTCGAATACTCGAGCACTCGTTCTTTCTGTCTTTCCTCTCGTTTCTCTTCGGTTTTTTGTAACAAAGTTTGTACGAATGCATTCGATTCCGTTTGCTCGTTCGCTTCCAACGCGTGCGCATTAAATGAAGAGGAGGAGAGAAGGACGAGGACTGTTTGAACGAGGAGGACACTTTTCAGGATTTTGTTGTCGTTGTTACTGTTACTGTTGTTCCTTTTTCTAATCATCATCGAGTTCGTTCTTTCCCCGGCAACACGTTTGAGATTTTCAGTATTACTTTTGTTTTGCGTTGAAAACGATGACGATTCATCTAAAACGGAGAAAGACGGAAAGGCGCGAAAAGATGAATGCGCTCTGATGATCCTCTGACGTCGTTTTTGAACGACAACAGGAGTAGGAGTACCGACGGAGGAGAACAGTAAAGAGGACATTTGTGTGTGTTGTAATGGAGCAAATGCAAGGAAAAGATTCCCCTACCTTTAATGTGGATGGTATCGATGCAAATGTGACCGATGCATGTCAAAAGATGTCCACAAAATCAATTAATTATGGCAGTATGAACAGATGATGCACGAATACTAGGTTATTTACGCGTTACATATATGTACCATATACTACATCGTTGCTTTTCCGTTAGATAAATAGTATTCGCTTTCCAGACTACGCTGCGCTACTGTAAGACAAAACTCTTTTCTTCTTTTCCTTCTCTATCTCCTCAAAAAACGCTTTGACATCATCATCGTTCGCAAAACTCTACTTACTACTACTTCAAGGCGCCGGCGCCTTCCATCATGCACAAATAGCAGACGCTGATGACGAGCGAAATCCACATGGCCGGGAAACCGATTTTGAAAAACTGACCAAACGTGACGTGGAATCCAGCCTCGTGGGCGATACCAGCCATGACGATGTTCGCGCTCGCGCCGATGAGGGTACCCATACCACCGAAATCAGCCCCGAAACATAACGCCCATCCTAAACCTTTGATGTGGACGCCTTCGACGTTTTCGGCGATTTGGACGATGACGGGTAACATGGTGGTCGTGAACGGGATGTTGTCGACGAACGCGGACGCGACGGCGGCGACGATTTGGACGAGGACGATAGCGACTTGCGAGCGCTTTTCGACTGGGACCATTTCGATTAACGCCGAAAGCGCGTCGGAGATTTCTCGCAATAAGCCGAGTTCGGCGACGCCTTCGGTGAAGACGAACAAGCCGGCGAAGAATAAGAGCGAATCCCATTCGACTTTTTCCAGAGCGTGTTCGAAATCGTGTTCTGGACCGGTTAAGAGCACCGCGATTGCGCCGAATAACGCGGCATAAGACGGCGAAAAGTGAATCACCGGGTGTAAAAAGAACAAGACTATGACAAAACACAAGACGATGCCGGATCGAATCAATAAAGGCATGTCTCGAATCGGATAGTCTCTTTTCATTTTCTCTAAATCCACCACCAACTTTTGGGAGTAAAACTCTTTCCCGTAGTGCCATCGGACGAAGACTAAAACAACCGGGACGGTTAAAACGACGCCCGGGGCCATAATTTGTAAGAAATCGTTGAAATCGATGTACTCTTTTAAAGCGTTTCCGACGATGATGTTTGGTGGATCGCCAATCATAGTCGCCGCGCCGCCAATGTTACCGAACAAAGCCAACGGAAGTAATAAAGGTCTCGGATCAATTTTCAACGCTTTGCATAACGAAATAATCACCGGCGCTAATAAAAGCATCGTCGTCACGTTGTCCAAAAACGCAGACAAAATGCAATCGAAGAGCATGAGCATCCACGTCAAGCGCCACATGTCGCATCTCGATAACTCGATTAAACGAACCGAGAGGAATTCAAACACCCCGGATCGCGCGAGCAACGCGACGATAACCATCATCCCCCAAAGCAACGCCAACGTTTCGTGGTCCATCCACTGGATAATTTTCGCCACGGATGGGAATCGGTGTTCCAATGCCAAGACGTACAAGACCGCGGCGGCGCCGAGAAAAGCAACCAACGTTCGGTGGATGACTTCGACGATGATTAAACCAAACACGCCGATTAACAAGACCAACGCGATCCATTGTTGCCCGATGCCTACCAAGCCAACATCTCGTATCGTTGCTCGAACGGAGACGTTTTCGGGACAGTTTGTGCTGACGGTGATGTACACGTCGCCGTTCGATTTCTTATATTTGCTGAGAATGGTGTAGGACATTTTTTCAACCGACGGTCCGGGCCCGCCAGCCGAGGCCGAAAGTAACGCCCTTCGATATCCCCCACTGTTATTGTTGTGGTTCACTCCTTCTTCTTCTTCTTCTTCTTCTCCTCCTCTGTGCGCACCCGTCGGATCATCGGAGCTTCCTAAATCGTGCAACTGTATGTCTGCCAAAGCGGCTAAAACGACGTCGCCTTGTCGTATTTGCGAGTGCAAATAATACACCGGAACATCCGTCGTGTGATGCGCGTGACACTCGCTCGCGCCCATTTTCACCTCCATCATCCCTTTACTCGCGTGTGATATGTGTTTCTTCGAGATCTCCGCGTGTTCGTGCAACTCGACGATTTCGTGCGACAACGCCGGCGCGACCAACAACACGTAGTCTTCCTCGTACTGTTTCACGAACACCGTCGTGCAACACAACAAAACCAACGCGATGCCGGTTAAAATAGCCATGACGATCAACTTCTTCTTCGATTTGACTTTCAGCTTCCTCGGCGTGAACTTCGCGTATAAATCTTCGCCGGCTTCGGATTCGCCTTTTTCCGATCGCCCGTCTTCGCCACCACCAAACGCTCCTCTCAATAACTCGTATCGATTGACTCTTCCCATGGCGACTTTTTTTCTCGAGAGTAAACCTTCCGATCGATGAATGCGCGTGATGTTATCTTTGATCAACTCCAACCCTTTACCGAGCCTGGTTGGTAACGACCCCAACGTCGCCTCTTTCGTCTTCAACGCGTCCGAGATTAACAGCAAATCCTCCGTCGTGCGTTGCACCGATCGTAACGCTAAGCGTCTCTGACCTTGGTCCAAAACTTCGTCCACCTCTTTCGCATTTTTCTTCTTCTTCGTCGTTCCATCTGGCGCCATCACCATCAATTCCTCGCCTTCTTTAATCGTCGTCGATTTTGACTTTTTCGTTTTCGTCTTTTTATCCAACGACGGATCGTCTCGCATGTGCCGAATCTCCTCGGCTAAGAATTTACTCGACGCTCCGGATAACGTGTTCGCGTGTTGTAAATTCGTCGCGCTGCTCTTGTTCTTTTCGTTGTTGTTGTTGTTGTTGCTATTATTATTATTATTATTACTGAGTTGCTCTTTGTTCTTGTTCATCGTGTACTCCCGGAGCATTTGCTTGTGCTGCGGCGACAACGACGGACTGCTCGATCGCTCCATCCCCGCCGGCGAAGAAGAATTATTCCCCGAGGCATTCGCCGTCCCGAAAATCTGCGCCAAAGACGGCGCGTGCTTTATCCCACCACCACCGCCGCCATTACCACTCGCGTTGTTGTTGTTGTTATTGTTCCCGTGACTCCCGCTCTCCTCCTCTACCTTTTGCTGCTGATATAAATACTCGTCTCTTCCTCCCGCTCCGGACACCACTTTCGCGTCCCGTATTAAATCCGTCTCCGCCGCCAGCGTCTGCGCACTCTCCATGGTTAACGTCCCCCCGGGCGTGGTTTCCGGACTTTGCGTATCCTCCAGACCTTGAAACAATTGGTGTCTGCTCAGTTCTCGTTTCAATCGTTTCCCGGAGAGGCCGGTTAATGTCAGCGCGTGGTGTTCGTTAAACTCGAACTCCTCCTCTTCCTCTTCCTCTTTTAAAGCATCTTCGTCGTCATCTTTCAAATCATCATCGTTTTCTGTCGTTGATTTCCTTAAACGCGGTCGTGCGCTGTCCACGGATGCTTTTCGCGCGGAGGAGAGCTTTTTTAAGTCATCGAACGACCCGCCCATGTCTCAGATGTGCTCTGTATGCAGTCACGACGCTTACCAACTTTACGGATAAAATCCCGAACAGAACAGTCCTAAAAGAAGGTTTACGAAAGAAAAGAGGACACTTTGAGCGCGTTTCGGAGCAGAAACCCACAGAAAGAGCGGATGAGAGCAAAGAGACTGTCTTTTCGGTCGCTTTTCTCGCGCGTTTATCGGTGGAAACGTCTTCTTTTCGAAGCGTTTATGTGTACATACGAATGACGACTTTGCGGCACTTTTCTCCCCCTTAAAAGTCCTTTTACAGCATCGAAAGAGAGCAGGGGTGCATAAAAAGCTCCGATTGTGACGATATCTGGAGAAGGAGTCGCGATGACGACGAGAGGGAGGAAGAGGAAGGTTGGGCAGAGAGATGTGTGGGATTTGATCGCGAATAACGACGATGTGAGTTTCAAACATGTGCTTCCGAGATTGAATTCGACGGATTTGAAATTCTTGCACCTGGTGAACAATGAAGCGAGAAAGTTGATTAAAAGATCCTCTCGCGAGGAGGAGTTGAAAAAGAAGTTTAAGGTCGAAGAGATGTCGTCGATATCGACGTTGGAAGTTGCGTGGGAGAATAAACCGTTGTGGGAGAGTTGGTGGGAAGATCATAGATATTTCTGCAAGCGAGTTGCTAAAACGAATAAACTCGAGTTGCTCAAGTGGATACGAGAGGAGAAAAAGTGTGAGTGGAGTGCAGGGACGATTTATAGGGCCGCAGAACAAGGTAATCTGGAAATGGTAAAGTATTGCGTTGCAAATGAGTGTCCTATCGATGCGATTGCGTGTGAATATGCTGCCGAAAACGGTCATCTCGAGATACTCAAATACTTACACGAAGAAGCGAAAGCGCCTTGGGATGAGTATACTGCCACTTGGGCGGCTGGAAAGGGTCAGCTCCACATACTCGAATACCTTGTTGAGCGTAAGTATGATGAATATGGCATGTTGGCGTGTGAGCGTGCAGCCGAGTCCGGCCACTTGGACTGTTTGAAGTACTTACACGAAACCGCCAAAGCGCCTTGGGACTATAAGGCCGTACGACAAGCGCACTTGTACAACCAACCCGAGTGTTTACAATACCTCCTCGACAACAACTGCCCATTACCATTTGGTTGGCGATACGAAGGAGGAGCGTTACACACGAATTAGAATATCATCATCATCATCATCATCATCATCATCATCATCATCAGTTGTAATAACAGAAAGAGAGAGACAGAGAAAAATTTAATTAGGTAAAAAAAAGCATCAACTCTCTTTCGTCACACAAAAGAGAGAACAGAAGTGAAGGTGTTATTCGTGTTGAGGAACACACGTTTACACGCGTACGCACACTCACAGAGTTTAGAGTTTAGAGAGTAAAAAAGCGATTTCTTCAAGAACATGAGCGCTCCTTCTTCCTCTGCACATCATCCTCATCGAATCCCCATCCTGTTGGGAAAAATGCACCTCCACCTGACCTCCAATAAGAAATCCTTCTTCATCTTCCTCTCCATCGGAACGATCGCATCCATCGGAATATCCTGCGCAGCCGAGGAGTACATCTTAAAAAGAATAGAAGGGTTCCACCACTATTGGTTTCTGGCGTTGTTTGAGCTCGTGGTGTTTAGTGTGATGACGTTTGTTTGGATGATGATTACGACGGATAACGAGGGAAATGGTGATGTGAAAGACTTTGGGAGCAACACGAACGGTGTTGAAGATGTTTTGAAAAGTACTGCTACTCCTACTAAGAAGAAGAAGAGCAGTTCTTTTATGCATCACGAGTATTATTCGAGGATAGTGCCGCCGTTGAAAGCACCGATACACTTATACGTCGCCTCGGCATCTTTGATTGGGATATACACTTCCCTCGGGAAAGTCTCGTACAAATACATCAACTACGCCACGGGGACGGTGTTGAAATCGAGCAAACTGATACCGGTGATTCTCCTCTCCTCGGTGTGGCTGAAACGAACGTACCACTGGTTGGACTATTTAGCGTGCGTTTTGTTAGTGATCGCGTCGTGTTTTTTCGCGTTAGGGGAACACGAAGGGAACAAACAGTTAGACGCGGAAGATCCCACGTTGTACGCGTTTGGGTTTTTTCTGTCCTTCTTTTGCGTGTGCGTCGGCGCGGTGCAGTCGAACGTGGTGGATAAGGCGTTGAGAGATTACGAGGCGACGGTATCGGAGAACATGTTGATGACGAATTCGATTGGAGCTTTGTTAGTGTTCGTGGTGGTTTTAGTCAAAGAACCGGACGCGTTTGCGTTTTTCTTTGGCGATTGGTTTTATTTAAGTTTGATCGCGTTTCGATCGATCGTGTTTTGGCTCGGCGCGGTGTTTTACACGACGCTGGTGAAGCATTTCGGCGCGGTACCAGCGGTGGCGATTACCACGTGCAGGAAAGTTTTGACCGTTATATCCTCGTTCGTGTTCTTTTCCAGCGATAAACCGTTTGGCGTGACGTATTTTGTCGCTCTGGTGTTTTTCTCTGGCGCCGTGGCGTGCGAATTTTTCAAGCATAACACTAAGACGAAGAGTCAACAGTTGGAAATGGCAAGGAAGGACTCGGACGTTGAGAAAGTATCGGATAGGAGTACTTAGTTGAAAGATAGTAATAGTAATAGTGATAGTAGTAGTAAAGTGATGATGATGTTGTAGTACCGCACGGTGGTATTCGAGATGATGATTTTGTAAATGTACAAAAGAAACGCTAAAACCCGTCTAAAAGTCTTAAAACTCTTCTCCTTCGCAACCATCGATGATTTCCCAATCGTCTTCGTCCTCTTCCTCTCCTCTTTTGTTGTTTTCCGTTCGTTTCGAACTGCTGCTATTCATACTGCTATTCATTTTCTTCTTCGACAACACTTTTTTGGTAACCACCGTAATCAAGGGCGTCGATCCGCTCTCGCGTTCAATATTCGTCAAAACATCCACGAACGCGTCCAAGGAGGAGGAAGATGCATTATTCATCTCGTCGTAATTAGTATCGTTACCTACTAAAAATCCAACGACTAAGCTCGGATCGAGCGCGTGAAACGGCGTGTATAAAATGCCGTGTTCCGAAGCGCTTCCGAAAAAGGAACGATAATACGCAGATTCCGTCGATTCGTCTCGCGAACGCTCGCGAGGTGACACGTACGCTTTCGCAACGTGTGGGTCGAGATATATTGCTCTTGTCTCTTCTTCTTCTTCTTCTTCTTCTTCTTCATCTTCTTCATTTTCCTCTTCTTCTTTTTCCTCTTCTTCTTCCTCCTTCTCTCCCCCGCTATAACTATCACTACTCTTCTTACCGCTCGTAAAGCCGACGATGTAATACGACGCGGTCTTCTTCCCTCCGACGATACCTACACACTCGCGCACGCTTAGAAATTTCTGTAACGATTTCACGTATTCAGGATTAATCGCGTCGCTCGCGCCGCATCGTAAAGGTACTAAAATCAAAACGTCTTTGTCCGCGTGCGTTTTCATTTCCTCTCGAACTCTTTCCGGGTAAAACTCAGGCACGCCTCCGCCGCACCCGTCGCCGAGAATGAGACAACGAACGTTTTGAAAAGAATCCAACCTATTCATCATTTTCCCGTATCGTTTACAAATCTCGGACGGTGCCATCCACTGACCGGGGCACAACGCATTCTCGTCCTCGTCTCCTTCGTATACTCTTCTCAACCCGAATACATTCTTTGTCTTCTTCTTCTTCTTCTCCTTTTTATCCTCGTTTTCATCGTCATCGTTATCGTCCGAAAACATATCCACAATCTCCTTCTTCCTCTTAAACTCCTCTCCCTCCTCCTCCTCCTCGCTTACATCTTCTTCGCTTCTCCTTAAACTCCTCCGCCTAAATCTTCGCGCTCGAGCGCTCCTCATCAACGCTTCCCCGAACAGCATCTGCGCGCTCCTCAGCGTGCACCCCCACCCGCAATCCGTGGTGTACCCGCCCACTTGGTTCGCCACGAAGTCTATGGACTTCATTTTCATCGTCGTCGTTTCTTTCGTATTCGTGGTAGTATTCGTATTATTCGTAAAGAGGAACATTTTTTTGCTCTCGATGGGTGGAAATTCCGAGACGTAGGAGCTGAAAAAGAACGCATCCACGCGACTGATGAGTCGATCGAACGCGGTCATTCTCTCGCCTAAAATCATAACGACTGTGTTTCTGACGCCTCTGTTGCTCTCGTCGTGTATTCGTCTCGAAAATATCGAGTTTTTCATCGCGTACATTCGTTTCGAGAATTGGAGTTTTTTATACGACACGAAGGACTTTTGCAGAACTTTCCAAAGCGGATTTGTTCTGTTCTCTGATGCATCATCTTCGCTCGAAAACAACGCCATTACGTGTATATGTATGTGCACCACCGGGTTTTCTTCTTTTCTTTTTAATATACGAATAATAAGCGCGACGAATACGCGTGTATTTATGCGCGTGTTTAAACGGTTTTTGGGAGAGATTTTTCAGTATTTAGGGGAAAATATTGCTCGCATGTGACATTTGTATACACCACAGAAAGACACGCACAGAACGAGAGAGAGAAGAATAAACCTTGTCGGGGAGGAGAGGATATACTTATTCCGCGATGGAAGGGAAGAGCAGTTGTTCTTCTCTGTCTTCTTTGTGGGAGGTGATCGTGAAGTGCGACGATATTTGTTTCACTCATGTGCTTCCGAGATTGAATTCGAATGATCTCAAATTCTTGGACAGAGTGAATACGGAGACGAGAAAGTTGATTAAGAGATCGTCTCGCGCGGGTGATTTGAAGAAGAGGTTTAAGGTCGAAGAGATGTCGTCGATATCGACTTTGGAAGTCGCGTGGGAGCATAAATCGTTGATTATAAATTGGCCGAGACACTGGGACGAAACATATTTCTCCGAGAAAGTTGCTCGAACGAATAAACTCGAGTTGCTCGAGTGGGCGCGAGAGGAGAAAAAGTGTAGGTGGGATGCACGGACAATTAAAGCGGCAGCATATCATGGTAATATGGAAATGATACAGTATTGCGTTGCAAATGAGTGTCCTATTGATGAGAGGGCGTGTGCAGGTGCTGCCCAAAACGGTCATCTCGAGTGCCTCAAATACTTACGCGAAGAAGTCAAAGCGCCTTGGTATTGGTATACTGCCACAAGGGCGGCTAAATATGGTCATCTTCATATACTCGAATATCTTGTTGAACGTAAATTTGATGAATTTACTGAAATTGCGTGTGAGTTTGCGGCCAAGTACGGCCACTTGGACTGTTTGAAGTACTTACACGAAACCGCCAAAGCGCCTTGGGACTATCGGGCCGTTCGACAAGCGAACTTGTACAAACACACCGAATGTGTACAATACCTCCTCGACAACAACTGCCCATTACCACCTGGTTGGCGATACGAACGTGGAGCGTTATACACGAATTAGAATCATCATCATCATCATCATCATCATCATAGGTTGTAACATCAGAAAGAGACACAGAGAGACACACGAAGCGCACATCACCCTAAATTAGAGGAAATATCTCTCCTTTCCTCTCTCCTTTTCCCCATAACTAAACTATGATGCTCATCATCACCGCTTTACTCCTTTCTCTCTTCACCGCATCTCCTCTCGACACGCAGGCGAGACCGACGGAGTATTACTACAACACGTTAACCCGAGGTATATTCAAAATATGCACGCATGCGGGCGTGTTTTCTTCTTGCTTTTCATCACATTCCGGATTTTTGAACTTTGGTCGACCTTTATGACTAACGCGCGTAAACTCTCTCTCTCTCACTCTCTCTCCCTTAAAAACACAGAATCGACGTGGCAAATGCCCACGTTCCACGGGTACTCCGTCGCGTACGTCGACGCAGATACCGGGAGGCGGTTTTGGCAACACGAGAAGACCGGAGAGACGACTTGGTACTAAAATCATATTCTTTCTCTCTTGTGTCTTTGTGCTTCTTAAATTTTCTCGCTTTGCGCTCGATGTGATGCGTCGGTCGGTTTTCGGTCTCTCTCTCTCTCTCTCTCTCTCTCTTTCTTTCCTCGCTGACACAACAACACAACGCTCGCGTTTAACATTCTTTTTTAATCAGGCAATCACCGGGCGATTGGGAAGAAATATACGGCGAGGAGACCCCGGAGACTCCGTATTACGTTCATCGTAAAACCCGCGAGACGACGTGGACGAAACCGGAATATTTAGCGTGGACGCGCGTAGAACACGATTGGAAAGAAGAAGAGGATGGAAACGAAGAGGAGAAAAAGGAAGACAACGAAAGCGTACCAGAGGAAGGGGCGAGTAAAAAGAAAGGCTCTTGGTTTTCGTCCAAATCTTAGTAAAATACGAACGAGCGCAAAAGCTTCGTCGTCGCCAGGAGTAAAGACCAAACCACGAGAGAAGAACACAGAACACACACACACACAGACAACACGTACTACTGTATTAAACCAATACTTTTGTAATTACTTTTCAGGATATACCACTTTAATATAACTCTACTCTATAAACGTGTCGTAAAACTCGTAATAAACCACCTTGACCCTTCACAAGAAAACGTTTCACAAAATGAACAGAAGCACTCTGTTGACATTTGTATTCGCGATTGTTGCGATCGTTATCGGTCTCGCATCCGCGCGCGAGGCGCAGTATTTTTACAACTCCGTCAGTGGCGAGGTACTGCGCGTTTGTTTTGTGTGGTGTTCTCTCTCTGCGTTTATGTTTACGTCGTGAATTCGTTCCGGATTTGATCTCTCGAGCGGCTTTTTTCCATTCTGATGTTTACGATGCGAATACTACTAAACACTGACACTTTATACTCTCTCTTTTTCCACACAAATACGTATTAAACAGGCGACGTGGACGGATCCTCTCATCGCGCCTTGGATAGACGAGGAAACCGGGAAGAAATATTGGACGACCGCCGATGGGACTGCCACCTGGGAATCCCCAGGAAATTGGAAGGAAGAGTGGTCCACGGAACACAAGATGCCGTTTTACGTGAACAAGAAAACGAGCGAATCCACCTGGGATTTACCGGAAGAATTGGCCTGGGAACGCGTCAATCACGAGGTGGAGGATACTTTGTGATGTATTCTATCGCGAGAATGTGAGTGTGAGAGAGAGGGAGAGGTTGTTTTTGTAAATCTACATCTATACGTATTATATTATTATTACTCGTAAATCACACTCTGTTCTCCGCGGCGGAGGCGGATAAACCTACGTCTTTCAAATTCTGCGCGGATTGATACGCGCTTAAATGTTCCATGCTCGGGGAGACTATGAATCGATTCGCTCTCCTCGAGCGTTCCTCGTTGGACAAACTACTGTTTTCTTCGTTCAAACCACCGAGTGAGTTAAACTTGGCTTTGCTCAGCTGTTCGCTCGAGCTGAAAAACAAGTGCATGGAGATTAAGACTATGCTCACGCCGATGCAAAAGTTAATCGTGATTTGATGTCCAAAGAGGAACGCGGAGACTAAACCGGTGAATATCGTCGCCACGGTGCTGCTATATTTCTTCAAAATCGTATCCGCAAACTTAAAGAAGAAGGAACTCAACACGCCTTGCGCGGCGTTGTTGGCGACTAATAACATGGTCATCGAGTTATGTCCGGCGAATAAGCTCCCGATGTCTTGAAACCCGTTTCGCATCCAGACAATCATCAGCGCGATCGTGTTGAACATTAAACCGTACAAGTACATGAACAAATTTTGCAAGTGCACGGAGGTTTCAAAGTTCTTCTTCAGCGCGTATTCGTTATACACGGACGCTAACGACGGGACGACGATAGAACACAAGGTGTAAAAATAACACCCGAGCGATCGAGGATCACCGGGAGGATCCGTCAACCCGCCGTGCTTCGTCCCGTGCAACGGTTTACACGCCAACTGGTTCACCGTGATGCCTAAAATCAATAAGAACAACGCTTCCCACTGCAAAACGCTAAAAACTCTCCCCATGAACGCTTTCATGAGCAACGCGATCGAGAGCACTTTTAAATTCGAAAGCATTTTCACCGTCGTCGGGTGAAAATACAACTGCATGACGAATTTTATGTAGTTATTAATGGCGTACAATCCCGCGGGAACAACGAGCAACCTATTGGACCGCCACGCCAATTTCGCTTTCTTCATCGAACGCAAGTTTCTTGCCTCTTCGCCCGGTTTGCGCATCTGTTTATCACACATGTCGCGTAAAGGAGATTTGATGAAAGTTTTGACGCATCAAAGAGAGTGATGAAAACGAATGAAAGGTCAGCGTTTGATGATGCTACCGATGAGACGATACTACGACTCTACGCCTCGTACGAAAGAGAACAGAATGTGCGTTTCACATAAGAAGAACGGATGAGAAAAAAATGTCACCGTAACCATCGCGAGCGCTCCGAGAAAAGCGTAAAAATGTCACTCGTACCTGCACCATCAGAAACACAATCGCGAATATCACTTTCGTCCCTTCGGTGATAAAGTTCACCGACACCGGGTGGTACGCGAACCCTCCTCTCGAATTTTTCGTCAAATGGACTAATATAGGTTGTAACCCGATGAGAAAACAATCCGAGGCGACGAGCGCGACGGTGAATATGCGCTTTTTGTTGGTCTTTAATTTCTTCTTGTTTTTCCCCGATGATGATGGAACTTCAAAGTCGTCGAAGGAATGGTCGCGCGATGATGTCATATTTTCGGAGGAGAAGGAGGACATTACGAGTGCGACGATGAGATTTAAAAAGAGCGCCTTCTTTAACTTCTTCCTCTCTTTCTTTTTTGTCGGTGTTGTTTCCGAGGAGGACAACAACAACACGAAGCGGCGAGTAGGGTAATGTTTGGATAATGGCGGCAAAACCCCGAAGAGATTTGAGAGAAAATGTGGGCAAAAAAATACGCGTATGTGATTGAATTAAATGTGGGATGATGATGATGATGTTTACGACGACGACGCGTCAACAACGTCTTATATTTCAAAGATGATAAAGAATATAAATGTGCACGCGACGACCCATTCTGTGCGGGAAATGATTCTCTTGTTTTATTAAGCGACGTAATGATACACGTCTCGATCGTCCTTGTCTCTTTCCACGTACTCGCGATCGATCAGACTTTCGATTCGTTTCTTCAAATCTTGGTTGTTCACCGGGAACTGGAGTTTCGCCACGACCTCGTTGATTAACTCCGGGTGCGGCAACTTTTTCCTGGTTTTTAAGATTCGAACGATCATGGCGTCGATTTGGTGGAATCGGTCCGCGCGGACCGATTCGCGGACGGCTTCGTTTTCGTCTTCTTCCATCGTGGTCGGGTGATCTCCCCCGTTTTCTCCTCCGGCGCCTCGTTTTTTACCGCTCGCTTGTGTAGAGGATTGAATGGCGGAGATTTTCAATCGAACCAGTTTTTCTTGCAAGTTGAAGTTGAATTTGAACGCGTCTTTCGCCTCGTCGATGTCTTTACTCATCGGGGTTTTTAATAACACTCGGTACTTACCGCCGTATAAGGATTGCAACGTGCGTTTCAATTCGACGTCCGGGATGTTTGTTTTCTCTTTCAACTCCTTATACGTGAACTGTTTGTGTTGTTGCTCGTCGTCGTTCGTATCGTCGTCGTTCTCGTTGAACGCCAAGATGATTACGGCTTGCGCCAACGAGACCGCCAACTCTTTCGTACCACTCGCGAATTTGACTTTCAGGACACACGTGGACGTGGAGTGTTGCCAAGCTAATCGTCTCCCATTGTTGTGTTGCTCTAAATAATACGATTCAAAATCGTCTCGCAACGATTGTAATTCCGGCGGTAAGACGACGTCGAGTTTCGCCGCCGACGGCCAAAATCCAGCGGTTAAGATGTTCACGGAGAAAGTTTCGCGGTTCGTCATTGGTGGTTTTGGCGGTAATGGTTCCAACGCTTCTCCCCCTCCTTCTTCTTTTGTTATTATTGATGTCGATTTCTTTCTTGTTCTTTTTGATTTATCTTCATCGACGCCTTCCGCGACAGAAGCGTTCATGTCCACGTCCGCCTTTGTCTCGCCGCCGACGGAAGCCGCCGTGTTATTAGTCGCGTTGTTACGATAGTTACGCACGGTATCTCGACTCACGTCCACGTCTTTGAACATTCCTTCCAGACGAGTGGTAAAGTTCGCTCCGCACTCTGATCGTAACTTGCCAACCACCAACCGCTCGGCGTCGATGGATGCCGATTTTGAAAATAACAAGCGTTTCGCCAAATCCTTCTTGTAAAACGCCTCGAACACGTCTTTGCCTTGTATGAATCGAAACAACGCCACGGCTTTGTTCAGTTGCTCGTCTAAGTCTTTCTCGGTCGACAAGGACGTTTTATTCCCTTTCTTCAACTTTTCGTCCATGAATTTTGCGATTAACTCCGCGATTCGATTGTTCTTCGAAGTGTTGATGAACATTTCAAACGCAACCTTGGCGCCTTCGCTGAATTGGCGCTGATTCTCAAACGCGTTCACGACGATATCGTCCACGGAGGATTTCATTCGTAATAAAACGTCAACGCAATCGGCAGCTTCGTCTTGAACGGTCTTTTGGCCGACAAATTTCAATCGTTTCGTGAACTGGTCTCTCAGGAGTTTCAAGCCGTCCGGGACGCGAGAGAGTAACGAGTACAAGCGTTTCAAGTCCTCTACTTTCGCACTGTCCGCGAGCATTTCGTCCGAACTGTCGATAATTTCGAGTTTCTTGTCCTGAATCAACGCTTTCTCGACCGTTTTTGTAAGCACCAGTTTCGTTTGCGGTTGCAAATAACTCTCCGCGCGATCGAGCGTTTCTTCGTTCAATCGCGTTTGACAGTGTTTCAAATAGTCCGCGCACTCCGAAGCTGACTTTTTCGTGATTCCAAACCTCTTGTCCGATTCTTTGGCGTAAAATCTGGCCGTGTTTTCTAAGAAGAGACGCTCGAAGTTGAACACCAACAAAGGTGGTGGTGATTTTGGTGTTAATTGTTGTTGTTTGTTGTCGTCCACCATCATCATCGTTCCTTCTTCTTCTTCTTCTTCTTCTTCGGCCGAGCGCTTCTTTGAATTCCTCTGGCCGCTGGCTACCGCGGAAGGAAACGACGACGACGAAAACGATTTGTTTGATCCGCCGCCGTACCTTTTCAACGTTTCCATCGCGGTCGTAAATCGTTTCACTAAAGTTCGATCGATCTTCTCTCCTTCTCTTTCGCGTTCGATCAACCGCAAACACCCGCTCGCGGCTTTGCGAAGCACGTCCGCATTCGCGTCCATTTGCTTTTGAAATTGCTGGACGCTCAATTCCCACAGAGGAAGTTTAAAACTACTCTCTTTATTACTACTTTCTCTGCTCCCCGGAGTAGTAGTCGTCGTAGTCACCGCGTCCGTCCCACTCCGTCGCCTGCGTTCGTCGTCGTCCAACGGCGACGTCGGATCGTTAGTACCAGTCGCCATCTCTCTGCCGCCTTCTTTTGCAGAGTCAGCAGCAGCATCGGAAGAAGCCCCTAAGGAAGCGTTCTTCGTAAACACCGTCGCCGTCGTCCGGTCCAAATACAAAAACAAAGACCGAATCAACATCATCTGTTTCACCCTCGTCTCCCACACGTCGTCCACGAAAAACTTCAGAAACTGTTCTTCTTCGGACGAGAACGCCGATAAACCACCCGCGCTGTTCCCGGACGTCTTCTTAAACGACGACCCGTGATGAAAACTTCCTCCTTGAAGACATTTCTCTTTCAACTCTTTCGCCACCGCTTCCGTTCTCGCCTCTAAACATTGCCTCAATTTTTCGTACAATTCGTTCCCAAAATTCCCAACCACCACGTCTTCCACCGCGCGATATAACCGCTCGTAACTTTCCTCGCACGGCTTCTCGTCGTGAATTGCATTTAAAGCGTGTAACAATCGACCATTCCAAGTGGTTTCCAAAAAGTTTGAGGGGATTTTCGGGGCAACTTTGAACGATTTTATGACCAGTTTTCTTTCCGTCGCGTCACGCTTCGGTTGCTCCATTTTCTTCGTTCGCCGCTGACGTGATTTGATCTCTTTTGAATGTTCTCCGTCTCTTTCCCAAACGAAGGTAACGGTCACCTCAAAACGTACAAACAGAGAGAGAGTGTGCAGAGGTCTCTCTGTGCGTGCCTTTTTCGCGTAATCGTGAGCGCAAAAGCGCGCGTGTAAGTGTGAGAGAGTTTTGCTTCAGTCCTTTACTGTGAGGAGGTTTTGGGGCAAAAGGAAAGAAAAATACGAGCGCGAAGAATACGCGAAGGATGAAGATGAAGAGTTTTCATGTCTCTCTCTCTGTGTTTTTGTCTGTGTTATTAAAAGCTTTGCGTGTGTATTTATGTGTGTTTATGAACTGTGTAACTTGCCGCGTTCGTATCGCCAACCAGGTGGTAATGGACAGTTGTTGTCGAGGAGGTATTGTAAACACTCGGTTTGTTTGTTCTCGTGCGCTATTCGTACGGCCTCGGAGTCCCAAGGCGCTTTGGCGGTTTCGTGTAAGTACTGCAAACAGTCCAATTGGCCGGGCTTGGCCGCACACCGATACGCCCAACGGTCAAAGTGCTCAAATTTACGCTCGACAAGATATTCGAGTACGTGGAGATGACCATTTTCAGCCGCCCAAGCGGCAGTACCCCAAGCCCAAGGCGCTTTGACTTCTTCGCGTAAGTATTTGAGGCACTCGAGTTGACCTTTTGCAGCAGCACTTGCACACGCCCACGCATCGATGGGACACTTCTTTGCCACGCAATACTTGACCATTTCCAGATTACCTTGACGTGCGGCCGTATTAATCGTCCTTTCATCCCAATGACACTTTTTCTCCTCTCGCGCCCACTTGAGCAACTCGAGTTTATTCGTTTTAGCAACTCGAGAGCAGAAATATGTTTCGTCCCAGTGTCTCGGCCACAACGATTTATGCTCCCACGCAACTTCCAAAGTCGATATCGATGACATCTCTGCTGTTTTGAACTTCTTTTTTAAATCACCCGCACGAGACGATCTCTTCACCAACTTTCTCGTCTCCGCATTCACCTCGTACAAGAATTTGAGATCCGTTCGATTCAATCTCGGTAAAATATGCGTGAAACAAATATCGTCGCACTTCACGATCAAATCCCACAACACCGATTTGGAGGAAAAACTCTCCCTCTTTTTCCTCCTCGCGCTCGCAGAGTAAAGAACAACACCCCCCGCGACGACGAGGAGGAGGAAAACGAAACGAACGAGCGCGAACATATATATATCTTTGACAGGAGATATTAAAGTTTTTTCTTCTCGCGCATGTGAGATGTGATCTCATTCTAAGAGAGATTCCAACTGCGAAAAAAGAACGAAAAGACAGACCAAAAAAAAAATTCAAAAAGGTTGTCATTTTTCTTCAAAGAGTCACACATATCCTTTGCGCGCAAAAACACTACTCTTTTCGCGGGAGCATTAAGAAGACTCAAGATATGGACGGTACGCTTCCTTTCATTCTTTCTTTGTTCTTTCAATCTCTCGTTTTCTCTCTTTTAATATTTGTTTTGCGTCTCAATTCTCTCGCGATGATTTGCGCAAATGTCCATTTTTGAATATATTTTCCCTATACGAGGAGTCTTATGAGTAAACATCTCTCTCCGTTTCTTACGCGTTGCTTTCATCAAATATACAATTCACAGAAGGCGCGGTGTACCACGTGAACCCGAACGAAGATTTAGACGAGGACGACGAGTTAGATACTCGAAACGGCGGTTTTGATGAGCACGCAACACTCATAACGCCGTCTCGAGCGAGAAAGAAATTCGAAGATTTCCTGAGAAACTTCAGAGGCCATCCGAACGAAACCTCAATCGATGGACAGCTGATTTACAGAGACGTGCTCTCCGAAGGAAGGGTACCGGGGACGATCGATGTCACGCTGGATGATATCATCGCACACGACGCGGCTTTAGCGAAGGCGTTGAGAGATCAACCGAACGTGTATTTTCCAATCTTGGAAGACGCGGTGAAAAAGGTCGCGCAGAGTTTACGAGGCGGCGCCGGAAGAGGAGGAGGAGGAGGAGACGAGGAAGACGAGGAAGACGAGGAAGATCGCGAGGACGACGAGGACGACGACGAGGACGACGTTCGTTCTGCCATCGAGAGCATTCACGTCACCATATCGTCGCACGAAACGCCTCGATCGGTGAGAGGATTAAACTCGAAAGACGTTTCGAGGTTAGTGTGCATTCCGGGGATTGTCATCGCGGCTTCGAGGGCGAAAGCGAAAGCCTCCATCGTTGGCATTCAGTGTCAATCGTGTAAACACGTTCGGTATTTGCAAATTCCGCCGGGATATGCCTCGGCGCAAATGCCGAGGACGTGCGAGGCTGGACAAATGAACAATCAGCAGAGAGGAAACGAGAACGACGACGAGAATAATAACAACAACAACGATAACAACAACAACAGAAGAGGATGCGGATTAGATCCGTACCAAATGCTTCCGGATAAGTGTAAGTTCATCGATCAGCAATCGTTAAAGTTGCAAGAAAACCCGGAGGAAGTCCCGGCTGGGGAAATGCCGAGAACGATGATGTTATGCGTGGACCGAAAGTTGGTGCAAAAGATTGCGCCCGGGACGCGAGTTTCCGTCGTCGGTGTGTACACCATCGGTTCCGGGAAAACAGAAAATAAGAAAAGAGACGCAGCTGGTGGTGGCGTCCAGTTGCCGTACATTCGCGTTCTGGGATTAATCGAAGTCAACGAAGGCGCGCGCGGGAACGCGAAATTTACCGAAGCCGAACACCAAGAGTTTAAAGCTTTCTCGCAAAGGCCGTTTAAAGAGGTCATCTTAGACATTCGCTCGAGAATCGCGCCGGCGATTTTCGGGTCCGAGGATGTTAAAATGGCCGTCGCGTGTTTGATGTTTTCGGGAAGTCGCAAACATTTACCCGACGGCGCTCGTTTAAGAGGCGACGTGAACGTCCTCCTCCTCGGCGATCCGTCCACGGCGAAATCGCAATTTTTGAAATTCGTAGAACGTACCGCGCCGGTGTGCGTGTACACCTCCGGTAAAGGCTCTTCCGCGGCTGGTTTAACCGCCTCGGTCATAAGAGACTCGAACGGTGAGTTTTACTTGGAAGGTGGCGCGATGGTCTTAGCCGACGGCGGGTGCGTCTGTATCGACGAGTTCGATAAAATGCGAGACGAAGATCGCGTCGCGATTCACGAAGCCATGGAACAGCAAACGATTTCCATCGCCAAAGCTGGAATTACCACCATGTTAAACTCTAGATCTGCGGTGTTAGCCGCCGCGAATCCTCCCAGTGGACGATACGACGACCTGAAAACCGCGCAAGAAAACATCGATTTACAAACGACCATTTTGAGTCGTTTCGATTTGATTTTCATCGTTCGAGACGAACGCTTGTACGAACGAGATATGGCCATCGCCGGTCACGTTTTGAAAATCCACTCGAACGGTGCAAATGCGATGAATAGAAACGGCGGCAATAACAGAGGAGGAGGAAATAACGACGAACCTCACTCGGAAGGGAACAAAGAAGACCCGGCGGCGGAGCGCGAACGAAAATTTATGAAAAGGTACATCGAGTATTGCAGAGCGAATTGCAAACCAAGAATCAACGAGCGATCGATGAAAATGTTGCAAGACGCGTACGTGAAATACCGAGAAGAAATGCGAGAGCGAAATAAATCAGGCAAAGGCACCCCGGCGGTCCCAATCACCGTCCGCCAACTCGAAGCCATAACTCGAGTCTCCGAAGCGTTGGCGAAGATGTGTTTACAAAAAGTCGTCACTGAAGAACACGTCGCGGAAGCGCTCCGCCTCTTCGAAGTCTCCACCATCGACGCCGCTCGATCCGGCGTCGCCGGTACCGTCGTCCTCTCCCCCGAACAGCGCGAGGAGTTACAGCTCGTGGAAACGCAAATCCGTCAAAAACTCGCCATCGGCGCCACGACGAGTAAAAGACACTTGGTCGAAGACTTGTCTCGCGTCGGCGTCAACGAGTGGGCGGTCATGAGAGCGCTCATGGTCATGACCCAAAGAGGCGAAATCGTGGAAAGAGCCGAAGGCAGGAGAGTCACCAGGAAACATTAAATAGTTAAATATTTAATACTATTATTGAAAGAGAGCGACATTATCGTGTTCAACGTACTCTAAAGTGACCTTTTGTACACTCCTGTAACAGTATAAATATCCCAATTTTGGATCATCTGATCGTCACTTTTGTTCCACGTTTACGCGCATATAAGAGTGCACACACACGCACTAACACACGAACCCTTAAAAATGTTGTCCACGAACACCAAAGACACCAAAAAGAACGCATCATCGAGTAAAACAATCCAAGTCTTCTCGAAAACTCGCGAACCAATCTTCGGTTCATTCGATTGTCTTTACAAAGAAACTCACGACGTTTCCCCGCTCGGAATATCGAGTTTACCGCAAATAGGCAAGCTCACCATCCACAGAACGTTCGCGATCTTTACGAGTTCCTTCAACGGCACCATATCGAGGAAATTAAAACAGAGAGATTTAGATTCCATCGACGCGCGGTCGAGAATAAGCTTGATCTTTAAAGAGAAAGAACGGGAAAGAGCGAAACTTTTGACAAGAAGGAGCAGCAAGTTGGAAAACGTCGAGGAAAATGGTGAAGACGCGAAGGCGAATACTGCGAGCAACGATGCGATAAAAAACGAGAAAACTTCACGGGAAAAAGGAAAAACGTTTCAGTTACAATTCGTGGACAACACGGAGTGCTTCGAACGGTTGGTGAAGAAGTGGAAGTTGGAGCGCGGGAGGCGGCCGCGGAACGAAGAGAAGGAGGATTTTGCGGGCGGGGAGGAGGAGGAAGACGCCACGACCGAGAATAATACTAATACGAACGATGGAGGAGAGAAAACGAACGAGGATGGCGACGATGATGTTGACTTGAAACGCATCGCGTATAAGCCGGCGAAAGGAGCGCAACTTCGCAGAAACGATTCGACGTTAGACGGAGATTTGGACGATTTGAACGACGAAAGCGCGAGCGCGTACGGAGCCGCGGACGCGCTCATTCGAACGATGGAAACGATGGCAGGTAAACTTCCGTTCGGTGCGGGGAAGAAAGCGAAGTACGCGGCGTATTTTCTCAGGCAACAAATCAAAGCGACGAGACGCATGACGAAGAAATCGGTCAAGTATACCATGCGATACGTGAATCGACGCTCGCGAGAGTTGGCGTTGGCGAGGAAACGGCAATCGGCGAAAAGCGCGGTTTTCCGGAAAGTCGAAGCCGTGGACGTGGAAAAAGAAGTCTCGAAAACGTTGTTTGTTCGTTTGATTCGAGCGAAGAACGTGCTCGCCATGGACGACGGCGGCACGTCCGATCCGTTCACGGAAATCCGTTTCCGCGGATTACAAAACGTTTCCAGAACGATCGAGAAAACGTGCGATCCAGAGTGGGAGCAAACGTTTACGTTTAACATTCCAAACGGGAAACGCGTTTTAGACGCGTCCGATGCGGTCGAGTTATACGTGTACGACCGAGACCAAGCTTTGAATGATTTCATCGGCTACGCCAAACTCGATTTAGAAGGAGAAGAGGTGCAAGACGAAGAGTCGATGAAATTAAACCGCAAAAAAATGTCGAGCGCGTGGAAACGCGTGGACTCAGCCTCGGAAGGAGGCTTGATTGTTCCTTCGACAAAACTTTTAAACGAATCGTTCGAAAGCGAAAACGGCGGCGAAAGTCCTTCTCTCGGGATCTCCAAGGATAAGAAACCGATACCGCCAGTCGCGACGAAAGTTCGATACGATAAACACACGGGTAAAAAATACACGCAAAAAACCATCCATCTCTCCTCTTTGCCGGAAAACCAACAACCGTCGTTCTTCGATGTGAATCATTTGAAAGAAAAGCTGATGTTTTGGGAAGGCGAGAGAAAGTTTACCGGGACAATCACGTGCGAGTATTGGTTCGGGTCGAGACACGACGCGGAGTTTCGAGCATCCGCGCAGCCGAAATTGAGAACCGCGAATAACGAACTGACTGCTTCAATTCAACACTATTGCGACCCGGTGACGGCTTTGCTAAGAGTGGACGTTCGCGCGGGGAGAAATATCGTCAACTTGGATTGCGATAAAGGCGAAGACGGGTCCGAAGGCGGGAGCGACCCGTACGTTGAAGTCAGCGTCATCGACGCCGTCGATCGATCCAAGGTGAAGAAATCGACGCATTACATCGAAGACTCGAGGAACCCGTTGTGGAATCGAACGTTTACGTTCCTGACTTCGCAACCGTATTCAAACACCATGCAGCTTAAGTGTTACGATTACGACGGCGCGACGAGTTTTGACGACGTCATCGGGTGTTATTCCGTTCCCTTTGCCACGAACCTGCCGGTTCCGCGTTGGGCGTGAAAACGCTCCCGGAGTATCGATGGGTCACTTTGAGACACCCGAAAACTGGGTCGGAGAAGAACGAGTTTGGCGTTCCGTACGGGGAAATCGAAGTCAGAGCGTACATCGACGAGGAGTATTTCGACCACTTACACGGTGGAAACGCGACGAGAGCGGTTGGGAAACTCTCCGTGGATATTCTCGAGGCAAACGGGATCGATAAGATTCCGCAAGGCGCGTATTGCGTCTGTAAGATTGGTCCGTATTGGTCGAGGTTGGAAACGGTGAAGAAGACCGAGTTTAGCGGGGAATTAGGTGACGAAGACATGCAGAAAGTATCAGAAGACGACGACGACGATGGTGTTGATGCCGGAGGCGACGAAGGAGAAGATGGTGAAGCGAGGCCTCCGAAACCAAAAGCTCTGAACGACGACGCGCGCCGGGCAAAGAAAATCGCCAAGATGATTGAAAACGCAAACAAGATTCGATGGAACAAACGTTTAATTTACCCGGTCTCTGAACCGTCCGACGAGGTCATCGTCTCCGTCTTCGACGCCGAAAACGACGACGTCATTGGCACGATCAAGTTACCTTTGTCGTGCATGGAAGACGGCGTGCGATACGAAAACGAGTGCGTGTTGATGATGAACGCCAACGTCGCCATCGGCGATATCGTCAAAAATGGCACTTTAACGTTAGCCTTTACGTTTACACACTTCAAAGGCGGCGCTCTGGTTGCTCGAAAGTACATAAAACCAAAGTTACCGGCGAAATGGTACTTTTATCCTCTCTCGCCGAACGAAACGCAACGCGTGCTCAGAGCGCAAAAAGACGTCTTGGTGAAGAAGCTTTTACAAGCCAATCCACCCATACCAGAAAAAGTGTCGCAACACATCTTGGCGTATTCTCAACACACGGTCAACGTCATGAGCATTAAGAGCTCTATTGCGAGACTGGAGAAATCCATGTCCGGTTTCGTTAATTTGCACCAAGGCTTGACGTTTACGTTCTCGTGGGAATCGATTCCGTTGACGGTTTTAGCGCAATGCTTGTTGGTGTTTTGGATTTATCACCCCGAGTGGTTGATCCCATCGTTTTGTTTTGGTTTAGCCATGAACGCTTTGCTGTTATTCCCGGGTCGATATCAGCGCGTGTTGGACCGAATGGTACCGAACGAGTTCCTTTCGGTTGGCATCGCGGCGGCGCCGGAGGACATCGACGACGCGTTGAAATTAAAAGATCAAGAAGATCGAGAAAAAGAGATTGAATCAAAAGATGCGCGCATGGCGGCTAATCTCGATTCGGACGGCGAGGATTTTGACGACAAAGAAAAGGCGGCGAAAGACGCCAAAGAGGCGGAGAAGAAGAAGAAAAGTATGACCAAGCCGAAGGAAGCGGCGACGTGGGATTCAATCAATCCCATCGCGCAGTTGCAAAAACAGTTGGAAGAAGTAAAACTGTTAATCACGCAATCGCAGTCGATCTTAGATCAAGTCGCTGGTGGTGTCGAGCGCTTCATCGGTATCTTCACGTGGGCAGAACCGCGAGTGACGGCGATGACCATTCTCGTCGTCTTGGCGTTGGGTTGGGCGACGTTGTACATTCAAACCATCGTCCGAGTTGGTTTCGAATTGATGACGGGCGTCGTCGCCAAAGTCGTTTTCAAGATTGTCACCCCAGAGAGAGTGAAATTCGCGTGCACGTGCGGCCTCTTGTGGCTCTTACGTCATCCGGCCATCTTTCCGGACGACGTGCGAAGAGCCATCCAAGAAGAAAAGAACGCTCGAATCGAAGCGCAACTCGCCGCCGAGGCGAAGAAAGCGAGCGGGGAAATGAACGCCCAACCGGAAGAGGTTGATTTGGAATTAGAAGAGGCGCTTAAAGACGCGCCGCCGAAGGTGGACTACTTGTTCGACCCGAGACCAATGCCGCCGTTGAATGTATTTTTTAGAATTCCGACGAGGAGTTCGCAGCTCGTGTAGTAGTAAAATTTATTTGTTTATTATCATTATTATTATTAAAGTTATTATTGTTATATTATTACATCACGAAAGAAGAAGAAGTGTATACAACAATTCATACCTATTACGCGTTAAATATATATAAGCTATTACTAACGCCGCACGCCAAGATATCTTCTTCCGGATGCCACGCGACGTGTAAAATGTTCGACGAAAAATCGCTCAAATTTTGGTGATGGTGCGCGTTTGCCAACGAATTCGGCGGCGTTTTCACGCCACCCACGAACAAATCTTCTCGAGTGGTGCCACCGTTGCCGAACGCGCTCTCGCTTCTTCTGGGAGGCATTCTCGACGTGATTTCAGTCGTCGTGCCTTCACTTCCGGATTCAAAAACGTTGAAACATCTCAAATTGGCGTTGTAGGATCCGCTCGCGACGTGTTTGCCGTCGCCTCGAATGCAACACTGAAACTTGTCAAAGATGGAGTCTTTTTCGTATAAATCGCATAAGCGCGGTCGCAAGTGATCGTGCACGTTAAACGTCGCCACCGGCGCTTTCTCCATGTTCACGTCCCACAATTTCAAAGTCAAATAATCTCTCGAGAGAAAGTATCGACCGTCTTTGCTGAATTTCACGTCCGAGACGCTCGCGATGATTTCCGAAAAGAACGACCTCTTTTCAACCGGTTCCGGTTCCTCGAACGATTTCGACGCCGCGTTACAACTCGCGTTAATCCGCATATCCGCTAATCTAATAGTTCCTTTACTCGAAGAATACGCGAAGTGTTGACAATGCGACGGATGAAAACACGCCGAAGTGATGACTTCGGTCAACTCTTCCATGTTTTCCGGTTTGATGTCGACGATGTTAAACGACCCGTTCGCGCGTTCTAGATGCCATAAATTCACTCGCAAATCGTCCGCGGATATGAACGTTTCTCCGTCGCTGTTGACGGATAACGAGTTAATGTGATACGCGTGCGCGTTGGCGTAGCACCGGCGACATCGCGCGTTAAACCCCAACTCGCCTTTCAAAACTCGTGGGATTCTCAATCGATATGAAGTCTCCGAAGACGTGTTCGACGTTGATGTTCCACTTGCTGTTGCGTTATTTTCCTTATTGTTTCTACTATTTTCGTTGTTGTTTCTATTATTACTATTTCCGCCCCAATTATGCGCTCCTCCGGTACTCGTCGTCGTCGTGTTGATAGAATCGTTCGAGTCTCGATTAAACCCGCTCACTGCTTCCGCTCTTTTCTCGAACACTTTCCACAGTTTGATCGTCTTATCGTTCGTGGATAATACAAACCTCCCCTCGTTGGCGCCTTGGTGACACCACTTCAAGGTGTTGATTTTCTCTTCAATCTCGAGCGACTTTAAATAATCAAACTCCGGTTCGTGCGATTGAAACTCGGTTAAATATCGGAACTCAACCTGTTCCGGTTTACCTCCTTCTGCTATTAACTGATGCTGTCCGTTTTTATTCGTATTCTCGCTCGTGCTCGCGTTGTTCTTATTGTTATTAATCATAACCCCGACTTGATCGTCTCTATTATATTGCATCTCCGAGCTCATCTCCTCCATCAAAACGTCCTCCAACTCATCCTCGGGATGTTTCTCTTCTCGCCTTTTCGCGTGCCTCACTCTCTCAAACAAAACAACTCTCCCACCTCGATCCCCAGTCGCGAGCCAATCCCCCGTGCGATCAAACTCCACCGCGGAGATGATGTCCGCGTCCTGCACTTCCTCGTTCGGCGCTCGCTCGCCGAAGACTTGCGAGAAACCCCAGTTTAAGTAATTCTCGTCGTGATTTACTACTGCTTCTGTTGCTGTTCTCTCATCATTCTGTCCTCCTTCGTCCTCTTCAAACTCGTTCGGTGTCCTGTTTCTCCTTTTCTCCGGCGAGGAAGAGGACGCTCGCTGAAACCCTCCTGAACTTAATTTGGTAGCTCCTAGGTCTTCCTCCTCGCCTGTACTGGTCGTTCGGAACGAGAAATCCGCCGCGGCTGTCGACGACATCATAATAACAACACGCTCTCGATACCAAGCGTAATAGGAGTATTAAAACACCTTCTTCAGTCCTCTCTTTTCAAAAGTCTTAAAAGTCTCAGGAAAGCTCGAAGAACAAAGAGTGTTCTTCTTATCTCGACGAAATTTCTCTCGCGTGACGGCTCAGAACTCTTATCTTCCAAAATGGATTTCCAATGTCTTCTTTTAAATCTCTCTCTTCTTTGACAATACTTCTCTCTCTCGCTCTCGCTCTCTCAAAATAGTACGCGCTCTCTTTTAACGCGCTCTTCTTCTGTTATTGGTCGTCGTGTTCTCGTCTCTGATTTTGATACAAGGCATGTATTACACCAAAACGGAGAGAGCGATGAGAGAGAGAAAGGTTTATTAGTCTAACGGAAATTCTTCTGAAGAGCGAAAAAGCGGCTTTTTGAAGAAAAAGTGACAGAGGACACAACGAAAATTAAATTTTTAAAGGAAAAACAAATTGAGTAAGGAGTTACAAAAGTACTTAATAATTTAGGGTTTAAGTGCTTAAGCTTTACTCAAATTTAGCTTTTTGAGTGCTTCGTTCGTACTCCTCAGTGCTTCGTGCGTACTCCTCAGTGCTTCGTGCGTACTCCTCTTTTAAAGAGGAGAGTCAAAGGGAATACAGTTAGACTACTACTACTAAAACACCACACAAAATCATCATAATGGGGCAAAAAGGCAGCGAGAAAAACGACTCCGAGACGAACGAAAGAGAGAGGGAAACAAAAAAGACGAACGAAGAGGACTTTGATGACAGTATATTCGACGTCGCGATTCTTGGCGCCGGGATGTCCGGCGTATCCTGCGCGAGGGAGATTTGTTTTGCATTACATGATGATGATGAGAAAAATGCACGAAAAGTAGCACTCTTGGAAGCGCATTCAACCGTCGGCGGAAGGTGCAAACAGACGAAAAAAATCGCGAAATGGCCGGTGGAGTTAGGGGCGGAGTTTATACACGGTGAAGTGAAGAATCCAGTGAAGGATTTACTCGCAGAAACGATGAGGAGAGAGGAGGATTTGGAGGAGGATTTAGATGGGAAAAAAGGAACGCCGAAACGAATGCAATGCAGCGCGTTCGAGTGGCCGGATCGATACGCGATGAATACTACTACTACTAATAATAGGAACACGGAGGAGAAGGATGCATTATTATATTCTTTCTCAAAAAAATCGATGTTGGTGCTGCGCGACGGCGACGAGTGCGAGAAGAACGATAAAGACGTGTGGAAAATCCACCAACTGTTCGATCGACTCCCGGGCGTATCGAAGACGAGTACTACTACGACTACCACGCATAATGACGAGCCAGAGGAGGACGAAATGTCCTCGCTCTCCGCGTTAGAGTGGCTCAGGGACGTGCAAAAATGTACAGAACGAGAGATACGCGTGGCGGAGTTGATTTACGCGACTGATTTCGGAGCGAGTTTGAAAGATATCGGGATGAGAGAGATTATGATTGAAAAAGAAAGGTGGGAAAACGGAGAGCAATATTTAGTCATGAACGGAGGGTTTAACGAGTTGTTTCGACGCGCGTTTTTGAACGCGTTTCAAAGGAATAGTAATAGTAATAGTAATAGTAATAGTAATAATAGCCCCGTCGTCAACATCGACGTGCGGCTGAACTGGGAGGTGGAAACGGTCGAAAAAGTAGACGAACGGAATTTGATCAAAGTCACCGGAAGAACGACGACGACTGAAACGTCTGAAAAAAAGACGTTGTACGCCAAGAAAGTGGTGGTTTCGTTACCGTTGCCGATGTACAGACCAACAGACGACGACGATTCAGACGACAAAAAGCTCTCGAGAGTGACGTTTCACCCGCCTTTGAGCGAGGAGAAACGAAAAGCTTTACGCGCCGTGAAAATGGGCAACGCGGTGAAAGTTTTGTTGGGATTTAACGAGAAATTTTGGCCGCAAGAGAATTTGTTCAACGTCATATGCGACCACCCGGCGCCGTTTCCGGAGTTTTGGGTCGTGAGCGATAAAGAGAAGACGATTTATTCTGATGAAGACGATAATACTACTAATAATAATAATACTACTAACGAAGAAGAAGAAAGTAAAAAAGAAGAAGTTCGGTTCGTCATCACGTTCTTCGTCACCGGCGACCGGGCGAACGCGATGGCGAAAATCGACCCAAACGAACGAATAGAGATGGCGTTTCAACAATTCGTCTGGATTACGATGCGCATCACAAACGACGACGACGATGGAAGAAAAGAATTCGATCGAATACGCGAAAAGCACTTGAAAACGTCCGAGACGAAAGCGTGGTCCGAGGATAAATTCGCCGGCGGTTCGTACACGCACCCGAGCGTCGGATGCGATCGAAAAACTCGAGACCTTTTGGCAAAATCGGAATGGTCCGACTGCTTATTCTTTTGCGGTGAAGGCACGAACGCGTCCGTGAATCCGTGCTTACAAGGCGCGTTCGAAACTGGCGTCAGAGCGGCGAAAGAAGTGCTCGAGTCGTTGAAGTTACAGTAGTATGTGTATACTTTTTATGATGTACAACGGGCGGCTCTTTCGCGCGATAAAGAGAAAAGAAAACGATAATAAAAGATCGTCTTCAAAATCAACTCCTTTTGAACACGTCCCCTAACTGTCTGTTCAATAAACTCCTCTCCAAACTTTCCACCTCCACTCTTCGTTTCTCGTCTTCCACGTACCTTCCGTATTTCAGCGTGTACGTTTTCGTCACTCTTGAAATCACAAACGTGCTTTCGTTCAAGTCCACTCTCACGCCGCACGCCATCTGATCGTCCGCGAAACGAAACGTCCCTAAATCTTTCCTCGGTGGCGTCCGTTTCGTCACGAGCGCGTACGAGTACGACTTTGTCTTTTTCTTTTCTTCGTTGTTGTTCGTAGTATTACTCCTGATCTTCTCAAACTCCTCTTTCTCGTTGTTGTTACTACTACTCGCACTAGTATTCGAACAATACCATCGATTCCTGCTGCTCCTTCTCGTCTTACTCGTCGTTTTAGAAACAGCGCCTGCATTGAAAGCGCTGCTCAAAGTTCTCATTTTCCTTTGTAGCGCTCTCTACACCGGTAAAACTGATGATGATGATTTGAGCAAAAAGCGTATCTCTGCTTTGGATTAATGACGAAACGTGAAGAGATGTTTCGCGTTTAAAAGAAGAGTATTCGCAAAGTGTTTGTGCGCGTATAAAATCTCAACAAAAGTTTTACTTGCTTTTCTCTGAAAGGAGCGCTTTTTGGTCTCTCTGTCTCTCCGTCTCGCTCTCTTCAACTCTCTCTTCGTAGTTAGTAAAAGATCGCACGAGACGAGAGATTTTGAAGCTTTTGGGGGAAAATATCTCAAGGCGAGAAAAGGTTTGAGTGAAATTTTGCTCTCATTTTTTAGTACACGAGTTTCTTTCGCGTTTGTTTATCTACGATGATGATGATGATGATGATGATGACGACGACGACTCTTGTTGCGCGTGTAGTACTCCATGTTCGTATCGCCAACCGCGTGGTAATGGGCAGTTGTTGCCGAGGAGGTATTGTACACATTCGGTTTGTTTGTTCTTGTGAGCGTGGTATACGCTCCAATAGTCCCAAGGCGCTTTGACTTCTTCGTGTAAGTATTTGAGGCACGCGAGATGACCGTTTTCGGCAGCATTTGCACACGCTCCCGTACCGATAGGACACTCATTTGCAACGCAATACTTGACCATTTCCAGATTACCATGTTCTGCGGCCCTATTAATCGTCCCTGCACTCCACTCACACTTTTTCTTCTCTCGTATCCACTTGAGCAACTCGAGTTTGTTCGTTCCAGCAGCTCCCTTGCAAAACCAGGGTTGATCTACCACGTTTCCTTCTTCATCTTCCTCTCCCCATCTCGAATGATTCCACGCCCATTCCAACGTCGAAATGGATGAACATTCGTGAACATTTACACATAATTTCGATACGTCTACCCCGGCATACTTAAGTACATCCAAACTCTCTGTATTCACCTCTGAAAAGAAATATCGATCCGTCCCATTCAATTTCGAAATCACATGCGAGACAAACACATCCCTATGATGCACCACCAACCCGGTCCACAACTTCGTCGGACCAAGCTTCAACCGCTCCGTATCCTTCGCGGCCTCTTCTCTCTCCTTTTTCTTCTTCCTCTTCTGCGCTCCCGAGAGTTGCTTCTTCCCCATTATTACGAGTAAAAGTCGTATTCCTTTTCTTTCCCACACACCAAAAGCATGTGAGGAGAAAAAAAATTAAGGCGTTTTTTAGTCTTCTCGTAAGGGGAAAGAAAAGAGACAAAAATCGCGCACACTAAATTAGGTATATCTTTTATACTCCTTTAAACTCTGTTTTAAAGAACAACAACAATTCAGACACAAACGAGAGAGAGAGTCAGAGAGCAGGTTTCTTTGCTGTTAGTATTGTTCTCGATATTCTCGTTCTCATCGGCATCGCATCAGAGAGAGAGAGAGAGATGGTGTTGGGGAACCACAAGAAGAACACACCGGCGGATTTAAACACATTTTTCAATTCACCTTTGTTTACCACCGCGAAGACGAGGAGTAACACTACTAATATTACTACCAATGAAAACGACGAAAACGATTATGATTTCTCGCGTTGTTTCCCGTTTAAACCGTCGCCGAATAACGCGTCGAAACCGGAGACGAAGAAACGAAAGAGTTTAGTAAAAGAAGAGGATGTGATTATTACGACTGAGAGAAAGAAGAAAAAGAGGAAGTTTGAAGAGTTCGCGAGCGCCGACGACGAGCGTCACGAGGACACCATTGTCTTTCCTTTCGTCGCGAATGCGTCGTCCTCGTTGAAGAAACAGAAGAAAAAGACAAAGTCTGATGCGAGTGGTGAAGAAGAACGCGTCGAGGACGACGTCGCGAGGCCATCAGATCCTCCTCCAAATGGTGTTGGTTTCGCAAAAGGCGGGAACGCGAAAGAGCAAACGATAGAGAAAATGGTCTTCGATGCGAGTAAGACGACCTTTACGGACTTCGACAAGAGGAAGAAACCGACGACGACGACGACGAAAAGGTATAAGAATTTTAGTAAAGGAAACAACAACAACAAAATCGGGAGTAAGAAGAAACCGCCGCCTTTTGCGGCGGCTTCATCGTTTAACGTCGCCGCCGCGGTGGCGAAGAAGAAAGCGCAAATAGAAGTTTCGGCGAAGAAAGCGCAAGAAGTCGGGTTCGGGTCTTCGGCGAGGAAGCCAGCGGCGGCGTATTCCGGGATCGTATCGTCAAACTCGGCTTCGAAGAAAGGAGTAGGTTCTTCGGTTTCGGCGGCGAAGAAAGAGCGCGGTAAAAGGAGTAGCGGCTTTAGCGGTGCGTCGTTCGAAGTTCATCAAAAACAACAACAACAGCATCAACCGAAAGAACAACAACCGAACGAGTTTCAGAAAATGATACAGAAAGCGCGAGAGAACTTGAGAGAGAGTTCAAAAAAGGGTTTACATTCGCCTCAACCGGCGGCGGCGGCGGTTTATCATCGCCCCGTTTTCGTCGCCGCGCAAAATTCGGGCAAACACCAAAGGTTCGCCTCGCCGCCATCAATACCGAAGAGTAAGACGAATATAACGACGACTCCTAAGTTCCCAATCAACCAAACCTTCGTCTCCGCAGCACAAGCGATGAATCAAAACAATAACAATAGCAAACAAGAAGAGCACCACCACCACCCTAATAATAACAATAACATCGTCGACATCGTCGCCAGAGCGAAACAAAAGACGTATTTACCGTCCACCGCGGAGAAAGCGAAGAAGAAAGCGAAAGAAACGTACGAGAAAAAGCGCATCGACGCAGAAAGAAAAGAAAAGCTCGGGCAACTCCGCGAGTTAGACGAGACTTTATCCTCAAAAACGAACATCATCATCGCGCCGAAAGACGACGAGAAGAGTGAGAAGAATAAGAGGAACATGTACAACAATAACAACAACAGAGTGTTCGGCGGCGCCATGACGAAGGCGCAAAAGGCGCACATGGCAGCCACGGAGTGGGAACCTTTATGATGATGATTTCATCATACACCTACCACCAACACCAACAGAGACGAACACTACGACTGCTCACAACCGAGAGCAGAGAGACACAGAGAGAGAGAGACTCTCATTGAAATGTGAAGAACATTTCCATCCGTCGTGTATTTTATAAAGAGAGAGAGCAAACACAAGAGCTAAAACCTAAACCCTAAACGTTCCAAAAGGCACCCCTCAAAACACCTATAAATACCACACACTCTTGAGCGCGCAAACGCTAAGTTTTGCTTCCACTAAACGAACACTACTCAAATATAATGTCGTACAAACCACACCTCCCTGAACTCGTTTCGGATTTAAAATCCAACCCGTCTCTCATCCACGAGCACGAGTTTCTCGATTTGAAACGCGTTTTGGAAACTGCATTTGCCTCCACGTTTCCCCCAAAATCGAATCAGAATACGACGCCTAATGAGGATGTTGAGGAGGATGTCGACATCAAAATCGAGGACCCAGATATCGTCGGACCAGAAGTCGAACCGGTGGACCCTCCTTTACTTTCGGTAAAGGAAGGCGAAGAGTTGAGCGAAACGGACATGAATTCGGTACGAATGTGATGAGATATTTAATTGTTTTGTGCTTCTTTTCTTATTGAGAGAGAGACGCCTTCGATGTCGATATGTTCTAACTCACTGACATTCTCTTTTAAACCACAACACTTTTCTAATACTAACAGATGATGGAAGCGAAATCGAACGCCTCGCAGGCGTTTTCAAACGGCGATTTTGCCTCGGCTTTGGAAGAGTACACGAAGGCGTTGCGTTTACAACCGACGTCGGCGTTGACGTTTTCGAAACGAGCGGAGTGTTTCGTGAAACTGAAAAGGAATAAAGCGGCGAAACAAGATTGCGAGCAGGCGCTGAAGATCAATCCGGATAGCGCGAAGGCGATGAAGGTTTTAGGGACCGCGCAGAGGTATTTAGGCGAGTACGAGGAGGCGTGTAAGAATCTTGGTCAAGGGTTGGCGATCGATTTCGACGAGGAAAGCGCCAAGGTGGAGAAAGAGGCGGAGAAGTTTTTCCACGAAATCAGAGTGGCAAAATCCAAAGAGAAGGCGAAAAGAGAGCAAGAAGAGAAGAAAAAGATGGAAGAGAGGAGGAAGGAAGCGGAGGAGGCGATGAAGAACGCGAACATGGGTGGCGGGAATGGCGGTACTCCGGGAGGGAATCCAGGCGGTTTCCCGGGAGCCTTCCCGCCTGGAATGGAAGGTTTGATGAACGACCCGGAAATGATGGAAGCGATGATGAATCCAAAAGTGATGAGCGTGTTGCAACAAGCGCAATCGAACCCGGGCGCGTTGATAGCCGCCATGAGCGACCCGGAAGTTGGTCCTCTGTTGCAAAAAATCGTCGGCAAGATGGGCGGAAGCATGGGCGGCGGCGGCGGCGGCGGCGCGCCCGGTTTCGGGAACTTTTCGGGAGGAGGCCCAGGAGGAGGAGGCTTCGGCGGCGGACAACAACCGACGAGTGAAAATCGCTTCACCGAAGAAGACGCCGCGCCGCACAGACCCGCCACCGTCGACGAGGTCGATTAATAAAATAGAAGAAAAGAGAGATAAAAACTTACGCGAAAAGGAAAGAAAATTTTCATTCACTATTCATTCGCGGTGAGAAAGAGATTAAGAGAGAGAGAGAAAAAGACGAGACGATTGAGAAAACGATCGAGAGAGCGACAAACAACATCAACGTCGTTCATTTCGTTCCATTTTGTTGTTGCAGTCTTCTTTAAAAGTATAAAAAAACGCACGACTCCCAAAGCTCAATATATACGTACGACGCTTAAACCCGCAAACATCTCGAGACCTTCAATGTCACCTCCTCGATACAATTGAATCAAAATTCATCGCCACAGAGACTCTGCTTCTGTTGTTTTGTCTCTGGGTACCTTTTAAAGCTGATATTTACGCGCTCAAATGTTCCTAGTACTCCGTTTTCGAGAGTCGAACATTTTTCAGACCAAAATGTCTTCACTTTTCCCACCATGACAGACACATCGAACAAGAAAGGATCGTCCTCTCGCTTGGACCGTTTACTCAAGCTCCTCGAGTCCGGGTCGACATCTCAAGCGCGCGCGCAAGCGGCGGAGCAAATCGGCGAACTCGTTTTACAGTCCTGCGCTTCCTCGTCTTCAAATACTGGCGGAGAAGGGAGCAAAGTACACGTAAACGCGGGGATGTTGCCGACGGTTTTACGAAAGGTTCGCGAATGTTCGCGCGCGAAAGAATGGGAGACGAGAGTCGCCGCGGGGAAAGCGATGGGGGCAATCGCGAAGAATTTACGAAGAAAAGAGTCGTCTCTGTATCTAGACGAGGCGCAAAGCAACGATTTCGTCCCGAACAACGCGTTCTGCGCGAGCGCGAGAGATGTGTGCAAGATGGAATTAATTGAGTACGAATTGGTGCTGGAAAAGGTCGCCGGCGAACGCGCGAACCGCGCGAACGAGCAAAGGACTTCTGTTTTGGATGAAGAAGTGAAGGAAGCGCAAGATGAAGTCACACAGATTCTCGATTTGAAACTGGAAAACTTTGACATAGAATCTGTCTTGAACAAAGGGATCGTCTTATTATCCTCGACGGGAGACGAGTGGTCCAACGCCGAGAGAGGACCGGGGACGAAGACGGAACGGCTGGAACGAGCGAAGATGAATTTGAAAAAAACGCTCGGGATGGAGCTCGGGAAAGAAGCAGCCGCGTTCGGGTTGGATAGTAAAGCGATCGGGGAAATGGTCACGGAGAAAGATTTAGTCGGAGACGACGACGATTTTGAGAGTCTCGATAAGAAAAAGAAGAAAGCGGCTTCGAAGAAGAGGAAGAAAGGGAGCGCGGATGAAGACGATATTGAAGTGAAGAAAGAAGAAGGCGCAGCAGCGCGGTTGGTCGATTCGTTAGAAGGAAACAACGGCAACGCGGAAGATGATTTTGACGAGGAGAAGTTGCGAGCGCAAGGAATGTCCGCGAGAGAGGTGAACAAATTAAAACGCAAGAATAAACGGTTGCGCGCGGCGGGGAAGACGGTCGTGAAACATCATCAAAGCGATGACTTTAAGGACGACGACGGCGAAGAGGAGGATAAGAAAAAGAAATCAGCGACAAAAAGTGGTGGCGCGAGCGCGGCGGATGTCAACGAACAACAGAGAAAATACGAAGAGATGGAGGAGAAACAAAGGCAAGAAGAGGACGAGGAAGAGGCGCAAGAAATCGAAGCCGGGTCGTGGCCGTTTACACGAACGTGCGAATTCTTAGCGTTCTCCTTATTTAGCAGCCGCTGGGAGGACAGACACGGTGCCGCGGTCGCGTTGAGAGAGATTTTGAGGTACCAAGCGGAATGCGCGAACATTTTCATCGAAACGTTCGATACGACGACGACAAGTGCTAATTTAGTAAAAGTACAGCCAGGAACGGCCGAAGCGCAGATGCGCGCAAACTTTTCGTGGTTGGAAGACATATCGGTGCGTCTGTTGTGTGTCTTAGCTTTAGATAGATTTGGCGATTTCGTCGGCGATGGGGTCGTCGCGCCGGTTCGCGAAACCGCGGCGCAAGCTTTAGGCGCGTCTTTGCGCGATTTACCGACGCGAAAAGTTTTCGATATCGGTGAAGCGACGTTGACTTTATTGAAACACGAAAAAGCGTGGGAGGTCAGACACTCCGGATTGATTGGTTTGAAATACGTGTTCGCGTCTATTCCGCAAGGCGAACAAGTCAAGATGGACATGTTGGCGCAAAAGTTACTTCCATCGGCGCTTCCGAGATTAATCCTCGCCTTGAAAGACGACGACGACGACGTGAGAGCGGCGGCGGCGGAAGCAGCTTTGCCAGCGAGAGAGTCCTTGAATCCTCAGCTTTTGAGAAAGAAAAAAGAAGACAACATTGAATCAGATGATGATGGTAATTTGTTCAAGGTGTTTTTAGAGACGCTTTGGAACGCTCTGTTAGAATTAGACGACTTATCACCAAGCGCGAGACCAATAATGAGCTTACTCGCGAAGCTCTGCGAGAAGAAAGAAACGAGAGACATGTTCAACGTTGCTGAAGTCGCGCCTCGTTTGTGGCCGTTTGCTGCACACCCGATTGCGAGCGTTCGCGAAGCGACGTGGCAAACCATTTCGGAGTTGAGCGGAACGCTCTTGGAAAACGAGTCCTTCGTCGATGTGCACTTGGCGGATTACATGACTTTAGCTTTGCAAGGATGCGCTTTAGACGAAGACGATAATGCGTCTTTGGCGGCAAAGAAGGCGTTTTTATTGGTTCTTGAATTGTCCGGCTTCGATGTTGGTAGTAATAGTAGTAGCAGCGATAGCAAAAATGTGGCGCTCGAGGCGGTAAAAAATACGCGAAGAATTATCCGCCTCAAAGTGGCGGAAATTTTCAAAGTGAAATCCGACGCATTTTTGAAAGTCTTGAGTGTCCAAGTGAACCGAACGTGCGACGCGCACTACATATTAGTGAAGAAACCGGCGAAAATGACGGGCGAAGCGCGAAACGTCGCCGCCGATTGGCTCTGTCGCACCAAGACGCGATTCTTAGGCATCGAGTGCGTGGCGAAAGCGTTGGTGTCTTTGCTTCCAACATCGTCGTCATCATCCTCAGAATACGCGGAAGAAGAAGAAACGTTGACCTTGTTCCTAAACGATAAAGTGATGGCGTTATCGAAGCATGGCACCGCCGCCGCTCGAGGCGCCGCGTTTCACGTTTGCGCAAACTTTCTCGAAACCGCCGCGAAAGCTGCGTCGATACAAAATACAAGTTTCGAGTTTATCGAAAAGAAATTCAAACCGCTTTACGAAGCGCGCGTTTTCGAGGTACTCGCGTGTGCCAATCCAGCGTATCCGTCCGCACCGAGTCCATTCCCGTACGACGAGGCGAAAGCGTTGCAAACGTACGTCAAGAACGAAACGAAATCCTTGTTGCGCGTGTGTTTGCAATCGAACGTAGCGATTGAAGGCGAGATTCCATCGCCAGACGCCGACGGGTTCGGCGCGGCGAATGCCGTGCAAGTCATGGAAACCGTTCCAAAGGTATGTTTTGTTCTTCTTTTCCTTTTTTTACTTCGTCGTCGTCTTTGTCTTTTGTTCTTTTGACCCTCCTTCCGGATTGGCTGAGCTTCAAAACCTCGGCGTAACAGACGGCGAGCGGATTGAGCGCGTAGAGTAGTTTTTTACAACAACTAAACGCGCTCGAAATGTAAACGCTCGCGTCTTTTGCACGGTCCGAATATTAATCATCGATTGTTCGAGAAACAGGTTTCTCCGGGCGAGCTCTGTGCCTGGCGAGAAGTAATCTCAACAAACATTTTTATTTTTTGTACTGCGACGCATTTCTCGAGAGCGTCCTTGAATGCTCAAACTTACCGTCATCTTACTCCTTTCGATTGAACGACATTTACAGACGACAAACGCGAACGTTGAACGCGCGCGATCTGCGTTAGACGTCTCCGCCTCGCGCCTTCGCGAGACGGAAATGAAACTGCACCAATCCGTGCTCGCCGCCGCCGCTGCTCTCGCGGTTTCGTTTCAACGGCTCCCGCAGAAACTCAACCCGATCATCCAGCCGTTGATGGCATCGACTCGACGCGAAAGAGACGAGGCGTTACAATCGGAAGCCGCGAAAGCGATTGCAAAGTTAGTGAAAAGAGCAATGTCAAGAGAGAAATCACCGAGCGGGAAAATATGTTCCAACATTTTTCTAATGGCGTGTTCGTGTCCGGAAACGACGCCGATTGCGACGGAATCTGGAGAGATGAAGAAGACATCCGCGACGACGGAAGGCGTCGGCGTTCAGACGACGAAAACGACGAAAATTTCGAGCGGTAAAAAATTGGACGAAAATGCCACGGCTGCTGCGGCAGATGTGAATATCAACGCAGAACTACCGGAAACCGCGATTGCGGCGAGAGGCGGCGCCAAAGCGCTTCGCGAATTTTGCCGAGAGTTTGGCGACGAGGTTTTTACCGAGTTACCGGCGTTGATGAAGCCCATCAACGAGTCGTTGGATTTAGTCAAAAACGAACAAGAAAAACAAAATCTCGAAGCGTCTGTTCGACAAACGATATCCAACAGCTGTCGCTGCGTATCTGTCGTTGCTGGAACGTGCACGCAATCCGCGTTTGATGCGCATTTGCGCCCGTTGCTGAAAAAAATCTTTGCCGCCGCGTCTTCCTTAAAATGTCACAGCGTTAAGACGACTGCCTCGAACGCGCTCGCCGCCATGACGACTGCGCACCCGGACGAGACTTTACCGGAAATATTAGCCTTGTTAGCGCCGGCGTTAGAAGGTGGCGATTTAGAGCAACACGCCTCGCCGACGGCTCGATTAGGCGCCGCGTTCGTGGCTTTATCCGTGACTGAATCTGTTCCAGATTCAGTCATCGCGCCGTACTGCGTGTTACTTCTGGTACCGCTCATGTCTCGAATGTCCGATTCGAACGTTGAAGTGAGAACGGCGGCGACCAAAGCGTTCGCGGCGTTAGTGCCTCTTTTACCACTCGCGCGTGGTTCCGTGGCGCCGGAGAAACTCTCGAAAGAGCAAAAGAAGAGAAGTTCAGACGACGGCGCGTTCTTGGAAGCGTTACTCGACAACACGAAAATCGCAAACTTTGAGTTACCGTTCAAGTGCAAGTACCAATTGCGTCCGTACCAAAGAGACGGCGTGAATTGGCTCGCATTTTTGCGAAGATTTAAGCTCCACGGCGCTTTATGCGACGACATGGGCTTAGGTAAAACGTTACAATCCACGTGCATTTTAGCCTCGAGTACGTGCGAACGCCGAGCGAAAGGTTTACCGACAATGCCACATTTGATCATCTGCCCACCGACGTTGGTTGGCCACTGGGCGCACGAAATCAGCATGTACACCGAAGACCCGAACTTACTCTCCGTGTGCGAGTACCAAGGGTCGCCGCAGGAAAGACTAGCGTTACAGAACGACGCGAGGGCAAAATTCGACGTCGTCGTCGCCTCTTACGACAGCGTTCGCGCCGACGCGGAAAAATTCTTTCATGTAGTCGATTGGTGCTATTGCGTCCTCGACGAAGGGCACGCCATTCGAAACCCGAAATCGAGAGTGTGTGTCGCGGTGAAACAAGTCAAAGCGGAACACCGACTTTTACTCTCCGGGACGCCGATTCAAAACGATGTCGTCGAATTGTGGTCGCTCTTCGATTTCCTCATGCCCGGTTTCTTAGGCACCGAACGAGAGTTTAAAGAAAACTACGGCATCGCCGCGGCGAGGTCGAAAGCGGCGAAAAAAGGCGGTGGCTTAACCGAACAAGGCGCGTTAACCGTCGGGAGATTACACAAACAAGTCATGCCGTTCGTTCTGAGACGAACGAAAGATCAAGTGCTGAAAGATTTACCGCCGAAGATTATCCAAGACGTGTTTGTCGATTTAACCGCCGCGCAAAGACGTTTGTACGATACGTTTGAAACGAGCGGGGCGAAGGAGGATGTCAGTAAAGCGTTGAGTTCTGGAGCAGGCGGAGCGGACAACAGTGGCGGCAATGGCGGCAGCGTGCACGTATTCCAAGCGTTGCAATATTTGCGAAAGTTGTGTTCGCATCCTAGATTAGTCGACGGATCTTTGAACGAGAAATCGAGCGCAAAGTCTGTCGCCAAACGCATCGCGGATGGAAGTGATAACGACATGAACTGGAGTCCCAAGTTTGAAGCGTTGAAACAAATTCTGTTGGATTGCGGCATTGGCCGCGACGCGTTTAACGACGACGAGGAAGGAGGAGGAGGAGGAGCGGATGATGCCGCTGCGAATAAAGGGAATCACCGGGTCCTCGTGTTTGCGCAATTAAAATCTCTCCTCGATTTGGTCGAAGACGAACTGTTTCAATCGCACATGAAGGACGTCTCGTGGCTTCGATTGGACGGTTCCGTTCCCGCGCACGAACGCTTCAACGTCGCAAGAAAATTCAACGCCGATCCAACCATCGACGTGTTACTCTTAACCACCCACGTGGGAGGTTTAGGCTTAAATCTCACCACCGCGGATACCGTCGTCTTTCTCGAACACGACTGGAACCCGCAAAAGGATCTGCAAGCGATGGATCGCGCGCACAGATTGGGTCAAAAGAAAACCGTCAACGTCTACCGCATCTTAACGAGAGGCACGATTGAAGAAAAAGTGATGAGTTTACAGCGCTTCAAACTCGACGTCGCCAACGCCGTGGTCAACGCCGACAACGCGAGCATGAAAAGCATGGACACAGGCGCCATGCTCGAGTTGTTCACCGCGGAGAAAGGTAAAAAAGCGAAACTCGAAGCGGAAAAGAAAGAACAAACTCAAGGTAAAGGAGAAGGAGGAGGCGAACAACAACAATTTCAACAACAATCGGCGCCGATGAAGCAAATCTTGAACGGATTAGACGAACTCTGGGCGCAAAGTCAATACGACGAAGAATTTGACGTCGAGCAGTTTCAAAAGACCTTCTCTTCTGGTAAGAAGTAGAAGTTAAAAGAGAAAGATTGTAATGAATGTGTTTTTCTCTTTTTCCTCTTTCAACGATTATTAGCGCGATGTGTATAGTTTTCCACCTTCGTAAGACCAACCAGATGGTAATGGACAGTTGTTGTCGAGGAGGTATTGTAAACATTCGGGGTGGTTGTTCTTGTGCGCTTTTCGTACGGCCGCAGAGTCCCAAGGCGCTTTGGCGGTTTCGTGTAAGTACTGCAAACAGTCTAAGTGGCCGTTCTCGGCTGCATTTCGACACGCCTTTTCGTCAAATTTATCATACTTACGCTCAACAAGATATTCGAGTATGTGGAGATGACCATATTTAGCCGCCCATTCGGCAGTCCAAGAATTCCAAGGCGCTTTGACTTCTTCGTGTAAGTATTTGAGGCACTCGAGATGACCATTTTCGGCAGCACGTGTACACGCCCACGCATCAATAGGACACTCATTTGCAAAGCAATACTTTACCATTTCTAGATTACCTTGTCTTGCGGCCGCATTAATCGTCAATTCATCCCAATCACAATTTTTCTCCTCTCGCGCCCACTTGAGTAACTCGAGTTTATTCGTTTTAGCAACTTGCCAGCAGAAACATGGTTCGCCCGAGCAGAAATCTATTTCGTCCCACCATCTCGGCCACAACGATCGATTCTTCCAAGCAATCTCCAAAGTCGATATCGAGGACATCTCTTTGACTTTAAACCCCTTTTTCAACTCCCCCTTGCGAGAGGATCTCTTCACCAACGCTCTCGTTTCATCATTCACTCTGTCCAAGAATTTGAGATCAGTTCCATTCAATCTCGGAAGCACATGAGTGAAACAAATATCGTCGTTCTTCACGATCAAATCCCACAACCTCGAATCTCTCAAAATTCGTCTTTTCTTCCGCTGCGCTCTCTTCGTCGCTCCGTTTCGCCGCGTATTCATCATCATCGATACTCTCTTTCGTTCGTCTGTGTGTCTCTCTCTGCGCTCAATGTGATGCGATTTTTATTATTTTTTAGATATTTTTACTAAAAAGTTTGAATTTGAAAAGACGTTACTTTTCGAAAAGACAGACAAGACTTTAAAATGACGCTCAGCAGTAGTAACAGAGTCCTGTTCTCTCTCGCGCTTGGTTCTTCCCCCTCTTTCATCTCGCACAGGAGGAGCAGTTTTCCCTCCTCTCGTCGATGTCGTTCTTCGTTCAGAGACTTCTCCTCGAGAGTACGAATACATCGCAGAAGAAAAAGCTTTCGTTGTTCCTCCTCTTCCTCTGAATTGGAAAGATGGGACGATTGGCGGTTGGACGAAGCGTGGGGTGATACTGACGACGATGTTTCGAACAACGACGATTTTGTTCAAGGCACGACAAAGAATACGAAGACTTTGAACAGGTCTGACCCTCTTTCGTCTCCTCTCGAGGAAACAGAGGAGGGAATAAAGGAGGGAAAGAATCGAGAGGAAAATATCTTCTCAAAGCATCAAAATGCTGAGGAAAAAGGCATCGCCATCGCTCGCGAGAAGATTGACGATGCAAATGATGACGTTAAAGACGACGCAGAAAAGGAAAAGGAAAGAAAATACTACCTGGGATACGAAAACGACAAACGTTCAAAAGTTTTGGTGGAATTTTGGCGCTCCTCTTTCCCGGATATTAAAGATTTCGACGTGTTGAACATGATGAAACTGGGGCAAGACTACGCCAAGTTGAGAGACTGCGAGTTAGTCATCACAATGGATCAAAAATTAAACGCGTTGTTACCGGGCGTTTCCGTCTTGAATGTCTTGCAGAGATGTCCGACGATTCTCGAGAAGTTTGACTTTGGTAAGGCGTCGAAACGGATTTTGGAGATTCAAGACGTGCTTTGTAGCGAGGATTATTGCCACGACGTGGTGGATATCGTGGAAAAAATGCCGGATTTGTTGTTGTGCGAATCCGTCTACGAAGAAAGAGAAAAAACGATTGAAAAGTTGAATCAGATGTGTAATTGCACGGACACGTACGAAGGCGGGGAAGTGAGCAAAGGGATTAAAATTGACGCGGAAAGGACGGTGGCGGAGTACCCCGAGTTGCTCTACCGCTTGAAAGAGTACGACTCGTATTACGATTTACCGGTTTCCATTTTGAACATGCTCACCGGCCCAAACGAAGACGAGATTTTAGACGAGGACTACGACCAAATGTGGGACCAGAACATGGCGGGCAAAAGTAGTGGTAGCAATAGTTTTAGTAATAGTACGAATAGCGAATCCTACGAGGAGTGGCAAAACGACGGCTACTGGGAGAAAGAAGAAGATTAGATTAGATCATGTTGACATTATTTAGAATATTATTGCCCAATAATTGATATCCGATTGGTCGTCACCACACCCAATTTCTTTCAAGTTCTCTCTCATCAGGTATTCTTTTACGTAGGTGTTCGCTGTGCGCAAATATCGACAGATTCAATTTAGACTAAAACCCTAAACTATTTTCACCTAGCATAAGGGGAAACAAAAAACGCAAAAATTCACTCATTGTGTGCGCGGAGAAGACGACGCATTAAACGACATTAAACGCATCGATTCATCGCATTAGTCGTCGTAACACAACAAACACAATGCCTCTCGTGGATATTACCAACGACATCAAGCGAAGTCGCTTAAAGAAGCAACAAGTAGAAGAAGAAAAGAAATCATCATCTTCGTTGAAACCAATTCCATCCACTCTGAGACGGATTTCCATTTCCAAGAAGTCGTCCTCAAAAGACGACGGAAAAGAGGGAGAAGAAGAAGAAGAGGAGCAACAACTCCCACCGACGAGGAGTAAACGAGACTCTTTGTCCGGATCCGGGTCGTCTCCGTTCAGCAAAGTGAGCGTGGAACAGCCCGGGGAGTTTTTGGAATCCGAACCGAGTTTGAGCAAAAGCGATTGCGTGTCGAATAAAGACGAAGATGAAGATGAAGAACAACAGAACGTTTTGGTCCAAGAGAAGAACCAACAACAACAGCAATTACGACAATCTCGACGTCAAAAGCATCAGCCGCAAAGGTTGGGTGATTTGCTCGAATGGAACGATATCAAATCGAACGCGCTGTACGAGAAGTACGACCCGGAAAAAGCACATCGAGAGCAACAGATGAAGTTGTTGACGAATACTCATACTACTAATACTACTAATAGAGTGATGGAGGAGGAAGAGGAGAAGAGGAGTAAAGCTTCTGACTATCAATCCGGTCAAAATTCCAAAGCGGTGTTGGAGGTGCACCAACGCGTCGCGGATTTGATGAAGTTGGCCGAGCAGATGTTACCGCCGGAAGAGGAAGACGGAGACGACGACGGGTTGCCGAAGAAGAGCATACGGGAGAAGTTGCGAGACGCGTGGGACGGGGATGGATACTACGCGAAACTTATGAAGGAGCAGGATTCTGGGCCGTCGTCGTCGTCGTCGAGGACGTCTTCTACTCCTCCTACTTCAAATGGTAATAGTAACAACAACAAATCAAAGACGAACAACAGCAACGGTAAAAAGGAAGGGTTGAAAGTGTATTGCGATAAGGAGAACCCCGTCGCGCATAAAGTCAATCGAGGAGCGAAGAAAGCGAGCGGATTAGGAGGGGGATTATCATCATCGGGTGGTGGTGGTGGTAAACTTGCCGTCGGCTGCGGAAACACGGGAGGAGGACTCGCAAATCACGCACCAAAACCGTTAGTGCAAAGAACCGCGTTAACCTCCGCGCTCGGTAACGTGACGAACGCCTCTTCGTCGTCCTCTAGCAATAACGTCAACGCCACCGTTAGCGGCAGCGCGTACATGTTCGGTAACTTGAAATCGATTCAAGCGCCATCTGCAACGCAAAATAGCTCATCTTCGAACAACGCGTCGGAAAAACCCACAAACTCGACGCCACCTTCGTCGTCGTTATCCTCCTCCTCCTCCTCCTCCTTCGCCTCTGAATCCTCCATCAATACCGGATTGACGAAAAAAGATACCAACAACACCAACAACGAAACGCTCCTCAACGCGTTGAAGGCGGAAAACGACCTCCTCCGCAAACAACGCAACGAGGTCAAGTTAACGCACTTGAAACTGAAGAAAGAGTTGGACGATTTGAAAAGAAACGCGAGAATTGCGGTGAGTAAACTCTGCGCCAAGTTGCCCAACAACAGTCGAGGCGTCGAGTTGGACGCGTTGGCGTTTTTGAAGTTGTCTTCTTAGGAGAGAAAATAAGCGTTGACTTGAGATCAGGAAAAAAGGCGTTTTGAGAATATTAATGTAATATTCAGTATATATATACGAGTGAAGAGAAAGAAGACAAAGAGATAACAAATAACACGCGCACGTAAGACGCAGACGTAACGCGACAAACGCTCTCTTTTATAAACGCTCTTCTTTCTCTCTTCTCGTTCTCAGCATAACCGCCTCAAAACCCTAAACAAGCGTGTGGCTCTTTTCCCTCAGAATTTTGTATCGAAACCACACAAAAAGGACGACGACGACGATGGACGACGACGACGATAAAGAAGTTCAAAACGCATCCGCGACGGTCGCGTTACCCGCCAACTCCACCCCGCGTTCTCTTTCCCTCTTAAACAACCCTCTTCTCGATCAATTTCCCTCGCATTTGTTCCACGAATCCTTCCGGAAGAGCTTTTTGCTCGAACTCGACCAGTTGTGTTCTCTCGCCTGGGAGATTTCCAGGATGGAATACGAAGACGAAAAAGACCACGAGAAAGACGACGACGAAAATTTGACTCTGACGTTTCACGAAAAGATTGAAGTTTTAAACGCGCGATGGAATTTCTTCGACGATTTGTACTCCGAACACACCAAGTGCGAAGATTTGACCGTCTTTCCGGAACTGAACTTACGAGTGGCGAACGTGACGAAAGCGTACGAATTAGAACACGAAGCCGAGGAGTGGCTGTTCGAGGAAGTTGGAGGACTGGTGAAGACAGTTTGGAAAGAAACGAATGATACTGATGGGAGTCGTGAGAGAAAAGGAGGCGACGGCGTAAACGACGTCGACGTTTTGGCGAAGACGAGGAACGAAAATGATTTCGGGAAGAGAGAGTCGATAAAGTTAGTCTTAGCGAAAGCGGCGAGAGGATTACACGCGACGAGAACGATGTTGAAAGCGCACTTGGCGAAAGAAAGCGCGCACGTTTTACCTCTGTTGAAAAAACACTTCTCCGAAGAGGAGCAGGCGAAGATGACGTGGTCGTTTTTAGAAAAGTTTCCCGCGGAGAAAGTGACTGGGATATTAGAGTGGGTGTTTGGAGAGATGATGATGGGAGAGGAAGAGCACAGAGGTGGAGAGTATTTGGAGAGTTTAGAGATGTATTTAAGAGCGCCAAAAGTGAAAACGTGCGCGGAAGCGATGGCGTTGAAATCGAAATTGAAGAAAATGATTGAAGACGTTCGAGCGAACGACGAGGAAGAGTACGAGAGGATGAAAGAGCGAGTCGAAAAAGCGCCGATTTTATCGCTGTTGTTTGAAAAAGAAGGCGGCGGCGAAGAGATGATGATGATGATGAACAACAACAACAACAACAAGACGGCGGCGACACCTCCTCCTCCTCCTCCAAACAACCGAAACAGACGAAACCGACACAAAAAATCCGCCTCTTTGTCCTCGAGACAAAAGCGAGACAAAAAGAACAAGAAGCTTCCAATCGATCACATCTTTCAGTTTCACGATGCCTTACGCGTAGAGTTGAATCGAATGGAGACGGAGATTTTACAACTCCCGACCGATGGCGCGTCGAGTTCCGACGCCAAACTCGTTCGAGAAATTGAAGGTCGATTTGTGTTTTTACAAGGCGTCTACGAGGCGCACTCCAAATCGGAAGACGAGGTAGTCTTTCCTCAGTTAGAGAAGAAGAAAGCTTTAGTGAACGTCAGTCACTCGTACACTCTCGACCACGAGCACGAGTCGGAGTTGTTCGAGGAGATGTTGTCGTTGATTGAAAAATTGAAGAAACACGTCAATCGAGAGATTTTGAAGGAAGAAGAGAGGAGGACGAAGAAGAATAAAACGACGACGCGCAATAGTATCAGAAACAAAAAGAAGAATAGGAAAGGCGACGATATAGAAGAAAAAAACGAAGAATTAGAAGTAGAAGAAGTGGAAGAAGACGATAGCGGCACCATCGTGAGGAAACTCCAAGAGACGTGCGTCGCTTTAAAAGTCTCCTTGGAAACGCACGTGAAAAACGAAGAGGACGAATTATGGCCGTTGTTCGAGGAACACTTCACGATCGAAGAGCAAGAAACGTTGGTTGGATTAATCATCGGCCAAACTGGGGCGGAGGTTTTGAGGGCCATGCTCGATTGGGTTCGCCGATCGCTCGATAGCGAAGAGGCGTTGGTGATGATGGCGAATATGAAACAGGCGACAGAAAATACGAGGTTTGCGAAATGGCTGAATACTTGGATGACTGGAGAGGATCCAGAAGCAGTCAGAGTGCTAGGTTTAAAGAAAAGAGGGGTTTTAACGATTCCAGAGAAAGCGGACTTAGAAGAGAAGGAGCAAAAGAGAAGGAAGATTGATGCCACCGCCACTACCAACGACAACATCGACGACGCGAAGAAGAAGCCGTCGTCGTTCGCTTTGACTGCGAAGAAGCAAGACGAAGAAGAAAAGCGTCGACAAGAACAACACGAACAACGACACCAAATTAATAATAATTGTCGTGAGCCGGACGAGGACGAGATTTCCGACGCGACTACCGCGACGAACACGCACGTTTTGGGCGGCCACGGCGTCAGGCAAGTCAGCGAGTATTTCGACACGTTGCGCAAATCACAATCCGCTGATAAGTTGCTCTCCACGTCCACATCAGTCGAGAACCAATCCGAGGGCGGCGATGACACGTCCAAAGATGCGTCGCACAGTAACCAAACGGACACCGGTATTTTTAAACCCGGTTGGTCGGATATTTTCAAAATGAACCAACGTCAGTTGGAAAGCGCGATACACATTTTGAATCGAGACGATACGCTCGCGCCGAGTAGGAAAGCGTATTTGATGCAAAACTTGTTAGCGAGTCGATGGATTACCGGGAACCAAAAGATTACCGAAGATAAGATGGAGTTGGATGCCATGATGATGGTTGATGGAGGAAACAAAAGTGGGAACAACAACAACGCCACCACTACGAATAACAACAACAACAACAACACCAACGCGATGCGCGCGGTGTCGGCATCCGCCGAAGAGGACGACTCGAACAACACCAACGAGAACAAGAACATCTCACCGTCGTTGAAAGCTGTGCCAAACTTCACGCTTCGCGGTGGCATCGGTTCGGGTGATAAAAAGAAAGGCGCTACCGCGGATCAACCAATCGTCTGTTACGCGTGCCCTCCTCCGTCTAAAACAAACGCCGAAAAGCAAACGGTAAACAAAGCAAAAGAGAGCGGCGGCGGCGGCGGGAACAACACCACCACCAACTACAAACACGAAAACTGCCTCGGATGCAAACACTACCACCGAAAGTGTAAAATCGTTCCAACGTGTTGCAACGTCCCTTTCCCGTGTCGTTTTTGCCACGACGACAACTCCGACCACGCCATGGACCGATACAACACGAAAGAAATGCAGTGCATGAAGTGCGCGTTGATCCAACCCGTCGCCAAGAATTGCAAAAAGTGCAACGTCGAAATGGCCAGATACTTTTGTAAAGTCTGCAATCTCTTCGATGATTTACAAGACGGCAGACACATCTACCACTGTCCGTTTTGCAACGTCTGCCGAAAAGGTAAAGGTCTCGGCCAAGATTTCTTCCACTGCATGAAATGCAACTCGTGCGTCTCTTTAGTCATGGGCCCGCACGAGTGTCTCGGCAAACGCTCGAGCATGGAGAGCGAATGCCCGGTGTGCAAAGACTTCATGTTCGATTCCGAGACGCCGGTGAAAACGTTACCGTGCGGACATTTAATGCACACGTCTTGCTTCGAAACGTACACGAGGCATTACTACACCTGTCCGCTCTGCCGCAAATCTCTGGGCGATTTCACCGTCTACTTTCGAATGCTCGACGCGATTTTAGCGGACGAGAGGCAGAAGAAAAAAGCCGAAGAAGAAGATAAAGAAGATAAAGAAGAAACCAAAGAACAAAAGCAGCAAAAGGTCAAATGCAACGACTGCGCGGAAGTGACGATGGCGGAGTTTCACTTCGTCTACCACGCCTGCGGGAAATGTCGCTCGTACAATACCGTGGTAGAATAGAACGCGATGAATAAGATTATAACAACAGAAAAGAGAACGCACTCGTTTTCACACCACGAAAGCTCTGCCCGTTTGTACTCTTTATATATATTTGTATGCGTGCGTGTAGTGCCGGGAAAATGTCATCGCAATAGGTATTCGCTTCGCCTTCTTTTGCCTTTTCGGTTGAAAATTCAAAATCTTCATAAAGAGAATGAAGCCAAAAGTTTCCAAATACTTCTCTCCTGCTGCTGCTCGAGAAGACGTATTAGCAGCAGAAGCAGCGAAGACCATCGATTCTCCTTCTGCCAATATTGTTTCGTCTTTAAACGCCTCGTGTATTGCATCAAAGTCCTTCATCGAATGTTACAACAAATGTGAAATCGATTTCCAATCCTTCCTGGAAGCGGCAAAAATCAAGGCGGATTACGAGAAACACGAGAACGGTTTGGAGATGATTTTGAAACACGCAGAAGGACTTATTTTCGAGAAAAAAGAGTTCTTCGAACGAGAGAAGGAAGAGAGACGTAAGCGGCGTCATAAAAGCCGGGTGAATCGCTCTGAGGAAGAGGAAGAGGAAGGCGCAGATGTGTTAGGGTTTAGAGAAGGCTTTGAGGGTGCAGACGAAGAAGCGACTGCGAGAAAGCGTTTAGGACGTTTACTCAAAGACACGTTGGAAGAGTTGCACCGATTACACGTGAACGCGTCGTGCAGATGCTCGACTCGCGCGCCGAGAGTGAAAGAAGCGAGAGATAAACTGACGTCGTACCGAAGGCGCGCCAGAGAGGCGTACAAGACGGTTGACTTTGAGAGGTACGAGACGGATCTGAGAGACCGGTTTGAAAAGAAACGGAAGAGGGAAGATGCGGATGCGTTTGCAAAGTTTCGAAAGAATCCTCCGAAATCGATCGAGGAGATTCGTACGTGTTGCGAGTTGTTCGTGAGAAACGGGCGGTCGCCGCACCATTTGTGCCCGCACTTGTGTTACTATCGCGAGTACGAGCCGGCGAGGCAGTTGTTCGTGTTGAGAATCGCGTGTTGCGAGAAGTTTGGGAGCGCGAAGAAGTTGGAAGGATGGACGTCCGAGTTAGCTTTGAATAATAGCACGTCTATTAGTAATAGCGCCGCCAATAGTAGGGAGCGACGAGGTAGGAATTCCTCATTTTCGCCTTCGCCGAGGAAAGAGTCGTCGTCGCAACTCTCCTCGTACGCGGTGAACAATTCAAACAGCGTCCTCGGATCTGGGTATAAATCGTTTCCGTGGAAAGTCGAGTTTAAAAGTCCAAGCGGGGAGATATTTGCTACCGCGGAGGATGTTTTGAAAGCCATATCCGGAGAAGACGGTGATACGAATACTACTCATCAAGCCGCGTTAGCGGTGGGAAAGAGTCAACCCCCGGTAACGAATCCGCAAGGCATCTCCTTCCCGCGATCTTCACACGGCGGGTCCGGGAAACGATTGCCCGGAGTCAAAGAGCACGGGTTAGAACAAGACGTGGAGATTTTGAGAGCCGCGTTGTGGAAGGCGTCCGACGACCAAGTGCACGCGTCTTCGCCGGTCAAGTTGAGACGGTTAGAAGCGGAAACGGAAGGGTACGAACGGAGTCCCATGCAATTGGCGCCTCCCGGGAAAGGGTTCGTGGAGAGTTGCGGAGACGTGGTGACGTTGAAAGTTATCGATTACGATAACGATGGTGACGATTCAGACGACGAAGAGGGGAGAATGTTGTTCAGCGAGAGCGAGTACGATACGGACGGAGAAGATTTGGAGAGAAGAGGAGGAAGAAGAAGAAGAAGAGAAGACGCGCATCATAATCATCATCAAGACGCGTTCGATGGCTATTTTTACGAGGACGAAGAAGAAGACGATGATGTCGTCGTCGCTGATGAAATCGTGAACATCAGAAAGGAGGAGAATAAGAAAGAGGAGCAAAAGGAAGAAGAAGAAAAATCGAAAGTCTTGGCGTATGACGACGAGAGCAAGAACAAAAACCCAAGTTCCTTTGAAAAGGTGAAATCAATAAAGAAGGAAAGAAAAGTCCAAGAAGCCACTTTTTATGCCGCCAATAATGGCGACGGACCATCCGCCTTTGAAAAGGAAGAAGATTTTCATCAAAGCGAGGAGAAGAAACTGCGCATGGCGCAACTGAACGAAACGAAAATGATACACTCCTATCACTCGTCGAAGCTTTTGAAACTGGAAAGCGAACCGCCGTTGGTGAGTAAGTTCGACGACGAGGATGCGATTGATGCGTTCTTTCTCAGAAAGGAAGAAGAAGAAGAAGAAGAAGCCGTTCAAAATCCTACGACGAGACAACAATCCTCTGTTATCGGCGGTTCACAAAGACACTTCGTCGTCCCGCCAAGATCTCCGTTCGGTCTCCTCGAGGAAATCTTATGGAGAGACGACTGGAAACTTTTAACCGCGTGCATGATGCTGAACTGCACGACGCGATTGCAAGTCGATCGCGTCTTGTGGGAGTTGTTTACGTTAGCGCCGACGGCGGAAGACGCGGTGAAATTAGGTGAAACAGAGCGTGGGATTGAATTGATTGAAAAATGTTTAGCGACGATTGGATTGCACAGAAAACGTGCGAGAGCGTTCGTGAGGTTATCGAAAGATGTGGTTGAAGCGAGACGAGGTAAAGAGAGCGCTTTGTTACGATTAGGAGGCGAAAGCAAATTAGGAGACAAAGATCAAATCTTGGCGTTGGATAATAACACCACCACTGGATCAGAGAATGACGACGACGATGGCAACGGTAACGGAGAAAGGGATGATGAAGAAGAGGAAGAAGAAAAAGAAGCAACAATTCCACCGCCATCATCGGCGCCACCAACTGGAGGAAAATTCGTCCGCTCCGTTTCTGAATTCCACGGCGTCGGTGCGTACGCTGCGGATGCGCACGCAATGTTCTGCGACGGCATCATCGCCGCGCCGCCGAGAGATCACGCTTTACGATGGTACTATGCTTTCGCGTTGGAACGAGAGAGCGAAAATTTATCCAAGAACGTTTTGTTTCTAAAGACGACGAACGCGGAAGAAGAGGAAGAAAATGTAGAAAGAGATTAGCGTTGACGTAAAATAATAGCGAATACCTGCGCACGCAACAAACTCGTTAAAATACACGCACCTGAAGAAGGTATTACGTACAACTATACCAACTTGGTACCACTACAGCTACAACTCTACACTATCAGGTAATAATACTACATCTGCAATAACTCTCTGTCTCTCTAGAATCCTTGGAAACACCTATCGTAGTTTGGCAACGTTATCATCTCTTTCGCGATATCATTCAGAGGATGCCAGACCTTCTCGACCGGTACGAGATACATCTCAGGTGCTCGCAACGCGCGTTTTTCTATTTCGGTTCGGTCTTGAATAACCCCACTTTCTTCTTTGTCTTCAATATTGAATAAGTTTCGCCAGTGCGCCTTCTCGTCCTTCACTTGTCGATAAGTCGGAAACGCTCGAGCGCTCCCGATGGAACCAATCGATCCGCGAACTTCAATATCATCCCAAAATGCAATCATCAGCGTCGTTCGCGTCGGTAACGGTGTGCTCTTCTCGTCGGTATATGAATCGTTATTAATGAAAGCGTTCAAGCCTCGTCCAGGAACGACTCCGTGTAACAACTCTCCGTCAAACACGACGCATCGATTGGTTTTCGGATACGCTAACCAACCGTTGATTTCGTTAAAGTTGGTATTCTTTTGATCGCCGTCGCGTTGCGTCGTCACTAAGGTCGGTCCTCCAACGAACGCTGCTGGGTTTTCCGAGGTGGTTGTTCTTTGTCGCTTATTATTCTTGTTCCTTTCATCCTCCATCATCTCACCGTTGGCGGATATGAACACGACCACGGAACAGATTGGATGTCTCAATCCGTTGATACCTTCATCGTCAGAGTCAAAATGCATTTGGTGTCCTTCACAGTGTGCTCGATTATGACACCACCACTCTGCTTTCGTGGCCTCGCGTAAAACTCTCGGAAACGCGCGACCGGCGACGCATTTCGCGTACTCGATGACAACATCCATCGTGCTCGAAAAATTATTAGTACGTTCTTCTTCGTTCTCCCCGACGACGATATCGTGCACGTACGAAAAGAACTGCCTTTGTGAATTCTTCTTCTCACGATTAAAATACTCGTGCTGCATCCAAAACGGCGACTGGACGTCACCGAACTGCTTTTGCATCATTCGCAACGTCGACGTTGGGAACACGTCGTCGAACATCTTCGCGTAAATCATCTCTTTTTGTTGTACATTTTCACCATCATCGTCGTTCGATTTCTTCTTTTGCTCCTTCTCCTCTGCCACATTAACGACGGGGCCTAAATCCACTCTGTCCTTCCCGTACCTCAAAATCTCCTCTCGATTCAAGCAAAACAGGTACTTTTCCTCTTTTAGAAGTTTTGCGATGAATTTTGCCTCCGCGGACGAATACTTCGCATCCTCTTCTTGTTGTTGCATCGAGAGCAACACGAATTGTTTCATCAACCTCTTCCTAAAAGCTTCCTCTTCCTCTTTTTCAGTCTCCTTTTCTGAATCATCGATGGTAGTATTACACGTAATTGAACTCATGGCGAGCATTTTGCACTTGTTCAAGTCCTCTCGCGTCCTCGATAAAGCGAGTAAACGTGGAAGTAATCCTTCTTGAATACTTCTCCAATTCTGTTTCTTTTCTTTCATCATCGTCATCACTAAACGCTTTCCTTCCTTTTCGCATGTATCGAATTCCGAAGATGCAGACGTTTTTTTGGTGGTGGGAGTGTCTTCCGTCATCGAACTCTCTTTATCTTCTTTCTCTTCTTCCTCGCAACGCGTTTGTCACGAGGAGTTCCATCGTGTATCCATTTTTGTGGCGAATTTTCCTCAGTGTAAAGAAGAGAAAAACTCGTCTCTTTTTAGTACCTAAACGCATCTTCATGACGTCTGGAGAAGAAGAAGACGGAGGAGGATCATCGAGAGCGACGACGAGAAAGACGACAAAGAAGAGGAAGACTCGTACTCACGTTGCGTTTTACGAACGGAGAGATTCTTTGTGGGACGTGATCGTGAAGTGGGACGATATTTGTTTCAAACACATTCTTCCGAGATTGAATCGAACCGATGTGAAGATCTTGTACGAAGTGAATACAGAGACGAGAAAGTTGATCAAGAGATCCTCTCGCAAGAGGGAGTTGAAAAAGAAGTATAAAGTGAGCGAGATGTCTTCGGTATCGACGTTGGACGTCGCGTTGGAGAATCTATCGTTGTGGTCGGGTGACTGGGACGAAACAGAATTCTGCGCGAAAGTTGCTCTAACGAATAAACTCGAGTTGCTCGAGTGGGCGCGAGAGTGGATACATTGTGATTGGGATTCAAATACGATGAGAATAGCCGCAGAACAAGGCAATCTGGAAATGGTAAAGTATTGCGTGGCAAAGAAGTGTCCTATTAATGGGTGGGCGTGTGCAGAGGCTGCCGGAAACGGTCATCTCGAGGTACTCAAATACTTACGCGAAGAAGCCAAAGCGCCGTGGAATCTTTGGACTGCCGCTTGGGCGGCTCGAAGTGGTCATCTCCACGTACTCGAATATCTTGTCGAGCGTAAATTTGAGCACTTTGACCGTTGGGCGTATCGGTGTGCGGCCAAGCCCGGCCAATTGGACTGTTTGAAGTTCTTACGCGAAACCGCCAAAGCGCCTTGGGACTCCGAGGCCGTACGAATAGCGCACGAGAACAAACAAACCGAGTGTTTACAATACCTCCTCGACAACAACTGTCCTCTCCCACGCAATTGGCGATACGAAGGCGGAGAACTGCGCGTACCAGAATAGAATAGAATCGCACGCGATGTATAAACACGCCGCTCTTGTAATACTACAATGAAGAGAGAGACAAACAGAGACTGAGTGGAATTTTCTTCTTCAGTTCACACATCGACTCTTTTTTTCTCTGCATTGTAACACGCGCGAAAAGAACAACAACAACAACAACAACAACAATGATCATCCCGGTGCGCTGTTTCACCTGCGGCAAGGTACGTTTCGATCGCGCTCTTTACTTTCTTTCTTTTTATTCTTCTTCTGCCATTCGTCCTCTTCTTCTTCTTTCATCACTTCCCCGCGCAAGAATCATCATCGTTTGGAGCCGCAAAACCGCTCAAATTCTCACGCTTTAAAACTCTCTTTAAAACTCTCTAAAAAGGTGATTGGGAACAAGTGGGACACGTATTTAGACTTATTGCAAGCGGATTACGCGGAGAAAGACGCGTTAGACGCGTTAGAGTTGAAGAGATATTGCTGCAGGAGGATGGTCATGTGTCACGTGGATTTGATCGAGAAATTGCTGAATTATAACACGCTGGAGAGACAAGAGTAACGGAGAGAAAGCGCCGCTCGAAAAGACACTTTGTACTACTATTATAGTATTATTACTACGACAACTACACGTATTATTATTACACCATACAAATGTTATTACTACTACTCTAAACTGCGACGACGAGCTTTTAGTATTATTCATCGATTTTCGCGAAACTCTTGTTTCGTGAGCGTTAATACTAAGAAGGAGAAGGAGCGGAACTTTTTTCCACCACCAAAAACGTTTTATTCTATTCTCTATTTGTTTTTACAAACCCCATTTCTGCTGGTCTTTTATGGAGGCGTCGTACGCTCTCTTTCCGGTTAACTTTTGCCCGGTTTTCGTGACGTACGTGCGCACGCCGGCGCCGGTCGTGTACCATCTCGCTTCTTGTTGATTATTCGCGCCGTTGTTATTTTTACTAGTATTGAACGGATTTTGCATTTGCGCGTCATACGCCTCTCTCTCCCCGATTGTCATGGGCACTTGCGTCTTCCTTTTCCCGTTTGAGTTAAATTGCGCCTGGTAATCGACAAACACGACTTCGTTATTCACCCTCGAGCCGAGGAAGAGTTCCGAGGCTGGAACGTAATGCGGAAGAAGTTTCCGCCACTCTTTGTTTTTGTTATTGTTATTATTAGTACTAGTATTCGCGTTCGGAAGCAAAGGAGGAGGAAGCTTTTGATTTTGCCATTGCTGATGCTCCCGATGCGTGTTGTACTCGCGAACCTCTAAAATTTCATCGTCGTCTATATCGTCTTCGATATCATCATCATCATCTTCGATATCATCATCATCATCATCATCATCTTCTCTTCCTCCTCCTCCTTTTCGTCTGGTCATCTCTTCTAACCCCGACGAAAAGAAGGCAAATTTGCCCCTTTTTCCCGTCGAAGGTTTCGCATTCTCCTTAAAGTTTCCTTCTTTTTCCTCCTCCTCCTCCTCTTCGACGTCCTCCTCTCCCGACGATGATTCAGACGGTGATGATGAAAACGACGACGAAGATTCCTCCTCGTCAAATCCTTCTTTCTTTCCTCCAAATCCAAATCCTCTTCCTCCCCCGCCAAACTCTCGCATCGCTCTCGATTTATCTCCCATGCCGAGAGATAACGATTCAGACAAAGACGATTCAGACATTTCCGACACCATTTTTATCTCATACTATATATATCAGACGTGTGAGAGGAAACGAGACGAACTTTTGTGTCAAGTGTCGAGTGTTTTTGAATTTTTTTTATAAAATCAATTTAGGGTTAAACCCTAATAATTTTCTGTGCTTATCTCCTCTCTCGACACGACGGATGGATCAAATTTTTTCTTCATTTTACACACGCGCGTATCTAGTATATCATCACAGCACCTCTTCTTTCTGTCCGCGTGAAGAAGAAACAACCTTAACTCGAGGATAACTGTTCGAGAGAGACAGAGATGATGATGATGTCAGGGACCACGATGAGTTCTTCTTCTCGTTCGTGTTCTTCTTCTTCTTCTTCATATACTAATGGAAGAAAGATTATCACCCAACAACAGAGGAAGCGATTCTTCAACAACAACAACAAAAACAACAAAGAAACGATGATAAAAGCCTCTTCTTCTGATCAAGATCCTTCAAAATCTATGGCGGATGATACCACACCGAACGTTTCCGTCGGTCCTTCGTGCTCGATCGACGAACCGGAAACGTGCTCGTTAGCGGATTTGGAGATTTTGTACGTGGATGCCCTCTGGAATTACTACAACGACGGCAAGTTTACGCTCTCGGACGGACAATACGATCGCATCCGGGAAGAACTCAATTGGCAAGGGTCTGGGTTTCCAACGTTAAGAAGAGACGAGATTCAGTTCGTACAAGCCGCGATGGCGTATTCTCGAGGGGAGAAGATCATGGGCGACGACGAGTACGAGGACTTGAAGAGGAAAATCAAAAACGAAGCCGGGAAGAGGAAGGACGTGACGGCGTTGCTTTTGTACACCAAAGGGCAGCAGCTGTTAGACGAGGCGCAGTTTGAACTCATGAGCGAAGAGATGATGAAACTTGGCATCGACGTTGGAATGAAAGGCGCCACGTGCACTTTATCCCAAACGCCGACGACGCTCGAAAACGACGCCTCGGCGGTGGCGAAGATGTACGCAGCGTTGGCGTTGGTTCCGTTTTTGGTCGGTTTAGCGCCGACGATTGTCTTTGACGTTCTCGGTTTGCACGTCCCGAATGGCTTAGCGTTAGGTTTCGCGACCACGTTAGCCGCCATCTTGACGTACAAATTAGCCGAGTACACGGAATTGAACAACGCGCAAATTTTAACCGGCCAGTGTCCGTGCTGCGAGGAACCGTTTAAGCAACTGTTTTCGGGTGAAAACGGCGGCGAGACAGAGATGGAACACAAGTGCAAAGTGTGTGGAACCACGTGCTCGCTGAACCGAGAGAAGAAGTTAATCGTGACCAGCGGACCGTTCGCTATTTAATTTTATGATTTCGATGCGTTTTATCGAGAACGAATACGAAGAGGATTAAAAAATGAAATGAAATGAACACACACACACACACACGCGCGAGAGAGAAAGAGAGACAGAAAACTTGAAATAAACGTTGTTTAAACTACTATTCACATCACGCGAACGTTATTGTCTACATCGTCCAGTCGCGCGTGTATTCTATATTTTGTTACGTGTGATTTGAGCAAAATTTTCCCGCCAAAATATCTTCACTTTTTATTCTCATCAAACACATCCTCATCGAACACTTCTTTCTCTGCGCTTTTGCGAAAGACTCTGAAAAGAGTAGCAGTGATAAGAGAGAGTAGTATTCGTGCCACGTTTCATACATGAGAAAGAGCGCGATGACGCTTTTCTTTCCGCTTTCTGGTCTTTCCAGCGGTACTCTTCACACCAAAAGCGCGCACGTCTGCGCTCGAGGAAGAGAATTTCATCATCCTTTCCCGTCGTCTCGTCGTTTACTTCGTTCTCGGTTCGCGAACCAGGAGAAGAGCAAAAGAGATATTGTGACGTCAGCGATATCGTCGTCATCTTTAGACGATATAAAAACGAAAGGGTGGGTGGTGTTCTCGGACGTACACGTCAGTCGAAAAACCAAAGATATTGCCTTGGAGACTTTGAAATTCGTCCACGCAATAGCTGCGAACGAAAACAGAGGCATCTTATTTCTCGGGGATTTTTGGCACCACCGAGGCGCGTTACCGGTGGAAACTCTGAACGAAATCATTCGAGAGCTCGCAAAGTGGACGCAACCGACGATCATGCTCGTCGGGAACCACGACCAGGTGAACGTAAATGGAAGCGTGCACGCGCTGGAGGTGTTGCGAATGTGTAATCCGGAGAAGATTTGCGTGTTCGATGAACCGAGAGTGTGGAGAGGCGCGATGTGGTTGCCGTATAGGAAAGATCAAGAGATGATGCGAAGAACTGTGGAGGAGTTGATGGAACGACATTCAAAGAAACGATCGAGTAACGTAGCAGTAGCGGTAGAAGAAGAAATTAAAACGGTGTTTTGCCACGCGGACGTGATGGGTGCGAACGTCAATCAAACGTTTCAAATGAGAAACGGGGTGGATTCGAAAGAAACGTTTAGCGAGGGCATCGAAAGTATCATTTCGGGACACTATCACAAGCCGCATTTCGTGGAGAGAGATTCGCGCGTGCGATACGTCGGGAGTCCGTATCAAATATCGCGAGCGGAGAAAAACCAAGAGAAACATCTGTTATTTTTAAACGATAAATGGCGAGATGAAAGTTTAACCGACGCGGACGTTTTGAAACGCTCGAAAATCGACATTGGACCGAGGTATTTTGACATCGACGAAACGATCGGCGAAAGCATCGAGACGATTGCGGGTGATTTGCGGGCGAACGATATCGTTCGGTGGACGATTCCGTTTGATTCCTCTTTGTCTGCTATGGAAGAAGAAGAAGAAGAGGAGGAAGAAGAAAAGAAGAAGAAATCAAAGAAGAAGAAGACGCTGTCGCGAAGCGTGCCAAAACGAGTCGAAAACGCGCGTCTGAAATACGGGTGTCAAATCGAAGTTCGACGACCTCCGGCGGAGTTGAAATCGACGATTGAGAACGCAGAATCGTTAAGTCCGGTGGATTTGTTCAGTTCGTACGCCAAGAGTATTCAGTTAACTGGAGACGCCAAGGCGTTTTGCGAAGAGATTATCGCAGAAGCCGTGTCGTCGAGAGAAAACGAAGACGGCAGCAAACTCGATACCGGCGACGATTCAAACAAACTCTCCACGTCTGCGCATCTTCGTAAAATCGAATTCGATGAAGTTGAAATCACTGGATTTGGCGCGTTCAAAGATGAAATCACGTATCCTCTCAACGACCGCGGCGTGGTGTGCGTCGTCGGCGATAATCGAGATGACTCTGGGTTTGCAGATTCCAACGGTGCCGGTAAAACGACGTTAGTCACCGCCGTCATGTGGGCGTTGACCGGTAAATCTGACGTTCGCTTAGATACCGGCTCGACGCAAAAATATTTAACCAACAAAGACGTCGTCAACGACGACTCGAGATCGGCTCGAGTTATCGTGCGCGGATCCTTGATCGACGATCGAGAGGGCGACGACGGCGGAAAGAAACCGTTCGTTATTGAAAGAGCAGTCACGCGAACCAAGTTATCGAAATTATCCTTCGTCGTAGACGATACGGACGAAACGAAATTAGACTCCAAGAAAACGCAGGAACACATGGATGAAATTATAGGCGCTTCGGTCTTGGCGCAGACGTGCTTTCACGGCCAACACACGATTGGAAGCTTACTCGAAGCCTCCGACGCGCAACTGAAAAACAGTTTCGGTTCCTTAGTCGAACAATCCGTCTGGCTCAGGTGTAAAAACAAGAGCAAGAAGATTCTGAAAGAACGACGCGAGAAATTGACCATCGCGAAAGCTGAATTGAAATCTCGCGAGAGTTACGTCCAACGAACGAAATCGAGATTTTTAGAAACCGAGAGAGAATATAACCGATGGAAGGAAACGTTCGAGGAAAAAGTGCGAGCGATTACGATCGAGAGAGAAGACGCGTTGGACGCGTTGGCGTTAGATCGAATGCGAAATGCGCGCAAGGCGGTGAAGGAAGTCAAAGATATCGAATCAGTCGCGAACGAAGCGTTGCGCCAAATTCTCGATATTAATACGAATCGAAACGAGTTTCTCGACGACGCCGAAGGTGTCTCCATTCAAAACAGAAAAGCAAAAGAAAACGAACAACGTCATCAACAACTCGATCGAGACGAACAGAACCTGTTGAAACTCTTCAACGACGCGCAACGCAACGAAGCCTCGTCGAGAGCGACGGCGGAGCAAGCGCACAAGAGCGCCGGTCAAGTGTTCAATCTCTCAAAACAGTCCGCAGCAGTGCATCAACACGCCATCGACAAAGAGACTTTAAAGTGCACGTTGTGTCACCAATCCATCGACCCGATTAAACAAAAAGAAACGTTCGAACAGTTAAAACGTGACGCGGAAGTCATGCGATTGAAACACGTCGCGGCGATTGAAGCTTTGAACGACTCGCGAGTCAAATTAGACCAGTTTCAATTATTTAAGAAATCCGAAATCGAGCGAATGTTGAACGAAGAAAGAGCGCTGCAGAATTTAAAGTTCGCTCGAGTTGAAAAAGAGAACAAGAAGATGATGTTGACGAACGAATTGAGACGGTTAGTTTCGTTACTGGTGAACGTTTCGGAACGGTTTTCTCAAATGCTGCCATACGTGCCCGAGGAAGTGTTGGCGTTGGAAAAGAGCTTTGGCGACGATGGCGACGCGTTGCGTTTAGAGAGAAGGAAAAGAAGAGAACAAGAACAAGAACAACAATCGACGAAGTACGCCGCTGCCCCTGCGGGTTTCTCGTCGGAACGGGGAGAGGCGTTATCAGGCATCGTTCCCGGATTGCTGGATTACCGGACGCCGTATACTTCGTCTTCTTCGCGAGGATACGCTTCCTCTCAAAACGACGAAAACAATCCTCCGGGTAAAAACGACGGTTTCATTCAGAACAACGTCGTCGTCGCGAATAACATCACATCGCTCGCGCAACTCCTCCACATCGACCACTCGTCCGGACTCCTCGCCGACGATGCTTCTTTACCTTCCTTTGCGAAAGCGGTGGAATCGAAAGTCGCCGCGGCGGAAACGCTCGTCGCCGGATGCGAGAAATCGTTGAGAGACTACGAGAGAATCAATCAAAAATACCAGCAAGACGTCAACACAAACGACGACGCGAGTTTCAACACCAACAATCCGCACTTTGAAGCGATGAGACAACTCCAAGAACAATTGACGGTAGAAACGGAAGCTTTGAACGATTTGAAGGAGAATTCGTACTCGAAGATTGAGTTCGATTTGAACACGGCGAAAATCGCGGATAAATGTTTCAGTCCGACGAGAGGCGTGTCGAATTATTTGTTTGAAAATGTTTTAGCGGAGGTTTCGGAGAGATGTCAAGAGTACGTGTTCGCGTTAACTGGCGGCGCGTTGAGTTTGCAACTGGTGAGTAGTAGTTCTTCTTTTTCGTCGTCCTCGGCGGCGGCGGATAACAATATCATCACGTATAACGATTCAGACGATGATTTCGACGACGACTCGATCGACGAAGTCGCAACAAAAACGACGCAGTTAGAAAAGATTGAGAGAGTCATATTCGCGCGTAAACAGCACTCCGGCGAGCAATACGAACGCTCTTTGCGACAACTTTCAGGCGGCGAACGACGGAGACTGGCCATCGGTTTAGCCTTGGCGTACGCCGACGTCTCCGCGCGCCGATTAAACGTGCAATCAAACTTATTGATACTGGACGAAGCGTTGCAACATTTGGATTCCGAAGGCATCGAAAGAGTCGTCTCGGTGTTGCGCGCGATTGAATCCGAATATAGTAGTAGCTCTTCGAGTGGCTGCGACGATGTGAATAACGTCCTCTTGAAGAAGACGGTTTTATTAACCACCCAAGCGGATTCAGAAACGGAGAAAATGTTTGACGGCGTCGACGCGGTCGTGAAGAACAAGAACCGCTCGGAAGTTTTAATCGGACGAGGCGAATAATATAGAATTTATTTTCATCGAAGAGTAGTTAAAGGCGTTAAAAGCGATGTGCGTGTGTGTATTATGTGTTGTTGTATATTTATACCTACTAGTACTAAAAGATTGTACCATAACGTACGTCTTCTAAATTTTAACCTTTACGTTGCATGTTCAGCAGCGCTTCTAACTCCCTCTTAATCTCCTCCTCGTCTTTTTCCTCCTCGTCGTCTTCGTTTTCGTGATGATGCGCGACGAACGGATGCGAAGTCTTGTTAAACGTCGTCCCTCGCTTCCTATCGTACGTACACTGCAACGATTTCCGTTGCGCTTCGAACAGTCTGCTTTTCAGGATTGTGTCGTCGTTTTCTCCTTTTAATTCTTCTTCTTTATTATCATCGCTACTGCTAAAGTTACTCCTACTCGTTTCCGTCGTCGTCGTTTCGAGAACAAACTCAACTCCCGTGGACTGTCTCGTATTCAACTCCAACCGTTCCAACCGTTCTTTAATCTCCTCCTCCGCGTACATTTTCCTCTTATTCATTAAATCCTCCTCTACTACTTCATCCTCTTCTGCGTCTGAATCGAAGAGTTCCGGCGGTGGTGAGGCCCAAGGGGTATCCGGTTCGTCGATGATATCTTTCGCCGATTTCGTGCGTTCGTTTTCTCGTAAATTGTCGTCGTCCCATTGGATGTGTTTTTTGTTCGGGTCTTTGTTCTTCATAAAGTTTTCGTTCGGGACGCCGAATAACGAGCCTCGCGGGACTGGCATTATTATTACGGTGTGTTCTGTTTCTCTCTTCTTTTTGTCTTCTTCTGTTCTTAACTTCTTAATGTAGTAACAGTAGTGAGGCACAAACTGACGCACAAAAATGTGAGGAAGCTGCGCCTTTTCCAATTTTGAGAGATTTTTATTTTAGGGTGTCCAACCCTAAGAGCTCAGTGAGCAAGAAAGAAGGCGACAAAAAGACGACAAAAAGACTCGTCACTTTTGTTTGCAAAAAGCGTCGTTTGGTCTCCCTCGTGGGGGTCGGATCTCTCTCTTAAACACAAAGACACGTCGTCGTCGTCGTTTGAAGACGCGTTATTATTATAATAATATAGTAGGAGTGTAGTGCTCTGCTACTGCCTTGGTATTCTTTAAGCTCTCTTATTACGCACGTATAATACACGCGTTCATCTTGGATAATATTATGATGACGACGAAAGGCATTTTAATGAGCGAGAAAAAGGAAAAGACGGCGAAAAGTCACCTTCGAGATGTTGAGAACAACAACAACAACAACAAAGACGATGAAGACGACAAAGAGGATTCGTTGATGAAAAACATCACCCTGAACGACCTGACAAAGTTAGCGTTGGACTCGGAATCCGAAGCCGCCAAGAAGTTTGGCTGCGGGACGACCAGGTTTAAGACGATGTGAGTAGTGTGATACGATGACCCTTATCCATTTCTTCTGTTTATTAATTTCTTTTACAACGAGTAGTGTGTCTGTTTACTATCTCTTCATCTCTCTTCATCTCTCTTCATCAAAACAGATGTCGAAAATTCGGAATCATTCGATGGCCGCACCGGAAGCTACACTCTCTCCTCGAGATGTATAAAAGCTTAGCCGGGTACTACCAGGTAAAAATTGATTTTGACTTTTCATTTTACTATTAGGTGGTTGACTTTTGCCTTTTTTCAATCAAAATCCTTTCGCGTAAACATACGAAAGCGCACGTAATACACTGACATCACTCCAACTCTAAAATCTAATAGGAACTGTGCGAAAAAGCAACTGCGGACCCCGAAAACGAATCCACGATGGAGGTCTTACAATCCACGAAAAAAGATCTCGACCGGTTGCGAGAATACGCGTTTCAAGTGGTGAGTGACTTTTGTCTTTTCAACACTCAAAATTCTTTTTTTGTCTGTGTGTGAAGAAAAACAGAAAAAAAGCGACCCTTCGACTTCCCCCTTTTTTTTTTCTTTTTTTCGAAAAAATAAAAGGGCGACACCGAATTTCGGCCAACTTTTTTCCGGTCAGCCAAAAAAGTTGGCCGAAATCGGTCAATTTTTTTAAATAAGATTTTTGAAGAATTTAGGGTAACAAAAAAGTTGGCCGAAATCGGTTAATTTTTTTTTTACAGCCTCCCCAAAAAACAGAAAATACCACCTTCAAAAGTGGTGCAGTTTTATAAGACTTTCATATTTGCGCTTGAAGTTCTTCGTATCAAAAGGCGTATTTATCCATAAAATTACGTCAGAAGGTTGGCAAACTATACGCGAAGGTCGTGCTCGATTATGGGAGCCGTAAAGTCTCTCCATGGTTGTCTCTCAAGTCTCAAGTCTCAAGTCTCTCCACGGCCCTAAAAAAAAAATTAACCGATTTCGGCCAACTTTTTGGGGTTTAGGGTTTCAAAAAGTTGGCCAAAATTAACCGATTTCGGCCAACTTTTATAGGGGCAAAATGGCAAAATTGACCGGAAAAAAGTTGGCCGAAATTCGGTGTTGCCGAAAATAAAAATTCTGACTTTTTTTCTTCTCTAAAAATTTAAGGAACGAAACGTCTTTTTGTTAAACGAATACCACCACTCGAAGCCGAAGAAAGCGAAACCGTGGCCGGAGGACATCTTGAGAATTCGAGCGACGATTTATAAACAAAGACACGTGCACTCGAAACATATTAAGAGGAAGAGCAAAAATTCGTCGTCGGCGTCTCAAAATCTTTTGGAGGAGGAAAAGGAGATGGCGCCGACGGCCAATCCGTGTTCGATGACTACGAGTATGACAACCACGAATAATATGAGCGCGAATAATGATACTACGTGTAACACGACGACGTACTCGTCCGAGGAGAGCGTGGAAATGTCCGGTGCTGATACTGCATTTAACCATCATCAAATGGTGGACGTGTCCTGCGGAACGAGAACGCTCACCAGCGACGCGGAGACGAACACGTATTTGAACAACTCGTACGCTTTTATCAACAACGAAATGTCGTCGGGGTACATCGAAAACGAGGACGATCATTGCGACGACGAAGATCAATACCAAACTCATCGCGGTCATCCATCGTTGCCACCGTCTTTTAAAAACACTAATACTAAGACGAAGATGATGTACACGACGACGTCGGCGGCGAACAGCGAGTACTCCTCCGGATACGGCGTTGACTTTTTCAACGTAACCGCTCCGACTTTCATCAATAACAACAACAACGAGAATGGACAAAATTCGGTAGGAGGAAGAAAGAGGAAGAAACCAACATCCTCTCTCAGCGCTGCTCTATCCAAACTCAGCAAAAGAGCGGCAGCAAATAATAATTTTAAGAAGGGAGGAGAAACGGAAGAAGAGCAGCCAACCGCGCTGGCCTTCTCGATGCCGCACATGTTAAACATGGACGCTATTTTCGGTATCGATGGAAGCGTCGAAAGAGACGACGAAGATACCGCGTTGAGTCCAAACAGTTATGGAATCACCGTCGCGTCCTTTAAAGAGACGAAGAGGATGTGAGATACTAATACAATACTGAATAATAAAGAATAATAAAGAATAATAAAGAATAATAAAGAATAATAAGAAGGAGACTAATAAAAGATACTCGAAAGAAGGAGACGCTTTGAGTTCCAAATTTTTCGCGCCGCATGATGCAAATATACCATCATTTAGCATAGCAAAGACATCACCCAAGCTAGCTCGTCGTAGCGCACGCATAGGACATCATTACGAGAAAAGGGAACAACAATAATATCATGGGCCTTGCTGTATCACATTTTTAATGACCATACTACTGTATATATTTTTTTATTGAAAATACTCGCGCAAAATCTCTCTCGTTCTAATGTGTTTCTTCTCTTTTTTTCTTTTCATTATTAAATTCGTATTAATAAAAAAGTTCTCCTTCTTCTTCAGTCTCTTAAATCAAAGGCACGACGGCGTCGGTTTGCCCGCCGCCTTCCTTCTTAATCCCGTCTTGCTGCGATGGTTGGGACGCCGGCGTTGCGTCTGAAGCTACTACTGTTGTTGGTTGCGGCGGGTACGTGTTGTACGACGCGTCTGTCGTATTCCCGTTACCCGCTCCTAATCCGGTACCATTCTCTTCCTGCTTTACCTGCACGCTAGGCCCTCCTCCTCCCATTACTGTTGCTAAATTTCCGCCACCACCACCCCCTTGTTGTTTTTGTTGCTCTTGTCCCAGCGCCGCGGCGGCGGCGGCGGCGGCAATCGCCGCCGCGTTGTTTCCGCCAGCGCTCCCATCTTCTCTCGGTACGATATCCACCAGGAAATCAAAAATATCCGTCCTCGTAATCGCGCTCGCGATGTCGTTTCTCTGCAACGTCCTCCTTTTGTTTTCCTCGGAATGAATCCAAGATCTCAAAGTTAACTCCAAGATGAACATCTCGCACGCTTTCGCGAACAACACCGGCGCCTCCGAGGAAATCATCCGCACGTCCTCGTCCGTTTTCATGATTTTCTTAATCCTTGCCAGTGGTAACTGATGGTTCTTAAAATCCGTCGCCGTTTCAACCTCGGTCATTTGTTGCTGCCAAAACAACCGCAACTGTTGTTGGTGTTGTTGTTGTAGTTGTTGCTGCAGCGGCGTTTGATGTTGCATCTGATTTTGCGGAGCTTGTTGTTGTTGTTGTTGTTGTTGCTGCTGCTGCTGCACTTGGGGAGGCGGAATGTGGTGATGCATTTGATGATGATACGGATGGTATTGCTGCGGAGGATACCCTCCGGGCGGTACCATTCCCCCTCCTCCGCCGCCGCCGCTCTGTTGATGTTGTTGTTGGCTACTGCTGTTATAGTTATAGTTATTATCTTTGTTGTTGTTGTTATTGCTCGCGTTGTTTGTGTTCAAGAATACGTTCCCGGCGGCAAAGTTCGAATCGCCTTGCGTTCCTTGTCCGTAGTGTTGTTGTTGTTGTTGTTGTCCTCCATACGGAGGAGGATGGAACGAATTGTGTTGCATTCCAGCGGCAGAGGACGTCGGGTTGAAACTTCCACTCGCGAGAACGATGGGCATCCCGTCTTGATCACCGTTAGTACCGTTACCACTCGCCGCGTTTGCTGTTTTGGCGAATCCTGAATCGCCTTTTGCCATCATTATATATTTGTTCTTAAACTTCTTAAACTTCTCGATTTCGTCTTTGGGGGGTTTGTTGTTCACCGCAGATATAATCGAGGTTAAAATCTGTTCCGAATGTCTCTTCTTTGTCTTCTTCTTAAAAAACTTACAGCCGATGCGGAAAACCACTTTCAGATAAGGAAAACGTTTATGGTGTGAGTATAAAGTCTCTGTCCGTGTGCTTTTATCCGTTCTCTTTCTGACGATGAGTGTACTATATATATACTACTACTCGAGACGAAATTGTACTTAAGAAAGAGAGAGAGAGAGAAATTTGTGGTGAAAATATCACAAGTGTTTTTCTTTGGGTTTTCCTCGTTGTTGTTCTTTTTTTTTATAACCAAATGCATTAGAGAAGGAGTTTTTATCATGAGAAGTGTTTGCGCGATACAATCTTTCGTTTATATATGCGCGTATGCGAAGCTTTGATTACTACAAATCAGTTTCCTGGATGATGTAATTCTCCGTGCTCGTCAATTCGCCAATTGCGTGGTATTGGACAGTTGTTGTCGAGGAGGTAGTGTACACATTTGAATTGCGCGTTATTTTTTGCCCATCTGAGTTGTGCGTTATCGAACGCTTTTCGTACGGCCCGAGAGGAGGTCCAACGCACTTTGGCGGTTTCGTGCAAGTACTTCAAACAGTCCAAGTGGCCGTTCTTGGCCGCATCCTCGCACGCCCATTCGGTAAATTCATCAAATTTACGCTTAACAAGATATTTGAGTATGTGGAGATGACCATTTGAAGCCGCCCAATGGGCAGTTCTCCGATCCCAAGGCGCTTTGGCTTTTTCGTGCAAGTATTTGAGGCACGCGAGATGACCTTTTAAGGCAGCATTTGCACACGCATACTCATCAATAGGACACTCATATCTCACGCAATACTTTACCATTTCTAGATTACCTTCTAATGCGGCCCTTCCAACAAGATATTCGAGTATGTGGAGATGACCATTTTCAGCCGCCATTGAGGCAGTACCCGAATCCCAAGGCGCTTTCGCTTCTTCGTGTAAGTATTTGAGGCACTCGAGATGACCGTTTTCGGCAGCATCTGAACACGCCCACTCATCGACAGGACACTCATTTGCAACGCAATACTTTACCATTTCCAGATTACCTTGACGTACGGCCGCATTAATCGTCCCTACATCCCAATCACAATTTTTCTCCTCTCGTATCCACTTGAGCAACTCGAGTTTATTCGTGTAAGCAACTTGCCAGCAGAAATATGGTTCGTCCATCCTTGGGCCGTACTGCCATACCAACTTACCCCACGGATAATGCTCCCACGCGACTTCCAAAGTCGATATCGACGACATCTCGTTCACTTTAAACCTGTTTTGTAACTCCCCCTTGTTGTAAGATGATCTCTTAATCAACTTTCTCGTTTCACCATTCACGTCGTGCAAGAATTTCACATCGGTTCCATTCAATTTCGGAAGAATGTGTTTAAAACAAATATCGTCGTTATTCACGATCAAATCCCACAACTCCAAACACGAATCATCTCTTTTTCTCTCCCCTCCTCCTATTCGTCTTTTCTTTTCATCGTGGTTTTGTCCTAACAAAGCTCCTCCTCTTTTGGTCCTCGTCTTTTCAGAAGACGAAGACATACTAAATAACTTATCTGTTCTCTCGTGTGTGTTTTTTGTGGTGATTTTTTTTTGCCTCGAAAACGCTTATTCGAATTGTTTTTCAATAAAAACACATGCACACATGCGCTTAATCATCAAAGCGTTTAATCATCATCATCATCATCATCTTTTTGATGTCTTCGAGAAAAGACTTTGAAAACGGACAGAAGAGGAGCGTTTCGAAAGGAAGGCAGCGAACAGCAGGTTGGGGTGTTCTTAAAAAATCTACAGCACTCTTCGTCGTCGTCTGTGTCGTTCTTTTTAAAGTCTCGTTCTTTTTAAAGAAATTCCACACGTTCTCGACGACGAGGCGTGATCACGACGCGAAGAAAAAAGAAAAGGACGACAACAACGTACCTCCGAGGAGAGCGTTGTCGACGGAGAGCAGCGGCAACAGCAACAACAGAGCTCGCGATTTGGGGATAAACGCGTTTCGTTTGAACACGTTTAATCTGGACGAGACCTTTCCCCGGAGATTTATATCGCCAAAAACGTCCAACGAAACCTCTTCCGTTGGAGAAGCAGAAAAAGAAAAAGAAGGAGAAGGAGAAGAGGAATCTCAGGAGTTTCTCGCGAAACTTATAGACGCGTTCATGAAGCAAAACTCAGCCTTGTACGATGCTAAAATGAAAGCTTTAGGTGGTGTGCGTTCATCGCTCGATGACGACGACGACGACGCGTTCGTCTCCTCTTCGTTTCCTTTGCAACGCTTGCGCCGGGTGGACGCGTGCGAGCCGAGGTGCGAGGGCGAGTTTCGACGCACGGGTGGGTTCGGGTTGCTGCCTCAGTTCTTCGCGAACGTGGCAGATCCGAATTGGGACAGTTTGGAAAACAGATTGAACGCGACGAGAGAAAACGCGAGAGAATTCTTCGCACATTTCGCAGAATTTTACGTCCAAGACGAGGACGAGGAAGACGAGGCGATGAAAACGGCGTTGAAGATTTTCAACGGGTTGGTCACCGCAAAAGATGATAGATTGCTGTATAACGGCATGAATAGTAATAACAACAACGTAATTTTAAGAGTATTAGCTGGAGAAGAGAGAGATGTGATTCGGAAAGCTATGTTAATGGGAAAAGAGATGTCTTAAAGAAGTGCGTTTCAAATTTTCAACTCTTTTTCTTCTATTCTTCTTCTTCTTCTCGTAAATACATCTCTCGTGTGAAAAATCGTTTTCGGCGCTCTCGCGAAAGTTTCTGCGCAATGCCAAGCAAACGACTTTTATTAATGATGTCTTTCGATTATTGATTTTGATTTCTTCGTAAATTAATTTTGGATGTTTCCTTACGCAGATCCGGGCGACGAGGACGATTTCTTCGCGCCTCTTCTTCCGCCGCGCGATCCTCTCGATCCTCTTTTAACCGGGGTTGCAGTTCCCGCAGCGAGTGTTTGCGCTGCATCGACACTACTTTTAGCTGCAATAGCGGTGTCATCTGTAGTGACGTAATCATCAGTTGCATTCGTTGGCGTTAGCGTTGTCGTCGTTGTCGTTGGATACACCGCGTTCGGATCGGCAACTTTGCTGATGCCCGTCAACAGACGTTGTAAACGCCTTCGCTCGCGGGAGGTAATTTGACCTCCTCCGGTTTTATTCTTCGGGTGCGGCGCGCCGCGTCCTCCGGTTGATTTATTGTACTTACCGCCACCAACGCTTTGAGCGTACATGTTGCCTCTTCCTCCCCTCAACCCTCTATCTCCTCTCGGCGACTGCTGTTGGCCGTGAAGGTGATACTGATGGTGTTGTTGCACTCCTCCAGCCTGCGTCGCGGATGCCAACGCCACTTGCTCTTGCATCGCGTGATACAAGAAATCCATATCGCTCATGTCAAACTGTTCCTCGTAGTCTCTTTGCATCTCAATGTACTGATTCTTGTCGTAATACGATTGACTTCCGCTTTGCGCGACGGATTGCATGTACATTTGGTATTGCTGTTCAATCGACAACGCGGAGGAGGATTGGTGAGGATGACTGCTATCGTAAGCCGCGTTGGAGTAACCTTCGCCCGGAAAGAAACTTGGCGCGTCGAGAACTTGATTAAATCGCGAAGATTTTGCTGTTGCTGCTGCTCCTGTGTGTTGCTGCTGCGCGTAGAGATAATTGTTATAATCGTCCCAATCTTCGCCGCCATTGTTCATGTTATACGAATCGTAAAGCGAATCGGAGGATCCAAATTCGTCGTCTAAGTCGTCCGGTAACGCCGAGGCGACGTCGAGATGTGCCGTCGAAGTCGGTGGCACAGACCGCGGGCGTTGTCCATACGCGAGATGTTGCTGATGTTGACCCCCGATCCATGCGTTGTGACTTCCAGCGGTCGCCGCGGCGGCATTCCACGCTCCTCCACCGATCGTGGTCGTGGTCGGAGTCGCCGTGGCCTCGTCGAGAGAGTCTAACCCAAACAACGGATCGTCGTTCGTGTTGCTCTGAGCAGGCAGTGTACTCGCAGTATCAGCAACAACGCCACCGTCGGTGTTGGCATTTACCATTGCATTCTTGGACGAACTCCAAACGCTCCCAAACGCGTTATCGACGGATAAAACCGGAGAGGCGATGCGCAGCGGCTCAATCTTTCCCGAGAGATACGCGCCTGACGCGCTTCGATCCATACCGATGTTGTTGTTGTATTTATCTTCGCCGCCGGCGTCTCTCTTGTTGTTATCAACCTCTTCCTTTTCTTCGTTGTCCAGGGACACCTCTAAGATATCCTTTTCCAGCTTTTCCGTCAACTTTTGTTGTTGCTCAAACTGCTGCTGTCGTCTCAACAATCGATGCGACGTGGATAAACTCGAGCTCGGTTTCTGCCTCAAAATGTTCTCCGAGTTTACTCCCGACGACGGGTCTTTCGAAAGCACCTTAACTACCGCGCCTGGTGGCATTGTCGTCGTCGTTGTCGCGCCTAAAGTTTGCTTTAACAATCTTCTCTCTTCCGCTTCTCGCACCCGTCTCCCGCCGCGCTTCTTTCTCGTTTTTAACAACTCTGCTCCTGTTTCTCCTTCTTCTTGTTGGTGTTGCTTCGCATGCGCGCGTTGCTGATGCAGTATCTGCTCGAACCGTTTATGCTGTTCTTGCTGCTGGTGCAACTGAATTTCGATGAGCTGTTGCGTCGTCAAGTGTTCTCGTCGCACCGACGGAGGCGCGATGCTGGTAGGATTCGGTGTAGGCGCCGCTGCTATTTCAGCCGCGGCGGCTACTGCTACTACTTGTTGTTGCTTCGAGTTTCCGACGAGCATTCGCAACGGATTCGCAGTGTTCGATGGCGGCGCAGTCGCTGGTGTCGACTTCCCGGCCCAAGTGGATGATTTTGAGGACAGTTTTTTCGCCTCCAACTCTCTCGCGACGCGTTCGATTTCATCTTCAAACTTCATTCGCGCTTCGTCCACGTAGTTCTTGTTGGCGTTGCTTTCTCCTCCTTCTCTGTCGTTGTTTGCGCCGCCGCCGCCGCTGTTCGTAGTATTACTGTTATTGGCATTGTTATTTAATGTCGCGTCGTTATCATTCCGTTTCATAATCGTCACGTTCCCGATGGAACTGTTTTGTTTCAAAAACGCGCTCGCGTCTTCGGCATTTTGTCGTCTTCCGTTGTCGTCTCGATTATGCTGCGATCTCCCATTATTCGATGTATTTCTAGAGCTTCTTTGCATGGTCATGTTTCCATCTTCATATCGTCCTCGGTCGTCGCTGGACATTTCAAACTTCCAGTGATGATCGGCATCTTCGGTGATGTTATTCGTACTACCGCTCTTATATGTATTCGCGGTAGTATTATTCGGATCCAACGAATCTCTCAAGCTTGGAAATTCTCTTCGCGTGACTTTCTCTTCCCTTCTGGAAACGACGTTCGTTTTCCCCAACAAACTCGGATCGTGTTCGTGAACTCGAACGACATTAGAATCTCCTCCTTTGCCGTCTCTGTTTTTTTCTCCGCCGACGCTTCCTCCCGCGATGACGTTTGTCCCCCACTGCGACGTCGACTGGATCGGTTTCACCTCCACAATTTTTACGAAATTTGTATCGTTTCCTCCCGCGCTACTCGATGTTTCTCCAGACGACGACTTTTGTTGCTCGACGCCGTTATTACCACCAGAAGACGAGGACTGCCCCCACCCTCCGCCGTTTTGTCTCAGTTTCGATACGATATCTTCGTCGTCTTTATTCTTACCTTCTCCGCCAATAGTATTACTACTACTGTTGTGGTAATTCGTCGTCGCAGCGCCAACGCTTATACCATGAGTATTTCCTTTATTAATCAAGCTGAGCTTTGGATCGTACCCGTTGTGTTCTTTCCTCATCGACGGTAACACGACTGGTTTCGGTACTTTCACTTTTGTGTTGTTTGATGACATCGTCCCCGTCAAAGTATTTTTAGTGCTAGTGTTGCTGGTAAAACTTCCTCCTCCCAATCCTTTGGAAAAGCCTAAGACTCCTTTTTCGCTTCCAAGAAGGATGTCTTTTTTCTATATAAATGTGATGAGGATAACGGAAAGAAGAGTTTAAGAAGAAAAGAAGATGATGATGGTCAGAAGAAGAGAATAAAAGTACTTCTATCGGCGGTATTGCGCGATGATGGTATGAGCAATACAGAGAGAGAAAAGGAGATATATATACAACATTTTGACGCAAATCGACTCCATTCAGAGAAGAGATGAATCCAATCCAATTCCACGGAGATCTTCTTTTCATTCTCACCTTTTTACCTCCTCCTAAGCCAGAGGAGGACATTCTTAATTGATTCTTCTGTTGTTTGAAACCACAAGAATTTTGGAGGAGAAAAGGAGAAAAGGAGGAGAAAGAGGAGGAGGAGGGAGGGAGAGACGGCTCTTCAACAAAGAAGAAAGACAAAACCTCTCTCTTCGTGTTTTTGGTCTAAAATTGTTCTGAAGAAGGAGTTTTAGGGCAAAATTTTTTTTCAAAGAAGAGAAAAGAGAGAAAAAATTCACAAAAGTAATGTAAAGTGTTTTGTTTGTGTCTCTCTCTTTTCTCTCTTTATTACACAAGGTTGCGGGCAGCTTTAGGACCTGTGCAATTATTCTGATTCTGATTCTGATTCTGATGCGTATAACTCTCCATTTTCGTACGACCAGTCTTCTGGGAGAGGACAGTTGTTGTCGAGGAGGTATTGTACACATTCGGGGTGTTCGTTCTCGTGCGCGTAGCGTACCGCCCTATAGTCCCAAGGCGCTTTGGCGGTTTCGTGTAAGTACTTCAAACAGTCCAAGTGGCCGTGCGTGGCTGCATTCGCACACGCCCATTCGTTATATTGATCATACTTACGCTCAACAAGATATTCGAGTATGTGGAGATGACCACTTTCAGCCGCCCATTCGGCAGTACCCGAAGTCCAAGGCACTTTGCCTTCTTCGTGTAAGTATTTGAGCATCTCGAGTTGACCTCCTATGGCAGCATATTCACACGCCATCTCATCAATAGGACACTCATTTGCAACGCAATACTTTACCATTTCCAGATTACCTTGATATGCGGCCGCATCAATCGTCCTATCATCCCACTCACACTTTTTCTCCTCTCGCGCCCACTTGAGCAACTCGAGTTTATTCGTTTTAGCAACTTCCGAGCAGAAATATGTTTCGGTCCAGTGTCTCGGCCACAACGATTTCTTCTTCCTATTCTTCCACGCGACTTCCAACGTCGATATCGACGACATCTCGTGCACTTTAAACTTCTCTTTCAAATCACCCGCGCGAGATGATCTCTTCACCAACGCTCTCGTCTCCGTATTCACCTCGTACAAGAATTTGATATCATTCGAATTCAATCTCGGAAGAATATGAATGAAAGTTATATCGTCGTTATTCACGATCAAATCCCACAAATCTCTCTCGCCCACCCGCCTTTTCTGCGCCCTCGTCCTCACCCCAAGAGTATAAGCAGTAGCAACAGAAGAAGACATGATGCTTTTGTATCGTTTTCTGCTCTTCTGATGAATCAAAGCTTTCTCTTCTTTACTAAACGCGAATAAATGCGATTTCTTTTTTTTTTGAAGGAAAGTAAAAGCGACCGTTTCCTCGAATTTTATCTTCGTTTCATCAGACACAAAAAGTCACCTTAAAACGGGATAAAGGATTCCACATCTTCATCACACTTAAGCTCATACTATTTATCATTAGTAGTAGTATTAGTAGTAGTATGATGATGATGCGAACAACGACGATCAGTCCTGTTTCGATCAGGAGTAGTTTTAGTTATAGGAGGAGGAGCAGGAGGAGGAGTCTCGCATCTTCATCATCATCATCATCAGCATCATCAGCATCATATCATCATCAACAACAACAAAGAAGAAATATAACATTAAAATCAGCCGGCGATGGCATCGACGGAGTCATCTCGGACGACGATAAAATCATCGTTCGGTTTTGGCACCATTTTGGATCGAGCAAAAAATGCGCGGAGAAAAGGTCGTCGTCGTCTGATGAATCGTCTCATTTGTTTAGAAATCCAACGTTACTCGAAGCCAAAGTAAGACGGTTGCACGCGTTTCTAGGGTACAACGTAGACATTCCAATGACCGTCTCGAACGTGCCGGAAATTTTAGAACTAGACGCAGAACTCGTGTGCAAACGATTGATGTTTTTGTTTAAAGTCATACCGGAGTTTAACGGATCGAAAGTGAGCAAACACGCGTCGTTGTTGACGCTCGAGAAGGAGGAGGTGGAGAGACGCGTGCGAGCGGTGGTGCAGTTGGAGGAGAAGAAATGGGTAGGCGGTGGCGTGGACGTGGAGTACGCGAAAGAATGCGCGAAGGAGAGGATGGTGAGGAACCCGTCCGTGTTGTTGCTAGATTCGGTGACGGCGCAGTGTAACGCGGAGGAAAAGATTGTTCAGCATCGGTGAATTGATGAGATTAGGGGTTGCGTTGCGCGCGCGACGATGGTCATTTTTGTATTTGTAAATGTAGTAATTTATTAAGAATCGAACAGGCGTAACTTTCCAGTCACGCGATCTAACACTTCGTTCTCGCACGGTCCTATCGCCATGACCGTTTCTGTGCCGTGCGCCACCTCCGTCCTTCCGGCGTCTTCGACGACAAAGTACGGGATGCGTTTCATGCTACAACTCGCTCTTAAATCCTCCAACATTTCCACATTCGCGATGGACAAACATACTTTCTTTTGCCCTTCCTCGATCCACGTTTTGAGATTTTTCTGAACGGTTGGGTGTGAGCGATACTCTTCGCTTATTAACCGTTGGAATAACCCAACCGCGGCGTGCGAACACTGCGCGGCGACTTTCCCGGAACTCATGTTCAAATCTTCGCGAACGAGCAACACCATTTTTTGCTCTTTCGCGTTCGCTTTCATCTTCGGTTCTATTTTGTTCCCTTTGGAGTCAAACGTGAAATCTGGATCCGCGTCGTCCGGAAGTTCCGTGATTTTCGCTCTCGTTTGTAACAATGGTTTCTTCTTTCTCTTCTTCTTCTTCTCTTCTTCTTCCTTCTTCTTCGTCTCCGCTTCGTCTGCGTTTTGCCAAAACCTTAAGCCATACCCCAAAACAAATCCAAACGCAATAAACCGTACTCTTCGTCCAAAAAACAAACCAACGACGCCGTTATTGTATCGAATCTTATTCAGAAATGTCATCTTCGTTCGATACTTTGGTTTATGTTTCACTCTCGTCTCCTTCAACTGGTTTGGTTTTTCTTTCTTGTTTCCCAACGGCGACGCCGCAGTTTGGATGCGTTCTTTTGTGATTTGGTCCACGTTTGATTGAGACACCATCTCTTTCTTCTTCTTTTGTTTTTATTATGTGCTCTATAAAAATATATGTTATGCTTTTCTTTGCGATGCGCGTGATGACGATGACGATGCTGTGTGTTGTTCTCGTCGCGCGTGTGCGCGTGCGTGAGTTGTGAGTGAGTTGTGTTTCATTACAAAGACAGAAATTCTCTATTTTTTCCTCGATCTGTTGTGCTCGAAATTTCCCCTGGCTATTACTTAGTGCCAGCGACGTGTGTGCTTTTTCAAACTTTCAGATCGACTAAAACGCTTCTCGCAGACGGCACATGCGTACGGCTTCTCGTTCGTGTGAATACGCTTGTGGATTTTCAAAGCATTAGAATGACGAAAAGCTTTATCGCACACATCACACTCGTACGGCTTCTCGTTCGTGTGAATACGCATGTGGCTTCTCAAATCACTAGATTGACGAAAACGCTTCTCGCACACATCGCACTCGTACGGTTTTTCGTTCGTGTGAATGCGCATGTGGCTTTGCAAAGTACCAGATTCACGAAAACGCTTCTCGCACACATCACACTCGTACGGCCTCTCGTTCGTGTGAATACGCATGTGGGTTTGCAAATGACCATATTGACGAAAAGCTTTATCGCAAACATCACATTCATACGGTTTCTCGTTCGTGTGAATACGCATGTGGTCTCTCAAACTATCAGCTCGACTAAAACGCTTCTCACACACATCGCATTCATACGGTTTCTCGTTCGTGTGAATACGCATGTGTGTAGCCAATAGTGATGGTGTAGTACACATTCTCCCGCAAACACCGCACTCGTGTTGCCCTCTCTTTCTCTTCGCCGCTTTCTTCGTCGCAGTCGTCATTTCTTTTCGTATAATCTCATCTTGTATCTCGACTTCCCCAACGACTTCATCATCATCGTCGTCCACAACAGGAGGAGGAATCTTCAAACACAACACCTTTGGTTCTTCTTTCTCTTCCTTCAAAACCGTCCTCGCATTTTCCGCTCTTTTCGGATGTGGATTTTTCCTTCGTCCTCCCATTATTACTTTTAGTATTATCTTTAGAAGAAGAGTTAATGATAAACGAGTTTTTATGCGTGAGACGAAGAATGAAGGAATTTCTAGGAATTTTTTTACAATTGTCTGTTCTAGAAAAAGAACGCTCTCTCCTGCGCTCTCAGATCTGCAATAAGACTAATAGTATTATTATTCAAAGACATTCTCGCGATCGATTTCGGTGACGTTCGCATTCTCCACTCCACCGTTTGTATTAGCTCCACCAGAAGTTTTCAAATCTTGGTCGTCCGCGGAGGCGAAATCGAGAAAGTGCGTCGGTCGGTGACTCTCGTGGTAATACTCCTTTGGATTGGCCAACTTTAACGCGTATTTCATACTCGCCGAATGTTTCACGCCCATGAAGTTGTAATTCCAAGGTTGGCCATCTGGGACCATGTAATAGCCGTAAAAACGATCGGATAAAAGCATTTGGACTTTTTCGTAGTGCGAAGGATGGTAGCCTTGCGGGTTGCCGACGTTTTGGTCTTTTTGTTGTCTTCCCCACTCGTAGCCTTTTGGAGTGAGTTTGTACGCCGTCAACGAACACGAACCGGGAGTGAAGGAACACGTGACCACGATGGCTTTTTCGCCGTCCCAGGAGGAGTTCTTCTCCAAGATTTGCGCGTGTTTGGCGCAATCCTGCGGCGGCAAGTGTGGCGTTTCGTTCGGTTGCGTGTGTATCCACCCTAACGGTTCCAAATCTCTCAAATACTCGTGATCGGGTGACTGCGTAGGTAAATGCGTCGTCGCGTGATTGCCCCACTGCGGCGGTATAACCACGCAACGAATTTCCTTCACGTTCGGGTTGTCCGGAGGAGAGACGCCGTATAAGTAGCCGCTGATTTGCGTGCGCAAATCCGCAATGGTGATGAACTTCTTCAAAACGTTCTTCGGGACGACGTACGTGTACCCAGTCTCTTTGATGTCTTCCGAGTTGACGTAAATATGGTTCACGCGCAAGTGTAAATTCGACGCTGAAATCGCGCGAACTCTCCAATCGGTTTTCGAACCAAACGTAGATTGCTCGTACGGAGACGTCGTTGTAACAATCAACTCGTCCCCGTGCACGTTGGTCGTTTTCGTCGTCACCGCTTGCAACTGCGCCGCGTCCTCGTTCGCAGCTTGCTTCTCAATCTCCGCGATTTGTTGGCGTTGCAACGAAGGCGGGGTGATTTCGGCGCCCAAGATGATGTCGCGGATTTCCGATTGCGTCAACGCGGAGACGTTGACGTTGTTCTTCTTCGCGTAATCGCCCAAGATTAAGTCTTTGAGAGCGATTTCCACTTTAATCCACTGTTCGTCCGTCAAATCTGGCCACACGTGGTGCGGCTGCGTGATGATCGTTTTGTCCGGCTTCAACAACATCTTAGTCTTGTCGTTGTTCACGTGCAACGCTCTCAAGATTAATATCAATCGAGAGAACGCGGTGTACGAACTGATAGATTTCAACCAATCGTCGTAGATGTTGAATAAAACCATCTGCGGCTCGGTCGCTTTCAAAATCAAATCGCCAAATTTTTCGATTTTCATGCACGCTTGAAACGGCATTTGCAACTCGCTTCCTTTGATGACAATGTTCGGAAAATCTAACAAGTGCACTTCCAGAGGATCTAACATGCCTTTTCTGGTCACGATGATTTGTTTCGGTTGCTCTTCGACCGGTAGAGATCGAACTAATGCCGCAACTTCCTCCGCGGTTTTCCATTTAGCCAACTGCCCTAAACGCTTCTGACCGGCCCACACGGACGTGTGAATGACTTTCAAAAAGAGTTGACCTGTTCTCGGGTTGAAGATAAATATGGCACCGTTGATTGGTTTCGTCGTCAAGTTCCCTTCAAACGTCTTATGAATCGTGACTCGGTAGACGTTCGTATCGTCGATGAACCAAATGCATTGATTTGAAAACAACTCGCCGTAATTCTGAGAGTTCAAATACGGCTCCGTCGGTTCCGAGGAATACAACTGTAAGCCTTTTCTTACGCGCTCGCGGAGCACATACAACGCCGGATTCGCCTTCATGATCTTCGCCATAGCTTGTTGAATCAATGGTTTTGATCCCGGAAACCAGTTACCATACGCAGCGTGTAAGTTATACGCCAAATCGACGCCAATCATCACGCCCGTAGGTGACGGGTAAATGGACATGTTGTCCGTCGTGTAATCGAGAAACTTCGCGCGGGTGTATCGTTCGATATCGTGAGAATCAAAGTCGCCCCACCTCAACTGGACGTCCAACCAAAACTTATTCGACGACTTTTGATCAAACTGGTCGTTCACGTCGCCCATTAAGGACGGTTTGGAGATTTGCCACTTATACGACGCAAAGAGTAAAATGTCCGCGCACGACGAATTCATTTTGTACGACTTTCTCGGATGGATCGTTTCTTTTTGCACGGTTTCAATCTCTAAAGCGTCCAACTCTTGATCGAACACTTGACATAGGTCCATGACCAACGATTCATGTATCTTCTGCCACAAGTGCGCTCGGAAGATCTGAACCAAAGAAATTTTTAAAGTTGGAATTTTGCCGTGCATGAAAATTCCAGTCAAATCCAACTGCACTTGGAATCCGACGTAGACGTTCGCTCGGTTAATCGTCGGAGACCACCACAATGTGAAACGACGGTTTGGAATTTGGTTCAAACCAGACCTTTGTGCGTTGGTGAGCTTCTTGAACTTCATCGAGTCTTCGAAACCAGACGCTTTTTCCCAAAATAGACCTTCCCATGTCGGGAAATACGTGCCTTTGAACAGCGTGTGTTCCAAAATACCTTCTACGCCGCCCAAGGCTTGAATGACATCCGTGCGATAATTGTTCAAGTTCCACAGTTTGCCGTCGTGTCTTTGATGCGTCCACCAGAACTGGTTAATCTTCATCAAATGGTTCTCTTTAAAGTGCGCGCGAACTCGCCACCCTTTATCGTACGCTAACGTGTGCCGATCTTTTTGAAACAACGTATTGATTCTCGGAATGCCGCGATCCCAAGAGTCTTCTAAATCTTCCAGCGTCAATCTTCGATTTTGCGCTTGAGCTTCTTGCCTCTTCAACGCGTATTCAGCCCAAACGCGTTGCGAATCCGTAAATTCAGCTTCCCAAGGTTGCAGATATCTGTAGAGGTTCGGAATCAACTGATCTTCCTCGTGCGACATGCCCGAACGGAAGTGCGTGACGCCTGAATCGGTTTGGACAGAATATCGTAAATCCGATTGCGGGATCAAAATGTGACCCATAGAGAGCATTCCTAACCCACCAATCTCTTTAGGTGAATAGAAGACGACTGGGGGAAACCTCGAAGGCATCTTTGAGTTCAAGCCAATCTTGATTCGAGTTTGAATTTTGTTCTCGCATTTGACCAATAAGTCCAAAAGTTCTTGCGTATGCACCACAGCTTCTCGATAGTACGTCATCAACGAAATCAACGCCGTGTTCCATTTATTCGCAATCTTGGAGAACGTCGTCGCCCCGGAGGACATCAAGACTTGTCGAATTCTGTTCTCGAACGCTTTCAAACCTTCGTCGTCGACTCGCAAAAACGCTTGCGCTGTTCTTTCCTTCGTCTCCTCGTTTTGCAAGTTCCACACGCCATCTTTTTGTGCAAAATACTCGGTTTGCATGCGAATCTTTGGCATTAATCTCACTTCGAATCCGCACATGTTAAACAGTAAGTTCGGATTGTCTTTTGAAAACACAGAGCAGAACCCGTTGTCCCACTCCAACGTCGTCAACGATCGCGGCAAACGATTCTTCATGTCCCAAAACACCGCTCGTCCCAAGTTTACGTCGTGCTTCATCAAGCGCATCCTCGAGTCTCTCGGCCAACACTTTTTGTTGTTATATCCTACCATGTTCTCGTTGTTCGGATCGGGATGTTCGGTGAGATATCTTTGAATCAAGTCCTTCGCCTCTTCCGCGGTGAAGCGGAACAAGATGTGAAGCTTATCGATGTATCGAGAGTATAAACGAATCGGATGTCTGGTCTCCGTTCGAACGTCTCGGTAACTAATAAACTCGTTCGGCATTTGCGGTGGACCAGCAATTTCCGACGCTCGAGTCAAACCTAACACCAACAAATCTAAAACCAGACCATAATACTGCGTCAAAAACGAGGCAAACTGTAACCCGCGAATCATCCCGTAAGAGTTCGTATGCGACATGTCTTTATACGCAATGATTACGTTATTCTTCGCGGTGCAGTAATCGGCAATATTATGATCGACAATCAATCGCAACAAGCGGTTCAACATGGTCAAATCGACTTTTTCGAACATTCGTTCAAATTTCGTTTGCAACATCACGACGCATTCGCCTTCGCTCGTGTCCCAGATATCGGTCAAGTTGTTGATGCCTTGACACCACTTATACACCAACAAAGGAGGCGGCTCTGTATCAGATGGTTTAATCCAGTTCGGGAACAAGTGCCTCTTATCGGACTCGTACCAAATGTACTGATCCAGATACGCATCCGTGATCTTCTCCAAAGGTTCAATCGCGTACACCGGAATCAAGTGCGAATACATGTCCATAAACTCCATGTTGCACTCTTTAAACGCTCTTTGTGTTAGCAAATGTCGTTTAATTCTCGATAAAGCTTCATGCGGGTTATCGAACGCTTGCTCGATTAAACCCAACTCTTCCCTCTCTTGTTGATTCAAACGAACGGCTAAGGAATAATTTTCCTTCAATCGTTCGAGAGCTAAAATCAACAACTTGCGATCGTGTTTATACGACAACGGAGGGAACGGGATCGGCGAGAACTTTCGGGATTCCAACCAGTGCACGGTGGTGGTGTAAATCGCCACGGCTTCTTCTGGCGTCACGTATGGTCCATCCTTCAAGTAATTGTGTTGACGTTCGTGCTCTGCTTTTAACCACAAGCGGGTCAATCGGCCTAAATTTTTCCTACAGACGGTTTTGTCCACCGTCGCGCCGCGGCGAATCCGTTCGCGATTATAATGCGCAACGTTCGTCCACCAATCGGCTTTAGACTTCACGTATCGTAAAATCATGTTTTCGATCGGAACTGGCATGCCCGGGACTTTCCAGGGGATGTTCGCTTTGAAACTTCGCCAGGCTTCGGAAAGATGCGCTAAAATCGTTCTCGCTTTGTTCTGCTTCACGCCTTCCGGCATGCTATCGAGAATGTCGTGCATGACAGCTGCTCGTAACTCTAGATCAAAATGAGACTCAATTCTTTGTTTCGTGACAGTTTTCGCGATGCCTTTGGCATTTCTACCTTCGAACTGTCTAGCTAACAAGTTACCCAACCATCGTTCGAGAAGCGGGACGATGCCGCGTAAAAAGAAAATCCAGACCCGCCACATGGGCGCCCAGAAACCAACGCCTGGGCCTTTCCCGACCGGTCCGGTGTTGAAACGATAGTATATCAGGTGCTTTAAATCCTTGCACGTTCTTATTTGGCGCATCAGACGATATTTGTATCGGTACATCCCAGTCAACTGTCCAACGTGCGAGAAAATGTATTGCAAACCATCCGCCAATTGAAACGCGTCCACGTTACCTAATCGATACTGGACGTTCGCGTCTACGGTAAGCTTCGTCAAACGTAAAATCTCGCGCATTAAGTGGAACGCGTTCCCGAATCGAGACTTCTTACGTTCTTTTGTCGTCAACGTCTTCACCGGTTTCAAGTTGAAGTTATAATCCAAGTGCAAATAGTTCAAGTTCTTGCGATGGATCAACAAGTTCAACATGTTGTAGCCTTGTCTGCAGACTTGCAAACCGGCTTCGACCCAATCTAACTCGGTGCACTGGAAAAACTTTGTCTTTTTCAAAGCTTTGAACAGAGATTTACGTTTCACTTGCCTCGGTGGTTTCTTGTGTAATTGGTTCATGACGTATGTCTTGAGCAACTTTTGATAGGAAACGCGCACTTTGACCGGGTATCCACTCGGGCAATGCTCGTGAAACCAAGTGTTGACGAGCGGAACGTCGATGCACGATCGCGTGTATCCCGAACGCAAGTTAAACGGCCGAGGTGCGAACAATAACGCGATACCGTTCGTCGTGTTTTCCGTGTACAAATCGTAATCTTTCAACAACGGCTCGACTTCCTCGGGCAAGGCGAAATCGTCGTCTTCGCTCCAATCCTCTTCTTCTTCTTCTTCTTCTTTCTTCTTTTCGCTGCTACTACTTTTATAAAACGCGATTGGATGAATCAAAGGATCGAAATAATATGCCGGCAAATCTGGATCTTCGGTTTTGATGTACATCACCATCGGTGAATGGTACGTCGCCAAATCTACCCTACGCGGTCGGTTGTTGTACAAGTACGGAAACGCAACTTTATACTCCGTTCGAATCGCCGATCTAATGATTAACTTGTTAATATCGTTAAACTCGTTCCAGTCTTCGTCCGCCGCGTCGCTATCTTTGAATAACGGTTCAAACTTTGGACCTCCCGGGATGGCCATCCCTAACGCTTTCGCCGTGAAGAAGGATTTGTGATCGAACAAGTAAAAATAATTTTTGTCCGTCAAGTCGCTCAATAACTGACCGGCTAAACGATACAGCGTCGCCATTTCCGGTAAAGGCAACCGCCATTTTTTGTAGGAACTCCCGTTGACGAAATCCAAGTCCCATCGCAACGGCTTTTGGTCGTAAAACCATTCGCACACGTGTCGATCTTCGTCGTCTTCGTCCAACTCTAAATTGATCGCCTCCAACGGGTCCACGTCCAACAAGTTATCCTGGTAATCTAAAGGCGGTTCTTCGTCGTCAAACGGCGGGAATCGCATGCGTTTAAAATGTCGTCGGTCTCTCTTTTCCCTTCTCATGGCAATCCACATGGTCCCCCACTGCGCGATGTAAATAGGTTCAATCACCCTCGGCGTTTCGTTGACGAAAGTAATCGCGCCGGTGATGTGGTAAATCACCTCGCAATGTCTCACTTGTTCCCACGGCATGGGCATATTTTCCAACAACTTATACACCGCGTGCGGGATAAACTTCAAAGCGCCTAAATATACTCTCTTATCCGACCGAAACTTTCTCGAAGACATGTCGCCGTGGTCTTTCAAGATTTTCCTTACGTGTTCCGGCGGCATCTGTTCTTTCTCCGGTTCCGTGTACCCAAACTTCCTCTTGTCCGAGTACCGTTTCGCGTTCAGGTTTTGCCATTTCCGAGCTGTGTTTATGAGAATGCACGTAACGTGAGGTCAGTTTTGACGACGACGATTGATGATGATGTCGATCATTCGCTCGATGATAAAAACACTTTTACGAAAACAAAAGTTTAGAGAGAGAGATGAAAAAACAAATTTTTCTCTTCTTCTTCTTCTTCTTTGTCTGTCGTTTTACGTTTTACGTCGATCGACAACCAAAAACGAAAGAAGACAGACAGACATTCTTTCTTCTTCTTCTTCTTCTCTCTTTCTTCCGCGTACACACGAGAGGACTTTTACCAGAAGAAGAAGTCAAGAAGACAAACAGAAGAAGATGCTTTTCGCACGAAGCCGTCTTAACGTGTTATTCTCAAAGTTCCTTCGAGCTCAGAAGAGAGCGTTCGAATTTCGTTTCGCCCAAAAGTGTTGGTGTCCGTTGTTTTCGCTCTCAAGAAAGATCGCCGCCTTTCCTTTCGTCGGTCCTCGAATGTGATGAGAGAGAAAGAAGAAGAACACACGCGCGCGCGTCGTGAAAAAATAAGAATATGTGCAATCGTACCTCTCTCGGCGATGATCTCGTCGTCGTCGTCTGAATCAACGTCCATCGTGGCCGTCATTATGTGATCCGAGAGTAGTAATAGAGGTGTAAGAGTCTTCCTCTTCGTCTCTCTCTTCTCTTCTGCCGAAGAACGTTTTTTGCGTCGTCCAGTGTCTCTTTTTGGGTGTTTAGGGTATCAAAATTCGTTTTGGGAATTTTTCTCTCTTTCCTCTCTTGCCTTTTTATTCAGTTGTTTTGTGTCATTCGTTAGAGTAGTAAACACACACAGACAAAACACAGATAGAATGAGACGACGTTTTCAATCCTTTCCCTCCTTTACTGCTTTTAAAAAAACTGCTCTCTTTCTCTTCTTTTTTCTCTTCTTCTTCGCGTCCTCTTTTTCCTCCTTAAACTCGGTGGAAGCAGCAGCATCCTCAAAAAAAGCATCCTCAAAAGGAGAAGAAAAAGTGCTCTTTGGACGCCATAAAAAATGGTCGAAACCGTGCGTGGCGTGCACGAGGGAGAAAGGCGCCTGGTGCGATAACGGGAGAGATGGATTCAGAGGGTGCATTGAAAAGCCAAACTTTTTGAACACGCTGATGTGTAAACGCGTCGTCCGGTGCAAGAAAGGGTGCACGCCTCTCAGGGACATGATGGAAAGTTTTTGCAAGAAACACGACGGGATTTGTAGCAAATACGACCTGGTGAAACGAGCGCTGATTGGCGGCGATAAAAAGAAGAAGTAATATATAGAAGGAGTTGAGAAAAGAGCAGAAGAAAGAGAGAGAGACTCAAGAGAGACTCGTTAATATTGATATATAATATAATATTCGTTATCTTTACTACACGTTGTGGTACATTCGACACGACGCGTTTGTTTTATTAAAAATTTCGTACTCTTTCTTATGTGTTTCTCGCTCGCTCGCTCGCTTTTTTGCTCTCGCCGCTTTCATCTCAACGATGATAATAAGTCTCTCGATTAATCGTCATAATAGCATAAAGAAGGATTACGGCACAACGCACGGCTTGATGTCCCAGATTTCCTTGGCGTATTGGTCGATGGTTCTGTCCGAGTTGAACTTACCCGAGGTCGCCGTGGACAAGATGGAAGACTCGGTCCAGCCCTCTTGGTTTCTGTAAGCCTCGTCAACCTCATCTTGGCACTCGATGTAAGATTGGAAATCCTTACCGACCAAGAAGTAATCGCCTTGGCCGAAACCAGAGTTACCTTCCAAAGAACCCAAGAGTTCTTCGAATTCGCCCTTTTTACCGAACGCGCCCGATCGGACGTACTCGATGGTATCCAAGAAGGTCTTCGGCGCTACGAATTTCCCGGCGGCTCTTTCCTCTCTCGCCGGTTCGACTTCGTCTTCGGTGATACCGAACAAAAAAAAGTGGTCGTCGCCGACGCACTCACGGATTTCGACGTTCGCACCGTCCAAAGTACCGATGATCAAGCAGCCGTTCATTTGAAACTTCATGTTCGAGGTACCCGAAGCTTCCGTACCGGCGGTGGAGATGTGTTGGGACAACTCCGAGGCCGGGATCAAGGTTTCCGCGACGGAAACGTTGTAATCCGGGACGAAGACAACCTTCATCAAGTCCCCGATTTCCGGATCGTTGTTGACGACTTCCCCGACCGCGGTGACCAAACGAACGATTCTCTTCGCTTGGATGTACGTGGCGTACGCTTTGCCGCCAAAGACACACACTCTCGGAACAACCTTCGCTCTTTCCTCCTTGGACATAGCTTTGATTTGTCTGTATCTGTAGATGATGCCGAGAATGTTCAACAATTGTCTCTTGTATTCGTGGATTCTCTTGACTTGGATGTCAAACATGGCGTTGATCGGGACGTCGATACCGGTAGTCTTCTTGATGTAGTCTTTGCAAATCTGTTTGCGCGCGAGCTTGGCCTCCTTCCACTCTTTTTGCAATTCAGGGTTCTTCGCGTTGTCCATCAACTTACGCAAAACTTCGGTGTCCGTGATCCAGGCGTCGGTGTTTCCGACCCATTTCGTGATGACTTTGCTCAACTCCGGGTTGCAAAAGGCCAACCATCTTCTCGGCGTGACGCCGTTGGTTTTGTTTTGGAACTTGTAGCCGTAGATTTCCGCAAACTCTTTGAACGTGAACGCTTTGACGATATCGGAGTGAATTTGCGCGACGCCGTTGATGGACAAACCGGCGATGCAGCACAAGTTGGCCATTCTGACCGTCGCTGGCGGCGCTTCGGCTTTTTCCATGGTATCGCCCATCTTTGGTCCGCCGACGGAATCCGCGTAGACGTTTTCCAAAATCGTCGTCGCTTTTAAGAACGCGGCCATTTCCTTGTCATCTTTCTTGCCCTTGAACGCTTCCTTGACATCGTTCATGAACTTTTGATCGATTTGCCTAATGATTTGCATGTGTCTCGGGAGCAATTCTTCCATCAAGTCCAACGGCCACTTCTCCAACGCTTCCGGCATGACCGTATGGTTGGTGTACGCAACAGTTTTCTTCGTTATCTCCCACGACTTTTCCCAAGTTAAACCTTCCTCGTCGATCAACAAGCGCATCAATTCCGGCGCAGCTAACGTCGGGTGCGTGTCGTTCATTTGTACGCACACTTTTTCCGGCAACTTTTCCCAATCCGTGTTACCTCGCTCTTTCCATCTCGCCAAGATGTCTTGCACCGACGCCGAACACAACATGTATTGCTGCGACAAACGCAAGGCTTTGCCTTCCTTGGTGGCATCGCCCGGGTATAACACCGCCATCATTTGTTGCGCCAAGTTGGTCGGCCCCATGGCCGCCTTGTAGTCGGAGTCGTTAAACGCGGTCAAGTTGAAGTCCTTGACGATAGGTTGCGCGTCCCACAAACGCAAAGAGATGCAGTTCTTCGTGTTGTAACCTGGAATCGGGGTATCGTACGCGACCGCGGCAACTTGCTGCCCCGGAACCCATTTAGAGTCGCCTTCGATTTTCCCGTAGAAAGAAATCGGGTAGGAGATTTGCGGTCTCGGGATTTCCCACGGGTTGCCTCTGACCAACCAGTCGTCCGCGTATTCCTTTTGTTGCCCGGTCGTTTGATCGATCCCTTGCTTGAACAAGCCGTACTTGTATCGCATGCCGTAACCCCAGGCTGGCAAGGACAAAGTCGCGATGGAATCCAAAAAGCACGCGGCTAATCGACCCAAACCGCCGTTACCGAGACCCATGTTCTTTTCCTCCTCGGCCAAAGATTCCAAGGAGTAACCCAACGATCTCAAAGCGTCGGAGTACTCACCGGTCAGCTTCATGTTCCCGATGGCGTTCGTCAACGCTCTGCCTTGCAAAAATTCCATGGAAATGTAGTACGCTTGCTTCGGGTTTTCCTTGTGGAAGTGCTCGTACGTATCGTTCCATCTTTCGACGAGCTGTTCTCGAGCGGCTTGCGCCGTCGCTTGGTACATGTCCTCGTTGTCGAAATAGGTCGGAATGGCTGGGATAGTCCCCGTTGCAATTTGCCTCTGGATGGACTTTTTAATCCCATCCGCGTCTTTCGGGATAACGACGGCTTTTTCAGCTTCTTCGAAAACCGAGGCGGCGTTGATTTTTTGTTCTGTTTTTGTCGTTTCGTTGGTTTTGAGAAGAAGAGTTTTTATTTGATTTTTGAACGACGATTGATGTGAGAGAGAGAGAGAGAAGAAGAGGTGAGTAAACAACATCTACGCGACGATCCGAATTGTTGCCGATGAGTGCAAATCATCACCGATCGAGGATGATGTTCCAATGCTCGTCGCCGTTTACGTCGTCTTTTCCGCCGCGTTTTTGGAAAGATGTTTTAATCTCGATCGGTTATAAATACGGAAAAATGGCGCCGACAGACAAAAACAGATGAGAGAAGAAGAAAAGAGCCGCTGCTGCTGACGATCATCCCGATCGGATCGGCCCGCATCGTTCCTTTCGTCGTACTCTGCATGAACCGATCGATATCGATCTTTGTTCATCGTTCTCGTTTCATCGTCTTCATCGAAAGAGGAAAAGAGAAGAAGAAACATCCATTTTTGAAAACGACGAGTTGCGATGAGATGGATTACGACGCGAGACGACGAAAACGAAAACAATAACGAACCTTTTTTCATCCCCATCGCGCGGACTTTCACCGTCGACGATCTATTCGAAGAAGATCGAGAAGATTTGGAGGAGACATTCTTCGAGATGATCGATGGTGATGATCGAACCGCGTTAAAAGAAGAAGCGAACATGATGAGTGATGTTGCGTAGTTTTTGTGGTGTTGGGGAAAAACGTTTGTTGTTGGTCTCTTCTGTGTGTCTGTGTGGTCTCTTTTTCATGCACTTTTTGACAGTTTTGATGTGAAAAAAAGCGGTTTTGGCTTAAAAAAATCCTCAAAGCCCTTTCATCGTTCACACTTTTTTTAAACTCTCTTTCAGCATTCTCCTCTTTGTCGTCAGTTTTTGTTGGTTTTGGTGAAAAATTCAAAAAAAAGCAAAAGCAGACAAAAGAGAACACTCTCAAACTCAAATCTCTCTCTGCTTCATATCATCAACACCATCAACAACTTCAAATCATCATCATCATCACAACAGAACGCTCGTATTAATACAGAGAAAGAGAGGGAGTAAAACGACACCACATCATCATCAGAACAACAACAATTTCAATTTCAATTTCAATTTCAACAACTCTTATTGATAGTATTATAACTCATCATAAACAATATAATAAAAAATGAATTCACCCGCGAGAAAGATTTTAAAAAAGCGAACGCAAGAACTGGGAAACATTTCAAACCAATCGGACTTGCATCGGTTTCGCAAGGATTTACTCAAAAAGCTCGAGATGAAAACGGTGATTAAAGAAAACCACGAGAGAGCGATCGAGGAGATGCAATATAACTTTACCACGAGCTTCAACTCGAAATGTTCGAACTTATTCGCCTCGGTCGGCGCGGACATGCTCACGGTGTACGACGACAATCACTTCGGGGATCACGTGGCGTTGGTGTGTCAGTTTAAAAATACAGAAAATCTAGAGGCGAAGACGAAAGGAGGACCGTTGTATTGTTTATCTTGGGTGGACGCGAAAAGAAGCGAACACGAACAAGGCGACGCCTTGATTGCAGTCGCAGGAGAGGATATGGTGGTTTCTATCGTTTCCGTGAGTGAATCCGCAGTCGTGCAGATTTTGCGAGGCGGACACGCGAAAGCGCCGATAACCGGTCTGGCGACGAACAAAAACTTGAGCGATATCGTCGTGTCTTTGTCGGAAGAGGAGCAAAAAATATGCATGTGGAGTTTAAAGGAAAACAGAGTGATTGCTGAAATTATAAACGTTGGGATTGGGTGTAAAACGATGACGTTGTTGGAAGACGGGAGTTTGGTGTGCGGCTTTAAAACCGGGTCCATCGGGAAGAGATTTACGAACTTTATCTCCCTCGTTTCTTCCGTCGTCGCAAATAATGATATTACTACTACTACTGCTACTACTTATCCGAAGAAGATGAGTTCCGTGGACGCATCGAAAGATTCGAAATGTTACGCGACGGTGAATTTTGGGTTTGGCCAAGCATCCGCGAAATCCAAATCCATCGGCATCGATTGCATCCAAAGCTTCGAGGAAGATATCGAAGAAGGAGAAGATAACAAGAAGAAGAAACAGAAGAAAACGGCGACGGATAACAACAACAACAACAACACGAAGAAGAAGAAAGAAGATAGCATCATCAACGCACCGAAAAGAAGGCAGATTCTCGTCGCGAAAAGCGCCTCCTCGGAGGTTTCCGTGGTTGATTTTTCCGATGGATTTGACCAAGCGAAGATTGAAACCACGTTTCGCGTGGAAGACGCAAAATCCAACGCTCCCGCGCCGACGTCGAAAACGAACGGGAAAAGAACCGTATCGTTTGGTTTATCCCACGATGGCGCGTTCCTCGCCTGTGGTAACGGTACCAGAGATGGCATCGTCTACGTCTACGATTTAAACGCGAAGAAAAATGGAAACGACGGTCTTAGCGACGACGCCGCTCAACCTTCTTCGCCTTTACTCGCGGCGAAACTCCTCCCTCACGAGCGTCACTCGGGCACCATGCTCGACGTCATCCGCTCGTGCGCGATCGCCAAAGACTGTCGACACGTGTTAGGCACTACCGACGCGAACGACGGTACCAACAGAGCCGGGATTGTTTTCCGATACGAAATCATCCCGGAACAACCGAAAGAATACGAACCGAAAAGCGAAGGAGGAGAAAAAGAAGAAGCCATTGAAGCCGTCGTTGAGGATAAGGAAAACTAAAACGCAGTTTGATGAGATAAAAAAACGTTGTTGCGGTTGGTGTTGTTGTTCACCGCACAGAAAGCTTCGCACAAACACAAACACAGAGAGACAGAAAGAGAGAATTTCTATTTTACAAAACGCGGTGCACACGTACGCGTAAACAGCGCCATCTCATTTAATACTAACACGAATAATAATACGATAATCATCGATTTAAAGAGTACGCGCTTTGCTCTTCGCCGCGTGTTCTATGTTTCTCTTATATTCTCTCTCCCGTCGTGTGTATTTTTCTCAAAAATTTTCTCTCTTTTCAAAAAAACTCAATAAAACTTCTTTTCTGTCTGTCGTTTTCTTCAGAAAATCTTCTCAACACATTACGAGAGAAGAAAAGAAAGAGACCGGAACGATGCCTTCCTCCTCCCCAAAACGCGTCGATGATGACGACACCCAGGGTATTGCTGCTGCTGTTGCTATCGCGGATGAAGCGGAAAAGGAGACTCTGGAGACGAAAAGAGAAACGAAAGAAGAGAAGAGAAGGAAAAGAAAATCCCGTTGGGAATCTCATCATCAAAATCACTCGAACGCATTAATGGACGACGAAGAAACAGAAAAAGAAAGGAAGAGGACAGATACGGAGGAAGGAAAAACGTTCGCATTTCCACCTCCACCTCCTCTTCCTAATAATAACAGTACTACTAATAATAACGAGTTTGGAGGAGGAGTTTCTTCTTCGTTATTAGGACTCCCTCCCGGCATGGGACTGACGATCGTTCCTTCGTCTGAGAGAAACAACAACAACAACTCTAATAATAATATTTCTTTAGACTTGGACCCTTCGAAAATCTTCAAACACTTAGCCGCCAAAGGGTTCGGACAGAACACAGATGTATTAAACGGACTGACGAGACAACCACACGAAAACCCGGTCGTAGAAGATCACTACAAACGGTTCTACGATTTATCCGGAAAGTTACAACGACGAGAGTTTACGGACCCGAGGCCGGAACGAGAGAGAAGTCCGAGTCCTCCACCAAAGTACGATAAAGTGACCGGGTTTAAAATCAACAGCAGAGAGTTAAGAGTGAGAGATAAAATACGAAAAGAGAGGAACCGAGTGTGCGAGTTTTTACTGAAGAACGATCCGGAAAATTTCACCGCGCCGCAGGATTATCGACCGGAGAAGAAGACGAGGAAGTTGTTCGTTCCGGAGAAGGAGTATCCCGGGTATAACTTTGTCGGCTTAATCATCGGGCCGAGAGGGAACACGCAGAAAAGGTTACAAAGAGAAACAAACACGAGGATTGTTTTGAGAGGGAAAGGGTGCATTAAAGGAAACGCGAGCAGAGACAACAGAACGGACTATAAAGAGGACGAGCCGTTACACGTAGTTATCGAAGGCGACACGGACGAGGCGGTAGATATGGCGGCGGAAATGGTACAAAAGATTCTAACGCCCATCGACGAAGGGTATAATCACCATAAACGAGCGCAATTGAAAGAGTTGGCGATGATTAACGGCACATTTCAAGATCGACCGGAGTATTGCTTGATTTGCGGCGGGATGGGTCACAGCGGCGTGCACTGTCCAGAAAACGAAAACAATAAATTGGTTGGATTTAAAGCTGGCGTGGCGTGCGCGATTTGCGGCGACGGCGGGCATCCCACCGGCGATTGCCCGATGAAAGGGAAAGGTACCACGAATGGTGGCGGTGGTGGTAATACTACTAATAATAAAATTCCTCAAGAGTTGACGAAGGAATATCAAAACTTTCTCTCGGAAATCGGCGTGAACGATCCGACCGCGGTTGCTAACGAAGACCAAGAGAAAAGTGAGAAAAAGAAAATTCAATCCGGTTTACCGCCGCCGCCGGTTTACTTGAAAGATAAAGCCGTGACTGGTGGATTACCACCACCACCGAATAGAAACAATAGTAATAATAACTTACTCCATCAACCTCCTCGGTTTGGAGCGGGAGGAGGAGGAGGAGCGGGAGTAGGGTACGGCGGTATCCCTCCAATGAACATGATGATGCAACAACAACAATTTGGAGGAGGAGGAGGAGGAAGTGGTACAGGGGGAGTCGGTCCGGCGTTTCTCGGCGGCATCATGCCACCTTTAGGCACAGGCATACCACCACCTCCTCCACCACCTATTGGATCGACGCCGACAACGATTGCGAACGTGAACGTCCCGCCGCCTCCGCCTTCGGACGGCACGGCGGGCGTTCCACCTCCAATCCCGGACGCGCCATCGGTGGGTTTTGTACCTCCACCGCCGCCACCGATGCCAGTGGAGGAAGGTGAGTTAGGGACTGTCCCGCCGCCGCCACCACCGCCGCCGCCAGAAGGTGCGTATTAGAGAAGATAGACAACAGAGTAATTGTAAAGCACAATGACCCTCTCGACAATTTTAAAAGTACGAGCAAATGCAGAGTCATAAATAAATTTCGTAGATAACGTCATGTCCTCATTCGTCGTATACAAAGAACACGAAGCAGAATGGACACGGTGGTCTCCTCCATGGACCCGGGTCAAATTACCGTCGTCGCCATCGGGTGTGGCATAGGTGCTTTGCTCGTCGGTTCCGTAGGTACGTCTTCTTCTTTCCTCTTCCTCTCATCATTTTTATCGTCGTATACTTCTTCCTTCTTTTCTTCGTCAAATCTCAAATCTCATCATCGGTTGCGCTTTGCATCGGAAAAGAACGTAACAACTCACTCCTCACGCACTCATACTCTCTTCTCTTTTCAACGACAAAAACAAAATACTAATAAGGTATTGGTGGCGTCGTCATGACCCCATCTCTGTTAGTCGCCGGAGTGGAAGCGAAATTGGCCATCGTGTCCTTATTCGTCGCGTTCACACCAACCGTGTACGTGCGAGTGTACCTTTTGCACAAATACACGAAGTGCGTGCCGTGGAAATGTGGTCTCATCGTCGGGTGCGGGAGCGCGTTAGGGTCTATCTTATCTGGCGCGCTTTTACTGGACTCGTCTCCTAGAGGCGTGTTGACGTATTTGATCGCCGCGATTAGTTTATTAGCTGGGTTTAGAGATTTAAGAGGGTTGTACGTGTTACACGCGGCGAAGAAGAAACGGATGTTGGAGGAGGTGGAGATGTCGGCTGGAGTCGAAGCGCCGCCACATGCAGAAGGAGAAGAGCAGAGTCAACGAACAGTAGAAGTAGTAGATAAAGATGCGTACGAGAACATGACTGTTCTCGAACAGTGGTCGGATCCCACGCGTATAGATTTAGTCATTCTGTTTATCATCGGCGTGTTGGTCGGTTTAATCAGCGTTTTGACCGGCACCGGTGGACCGATTACGTTCTTGCCCATGGTTATCATGTGGAAAGGTGAAATTGTTCACCGAAAAGTCCTGGTCGCTTTAAGTGCGGTTATGAGCGCCGCGTTGGGTACCGGTGCGATTATCAGCACGTTGGCAACTGGCATCGATCAACCCGACGGTGGGTTGTGTTTGTTGATCACTAGTTTCGCGTTAATCGGAGTGTGCATCGGCGTGAGGCTGTTGGAGTTTATAAGGAAAGAAACGTTACAGCTCGGGATGGGATTGCTGTTACTTGCTATTGGCGGGTTCATACTGCACCAAGCAATAACAAAGTATTGATGATTCGATAGAAGAATTGTTGTTGTTTTTTATGATAAAATAATACATCCCTATTGCGACCACGCGCAGAATTTGCCTTCGCAAACTCGAATGAAATTTTTACCTTTGTGTTTCTTCGGGAGAAACCTAGCGCGAAACGGAATCGCTATTTCGTCGTCGATTTGATACGTTCGCAATCTCTCTTCCTTTTCGTGATGTTGTTGTTGTTTTTGTTGCTGCTGCTTACTATTTCTAATGTTGTTACCTTTCTTTTTATTAGTTCTGTTATTCTTCTCATCGCTGCTTGTCGTCTTTTTCGATGCGAGAGGAAATTCTTGGATGACAATGAAATCGACGAACGCATTTTGTTGCTGCTGCTGTTGTTGCTGCTGCTGCGTCGCGTTGGTTTGCGTGCTCGTTGTGTATGTCGGCAGAGGACTTTTCTTGATCGAAAGCATGACTGGAAACACGATTGCGTCTTCGTTTGGCGACCAGATTTGTTTCAATCCACCATCAACTAACAAGACTTTTTCTTTAAATTGTCGAGAAGGGAAAAAATAACTGCCGATGGTAATTGTCGCGCAGTCTTCAATGCGGCCGTTTTCATCCACCTCGAGCGCGCTTGCGCTATCGTCTAACAAGGTGTTACAAATATCCTCAAACGGAAAGTCCTCTTCCTTGTAAAAGAAAGCTCCGGGCGGATCCCAAGTGACCCACTGGTATACGCAATACGTGCTTGCGCCGCTAAAGACGGTGCACAAACATATCAACAACCTATCGCCAGAGTTGGACCATTTCAAAGCGACGACGTAGTATAAAATCGGTTCCACGATTGCGTTTAGCGGCTGGTCACCCGCTAATCCTTGGCCGTATGCTTCGTACGTCATAAACTCGGTGTTATATTCGTCTCTGGTACTAAACGTGCACGCGTTCAAATCGAGAATTTTCACCGCGTCGCTGATTGGTCCACCTTTGATCGGGTCCGTGCGTCTCAAGTAAACGGCGCGTTCGTCCGCCCACGCGACGTGCTCGCCACCAGGTCTAGCGGCTAGCACAAACGGGACCGTCACATCTGGTTCAACAAACACAGAGGAAGGTTGAACTTCGCACACGATGAGTTTTTCAAACTTTGAAATATCTCTCTTGGCACCTAGCTCGCGTTCTTTCGAAAGTTGGTCAAACAGCTGATTTTGTTGGTGTTTGGCGATGACATCTTTGATGTAATTGTCCACGTTTAGAGGTTCCTCCTCACCCTCTTCTTCGCCGTCGTCGTCGTCGAGAAAAGTTTCCCTCTCACCAACTTCAAGTTCTGTGGTTGCCGTCGATTTTGAAGAAGAGGAAAGAGATGACGGCGGCGCTGGTATGAGCATCATGTACGTAATCGGAGGAAAGGAATCTGGTAAAGTAAACGGAACCAACCAATGTCCACGTGACGAAGCCGCCGTCATCTGATTTTGAGTGTTTCGTTTACCCGGAATCCAATGCACGTGGTGCGTAATTGGAACGTGCCCTCTGCCGATTTGCCAAAGCACATCCTTCTTCTTGCAAAATCGAGCCTTTGACTCAGAGCGCGCGAGGGGCACCCTCGTCGTTTCTTTCAGCGACATCATTTCTTGCTCGTACAACTGCTTTGAGGATAACGAAGAAAACTTGTTAATCTGCGGTGGTATCACCCTTCTGTTCGTATATCCACCTGCCATATCATCATGCTGACGTCCGTCGTATTGGTCGCTCGATAGACTGCGAAAACTATCGTCATCATTGAACTCTTCATTATCGGAATCATTCATCATCCGCATTCCTCGTTTTCTCTTCAAACGTAACTGAAGCACGGGCTGTCGACACACTTGAATCAGTCTTTGACCACTTTCTGTGACGAAAGAGGTCAACTTGGAGATTGCGGGAGTAAGTGAATGATTCGCCACGGTGCAAACAAACTTTTTCGTTCGATTCCAAAGTGGATACTTGAGGAACCCAGAAATGACTTCGGCCTCGCGTTGTTCCCATGAGTGGAGCATTCGCGCGTGTTCATTCATGACATTTAATTCGTTTAAATCAACTTCATCATCGTCCAAAGCCATCATGTCTCCTCTCCGCTGTCCTTCTTCCGACATCGATCTTTTGTTGGAATTGATGTAATGTTGTTGAAAAGATAACGGCACCGGCGTTGACGTGTCGTGATGGTGGCGATGATAATCACCGTTACCACGATGATACGCGTCTAATTCGTCCTCGGGAAATAAAGATTTCTTTTTCTTTCCTCTAGAAATTGGAAGATTCGTCGCATTTTCAATCAAGCGCAATGCGCTCAACTTTTTCGAAATGCCTATCATGTCACCCGAATTGTCCGGCGCGAACGAGAAGAACATGCTCGCATCTTTCTGTTCAATCTTCTGCACAATCTCGCGGCCACCTGGATGAGACGCTCGAGGAAATTTCAACCCATTGTTCGCGAATCCATACAGAGAATTCATCGTTTGTACTAAATCGAGCATGGATAACGAGACATCTCGCCCTTGTGGCATTTGCATCTCTGGAACCTGAGGAGGAGGATCGACCGTGTTTTGTTGTTGTTGCTGTTGATTTTCCATCGTCTGAACGCCCACATTATTTTGATTGGGTGCCCCGGCAACCGTCTCGGCCACTGCCGCTTGCGCGTTCACTTCACCGCCTACCTCATCGAGTTCGGCTGCGGCAGGTGGATTATCATCATTATTGCCGTCGTTAGCTATTGCTGCTTCCGCTGCTCCTATCGCAGGTTGCGGTAATGGTACTGGAACTGCTGATACCGTTGGTTGTTGTTGCACTTGAACTTGCGGTACGATCGCTTTTTCTTTCGCAACAATGGCCAACTTTGTTCCGCACGGAGCAAACTGAATTCCAAAGGGAACCATCGTCGTCGGCAAGACGATACAATTAACGAGCGGAGGAGGTGAAGACGGTAACTTGATCGTGACTTCTTTCTTTTCCTTCTTTTCGTAAATCGTCTTTCTCTTTTTCGTTGACGTGTCATTCTTCTCTCCTCTTTTCTTTCCCGAGGCTGTTTGTAGCAAAAAGGAAGTATGCTTCGTCGTTTTGCGCTTTTTCTTGCAACCTTCGTCGTCGCCGCCTTCATTCCTTTCATCGTCTTCTTCTTTCTCTTCTTCTTCTTCTTCTTCTTCTTCTTCTTCTTCTTCTTCTTCTGACTCGTAAATGTCGAAGATTTTCTTGGACAAAGGAAACGCCTCGGCTTCTTCCTCTTCTTCCTCAGCCGCTTTCTCAGAGTTTACGTCCATATCCGCGTCGTATTCCTCGGCTTCTTTTTCTTCCTCTCCGTCTAATACTCTTCCTTCATCAGCAGAGTCGTCCAAAGCGGACAACACATCTCCGGCCAATTTCCTCCTCTTCTCTTCGTTCTCTTTTTCTTCCTCATCTATGATTTTCAAACCTTTTTTATTCTTCCCGCCGCTATCTCCATCGTCGTCCAAATCATCTTCTCTGGATAGTTTTGCCATCGTGCTCAGATCGCATTTCATCTTAGCTCTCCAAAAATTGCTCTCGTGTGGCGCCGCGCACAAAACTGAGTACCCTTTCAAAGATTGCATCAAGACTGACAACAACTCGCCGTTGTTCGACCAGGTCAAACTGGTGAATACGAATCGATTCATGGTCGTTTCGTGCAGCATTCGTATCATTCCGCCGTCTTCGCGCGGGTCGCAGGTGAATACAGACTTATCGTCACACACGGCTAATCTATACTTCAAATGTGTTGACATCCAAGAAGTGGAAGTAGACATCGATTGCGTCCACTCTTTTTCTTCGTCTTCTTCGAGCGATGCCGATGATTCCAACGACGCTCTTCTTTCCTCGTCTTCTTGTTCTCGCGCTCGTCTCGCGGAGAAGAGTACGCGTCTTCTCCAGGCGTACAAATCTCTCCACTTGAAAAAGTTTTCCTCCCTTTCTTCCTCCTCCTCCTCCTCGTTCCTCTTCTTTTCCTTTGCCGCTAGTGCCATAAACGCTGCTCTGTTTCTTCTTCTTTTCCTCCAACCCTTCGACAATTTTTTCTCATCTTCTCGCGCACTTTGGCTGAAGGACGCCGAAGGTTTCGTTTCTCTTCCTAAAAGTCCTCTTCCTCTTCGTTGTTGTTGTGATTGTGATTGTGATTGTCTTCTTCCTCTTCTGCCATGGTTTATGTTCTCGAGGCCGACGACTAAATCCTCTCTCGCGCGTCCATTTCTTCCTCCTAAACTAAACGTATCCTCCTGTTTCTTGCACAAACGTTTCCATATTTTCTCATCCTCTCGGTCGTTTTCCACGAGCATTCGATATAACTTCTTATTCGTGCAGGCGAATTTAAACACATCCGCGCCGTTCGGTAAGAAGGAGATGACGTGCAACAACGCATCAGTCGGTAGGATTTCGTCTATACTCGAAGCGTTCTTCAAACGACTCCCGACTTTTAGAAGCGTCATCGTCCTCGTATTCTTCTTTCCTTCTTCTTCTTCTTCTTTGTCTTCTTCGTATTCTTCCTCCTCCTCCTTTGTCTCGTTCTTGTCGTTACTGTTGTTCTCCCGGGTCGTCATCATCCTCATCCTCATCCTCATAACCACTCCTAAACTCAAAAGTCGTGACTTTTCCCGTACTAAGAATAACGAGAGGATTTGTACGGAAAACGACGGAAAAAGGTCAATTAAATTTTCTTCTGTGAAAAGTCGTGCGAAAAAAGCAAAAAGAGCAACAAAACAGCAGAAAAACTCCTGCTTATGAGCTTTTCGGGGACTGACTTTTTCACCCCGCGAAAAGAACTTTCATCATCACAGAATCACAGAAGAAGAAGAAGAAGAAGAAGAAGAAGAAGAACATAAAGAGCACACGATGACATCATCATCTGTATCATCTCTGAGATTACTACATAGTCACAAACACGTAGAGTTTATTAAAAACAGCAGTCTGGACACGGAAACCATAGAGTACGCTTTAACCGAACACTTACGGTTGAGTGGAATGTATTGGGGACTGACGGCACACAAATTGTTGGTGATGAATAAAAACAATCAAGAAGACAAAGAAGTTAAAGAAGAAGAAGAAGAAGAAATAATGAGCAAAGAGGACGTGATGAAATTCATAAACGAGTGTTACGACGAGAAATCGTCTCTGTTCGCCGGCGCTCCCGGACACGACGGACATTTGTTGTACACTTTAAGCGCGATTCAGATTTTCGTGTTGTATGAATGCGTGCAGGAACAGTTGAGCGAAGAAAGAGCGAAGAAAATATGCACGGCGATTTCAAAGTTACAGAGTAAAGAAGACGGGAGTTTTGCAGGGGATGAGTGGGGAGAAGTGGACACGAGGTTTTCCTACTGCGCGTTTTCCGCGCTGAGCTTATTAGCGCACGGCATGGGAGAGGAGTGTTTTCTCGACGACGGTTTGGAAGCGCTGAAAATAGGAGGTAGCGACGATGAAAAGAAGGAGGATAATCAGGACAAAAATAGGAGCAAAGCTTTAGGAATTATGCGTAAAATAGTCGACGTCGATAAAGGGTGCGAGTTTATAATGAAATGTAGAAACTTTGACGGTGGGTTTGGGTCCACTCCGGGCGGCGAATCTCACGCCGGGCAGATTTTCGTATGCGTAGGCGCGTTGCAGATTTGCAATCAGTTGGATTTATTATACACAGCAGACGACGACGAGGAAGAAGAGAACGACAAGTTAGCGTGGTGGTTAGCCGAACGACAAGTGAAAGTGGGTGGTTTGAACGGACGTCCGGAAAAGTTACCGGACGTGTGTTACTCGTGGTGGGTGTTGTCTTCGCTCGCCGCGCTGAAGAAAAAACACTGGATCGATTTAGATAAGTTGAAAGCGTTTATATTGAGGTGTCAAGACGATATCAGCGGGGGTATTTCGGATCGTCCGGACGATGAACCGGATGTTTATCACACGTTCTTTGGTATCGCTGGATTATCTCTGATGAAACACGAAGGATTAGAAGAAATTGACCCGATTTACGCGTTGCCGGTGAGGAGCGTTCGGAAGATTGGGATCGAAAGCGATTGGTATTAGAGAGAAGCCGGCCCCCTTTTTGTTTCGTGTCGTAAGAATAAATAATAATACGTGTACCTACGGTACAGTATTTTAATTAACGCGCGGCTATGGCCTACTACTAGTACTGCTATTACTATTACTACTATCACTACTATCACGCTACTATTAAAACGAACCCTCCTCTGCCCAGTTCGGTAACGGCAAACACTCAAACGTCCAACTCTCTTTAAAACTATACTTGATGCAGTGTAAATAAATAGCTTCCAAATCGTGCGTCGCGCGACTTCCAAACCAACACACCAACGGGCAATGTGGACACTCGGTGGTATGTTTGATTTTATCCCATTTAAAAGTGTCGTCATTGGTAGCAGCAGCTCTTGCGTCCTCGCGACGAAGACGGTCGTCGTTGAGTGTGAAACTATGGCACATTTTCTGATACTCGTCTTGTAGCTTCGTTTGTCTCGGCGACAATCGGCCGCCGTATACGACATCGTTCGCAATTGGATGTCCGAGTATTTTTAGATGCGCTCGAATTTGGTGCGTTCGCCCGGTTTCTGGAACGCATCGCACTAAGCTTTCGTCCAGTTCTGAAAAGTGTTTGATCAGTGTAAACGACGTCTTGGCTGATTTATATAAAGGAGAAGGTGTTGAAGAATCAGATGGCCACGTGGCGACGTGCGTTTTGCCGCAAAACCCAAGAGGTACTTCACACGTCGTTTCCTTACTGAACAAACCTTTCACTCTCGCGACGTACTCCTTTCGAACTTTATTTGAAACGATTAAATCTGTCGCAATCTTAGCCGCCTTGGACGTTTTTGCCATGAGCAACAACCCAGAAACGTTCCTATCGAGCCTGTGCAAAGGTAACAAAGGAGGAGGAGGAGAAGTATTCTTTTTATCATTCATCTCTGGTAAACGTTGACGCAAGATTTCCACCACTGAATTGTTTCGATACTGTCCGGTTGGATGCACCGGAACAGTTGCCGGCTTTCTCACGGCGACGATATCGTCTACTTCTTCTAAAATTTCAATCTCGTTCTCGGAACAAATCACCGGCGGCTCGTGTTTGTGCACCAAGTGGCGAACGGTTTGTCCTGGAACCAAGGCTGGAAAATATTCTTTCTCGTCGTCTTCTTTTTTCCTCTTCTTTTTGTGACTCCGAGATACAGAAGATGCGTTTTTATCTTCTACGCGTAACCGTCCATCTTTGAAAGCTTGCGCGTAGTACTCTCTCGGCAAATTCGGAAACTCCTTGTGAAAGATATCAACGATGTTATTCTCTTCTTCATTTTCAACCTCGCACCATCTTCTCTTGACGTTGGCGATGAAATCAAACGCGTACGGTTTGCTCAATCGCAAACCGTTCTGGAAGACGATGTACGTATCGTCTTCATGAACAATGTCGATGCTTTTTACTTCATCTTCTTCTCCTTCTTTTTCATGCATTTTACTTCAACTTATCCATGTACAACTCTTTATTCGTTTCGTATTCTGCCAACTGTTCGTCGTATATCGTCCAAACGCAAAACTTACACTGCGGCGAGGATTGACAACAGTCCTCTGGTCCAGGCATTTCTGGTTTACGCTTCATCGTTCTATTTTCTTCGCACGAGCAAAATCGCCTCGAGCATATCTCGCACAACGCGTTCGGTGGAGGTCTTTGATCGTATTGGTGTAAACGCGTGTCCGTCAACGGATTCCGTTTTTTCCCGGTGTAATATCCAATTTCTTTTTCTAATTCTTCTTTATTACTCTCTGAAGAATACCAAGAACGGCGACAAAAATGATGACGATGATTTCGTTGCGTCTTTGTCGTCAGCAGAGAAGAAAGTAGCTTTTGGTAGAGTGGGTGAACAGAAGCAGCAGAAGTAGCGGCAGAGATGATGAGAGAAGAAGAAGAAGAAAGAGTAGTTCCATCCCCCAAGAAGCTTCTTTTGCTCATTCTTGTTTTTTTTTGTGGAGAGAGAAAAAAGAAGAGAGAAAGTTTACGGAAAAATACTCGATCGATTGAAAAGCGCTCGTCAAAAAAAGAGCACACTTTAACAACAGAAGAGCACGATGCGTCGAGCGGCGAGAACTTTTCTCTCTTCCTCTTCCTCTTCCTCGTCCTCGCGAGGAGGAGGAGGAGGAGGAAGAGCTTTGGTGGATGAGCTCCTCTTCTCGAAAACGAGGAGGAGGATAACAGCGGCGGCGGCGGCGGCTGACGCGGAGGAAACTGAACAACAACAACAACAACAACAACAAACGACGACCGAGACGTTTTGCTTGTGCAAACAGGTGAAAATAAACGCAAAAATACGGAAAGATAAAGGACACTGCGTGTACAAGCCAGTCGTCGTCGATGACATCGTGAAGAGCAAGCAGCATAAGGAAGGATCGCTGGCGAAACGAGCGCACTGGTAAGACGACGAACGACTACTACTACTATTACTCAACGCTTTACTTTACGAACGCGCGCGTTATTCTTTTTTTATAGTAAAACCTCTCGAAAAGCTTTTCTGACTGTCTGACTGTACGTGATAAAAATATAAAATAGGACGACGCTCGACGCTTCGGTGGACGACGCGGTGAGGAAGATGCACGCTATGGACGTCGGAGCGCTGGTTGTGATGGACTTTCATAAGCTCGACGTGGATAAGAGCAAGAAGATTCATCTGGAAGAATTGTATTACTCGCCTAAGAGTAACGCGATAGCCGGTATCGTGAGCGAAAGAGATTATTTGAGAGCGGTGGCGACGAATAAAGTCACAGACTTGACGACGGTGAGAGAGATTATGACACCAGCGGAGGACGAATCGACGGGAGAGAAACGACTCATTTCAGTGGAACCGTATTGTTCTGTTTTAGCTGCGATGCAAGCGATGACAAGTGGTCATTTCAGACACATTCCAGTCATCAATACCGAGTCGCAGACGTTGGAAGGCATCGTTTCGTTGGGCGACGTGGTGAAGGCGTTGATTGCGGAACAGGACGAAGAGATTGACGTCTTGGAAGATTACATCACGAGTGGCGGTAAATAATCAACACGACGATTTACATACATACAAAGCAAACGAGAGAGAGACATCAGAGCAGAGAGATACACTAATTTCTATATAATAATAACAAATACGAGTTTGAATGTTTTACGCTTTTATCAACATCACAACAGTATGGCACGCGATGCTTCTATTTTCTCCCAAAGAGTCCACCTTTTCGTGCGTCTTCGCTTTGACATTCACCACGGATTCGTGCACGTCCAACAACTTCGCCAAGTTTTTCTTAATCTTTTCTTTGTGCGGCGAAATCTTCGGTCTTTGCGCGATTAATGTGCAATCAATGTTCCCCAACTCGTACCCGGCTTCTTTCATCAATCGAATGGCTTCGTAAATAAACACGTCCGACGTTTGGCCTTTCCATTTCGGATCGTTATCCGGGAACAACTGGCCAATATCCGGCAAACCAAGCGCGCCAGTGATGGCATCTACCACGCAGTGCAACAAAACGTCCCCATCCGAGTGCGCGACGCACCCGCGATCGTGCGGCACTTCGATGCCGCCTAATATCAACTTCAACTCTGGGAATTCCGCAGTGGATTCCAAGCGGTGCAAATCAAACCCGTGTCCGACTCTGTACGGCAGCACCGGCGGTTCCGCAGCCGCTGCTTTGATTTTGTTTCTTATTTTGTTTGTTTTGGTGATGTTTGTGCTGCGTCGTAACTCATTCTTCGATAGCGTCGTACAACTCCTTCCCGAAAAATGATGATGGATAGAAGAAGAAGAAGAAGATATCGTTGTTGTTGAAGTCATCATCATCGTCATCGTCTATAATAGTTTGAAAGTATATTATTCTCTGTTAAACTCTGTTTTCTCCTCTCTTTGATGATGATGTTGATGTTGATGTTGTTGTTATTATTGTGTCTCTCTCAACAACACACGAAAATCGTCTAATAGGATGATAACACTACTATTATTGATGTTGTTCCTATGTTCTTCAAGAACAACACAAAAGACTTTCTTTGACGTTCTTTCTTGGTGTGACTTTTTGAGAGAAAGAGGAAAAGGAATTTTTCTAAGACTGCTAAACCCTAATGGGGGGAGCTCAGGAGCATTTTGGACCAGAAATTCTCTCTTATATTTCGGATATCTCATTTTGAGAAGGAAAAAGGGGGGGAAACCAAATTAAGACGAAGATCTTGCCAGTGTGCAATAATCCACACATTTCTTTCTGCGCGCGCACATATCAAACTATTATTATAATAAATAAAGAATAATAAAATGTCCACCGGAACTCCGACTTCTTCAGCTGCCGTTGCGGACACCCCTTCCAACTCTCCGTTGCAGCCGGTCATCACCGCCGCTGCGAGAATTAAAGATGTCTCCTTACACGTCTTCTCCCAAAGAAAACCAATGTCAGAAATTCTCGATAGAACGGCGTATTCGAAACCGGCGAGTTTTTCCGACGCCACCAGTCGAATGCAAAAGAACTTGAACTACTTCAAAATTAACTACATGATTGCCACGATGGGGATCTTATCTGCGTTTATTTTGTATCATCCGTCGAGTTTGTTGATTTTGAGCGCAATCTCCGCCGCGTGGGCGTACGTGTTTATGATTCGTCAAGAACCTTTGAAGATTGGCGAACGAGAAGTGTCTTCGAGAGAGAAAATGTTAGGCATGACTGGTTTATCCGCGTTGATTATATTTTTCTTGTCCTCCGCGGGGACGTATATATTCTCCGGGATGGGCGTGGCTTTGTTGGGGATTGGTGCGCACTCTGCGGCGAGAGTGCCGGATGACTTGTTCATCGACGACGCGTCCGAGTCGAACGGGTTCTTTTCGTTTATGATGCCGCCGAGGCCTGGGCAACCTTCTGGCACGATCTAAGTAAGATATATGCGTGTGCGCGTGTGACAGAGTGAGCTGATATCAGTGTATTCAAATACACGCCGCGCATGTGTATGTTATTACTATGAGAGAAAGAGAGTGAATTATAGAAGAGAACAAGAACGAGAGAATTGAGCGAGAGGAGTGGAAGTAGTACCCCTCTGCGGAAGTGCGCGAATTTACTCTCTCTCTTTCTCGAAGAAGAAGAAGAAGAAGAAGAGATACTATTTAGAAAAAAGAGTTGACGAGATAAAAAGAAAAAGAAACATATGAAACTGTTTGTCGATGCGTTATTAGAGTTGCAGATTGGACGATGATGAATATGACAAATCATTGTTATTGTTGTCATTGAAGATCTCTTTCTCTCTCTCGTGCCGAAGGACGACTGTAACACAAATTATTTACCACACACGTTTGAGATTAGGATTTTATTATTATATATGTATATATGTATATATATACATGGACTTATCCATTTAAAACTATTACTATTACATCTATAATTAAATCCCCGGGCCTCTTCGAGCGTTTGCGGCCAAACGCGCGTCTCTTTCCTTTTCGTATTCTCGATACTCGGCTTGTTGCAAAAACGATTGTTGTTCGGTGTACGTGTTTTTGGACTTTCTGTGCATTTCCAACTCCTCGTCAATCTCCTCGTTCGAATCTTTCACTTTCTTCCAATCCATCTTCGTCTTATCTAGCACGCTCATCTTCTTTGATTTCTCAATCTTGGCAATCAAAGCGTCTAAGCCGCTCATTTTTTGTCCTTTTAGATTTTCCTTTTCCTCGGCCGCTTTCGCCTCTTTCGAGCCCTCTTTGTACGTCTTTTCCACCTCCATGACCATCCCGGCAAAGTCTCTTTTCTCGATCACCGCTTTCAAACCACCGTGGTCTTTTATTTTGTGCACTTTTCTGGACGTTTTCGCCGCCTCCATGGCTTCTCTCGCGAGCTTTAATCTCTCGTCTATTTCCTCTTCCACCTCCTGCTCTTCGGCTTCGGCCGCCGGTTCTCCTTCTTCTTTCGTTTTCTTCTTCTTTTTTACCTGTACGGTTTCTGGCGGTTTCTTTTCTCCTTTCTTACTCTTCGTCGTCGACGCAGAAGAGGTCGATAATAATCTAGAGAGGATTCTCTCCGAACTTGTCGGTTTCTCCTCCGCGTCTTTATGTTTCGAGTTCAACTTACACGCCAACTCAATGGGTGAAATCTGTCGCATCATTTTCATCACGGTCGACAGATTCGAAGAAGAAGAAGCTAATAAGTTATCATTCGTCTTCTCTGTCGTTGCTTTCCGCTTCTTCGTCGTCGTCGTCGTTGCATCCTTTTTGTTCTTTTTCTCTTCTTCTTCTTTATCGTCTTCTTCTTCTTCTTCTTCTTCTTCTTCTTCAGTAGTCGCAGTCATCAACTTCTCAAACATTTCCCGAACTTTCTTCTTCGGTTGAAACTCAAAACTCTCGAAGTCTTCTCTCGAAAGCTCTTTCGCCGTTTTCACCACCTGGTTGTACTCCTCAAACATGATTGATTTTGATTGCTTTTGCGCGTAAAATGTATTATGTTATCACGACGAAAAGCGATTGTTCTATGAGTATTGGTGTTGTTGTTCTCTGTTGTTGTTTGTGAGAGCAAATTCTTTCGCGAAAAAAAATTTAAGCAAAACTCGTCTGCTTGAAACAACAACTGACTGAGAAATACGCCACACTTTGAAACTGTTTTCTCTCCTCTCTTTTGTATTTATACAAATACTCTCTCTCTCTCTCTTTTCATCATCTCTTCTGAATAATAAATGAAACAGAAGAAGAAGAAGAAGAAGAAGAGAGACACCGTAGTATTACCACCACTGATCGACCCCCAAAACGGTATCGCATCTTTCAGAGCGTCGAGACGAGTGAACTTTGTTCCAGCCAGGTATAATAATCGTGTTGTGTGAATTTACTACTCTACTCAAATTGAGAGTTGTGAACTCAAATTCTCTTTAACATCAAAATTGGGGGAAATCAAACACAAAAAGAAATCCACTCATCCTTTTTGTGTGGTAGTTTCTTCTTATTTTCCTTTGTCATCTTCGTCTTCGTCTTCTTCGTTAAGAGACGTTCTTTGTTTTCGAAACAAAGAACCGCGTCGTCGTCGTCGCGTGGCGGGAATTGATGCCAAAAAGAGATCAAATTTTAGTAGAAGTGACTGACACCTTTAACATCACCATAATCAACAACAACAACAAAATATAACAACAAAAAATACAGACGAGCGGAACCGTCGTCAATATTGGGAGGAATGATGACGAACAACAACACCAGTGGTCAAAATGGACGACGGAGAGTAGGAAGAACGATAGTATTGAATGGATTGAATGAGAATAGAGATGGTGATAAGAACAACAAATCATCTCAAAAAGACAACGAAGATACTCGCGCGAACATAAATAAGAAGCGAAAGAAGGAAGAAGAGGAAGAAAAAGAGAAAGGAAACGACTTATATCCTCTTTCCAAGATTCAAATGGAGTGGCAAACCGTCTCTAAGATCGGCTCTGGTTTGCAAAATTTAGGCAACACCTGCTTTTTAAACGCGGTTTTGCAGTGCCTCACGTATACGCCAGCTTTGGCAAACTTTTTCTTGAACAACGAACATCAAAAGCATAAAAATTTGAGCTCAGGATTCAACTCGTTGTTCGAGATGGGTAATTTAGTAAAGAACACGTTGATACATTCCAAGAACAAGCATCACGCGGTACCACCGACGGCGTTCGTGAAGAATATTCGCGCGCTGTCGAAGACGTTTAAGAAAGGAAGACAAGAGGATTCCCACGAATTCGCGAGGTGTTTGTTAGATTCCATGCACAAGAGGTGCTGCATGTTAGGCCGGGTGGACGACGGAAGCTCGTCGAATACTCGAAATGGAAAGAAGCTTACTGCGAATGCAATCGATCCAGAGTCGAAAGAGGCGGAAACGACGTTCATTTGGCGCGTATTCGGTGGGCAGTTGCGTTCGTGCGTGACGTGTCAAAGCTGCGGGAGAGAGTCGGCAAAGTTAGATCCGTGCATGGATATGAGTTTAGAGTGCGCGAAGGTGAAATCTTTAGAACAAGCGCTTAAGTTGTTCACGCGAGTGGAAGTTCTAGACGGCGATAACAAGTATAGATGCGAAGGGTGCAAGAAGTTATCGCGAGCGAAGAAGCAATTCAGCGTGGATAAAGCTCCAAACGTGTTGCAAATCCAACTGAAGCGTTTCGAGTTTGTTCCTTTCGGGAGAGGGAAGTTATCGCAGTTTATCGAATACCCGTTGGTGTTAGATTTAACATCGTATTTAACCTCAATTTTGAAAATTAACGGAGGTCGCCGCGGGAAGAAGAGGAGTAAAAGTGCTAATAACGCCGTTCTCGATGATATTATGGGTGGTAGTAGCACGGAGAAAGCTTTTTCATCGTCGTCCTCGGTGTACGATTTGATTGGTGTTTTAGTCCACGCGGGAAGTTCCATGAACTCTGGTCATTATTATTCTTACGTCAAAGCGCAAAATGGATTCTGGTTTGAGATGGACGACGAATCCGTCACGAATGTTTCCGAAAAGACCGTTTTGAGACAAAAGGCGTACCTTCTCTTTTACTCTTTACGCAACGCTCCGGGGACGATGACGACGAGGAAAACAAACACTGGAAACGTGGATAAAAATCGAATGGACGAACTCACGAGAGATTTCCAAGCGAAGAAAAGAAAGCTCGATGAAGAAAGAGAGAAGGAGAAGAAGGTGATGACGAGGAAAAGCAAACGAGATAAAAATATCAGCAATAGCCCTAGCAGCAGCGAAGAAGACGAAAGAAAAGACGAGGAAGAAGAAGAAGAAGACGTAGTTACGGTGATATCGGCGAGAAGAAACGGGAAGCGAGGCGCCGGGCGCTCAGCCGGGAAGAATTCTCGCGACGTGGTAAAATCAAAACTCTTCAAGCAAAATAGAAGCGGATCAAAGTCACCTGATTTCGGCATCGGCAAGCAAAGAAGACGCAGTAAACGAGCATCGTATAGCGACGACGACGACGACGAAGGATACGACGAGGAAGGAGATAGGGAAAATAAGAGGGATAAAGGAAACATGATAAAGACATTCTTGAAATCACGAGCGCAAAGAGATAAAAATACTCGAGGTTGGAACGACGACGACGACGACGATAATAATAAAAGTCGCGCGATGGGAATGCGCCAGCAAGTTAGTACATCTCAGAAAAAGAACGTTAAAAAGTCTCGCGGGTATGACGAGCTCGACGAAGAGTACGATAGAGGGAAAATTGCGAAACATCTTCGAAGGCGCGAACAGAAAATGCCGGCGAGACCGACGAAAGCGCCGTCGAGATCGGCAGGAGGAAACGCGTTTCAAAGAAAACAAGGGCGAAGACAGCGTAAGTGATATAGTGCTAGTGTGTTGTGTTCATACGACAGAGTGTTTATTTCTTCTTGAAAGTACCCACAGCACTTCAGTTTTAAGACTTCTTCTTATTTATTCTCTTCGCCGAAAGCATCGTTCTCTTCCGAGATGAACAGACGAAGAACATCCGTCAACGTAATAACGTCGAGAGGCTTTCCAGCATTCAGTTTCGGTTTTTCGACGACCACCCACACGCGGTGAACGTACGTAAGCGCGTTCAAAACATCAGAGATCGTCGCCGACACTCCCACGGTCTGTAAAAATATTTCGTCTTTTTCGATTGCTTTATCCCGTCGATCGACCGCGGTTGGACTGTCTTCGTTCATCTTTTGGAAGAACGCGTGACTCACGTGCTGACTCTCGATATGCGAGTACCCGCCGTAACTCGTGCGATGAGACAATGCCAAGAATTCTGCGATCGGTAACCCCAAAATAGAGACGTGATCTTTCGTCACGCGTCTGAGATCGGATGCTGAAAAGTTCGCGATTAACACATCTTCGTACACGACGCCGACACACGAGATATCTCGATCGCGCAGTTTTTTCAGAACATTGATCGTAAGTTCGTGCGGCTCGACGCAACAGAGACCGAGCGCTCTTTCCGAGGAGCAAAAACCGCAATCTTGGACTGTTAATCTCGATAACTCTTTAAAAACACCTTGTTCGTTCTTCATTTGCAAAAACTTGATGATGTCGGATTGCGAGATTATGCGATGTATCTCCCCGTGCGGGTCGAAGACGCCGAGTCTGTGCACTAAATGGTGTTGGTTCGCCAAGAAATTCTCCATCGCTTCCAGAATCGACAACTCTTTCGCGTACGGTTCAAAGACTAAATCCACGTCGCTGAGATTGCCGATTTGAATAATCTTCTTCGAGAAGACTTCAGGCGCTACTTTTCGTAACAACGACATCGCTTGCAACATGTTGATTGGATCTTCCATCTTCTCCAACTTTTTCTCGTCTTCGAAAGCTTCCACGAGAGGATCGATCACGTCCGAGACGCTGAAAAAACCCAAACACGTCGCTCTTTCGTCTTCACGATTCAACCCGACATTTTGCACCAAAACTGGCGCCGATAAAACGTTGTATCTCTTCAACGTGTTGAGCGCCGTCTCGCACGTATCGTCGTGTCCAAGAGAAACGACGAAAGACCCCGCTCCTGCTAAACTTCCTTGTTTCGCGCGATCGATCTGCGACAGCATCGAACGCAACGTCGTCGACGCGAGAACGGATCGGATGTGTCCGACGTCTCGTCGTCTTTGCGGCGTTGTCGTGGTTTCGTTCTTCTTCGTCGTCATCGATCGATCGATTCTTTTTTTGTCCTAAACAACTCTTTGCTTATTTTTTGCGCGTATTTTTGTGTGGTGGTGAAAAAATGGACTGAAATCACCTTTTTTTTGTTTTTTGAGAAAAGTTCGAGATACAAAATTTTCCTCAGAAGAAGAAGAAGAAGAAGAAGAAGAACTTTGACAACAACAACATCTTACTAATACTAATAATATAATCAAATGTCGAACTCTCAATCGTCTCTTCCCTCCTCGTCTTCATCGTCTCAATCGTCTTCATTCAAACAGCTCATGCAGCACCCGCAAGCGCTGAAAATTTTAGGATGCGTCGTCGGCGTCGTCGGATCTTTACTCGTGTACGGTTTATTGCAAGAACGAATCATGACTCGACCGTACGAAACGGACGGAGAAAACGAAGAGTATTTTAAGTTCTCCGTGTTTTTAGTATTATCGAACAGACTTTTGTCCTGTTTAATGGCGATGGGGATTTTGGCGTATTCGAGAGGGAACGTGCAACCTGTCGCGGGTATTCATCGATACTGCGCGGTCAGTTTATCCAACGTCATCGCGACGTATTGTCAATACGAAGCGTTGAAATACGTCTCGTTTCCGGTACAAACTTTAGGGAAGTGCGCGAAGATGATTCCGGTGATGATTTGGGGATATTTAATTAATCAGAGACGGTACGTCATGCAAGATTATTTCATCGCCGCAGGCGTGACGTTAGGATGCACGATGTTTGCTTTGTACGGGGACGTGTCTTCGAGCGCGGCGAAACATCACGGGAAAGGTGGGAAAGATACGAGCATGTACGGCGTCGGGTTGATGTTGGGATACCTCGGTTTCGACGGGTTCACGTCCACGTTTCAAGATAAGTTGTTCAAAGGGTACCAGATGGAAACGTATAATCAAATGCTGTGGGTGAATTTATGTTCGGCATCTATTAGTGCTTTGTGGTTGTTTTCGGATTCGGCGTTTTTCGACGCGGTGGCGTTTGTCGGGAGACACCCGGCGGTGTTGCAAGATATTTGCACTTTGAGCGTCGCCGCAATGTTAGGACAGTTGTGCATCTTGTACACGATTCGTGAATTCGGGGCGTTGCTGTTCGCGACAATCATGACGACCAGACAGTTCTTGTCTATTCTGTTGTCGTGCTTGATTTTTATGCACCCGTTGACGTTCATGCAATGGCTCGGGACCGCGATGGTTTTCGGATCGTTGTATTACCAAGCGTATTTGAAAAATCAGCGAGCGACGAGCGTGGCGACGGTGAGTGAGATGCGCGAGCCGTCCGCATCTGGTGCGGAGACCGGAGAAAAGAACGCCACCGTGTGAGGCTCTTCTAGTTTTTGGGGACGACGACGACGACGAAGAAAGGAAAGCTTCTTCAAATGTATAACTTTTTTTAAAAGAAAGTTTTAAAACTAACTAAATTACCACCAATTTTTTATTAAAGACGCGTCGGTAACCCGGATTTCGCCATATCTTCTTTGCATTCCTTCACAGTCACTTCGTCTCTGTGAAAGATTCCAGCCGCGAGCGCCGCCGAACACGCCGGAACGGCTCCGAAAACTTCAGAAAAGTGCCTCGGGTGTCCGGCGCCGGAGGAGGCGATGACGGGGATCTTCACCGCGTCCGCAACCATTTTCACGAGCTCGTGGTCGAAACCGTTACCTTGTCCGTCTTCGTCTATGCAGTTCAAAAGAATTTCACCCGCGCCTAACTTTTCCATCGCAATGGCTAACTCGTACGCGCCAATATCGCGTCCTTCTCTCCCACCTTTGATGGTGCACTGAAACCAGCAATATTTCTCGCCGTTTGGTCCTAATTTTCGTTTGGTTTCTATGCACTTGTTCTTTGTGTTTTTCGGGTCGGTTTCGTATTTGCGTCTCGGGTCGATGGATATCACGACGGCTTGAGACCCGTATCGATTGGAAATGGTTTCAATAGAACTCGTTCCATCGCCCTGTTCGTTGTTGGCGTAAAACTTCTCCGCGACTTCCACGGCGTCGCTTCCGATGGACACCTTATCGGCGCCCGAGGCAAAATACGCCGAGGCGACTTCTAAAGAAGAGTAATGTTTACCGTTCGAGTCGGTAAAATCGCGAATACCGCCGCCGACGGTTAAAGGCACAAACACGGTTTCGCTGGAGAGTTTCAAAACGTCAATCATCGGCGCGTCCTTCAACGGCGTGTCGCGGTACCCGGTAATGTTCAGAAAACTCACCTCATCGGCGCCCATGTCGAAGTATTTCTTCGCGAGTTCGACGGGTTTACCCAAGTTACGAACGTCGCCGCTCTCTCCTTCGCTTTTTTCTCTCACGTCGTACGAGTCGCCTTTGGTGACGACCAAATCGCCGGCGTCGTTGCTGCGCACGTCCAAGCACGCGATGACGCGCTTAGCCAACCCTTTCCGCACGGCATCCGAGCTCGCCGAGGACGGCAACGCCGAGGACGTTTCCATTTCGCTCTTACCGCCGGAAAGAAACTGGTCGAAAATCTTTAAACCAGTGAAGCCAGACTTTTCCGGGTGGAACTGCGTCGCCATGACGTTTCCTTTCTGCACGGCTGAAATGAACGGTTCGCTCCCGTAATCGCACGTCGATAAAACCCAATCCTTGTTGTTTTCGTTCGGCAACGCTCGATACGAGTGCACGAAATATACTCTCTCGGAAACCGAAGCAGATGATGGATCATCTTTTTGTAAATATATCAAGTACGATTCTCTTTTGACTTCGTTCACGTTCCATCCAATGTGCGGCACGATTAAATCGTCTCCCGTGAACTTGGTCACCGTCCCGGGAATCAGACCCAAACCTTCTACGCCTCCCGACTCTTCGCTCCCATCGAACAGTAGCTGTAAGCCCAAACACACACCCATGAATGGTTTCGTTCCATCCAAAACGTATTCTCTCAAAGGTTCGATTAACTTTCTCTCGCGCAAAATGTCCATGGCGGACCCGTAGGCGCCGACGCCAGGGAAGACCAGTTTCTTCGCCGCGAGGATATCTTCCGGAGATTTGATATCTTTGACCGTGTACCCGAGCTTTTGCATCGCGTTTCGAACGGAACGAACGTTTCCAGCACCGTAATCTAAAAGCGACACTTCGCCTTTACTCGCCGAAGCAGCGTTGGCGCGAAGAGTCAGAGACTTTCTTTTGTTTCTGCTGCTGCTCCTGTTGTTGTTGCTGTTATGAAATAATATGCGTCTACTATTGAAATCATCACTCGTCGTCATCATTCCTCGTCTTCCTAGCATAACTCTCGATGTGGTCGTAGCCGTGCCGTTGCTGCTACTTCTACTAGAATTATATACTATTGGTGATGACGTCGTTGATGATGTTGGTGTTGTTCTTGCTGTTGTTGTTGTTGTCATCATCATCATCTTCACTTTCACTTTTTTTTATCCACTTTTACGAGAGTAAATGTTCGGACGATGATGACTGCTGCTGGTGCGTTTAATAATGTCGAGCAGAAGAAGAAGAAGGAGAAGATGATATAATAAAGAAGAATTAGAAATGATGAGTTCTTTCACGACGTCTAAAGTCTTTTGTCTTTTTCTGAATAATACTAATACTATATTATTATCTGAGAATATAATGACGACGAGTTGTAAAGGCAGAAGAGATTGAGCCCTTTCTGCTCTGATTGAGAAGAAATTTTTGAAGCCGCCAAAAAAAACATTTCAGAGAGAATCACTTTCTCCTATAAAATCATCCTATTCACTTATTAAGCACACTTATTAAGCGCTCTCGTCATCATCATCATCATCTTATTAAAAAGAAGACAAAGTTTTAAAAGAGGAGAAGATGCCTCGCGCGACAAAATCAGCCGGCTTGAACGCCAAAGCGAAGAGAAAGGAGAGAAGAGAGGAGAAATTTAATAACAAAGGAGGAGGAGGAGGAGGGGGAGAAGGTGGAGCCGCCACCACGGGAAAAACTTTCGAGGACGAGGAAGGAGGAAACAAGCAAAAGAAGAAGCATAAAGGGAATCAACACGAAGACAAGGATAACAATAAAAAGTCGAAGAATACCTCATCATCTTTCAAGAGTTCGAACGCAAGTAATGGTAATGGGGATAAAAAAGCGTGGAAGAGCGGCGGAATTGGTGGTGGAAGCGGCGGCTTCAAGAAGACAGCCTCCTCTCAACAACAACAACAAACACAATCGCAATCGCAATCGCAAAAGCAAGGCTTTGCAAAGCCAAACTTTCAGCTCATCGAAGAGTTAGTGTTGATTTTTGAAAAGCTCAGGCAAACGAAAGATTCTTCCAAAACCAAAAACGGCGGCGGCAACCGCGGGAAAGGTAAACGCGCAGGCGACGACGACGACGACGACGACGACAGCGATAACGACAACAACAGTCGCGACGCGGGTAAGAAGAAGGAATACGCAACACTCATTTACTCGAAAACTAAAGGTAAGATTCCTGAAATTGCAAACAATCACAAAGGCTCGAGAATAGTCCAAAGTCTGTTGAAATACGGCACGGAAGAGCAAATAAACTCGGTATTTGCCGAATGCGCGCCGAAACTAGCCATATTAGCGAAATCTTTGTACGGGAACTTCCTCATTCGGAAGCTCATCGAAAAGACTAAGAAAGAAGATTATCCGCAACTGTTACAAAACGTCAAAGGTCAAGTAACTTCGCTAGCGCGACACCCAATTGGAAGTCAAATATTAGAGCATCTGTATCACTCCGCGAAGGGCGAACAACGCGCGCAAATGCAGGCTGAATTCTACGGTGGCGAATTTGTACACTTTTCAAACGCGAGTGCGATGACGAAAAAAGACGGTAAAAACGCCAACAAAGAACCGCCGACTTTGAAGGACATTCTGTTGCAAAAACCAGCCATGCAGAGACAAAATACGTTGAAAAACATATCGAGATCAATCCTTCCGATTCTGGAGAAAGGTTTAGTATCGCCGCTCATCGTCCATAAAGTTTTAAAAGAATATCTCCTGGTCGGTGGTGCAAGTTTACGCGCCGAGGCGGCAAATTCTATCGCCGCACCCGCGTTTCTTCGATTGTTCCACACCAGGGAAGGTGCCACGGCAACGAACGTGATGCTTTCGTACGCCGGCGCGAAACAACGAAAGCAAGTCTTGAAAGCTTTGAAAACGCAAGTGTGGAGAGTATCCCAAGACGAGTGCGCACATTCGACTATAATGACATTAATTGACTGCGTGGATGATACGAATATGCTCAATAAAATCATCTTACAGGAGCTCAAAAGCGAAGATATCGCGGGAATCGTCTGCGAACACAAATTCGGGAAACGCGTGATACTGCATTTACTTCGTCCGCGTTTGAATAAATACTCGCCACCAAACTTACAGATGATGATGCTCAGTCCGGAGGAGATACATCAATCTGTTGAAGCGGCGAAGGCGTTGGTGAAAACGCTGCAAAAGCAGCAGAAAAAAATTAACCGACACGATAACGACGGTGACGACGGCGAGGAAGAAATCGAGGACGACGAGATCTTGAAAGATAGCAGCAACAAGAAATCGGAAGGAAACAAAAGAAAACTGAACAGTGATGGTGGTAGTGATTCTGAGGAAGACGAGGAAGAAGCCGAAGGAGCGGATGTTAACTTTGGCGTTGCCAAGAAGAGCGAGCAACAGAGACGATTGGAAGTTTTTAAGCAATATGGATTCGCCGAGGCGTTGGTGAAATCGTGCCAAGACAACATCGACCGAATGCTCCGGTCGAAAGAATCCGGAGATGTTCTGTACGAAGTCATCATCGGGGGATTGGACGATGTCGTGTATGAGTCTTGTGGCGAAGGAAAAATGAACGCGTTCTACGAGCGCATCGCGGAGGTTGTCACCGAGTCCGTCAAAAGCGCAAAAGCCGACGAGGAGGATAACTTATTGGAAAACTTCTTTTCGACGAGACTTTTGCGCCGCGCGGCGCAAGATTGTCCTCGTTTCGCCAAAGTGTTGTTTGACTCTTCTATATGTGCATCTTCATCCTTACAAAAGAAGTGGCTTTCTGTGCCGCACGCGGAGAAAATCATCGCAGGCGTGTTATCGTGTCCGGACGAGAAGTTCGTTACGGAGGCTAAAGCGAAGATGGGGGCGGATGCCGATGCAATACTCGCTAAAGTGATCGCTATAAAAGAGAAGCATCGTGATAATGCTGCAAAAGGGAAAGCATAAGGAGGGATTTTTTGGATGCACACATATATATACATATATATGTTCCTATGTTGGTGTGTCGGATTAAGCATATTCCATATGTCACTCAGTTTGAACTTAGGTTTTACGCGATATATACTACCAAGGTACTTACTAAATACTATTCGATTACTTATAACATATCAATCGTATCCAGCAAGCATCGGCGTAATTTTCGCGTAGAGCCACGCGTGCGATTCAGCGAGCTGATTTCGCAGACCCTCCCGAATCTCTTCACGGGTATACCTTGCCGAAAAGTGAATCAACAAAATATTTTCGCATTCGCGGAAACGGTCCGCGTTTTCGGCTATGTCTCTTACGTGCGTGTGACCGAATCGTTTCGCGTCTGCAGGTGAGACGTCGTCGTTGAAGAAAGTGCACTCGAGACACACTAATCGCGACTTCAAACCTTCCTGAATAACTTCCTGAGGAGAAGAGTGTAAAAAGTCCATCGTCGTATCTCCCGTAAACATAATTTCCGGCACGTCCACCGTATCGGTAATTTCCACGCCGTCATCTTTTAAAGCTTTTATTTCACTTCCTTTCAGCGATAAATATTCATCTTTCAACTTCTGCTTCGTCGAAAGAATAACATACCCTTGACTCGCAATGGGGTGCACGGTTTCAAACGCTTTAATCTTATAGTTTTTGTTCTTCATCGAATAACACGTTTCCGCGGACGGCGCGAAAGGTATCATTTCATGCGGAAGGTCACTATCGTCCAACACTCTCAGCGCGTCTATAAAGTTCGAAATCGCTTCAATCTTTGATTCTGGCACCAGTATCGTAGGTGGTGGTAACGAAAGTAAGTTTCTACTCGCTATATACATCCCCAAACCACCGATGTGGTCCATGTGGGTGTGCGTCAAACACATCGTGTCCGCGTATACGCATCTTTGATAGCACCTTCCGCTATCAAAACACAGTTTGAGTTGAGGAAAGATGATGCTTGTTTCTTGACCGCCTATGGATAAGCCTTCGATGTTAAATCCCGAAAGCGTCTCGACGACGAATCTGTTTCCTTTCTGCTCGTTTTTGCCGTTCATCGGGGACGACTATATCGTCCGCCGTGACTTTTGATTTCTTTTTTTCATCATCGTATCCACGCGCGCAGTTTTACTAACTCGCACTTTGTCCTTTCTCTGAAGAAGATGTTAAATAAAAAAACTCCAAAGAAAAAAAGAAAAAGCGAGCATCTATTAGAGGGTTTTATGGCTGCCAAAAGAACAGACGACAAGAGGAGTGCTACCCCGTCAACGCAGTTGCGCGCTTCTGCGTGCTGGTGACATCATTACACACCACTCGTAATTAATCGTTGTTGGTCCTTTTTGGAAGAAGAAGCATCATGGCGGATGACTTTGAGCGCGCGGTTTTGTTCTCGTTTCAGCAAAACACCCCTTCTTCTTCTTCTTCTAACTATAATAATAATGAGGAAAGAACGAGCGCGTTACAACAGCTGGAGCAATTCGTGCTCTCGCCAGACGCTTGGAAAGTGTGCGCGGAACGGTTTGAAACGTCCTCTTCGTCCGAGGTAAAGTTTTGGTGCTTGCAAACGCTCGCGAAGAAGCTCAGCGAAGAGTTTTTCAACGAAGAGGAACATTTCGGCAGCGCTCTGCCGTCCTCACCTGCTTCTCCTCCTTCCTCTTCTTTGAAATTTTCCCACGAAGATAGACAGATGCTTCGGAATACTATTGAAAAGTACGTGTCTGCGTTTCAATGCCAACGAGTAAACGACGTGTTTCCGATGTTCATCCAAAATAAACTCGCCGAATGCGTCGCGCACGCCATCGCTTCAGAAGGGCCGGCGAAACGTTGGCCAAACTTTTTCGAGAACTCTGCGGGTATCCTCGTGAATACCAACTCGGGGGGTGATGATACCAATACCAGCGATAATGAAGACAAGAAGACTCGCGCTGCATTCTTTTTGAGAATATTAGATTGCTTGGACGCGGACGTGATAAACTCGACCGACGCTTTGAGAAAAGGCGCCTTATACGTGCGCAAATCTGGTCGCGTAAAGGATTACATGAGAGAAAGCAACATCGTTTCCTTTTTGTTCGATACTTTTTTGAACATGGCGAATAGCTTTTCGAGCGACGCAAAAGTTTTGTCTCAGATTTTAATCGTCGCGAGTAAGTACGTCGATTGGGTGGACGTGAACATAATCGCCTCCGATGGATTCATGTCCTTCGTGTCGGCGTGCTCGGGACATACGAACGAAGACTTGCGAGCGGCGTCTTGCTTATATCTTACCTCGCTCATCGATAAAGGCATGGATGCTGATAAAAAATTCATGTTAATCACGCGATTTAATCTGGTCGAAGCATGTTCCTCTCTCGTCGCGGCGTCGTTTCGCGATGACGACGAGCAATTCGCGATGAAATCTTTACAACTCTTGCAAACGCTAGGAAACGAGCTGCTGAACATGCTCAATGCCATTTCGCCGATCGCGATCAACTCAAAGGGTGGTAAAATGTCGGTAAAAGAGCGATCGATGGATTGTTTGAGAACGCCAGAATCCGAACAGCTGTGTAATTTGCTCTTGGTCTTAGCCACGCAAGCGGCAATGTATGGAATCCCGTCCAAACACGAATCTGCGGTTTCAGCCTCCGGCCAGTTTCTCATCCAGTACTCGAACAGAATGAAGAATGATAGCTACACTTTGGCATTATCAATACCGATGGTTCAAGAGACGCTATTGAAGAACATTATCGATCGTTCCTCCTTCGAGTTTGTGAATGATTTTGGCGCAGACTTTGCGAATGGCTCAGATCCATACGTCATCGAGTTGGAGTGCGACGTTTTTGCCTTGAGGCACGAGTTGATGGTGTTGTTTAGGAATATTTCGCGGGCCGCACCGGAAATAGTGTTGAGAGCGACGCAAGCAGCAATAGAGAGCGCGTTCAACACCAGTAGTATCATTAATAACGATAATAATAATAGTAGTGGAGGGGGTGGTGAAGTATTTTGGTACCGCGTCGAGGCGGCGCTTTCGGCACTGTATAATCTGGGCGAGAGCTCTGGATTCACCGACGCGGTGGTAAATTTCGCCATGAAGACGAATCCGAACAACGCCAAAGACAAAAATAAAAGCATCGAACCTCCGCAAAGTAACAACACCGGGAGCGCTCCACAAGAACACCTCGAGCTCACGTCTCTAGTTTTATCCTTGGTTCTGAAATGGGACGAGTGTTCTAAAAGCGCCGCGTATCACCGCATCGTTTCGATGTCATACATGGAGTTATGCGTGAGATATCACAACATGATTGAACAAAATGCAGAAGCTTTGCATCTTGTTTTAAGAGCATTTTTGGATGAGCGAGGAATGCGACATCCCGATTCAAACGTATCATCTCGAGCGTGTTACTTGTTTATGCGAATGGTGAAACCTGTTCGTTCGCATCTCGCGGACAAGTTGGACGATATTTTCACTGCGTTAGAGAAGCCCCTATCGGATGCGGCTGCACCGTTATCGTCGAAGATGCTCGAAGCTATTCAAGCTAAGGTTGCACAACTCGCTTCTAATTTGAGCATTGGGACTCGCGCGCAAGCCGAAGAAGGTAACGACGACCGCTTGTACGTGTTCGAAGCGGCCGGCTCCATATTAGGTGCGGAAGAAGTGCCCGAGGACAAGCAGTGCGAGCGTTTAATGCAAGTTTGCCAGGTTTTATGTGGAAGAATCGTTGAATTTGTCAATATTACGGATGCAGAGAACGGTGCGTTGGCGTCACAAAATGCCATGCGATGCGTCGTAGCTTTGAGCAACTTATCAAAAGGTTTCAGCGCAAGAATTTGCGTGCAGTTGCGTCCCAAAGTGGGTGAAATTTTTCGATCCGCGATGGAAGTGACGATATCGTGTCTAAAGAGATGGCCGAGCGAAAAGGGCGTGCGCCATCGCGTCGTTGGTTACTTACACCAGATGGTGCAAATCTTGAACGAAACAATTGTGCCGTACTTACCAGATGCCGTCGATTCGCTACGAAGTAACGGGACAAATTCCAAGGAGTTGGGTGAGACGTTAGTTCTCATAAATCAACTCTCGAATACGTTCAAAGAGGCACTATTGCCGATGATTGCGCCGTTGTTCTTACCGCTGCGATTGCAGGTTCACGAAAACATTCGGGCGGGGTTTTCTCAGTCGGCAAGTTCTGACGAGTTTACGAGAGAGTCGCACGAACTCGAGCGGAGCTGGATTCAAACCGTGAACACGTTTGCGTTGACGTCGCTTCTTTCGCCGTTGCTCGCGGCGAACGCAGAGGCTAGGGATTTATGCTTAGCAGAGCTGGTAGAAAATGCAAAAACGCATAGTTCCATTTCAATACGGAAATTGTGTTTACAAGCGTTAAAGCACATCACGACCGATTGGTTGGTGGGCAACGATAACACTGGTGGAAATCCTCAAATTGGAGGTGAATTCTCGAATTTTGCCGCGCAGAAGATTGGCGTCGAATGTTGCCTTGTCGCGCCTTTGTTCGATTATAACTTTGCCGACGCCGGAGCGGTGTCAGCGGTAAACGAATGCTTCGCGATCCAACGCGTGTTATTTCAAAGAATTGGCCAACCGTTCGCGGAATTGCTCGCCAAGAGCGTTTTACCGAATTTGTTGAGTGCGAAAGTCGACCCGGTGGGGATAGAAAATTGCGCGCAAGCTTACGTTAATTTGTTGCAGGCGGAGTCCGTGAAACCGAAAGATATTCGCCTTTTATTGGGCGAAATCGCGCAGCAAGCGACGTTTCCAGACGGTTTCGTTCATTCGCCGTGTACTAAGTCTTGATACCTTCATCGTAGCGAAATGTGTGTGTTTAATAGATTAAAAAATAGTTTTAGCATAACGCGTTTTCGTCGAAGAACTTTCTCTTCAGCACCCTTCTTTTTTCTCTTTCTCTGATGGAAATCATCTCGGAAAGATTTTTTCTGAAGGAAATCCCTTTTATCACCACCCACACATTTTTTAAGACGACGATATCCACTTTTCTTCTTCTCAAGAACACATCACTCACGTCTTCTTCTTCTTTTGTAGTCGTCGAAAGTAGACGAGAAGAAGAAGTTAAAGAAGTGAAGAGAAGAACTTTTAGCTGCTACTATTTATAATACATTCACTCTGAAAAGCTACATAATAAGAGCTGAAAAACAATAATGTCGTTTCCGACGGCGACGACGATGCTCTCGTTTTCATCATCATCATCATCGTCCAAAGCCTTGAAGAAAACAAATACAAATGGAAGCAGAAAGAGAAGCGGAAAAAGAAGGATAGACGTAGACGTGCGAAGTAATTCATCATCATCATCGTCGGGGAATTTGTTTCAGGGCAAGAAACGTTCAAAGGCAAAACTTCCTGGTTACGCGTTTTACGTTTCGCCTGAAGATTTTTCATCGACGAAGGAGGGAGACGAACGACTTCCGGAACACATCGAAGCTGTGGTAAAGAAAGGCGCGACGATGGTTGTTTTGCACGATCCAACATCATCTCTTTCTACGAGAGAGTTTTATAACTTGGCCGTGAATATCAAAACAAACTTGCGCGAACGGTGCGCGTTGTTGGTCGTGGATAGAACGGATATCGTATCGTCCGCAGAAATCGACGGCGTCGTTCTTTCCACGGATGGCGTGCCCACCGTCGTGGCGAGAAAGTCTATGCCCGAAGGTTCGCTCGTCGTCGTTTCTGCCGGCGAAAATGCGAAGAATGCAGAAATAGCCGCGAAAGAAGGGTGCGACGTGCTGTTCGTGAGCGACGCTTCCGTGGCAAAGAAGATTCGAGACAACGTTTCGGTACCTATTTTCTCGAGTTTTCGCAACGCGGCTGATTTGACCTCGAATATTGATACAATCGTTGCGGCTGGATGCGATGGCGTTACGCTCTACGAAAACGCGAATAAGAAGGACGCTGCCATTGCCGATACGATTGGTGCGGCACTTTCGGCGTTGGGCGGAGACGGCGAGGAAGATAAGAACTTTTTAAACAAAGAAGAAACGACAGAACGGAAATCGGCAATACCGCCGACGCAGTTTACGAGCGTCATTGGCGAGCAAGGCGAACGTTTACTAAACAAAGAGCGCGAAATCTTGGACGATATCGTGAACTTTTTAGAAACGTCCGCGCCTGAGTTGGAAGAAATCAAACTTCTCCTCGACGCGCGCAAAGGCTTGGACGAATTGTTCTTGATTGTCATCGTCGGCGAATTCAACGCCGGGAAATCCTCCGTAATTAATGCCGTTTTGGGTGATAAATTTTTAGCCGAAGGGATTTTACCGACAACGAACGAAATTACCGTTTTGCGATACGGTGAAAGTAAACAACGCGTTCAATCCGAGGATGGATTTTATAATCAAGACATCCCGGTTGATTTGTTGAAGCAAGTTTCGATTGTCGATACGCCGGGAACGAATGTTATTTTAAAAAGACAACAACGACTCACGGAAGAGTTTGTACCGCGAGCGGATTTAGTATTGTTTGTTCTCTCCGCGGACCGCCCGATGACGGAATCGGAAGTGAAGTTCTTATCTTACATCAAGAAGTGGGGTAAGAAAGTCGTATTCGTTTTGAACAAGTGCGATTTGCTCGAAACGGATGAAGATCGCAACGAAGTGACAAAGTTTGTGCGCGACAACGCGAAGCGATTACTAGGGGTTGATAACGCGCCGGTCATACCAGTGGCGGCGAGAAACGCGTTGCGATTGAAGAAAGCAAACGCGAGCATGAAGGAGTACGCCGAAACAGGGTTCCCGGCGTTTGAAGAGTACGTGAACTCGTATTTAGGCGGAGGTAGCGGTAATAATAAAAGCGGCGAGAATCGCTCGGGCGAGGCGTTGCGCTTGAAGCTTGCGACGCCTCTAAACGTCTCCGAATTATTACTTTCAGCTTCTAAACAAATTTTGGACGCCGAAATGAGCGTCGCGGAGACTGAAGTCGCCGCGGCATCCGGAGTTGATGAACAGATGAACGCGTACAAAGAAACTATGGTAAAGGACGCGAGCGAACAGGTCAATTTCGTGCGGGCTAACGTAAACGGCGCGGTGAAGCGCGCGAACGCGTTGGTAGATGAAACGCTCCGTCTCGAAAATGCGCTCGATTTGATCACGACGTACATCGTCGGTGCCGATTACTCAGAGCTCGATGATCTCGACGTTGCGTCAAATAGTAGTGGAGATTCTGCTGATGCGGCAAGCGGCGGGGAAGGTAATAGAAAGAAAAGAAAGAAAAAGTATTCAAAGTTTGTAAAGGCGTATCAAAGCACAGTCCTCGGTTCCGCCGATCAAGAGCTGAAGAAAACGGTGAAGGAATTTTCCAAATGGTTAAAAAGAAACAACGACGCTCGATTATCGAGCTATTTGAAAGCGGTGTCTTCGAGAGGTTTCGATACGACTGTCACTGCGTCTGGAATTAAGGAATTTCTCGAGAGTAGCGAAAAAGGGGCGCCAAAAATTAATAGCGCAGCAATAGCCGTGGCTGATAACTTCGATAACGAGGCTGCTGCGTACAAGCTTGACGAAGAGATGCGCTCTGCGGTGTACGGCTCGTTAGGTTCCTCCGCCGGCGCGCTCGTGTCAGCTTTTGTATTGAGCGGCTTTTTATCCTCGATGAGCGAGGATATTCTTGCGTACTTACTCGCAGCGGCGGTCGGTTACGTTGGTATTTTGAGTCTTCCGCTGAAACGACAAGAGTGTAAAGCGAAGATTCAGCGCGCCGCGGAAGCGTTGGTAGAGGACGTCGAACGAGAGTTGTTGAAGGAACTCGCGGAGGAAATTGACGCAACCTCGGATCGCGTCGATCAATTAGTCGCTCCATGGGAAGCAGCCGCGCGAGTAGAACGCGCACGGGTTCAGAAGTGCTTGGAAGTGCAAGAGAAATACGCGACCGAAGTCGAGAATTTAGCCATCGAAGTTGAAAACTTATAATAACGAGATGAAACAACTACACTCAAATGCTTTTCGTAGTGCGCAAGACAAACCCCTACTTGAAAATCAGTTCTTAACATTTGCTACAAACCTATATCAGCTACACGAGCGGAGAAGATGATTCAACAAGAGCGAAGCGAGAAAAATCCTGCCTTCGTCCATGAAATGCCAGGAGCTTCCACGCTCGTGTTCTAACACGCCGCTGCTTACACCTTCGATCGTGGCCTTCGTCGTATCTAAGACTTCTGCTCCTTTTATTTTGCGAACGCTCGGCCATAAGGAAGTATCTAAAAAGTCGCGCAAGTCTTCCTGATACTCAACGTCATCGTGATTTGCATTGATGAAATGGTGATGTACGCCGCTAAAAATGACGCGAAGACCATGTCGTAAAGATATGAGCTCTTTTAATCTCTCTAGTATTTCGCCGTAACCGTCGCTCATTCGAAGTGCACCGGAATCGAGTCCAACTTGTATAACAATCGTTTTATACGTATCGAGCGCGTATTCGTCCTTTCTCGTTTTAGCGCCTTTAATCCAAGCATCTAACGCTTTCAACAGAGCTGTATGTGCTCTACGACCGGATCCTACGTACAAAAAACCAAGCCTTAAGGCATTGATGTCGTGTTTCATCTGCGCGTTCGAACACCGCATGGATTCTTTCTCTTCTAGAATCTCCTCTGCGATATTCTCTACTGATTCCGGCAGACACGAATACGGCTCTCCCATTTCGCCGGACGCGATATTGAGTTTCACTTCGAAAGCGCTGTGATACTTTGTTTTCGAATCGAAAACGCGTTGAACGCCATATCGTTCCGATAACGTCGCGTTCCTCGCGATGGCGTTCACTCTCGCATTTTCACCTCCTAGAATATGAGCGACGGCGTACATTTGACGTCTACTCACGCTATTTCCTATGAACAAAATGCTGTCGCTGTCTTTTTGTTTATTCGCGGTAAACTTTCGGAACCTTTCTCGAACATTTTGATATGCAGACGCCTCGTTCTCGTTTCTTATTGGATATGCACATTTTTCGATATCCATTAACTTCCAAGAAGATTTACTCCAAACGACGTCGTTCGCGAGAAGATTCTCACACATTCGACAATTCACATCGACTGAAGATTTCCCTTTCCCTCTTCCGGTTTGACTTTCGTTAACAATAACGTTCACATGTCTCGTGCGCGTGGTGTCTTCGTGGAAGAAAACAATGTGCGCGAAAAGAACGAGTCCAAGAAAAAACTGCAAAAGAAGGAAATGTGATGCTGTTGAAGAAGGAGCACTCATCCGTACTCAGAAGATGCAATCAGAGCAGAACAGACGAACTGTCCATCTTAACTTTACACTCTCGCCGCGAGCGCGTACACGCGCGCACAAAGCGCCCGACTCCCCTAAAGGAATTTTTGTGTTTTTTTTTGAAAAGGAGAAAAGATTTTGACGAAAATTTCCATTTTTTTGACTTCCTCAAACGAAAACACACAAAAAAAAAGATTAGATGGATGTCTTCAACATCGCATAAATACGTTCGAGCGCAATACGAACGATTGGTAATTGCACTCAACGATTTGTCGAAGCACGCAGAATCAGATGCAGAGAAAGAGCAAAGGTCGATCCGATACGCGTACGCGGTGAGAAACTTTACCACGTCTTTGAACGAATTGGAACAAGAGTTGAAATTAGTTGAAGAGAAAGCGCTGAAGAGAACAACACCAAACCAATCGTAGAAAGAAACAATACGAATATGTTGCGAAGCGCTTCGCAGTCGAAATTGTTAAAGAGGAAGCGACCGTATCGCATTCGTCGCCTTTTCGATCGTCTGGGTCTGTGCTTAGCGTTCGCGTTCGTTCTCTTTGGTTTGTACTGCTATAAACAGACATTTTTGTTGGAAAACGGTGGGAGAGAACCAACAACGAAAACGAAAACAAAACTGAGAAAAGAAGGAAAGTGCGAAGCGCTCGTTCACGATTGGGTATCGTTGCAAGAACAGCGATACGCGCAACGCGCGGCGCAAGCAAAGAAAATCAACGATAAACGGCTCACGTTTTTTCTTCATATCCCGCGAACCGCCGGTCGAACCGTAAATTTTTGTTTCCTGAAACACGCGACGCCGGAAAAGGACAGGTGTACGAGAGCGTACGACGAGTTGAGAACAGATTTGAGCAATCCGAGGTGTACTTTTCTGGCATCGCACGATGATTATTCGTTAGTTGAGAGAATGGCAGCGCAACCAAAAGTAGTGACGATGGTTCGCGAGGTATATTCGCGAACACTCTCGGCGTACGAGTTTTCAGTCGAAGTGGCTATGCGGTCTGGCGGAGTTCCGACGCCAAAGCCTCGAAATAGAAAAAAAACGTCGACGAGAGACGTGTGGCCTTGGCAATATTTAGTTCGCTACGTCGACGAAGATATTCAAAAGTATCGGAGAGCGTTAGATGCGAAACAAATAGAGAAAGCGAGCATTATAGATGCGTACGACAATCCAGTGTACACGTCATTGGATTCGTTTTTGGAAATTCCGATGGCGAAAGAAGATTTGCACAACGCGCAGTTCTTTCAGCTTTTAGGATTGACGAATAACACGTTCGTTTCGTACGAACCAAATGCCGAGGCTTTGAGAGAGTGCGCAAGGAACGAAGGTTCTAAAGCTTCCGAGGATCTCTTTGCGTATGCGAAGAAACGTTTGCGACGCGAAATAGATGCGCTTTTAGTCCACGAGGAACTCGACCAATCGGTAGCATTGGCGGCAGTAATGCTCAACACTCCGTTAGACGGTGTTTCATATTACGAAGGTAAAGGAAACTTGGAGAGCATCATGGAAAACATTTTGCGGAGAACGACGGTCGAAGACGACCACGTGTTTCCCCACCGCGCGAGTCTTTCTTCCAAAGGCGGCGATTCGAATGGTGGTCCATCGGCAACGGACGCCGTCATATTTTCTTTTCGCTTAAAACAGATTCAAAACATGGAGGACGACGAGTGGAGAGAAAGGTACATTGAGCAAGAACTCAAGCGCACGATATCGTCGTACTTGAACGTCGGGCCACAGGACATTCGAAGTGGGATCCGTACGCCTTTCTTCCCGAAGTTTCAACCAAAGACGTGGGAGGAAACTCCATCCGGGCGACATCTCGTCTCGATTAAGAATATTTCGACACACTTTAAAGCCGAAAAGATTGTCGAGCGATTGTTACAAACGCCACACATGCTCAAATCTCAAGATCCGACATTGCTTGGAATCTTCAAACTATTTACTCAGAAAATACGGGCCGGGGATGGAGATTTCCTACGTCGCTTCGATGTCGAAGAACGGGCAAGTGAGGCGAAGAGACAATTTCGGTCCAATCGGAGGCGACAAAAAATCAAAAGAGAAGAGAACGTTAGGAAGCACATATCGCGATTGCGAGAAATTCCAAGGCGGCCGATACAAGAAACAACAATCGCGAGCGTTCGATAGGTTGCACGAACTCGTCGTGGACGATAAAGGGTACCTGTTCTCGAAAGACGCGAGAAAGTTCATCAAGAAGCAAACGGTGGATCGCATCAACGAATTAAATCACTTAGACGTGCGGTTATACGCCGAATCGAAACGGATGATGGATGAAAACCTCGTAAAGTACGCGAGAGAGATGAAGAGACAAGGACCGCTTCCTCCGTCGCTTTTGCAATCGTCCTTTGGCATGTGATATATGTAGTTTTGCAACCAAAAACTCGGTTTATCTCGGACGGTTTAGGGTGAAAAACGCTACGGTTAGGGCCGGAAAACGGTTACACTACGGTTTACGGCTGTAAACGCGACTGTTTGGGGTTGGAAACGCGACTTTTTGGGGTTGGAAACGCGACTTTTTGGGGTTTTGTAATATCATGTTCAAGGGTTTAGGGTTTTTCACTTTAGGGTTTAGGGTTTAGGGTTTAGGGTTTAGGGTTTAGGGTTTAGGGTTTAGGGTTTAGGGTTTAGGGTTTAGGGTTTAGGGTTTAGGGTTTAGGGTTTAGGGTTTAGGGTTTAGGGTTTAGGGTTTAGGGTTTAGGGTTTAGGGTTTAGGGTTTAGGGTTTAGGGTTGTAGGGTTTAGGGTTTATGCATTGCCAACCGCGGCTGCGTTGGACAGAGTCGCGCAAAAGTTGAACGTCGAGTGCTTCGAAACCCCAACTGGTTGGAAGTATTTTGGTAACTTGATGGATGCCGAAAAGTGCTCGGTCTGCCGCCTGGCTGACGTACGATTACATAGCCCAATGG